AGAGTTAGCCAATAAAGATGGTTGTTTTAGGTCGCGTTGTTCAACTTTACATGATTCGCGCATATCGGCAGTTTACTAGTAATCAGCGTGTTGTTGCAGTTGAACAACCAGTGGATTAATGGACAGGAATCTCACAAGCCACTAACTATTTAAGATATTAGTAACTCAGGTTATCACAGAATTTAAGTATAGTTTTAGTTTTCTTAGCTTTATATTCTTATTTATATTTAAATTATTAATTATTAATTTTAATAGTTTCTTTTATAAACTTAGTAAAGCTTAGCTTATTTTTATTAAGTTTAAAAAGCTTATCCTTAACTTTTAATTTAATACTTATATAGTAATATTTCTTTTTAAATTCCTTAATTTAATTAACTTTTTAAAAAAGTTAAATAAAAGTTATAGTATATTTAAATAAAAGTCCTTTTTAAACTAAGGATTAAAGCTATTTTTTAACTTCTTATTATTTATTTATAGTTTTAAAGGCCTTAATAAATTTATTCTTATAATTTTAGTATTTTTTAAAAATATATTATATTTTTACCTTTAAGTCTCTTTAATTTAAGTTTATATTTTAGTCTTTTATATAAAGCCTAAACTATTCTTTAACTACTCCTATAAGGTAATTAACTATAAAGTAAACTTTATTTTTATTATTTACTAAGGTAATAGTAAAGTACTTAAAGTAAGTTTTTACTTTATTAAAGTATTTTTTTTTATCCTTAGGGTTTTTATTATTATTATTTAATTACTTAAGTTAAATAATTTCCCCTAATTATTTTTTTTATTCTTTAATAGTAGCTTTTTATTTAATTATAAAATATTCTAGGGTTTTAATATATATAAAGAGAGTATTAATTACTTATTATTTTAAAGTAAGCTTTAGTAGTAGTACTTACTATAGGTTAATAAGGGCATTTTAGTTTATTAGGTTTACTAATAGCTAAATATTAGCTATTATTATAATATTACCTATAGGTTTAGTAATTATTTAAATAAGAGTTATTAATATATAATAACCTAGAGTTATTAATATTTTATATAGTTAATAGCTTATAATATTTCTAAGGGATAAACTTAGTTTATAATTTATATTAGCGGATTAGTTAAGAGACTTATAGGTAATAAGTAATAATAATAATATTACTTAAAGAGTAAGCTATAGAGTATATTATAATCTTAATTCTATATTAATAACTAACTATTTAAGTTATTTAAATAAGCATAGAGAAGTAAATTTATATATTTAGTTAACTGGATAAAATTATTTATAAAATTTAATAATTTATTATAGATTATTTTAAGATTTTAATAATCCATTCCTAACTTATTGGATTATTAAGATAATCCAGTAATCCGTCTGTAATTAGTAAGTCAGTCCTATATTAATCCGGTTCTGCCTACCCAGTAGGCCTGTAGTGCAACTATAAGAGATGGGTCGTGATAAAATATTTAGGGCTATATTTAAAATAGATATAATTGAATATTATAGAGTTTACTCTTTAAGTAAAAGCGCAGTTTCATTGCCCTTTTGCAATCCTTCTCCAGGCCAGGTCTTGCCCAGTAACGGAGCAGACAAATATAAGACAGCATTGTTTTCGATAAGGTTATTAGGCTTCGTTTTAACCAGTCCTGTGGTTTTGAAAATATCCTCCCACATTTCCACGGCTAACCTGGGATTAGGCGAAGCCCTCCATGCCTCCCCGAAGGCCGTCCAATCTTCTGCGCCTAGGGTTCGCGGCAGCGGGGCAAAGGCTACACTCTCATCCACATTTTCCGGGAATTTCGGCTCGCTACCAATTTTAAATATGTCATTCTTCATGGCCTCATCGACACAGTACTCGGGCATGTTGTCTAATGAGACTGGCGGAATCGGCGCCTCTATAATAACACCCATAAACAGGCGGCACATGCTGCCTCCAGTGTTGAGTAGGTTGGAGAGGTTACCGCCTGATTGAGAGACATTAGGGTCTTCAGATTCTTTATCTGTTTGATCTGTTAGTTGAAACTTGCCTAGTGAGGTATTCGAAAAGGGATCCAATTCACGTACACTGTCCCCAGAGGGCTTGAGGAACGTCTTTCCATGCGGACGTCGCCTTCCATACGCTGCTGGAGTTGTCAGGACCCTCTATTGTCACCGAGAGTGTCGAATCTATTTTTTGGCTGAGGCGCATTGGCTTAGCATAGATATCATCAATAGTGACGCTTTGAGGCTCGAGAGCCTTCTTATTGTTGACTGTGACCGACTGTACTGCGAATTGACACTCGATAGTGAACTGGAACACGCCGCTGCGTACAAGCCAGGTATCACTAACTTTCACATCCTTGTCTTTTTCTGCGAGGAGACCTTTGTCGTCAGGTTTGTTATCTTGCCCAGTTTCTCGGACGAGGAGACCTTTATTGCAGGAGAAGAGATGAGCGGCCTTCCCACCGGCCTCAGCACTTTCGGAGGAGCTACTTTCGGCCTGGGTGACCAACTTCCAGAAATCCTGGAATGAGATATCGGGAGACTGATTTGCCCCATCTGTATTGCCAAAGGCGATATCGAAGCCAAAGACCCAAAAGTCAACGTGAACAATACCTCGTAGCGGTGGACCCATGAGAGAGAGGCGGGCACCGATCTCCACAGCGATCTGGACGGTGACAAACCAGATGTCCATAGAGAAGCGCACACCGACTGAGACATTTACGTCTGTGATGAAATGGAATGGAGAGTATGTCATGAGAAAGTCGGTGGCCGCGTCGAACCAGGCGTATAAGGCACCAAGAGACAAAGCAGCCCTGATGTGAAGGCCGCCCATGCACACCTTAGGAGTGACGGCAAAGTAAGCTTCACCCGTCACGCTCAAGGAACTGTCAATCGACCAGCTAATTCGTAGTCGGTCAGGTCGGGGGTAATGCGCCGGCACAACAAAGGCGCTGTGGTAGCCACCTATCGTCATGACCCAGTCAGTTTGACCGGGACCGAACCAGTAGTACATTGCAAAGCCGCCGGTAAGATGACAATTCTTGTGAATAATCCATGAGTTGGGTGAGAGTTGTGCCTCTACCTTCATGATACCTGCGTCCAGGTCTATGGTGGCGATGATGCCGAGCTCAATGTGGGCGAACTTAACTGGTGATTTGATAGACGGCACGTCACACTTGGCGAGACCGAGGAGCGCGAGTTGGACTCGCGGACTCCATTGCACGGCGACGATAGCCGTCATCTCAAGCATTTGAAAGGCTGTCACCGTAAGTCCGGCCGCAATAAACATTGCGCCGTTGAGTGGGTTGAAGAAAGGACCGGGCTTGTCGCCGCCGGGGATCAAGGTCCTCGCCAGCTCTTTTGGCGGAGCAGATTCCGCTAACGGAGTAAGCATCGGAAAGCTCACGATATTATCCAATGTCGGCAGTGTCAAATCAATGTTGTAGCCAAAACCACCCGTGAGTCCGGAGATCTCAGCGAAGCCGGCAATATTCATGATGGGTCCACGCAACATGGCGTAGGCAAAAAGACACTTGAAGGCTTCGGCCTTATCCACATTTCCTACAACACCATAGAACCCTGCGGCTTGAAAGAGCCAAGGCGTAAATCCAACCGTCAGACCACCGGCATAAATGTCACTATCTACCGTCTTCTCGTGTAAGAAGGCTCCTGAGATCGTCAAAGGCGGCCGCTCAAACTTGACACCAACTCCGCTAATAGAGACTTCAACATCATTCCAGCTCAGACTCTTTAGATTCTTTGTCGAGCCGTCAGCCTCCTTGAAGTGCAGCCCGAGCGTGAAACCGATGAGATCCAGGGCCACCGGTCCGAATGCAATTGTCGCATCCATCAGAATAGCAAGGGTGCCGCTCTCATAGCGGAAACCTATCTGGCTGATACTGAGCGGACCGACGGTATTCTTGTAGCTGGTCTTGCTTGACTGACTGCCCTTGTCATCACCATCATCTTGTTTTGAGGGCTCAGATGGCTTTTTATCCCCACCCGGCACTTTAACCTGTCCATCCTCTGATGAAGAGTCATCTGTATCCTCTACCTTTTTCTGTTTCCCAATGGGATAGTCTAAAACAACCTTTTGCTTTGAGATAATGACAAAGTGGAAGCCACCAGTCATGCCAGGAGTTGATGTTTGAGCTCTGCCAGTAGTTGAGGCTGTCTCAGGCTCTTTTGTTGGTGGGGGGTCCGGCATGTCCAAAGTCTTGTCCAGTTCAACGAGTTCGTCCCTAGTAACTGTCTGGTTTATCCAAAAGAATCCAAGCTCATCAAAAGGCTGATCCATGTGATCGAGTATAGGAATGCTCTTGGGCATTGGAATTTCGGTTAAAACGGCCTTAAACAGCCTCAAGATCTTGCCAGGCTTCTCCCCTGAAGTTGATTTCTCTCCACTGTCTTCGGAGCCATTGTTTTGAGAAGAGCAGTTAATTTGGACAAACTCGACCGTAAATCCCATGATACTTGCAGTCACAGTCATTTTGGGACCAACCACTTTGTCATTCTCAACAGTGAACTCAAGTTTGGGGTTTGAATCAGTGCCCCCAATAATGACCGTATCAGCGAGAAAGTCTGGCAAGCTAGAACAGAGGCTGGCGTCAGAAGAATCGACGAAGCTGCTCATAATCTGGCCTAGAGTAATTGGTTCGATTATTTCGTCATCTGGCCCAAGATTTGCGTGGAATCTCCATCCACCATTGGGGTCACGCTCGTAGCTGAGCTGCAGTGACATAATATCTCCTAGCATCAATTTTCCCTCGCAAAGGAGCCCCGTACCCTGGCCGGCGCCCTGGGAATAGTAGTAGACCCCAAGGTCAACGATTCGAATTCCTTTTAAAAGCTGAAAGAGCGTATCTTTGACGTCTTCGGGAAAGAAGTCATACAACATACCCAAATTAAGATCTCGAACTTCGGCAGAGACATTCCATTTCCCACCAGATTTGTATGATACACTTCCTGTGAGGGAATTCGCTGCACAGCCCTCAGGGGCATCATACCAGCTGGGAAGTTTCAAGCTGAGCCAGAAATAGAGATCAACTTGAACTTGCTTTTGCTTCCAGTTCCATCGTGCTTCGACACTGAGCTCCTGAAGTCGGAGAGGAGGAGCATTACCTCCTTCAACAACATGACGACAGTCGCTGATGGTGCCGCTGACGAAGATGGACTCTTTGTTTATACGAAACCCAGCTGCTGTGATGGCGTTGGGAATACCTTTTGGCAAGTCTGGAATGTTGCCGGCATCACTCATGGAAGCGAAAAGAGTTGTGAGTTCCAAAACCTGTACCGGATTTGGCGTTAGAGGTAACAGGCTCCGATATTCTTCATAGTTGCTGAAAAGTGTTAGTGGCGCATTCGTGTTGGTCCTCAGCCATAAATTTCCAGAGATGGACCAATCGCTTTGTCCTCCAGGAGTGTTTGTGTACTCTGCTTCAAATATGATGGGCAGATTCTGATCTGGCTTTGATCCTTGGCCTAGTTTGGCATTCACCTCGAGAGCGACTGAGGCTCTGGAGATGGACTTATCAGGATTCAGCGCAATAGTCAGTCTGCGAAACCAGATATTTTTGCTAATATTCTGTTCACTGAGCGTGTCAAACTTGGTATCGCAGCCAGGAAATAGCCTTGACAGCCAACCGCTCACAACAGCGGTAAAACTGTCATCGCTCTGTGTAGTCCTGATGGTGAGTTCGAGGGCACCAGTGCTGGCGAGCTCGATGCTGATGTTCGGTGTGACCTTTGCTCTAGGCTTTGCAGGATCTTCTGGTTTAGGGCCAAACAGTGTTATGACTGCGGATAGAGTGAGGAACTGCATACTGGCCAGTGTTGTGCGCTGTCCCTTTTTCTCCTTTTTTAAGCACACTTTGCGGAAGATGAGCTGGATATCCGAAATGTCAAGCACAGCATCATCTTCTTCATCTGCTGGAGGAAAGAACTGGTCTAAGAAGTTGCGGAGGGGAGATTGACTGCTATCCTTGACTGGGATGAAGGCGAGGCGCAGGATTGTGCGGTAGCTCGTAATAGGTGTAACCCAGATGGCGTTGCGTCTCCCTTCTGACGTGGCAAGATCTAGTGTCCATCTCATCCCGAGTAGGTTATCAACTACAATAGGCGAAATAAGCTCTAGAGGGTTCATTTTGGAGCTAGTGTCGGTTGAAAATAGAGATAGTATGTCACTGATGCTCCAGCTACTGGCTTTCGGCACACTCTTAAGACGGTCAAGACCAAAGACCATGGTGCCGCTTCGAGTCCATGGTGAGAGGCCGTCGCTCGACATTTTGGCATCCGTCCCCAACGCCTTAGCTGCCTCTCCGGTGTTGAAGATGAGGCCATTGGGCATGATGATGCGGAACTCAGGGCCGTCGCCTTTGACGGCCATTTGAGATCCGCCCAGGCCGGTACGGATCCACTTCCCCAGGTAATCATCCTCGTGTAGGAGCACCCATTCTTCATCAAGGCTTGAACTAAGTCTCATGATACTTGGTTTCATTGACAAAAGGAAATCATCGAGCCAATCATCAACCTCCAGAACGGTATAATCGAGGAACTCAGCCCTAGTCGCTGCTGATGAGGCATAGGAGCTGCTTAAGATGCTGTAAGAGTATTGGGTGGACTGAGAGGAGTTATTCGCTTGAATGGCCACCGGAGCGCCGAGTAGAGGGACCTGGAAGCTCTGCATGAAGAGTTGGTGCAGGCCATCTTTCTTGGAATTCTTGGGCTTGGGCTTCTTGTCATGGGACTTGGATGACTCCAGCGACCTTTTTCCCAGGGGTGACGTCTGTTCGACGTGACTTTCAATCTTCTTTTGCTTCATAGAATTTTTCACTGTTCTAAACTCGTCGTATTCTTGTAGAAAAACATGGCACATCTGGAACATCTTGGTCTCCTTGTTCGACTTTTTGGTGTTGATTGGTGGCTCCTTTTCTCCAAACCCGTCTATCACCTCATCGAAGACGACCTGATCTATCCGATCTTTCTTGTCAGACGGCTTGTTTTTTGTCCTATATCGCCCTTCGTCATCGTTAATGTTATTAGTCGATTTCAACACGAGGTACACGACTTCAGAGGTGATCGCCCCATCCAGGTCCCACTGCCAGAGGTCCTGAAAGAGATTGCCGAGCCGCTCGCCAATGTTGAGGGCGATTTGTTCAAATATGCTCTCGTTGTCAGAGGCATTATCTCTCACGCAGCTTTGGAAGATCATGTTGTATATATTGTCATCGCTTGGTACGGATTTGAAGAGCGTCTCAACCATATTTATAAATCGATTCGCATGCTTCCGGCGTTCCGCAGAGAGCTTCTTCAGCTCCTCTGGCGGAAGAAAAGCGTCCACGTTGATCTTGTTCTCACCCAGCCCTTCCAGGCCGTGAATGTCTTTCAGCCAATAAGGATAGCAGGTAGCAATGCAAGGACTTTGCGAAGTTTTAATCTGATAGGCGTAGAGCAAGAACAGCACCAGCAATACTTCCCAGGCTGAAGTCATTCGCGAGTATCAGTATAGTAGGTAACATTAGAGGAGCAGGTTACTCACCTGGATGCCCATAGTGATCCGCAACGGAGAATATTATGTATTTAGGTTTAGTTACCATGAACAACTTGGGAGGGTTTGAGTTGCGAGCGCCGTGGTGACTTGACTTGAGGCAGTTGATATTGGGTCCATCTTTGTTAGACTTAAGGTTCTCTTCAAGCCACTCGGCAAGTAGATTCTCTCCCCAAAAGTCAAGATCGCCAGCAAAGAAGTGGGAAACGTGCATGTTGTCCCAGAGGATAATGGCGGCTATAGACTGTTGGTTCGTCTTAGTGGGCAGCTGGTTGAATAGACTGCTTTCCAGATTCATGTTCCTTCTATTCGGTCGCTTCTTGAGCCCGATGACCTCGAGATCGCTAGCCACACAGTACATTCCCACTATGGGTGCGTTGGGACCTATCAGGTCCTTGAAGGTTTTGAGCTCAGAGTACTTCTGGTTCTTAGACGGCTTCGTGTTGGTGAAAAAGTCGTATCCGATGACGCTGGAGCCCACTATCGCCTTTGCTTGTGACACGTCACGGAACGAAAAGCAGAAGCCCTTGCCATCTTCTTTGATGGTTATACCATGTTCGGCTGACTTCATCTTCTTATTCGGCTTTCCAGTGTCGTCCTGTGCCTTCGACCCGGTCCACCGGCTCGGAGCATACACGGTCGTTTTAACCGCTGTGTCATGGAAAAAGCGGTTGTATAGGCCACCTTTATCAAAGCGTTTTGGATATTCGCTCTCGAGCAGCTTGTTGATGCCCTTCCAATGATCCGCATCCCAGTGCGTCACGACGACGGAACGGAACTTCAGCAATTTGATATTATACCTTTTTTCGATGTCCTCGATCGTGGCGGATATGTTCTGCGCAGCTGCGTCTCGAGCCAGTCCGCCGTCTACCAAGACAGCGGCTACGAGGTTTGGGTTTTGGGACCCGTTGCCCTCTGTCGCCAGAACATGGATGGCACTGTCGCCTAGTCCGACATTGATGTGGTAGGATTCGACAAATGTCTTCGTATTGGAAGCCATTGATGAGTTTCACTGTCGACGCTCACGGTGTAATTACAAAAGCTAGAAGAAAATAGGAGCTATTCACACTGGTGCAATCATACAACTACCCCGACAACACGGCAGTGCAGTACATGGCCCCTTTCAAGCTACCAAACTCAGGCATCTTATCAGAGCCTTCCTGTCCCAAACGAGTAGACGCATAGCATTGCTGCAGCAGGCTTGGATAGTCCGGGATCAGTGGCTGGCTGAGCCAAGATTGTGTGATGAGCCTGCATCGACCCGGTCAGGCATGTGGAGCCAAATCTCACGCTATTGATCCCATGCAGATCAATACGCCTAGGGGGGTGTGGCGGTATAAACCTGGATGTGCTTTCGAGGCGCTTGTCATTCTGCTTCGCAAAACCATCCAAGCCTGATTCTCATGTTAATCGCTTTTGGATTACAGGTACTTGGTAATCCACGAGACTCATAGCTCACTGCACTATGGCCTCACTGCAAACTGAAGACACTCTCCCAAGCGGCCTGCGTTTCCTTACGCTCCAGCACGCTTATGAGGTCGCTAAATCGAGGGTAAAGGCTGAACGTGCGGGTTCAGCTTCTTTCGATATCGCCAGCAGATCTGTAGTCGCCGCCGTTGCAGCTGAGGAAGCTGTTCCAGACACAAAGTCGGAAGACGACGGCACTGACACAGAGTCCAAGGAGTCTGGACTACAGCCGCTTCATGATGGTCACCAGAAGCTCTACTCGTACTTCCCCCCGCGGCTTGACGGCGGGAAACAGACTATCACAGCGACCCAAACCATCTACGCCAGTAGTGCAACAGAGAAACAAGGCCGTGAACTGAAGCCAAAGCCGACAACGAAGGAGTTCCTAGTTCAGGCGCCACAGTTCTCACTGCCAGATGGCTCTGTACTCTCAGTCAATCCTGCACCAGGTGGTCTCGCGACCGCAGAGACGCTACCGCACATCATCTTCAATGATCCTCATCTGCCATGGGAGAGGCGTATTGAAAAAGACGACGCTACGCGACGGGGGCGCATGCCTTGGCTCGCCCTCTTAGTCTTCAGTCAAGATGAGCTGCAGCTCCCCAGTGAGCTTCTCCAGGGAGAAAATTCGCCGTTTATGGTTACAAGCTTGGCAAAGGATGCCCAAGGAAAGCCCACAACGATCAAACAGAGCTCTGACTTGACTATGACTTTATCAGGTACTGACGTTGAGGCCTTGAACAAACAAGGCTCCATCATCTCACCCATTCCCCAGCCGGATGACTCCAAAAGCAAGGCGACAGCTCTTTTCTTGAAGCCAAAGCTCTTCCAACAGCTTGTTACTACGTATGAGCAGAAAGAAACGACTACTAACGAGGGCAAGAAGCTTGTTCTGTCAGCACCAAAAGAAGGCCAAACCGCTGCTGATATCTCGCGGTTCAAATATTTTGCTCACGTCCGCCACGTCAAAACTATAGGCATGACGACCTCAGCTCAGTATAAGGACGGTCTCTTCAGTGTCATAATGTCGCACCGGGCAGGACCGATCTCTGCAGACCAGAAGACGCCTGCCATGGTGCATCTTGTATCGCTCGAGGGATGGAAGAACATGGCCTTTCCGCTCTCTTCGGCTGCGCAATACGTCGCCATCTCATCGCTATACAGCTGGACATACACGGTGCTCCCTGCTGGCGGCATCAGTCTCGAGGCTGAATTTGAGAATCTTCAGAATGGCATAGGCCTCCTCAGAGCACCACAGGCCTTGATTGATAAAATGGAGGCAACAAAGAACGAAACCATGAGAGCAAAGCTCGGCAAGAGGATGAGAGAAGGATACACGATGCAACGCCACCGAACAAGGACAGGCGAAGTGACAAGCAGTTTTTTCAGGGCTGTCTTGATACCTGTGGTTCCACGTGAGCCAGCATGGACTGCCATGTCACGATGCGGAAGTGACCTACAGATCCTCGACCATGACACGGGCATGATGGACATCACATACTCGGCTGCTTGGCAGTTAGGAAAGTCGCTGGCAATCGCTGATGCCGCCTTCACGACAGCCCTCACGCGGTTGTGGAATAGTCTTCATGGGATATGTCTAGACGGCGCAAAGCGGGAGATTCTCAGCGAGACGAATGCCTACAAGAGTAGGGAGGATGTCCTACGGTCTCTCAAGACGTCCATCTTGACTTTAAGCGATCTCCAGAGAGTCTCACCCCAAGAAGGACGGGATGAACAAAGCCTCCTCCAGGAAACTCCGGTTGCTAGACGCCCATTGACAGAAGAAGCTAGCCTGGCTATCGATGATACTATCATGCTAGAAAAGAGCGAAAAACAAGCAAAACGGCATATCCGTCGCATTGCTGGGGCTAAAGATGAAAATGGCAAGGAATACCCAGATGGCCAACGCCTCTACAATGAGCTCAACGAATCTGTCTCGACTGAGTGGAAAGTCATTCTGGGCTGGATCATGGACCGCATGTATCTTTTTGGCATACCATCGCCATACCTCCTTGCAGATCCAAGCTTCTTGCCACAGGAGAGCATCCGTTTTTTTCACGTCGATGCCAATTGGCTTGATGCTTTGATCGACGGGGCACTGAGCCTCGGCAGCCACATGGGCGGCAATGACGACTACATCCGACGAAGAATCAAAGGGGCCATCAATACCTATCTTGAAACAGTCGATAAAGCCACAGGATACACGCCTCAAATTCCATCATACGGGATGATTCTGAGATCTGACTTGGTCTCTCGCTTTCCTGATCTCAAGGTTGAGGCGCCGATCCCGAGAGATGCGCCTGAGGCTGGAAGGGCGCCGATTCTCAGACAAGAGATTATCGGCGAAGGGCTTCTTCTATGTCTCTTCGACAGAATCCCAGGGAAGGACAATGAGATGCCAGTTCTAGCGTTCACGCAGCCGCCGCATCAACAGACTTTTACATTGGGCCACAGCCTCACGCCAGATCGGCTCGACGTCAAGTATAAGCGCACCTACACTATCGAGAAGGACAAGTACGATTTTACGAGCACACTGCTCGAAAGGACCACTGAGAGCCGCTACGAGTCATCTGGCTATCCAATAGAATCTGGGCCGCCACTTTTCATGTGGGGAGCTAAAAATGATGCCCGGTTCCTCCTGACGAGTGTCTGGGCTCAGGATGTTGTGGCCGTGCTTAGGGACAAGATGCCCGATGACTTTATCGACACTGCCATGACCTCAGCCGTGGCGGCGTTCCAGCTTGGCATGCCCATCTATCGCTTCTGTATCGGCGAGACGTCAATCCTCAAGTCCCTGGAGCCTGACCCTAAACTGCCACCAAGACGAAAGGGGGTCCAGCTGCTTGGTTCCATGCAGAGGGGATCAGAAGTGGCAGTCCAGCATGAGGGAGTAACCTTGACCGCGCAAGTCTTGGATTATCCATTGCCTCTCATTGCGTTGAACAGTCTCGACTCTTCGCCCCCTCCTCATTTTCAGTTCACGCCCTCGCTGCTGCAAACACCCTTCGCTGCGAGTATAGCGCAAACGCTGCCAAGGGCCGAGACAGGGGCCGCAACCGAGGGCGCAACAGGGGCCAGGTTTGCGTACGCCGTCCACGCCATCGGCGTGCCGTCCGGGCCGCTTCAGACGGGCCAAGGGCCACTGGACCTGATATTCACAATCAAGCGGTCCGACTCTGACTTCCTCCCCAAGGACTACAAGCTTAAACGGATCACGCTCAAGATACCACGCGGCAAGAAGCTGGACAATGGAACCGTCAACCTGTTGGACAGTTACCAGGGGCCCGGTCCCACGATGCTGAGTAACCTACGCTTCAACGTATTTGCTGAGGCAACAAAGGACACGATGTTTCTACGGCTTCAGCCGCGCAGCAAGAAAGCTCTCGATAAGGGTGTGCTTATCGACCGGGTCCGGGAATGCGGCTTCATACTGCCACTCGTCAATGTCCACAACTTTAATCGGAAGGTGACGGTAAACTACATTGAGGAATGGGCAAAGCCGGCCTTGACTATACCACGCGACTTCACCATCCAGCTGAAGCCAGCAGGGATCCCGAGTCGCTAGTTTAATGCATGTTGTTCCTCCAGCTGAGTTTATCAACGCCTTCCGTCCCCGCCTCCCGTTTAGTGCCGCGGAAGATGCGGTACCTAGTCTAAGTTCTAAACCGGTGCTGAATACCTACAAGTAGATGCATGCATAGAATCGATAGTGCATTGCTGCGGTCGATTTATTTCCGTACTTAACAGCGGGAGACGTTGAAGTATTTCACAATACTTGGCTGTTAAACAGAGTCATATTCGCTAGTAAATAGTGTTCTAAGATTCTAACATATTTATAGCGTGAATTACTTATTTTAATTATTTCATAAAAGATTATTATTATGTTTTTAAGGGTACATGTAGGTTGTTGCTATGTAGCAGAGGTACAAGAGCCCTTGTTTATAATCCTTGCAAGTGGTTCTCGTCGGTACTCGTTAATGGAAATAGCTTGTCTACTAGCGCGCTGTATTCCGTGAGAGTGGCTGGCTGGCTGGCCCTGAGCTGCACTAGCTTCCGGCGCATATCCCCCGGACCCTCACACCAAGTATTACCATGTAGTCAGCTATCATCTTTGATGGCGTTTACCAAAAACAAAACTATTGAAACTGCGCAGACAAACATCCCAGAGCTCTTGCTACAAAGTCTCAATTGGGTCAACTGGACACAGACCACTGAATCTAGACTGCAGAACCATCGACTAAATGACTGTTGTCCAGGTATTGTGGCAGCTTCTCGCTGCATGGCGCAATTGCTCAGCTTGCCACCGGTCCTGCGATGCTGTAACTAAGACTTCTTGGTGTTCGAACTGTGTCAGGGTAATTCGCTATCAAAATAGCATATAAGACGCGATAGAAACAGATTCACAAAGAATTATCCTCAATTATCTCTCCATCGAATCACTATCCTTTCCTGTGAAGAACAGCTCATCAAATTCAACACAATGGCCTCCAACGCTCTCATCTGGAACCCTCTGACTAAGAAAGACGACCGCTTGCTAGTCTACTACAACAGCTCCAAGGCCAACCTTGGCCTGCGCCAGTGGACAACCGGCGAAGACCCTACTTGGGGCAGTGTGTTCGCGGAAAAGGAGGAGAGTGCCAAGGGCAATATCAAGGTTGGCACAGGACTCACAGCCTTACGACTGCGCGACTGGGTCGGTGTCTTTCCGCTTGAACACGCACTGTTCGCTCGAGAGTACTAACTGACAGCAATAGATCCGAGTCTATGGCATCGTGTCTGCCAAAAACGCAACTACAGGCATTGATGACGACTATATCTCTTTACTCAGTCCCGTCATCCAGTCTCTGAGCATCAAGACTGATTACGGCCGTCTGACTGGTAGTGGTAACGGCAAGGATAAGGGCTGGTTGTATTTCCTCGTGTAAGCTACCACTACATTTCCGTTGATCAATGACGTATGCTCAATAGTCTGACAGCTCCGACCCCCCTGTTATCCATGAACGTGATCTCGACAACTCCAACAGCGTGCCTATTGCCAAGGGGAGTACCCTCTTGAAGCAAGAGACGCCCCCAGCTCTGACCGGCTTGGCTTCTACTTACGCGCAAAAGGCTGGAAAGCGCTGGGCTTTTTACCAGGCATCTGACAAAGTTCTACACGGCCTAGAGGTTCAGGGTAGCAACGGTTGGTTATAATACAAGTAAGGCGTTTGCATGCAGAAGATCAGGCTAACGTTAAACTGCAGACAGAAAAATCACAAGCAACGCCCGACCCGGTTCGCCACTAGCGGCCACCTCATTCGTTCACAAGGAGGTTGAAGTTTTGGTGCTGTACTGGATCCGCGACGCCGATGGCGTTCTGACACGCAGCCACTCAACAAACGGTGGCCAGAACTGGCAGGAAAAGGATCTGGAAGTCATCCCCTCGCTGGAGACTCTGAGCGCTGCATCTAATGCGACCTTTGAGCAGATCGCTGTGGTATTTTCTGCGAATGATACCAATGAACCTCAGATTATTAAGGATGAGTGGGAGTCCATTCTTAACGCCTAAACAGCGGCGAGAACGGCATTCGTAGCAGGATAGCAGTAGTAGTGGCAGCCTGTATCTCCTCTAAAGAGCTCGTCTAGAATCATAATCACAACGATGTACCTCACTACTAAGCATTAATTGAATAAGAACGAAAACATGAGTCTAACACCGTTAGCATAATCCGATGGGACTTTGCCTTTTGTGTCGTAGCAAATGGGTATAAATAAGGCCGTCCCCCCGGCAGCCTTTCGCTTCTTGCACTTGTCTCTCATTTCTCATACACTCTTCGCATTCTATCAGTAACTATGGGTTCCCTGTTGCTCCCCGTAAAAGTGGAATGCTTCATCTTCAATAAATCTGTATGTAGCGGGGCAGATGATGAGGCAAAGATCGCGCCGTTGGCCCAGCCAGACTATGCACTTCTGCAATACAACAATCACTTCCTCTCCAACGATGTGCTGCGCCACGTCGATTTACATGCCGCCTCGCCGGCATCGACAAATATGCGCTTCACTGACCTTGGTACTAACCAGCCTCGCTCGAGGCGTCAGGGTGTTTACGTTCACTGGACGCTCCCACGGCCGTATCGCACCGCGGCCACCAAAACGGAGCCCAAAGCTCAGGCTGGTTTGCCTCCAGACACTGATATCCCCGGAGATGAAAAATACGGCGAGTCAAGGCCAAGCGATGGTCACGATCCCACTGTGCCAAGCTACTATGACGTTCCTCCGCGCTGGCTCGTGGTTCGCCACATCGACGACAGAAAGTCGATCCAGCCAGAGAGTGCCGAGGGGCTTGTGCCAGAGTTCCGTGCCTGGGTGGTTGAGAGTGACGTCTGTAGATCCATCGACGACCTGGATGAAAGTGTAGACGTGCAGACAGACGTTTCGCCCTACATAGCGCCAGAGTCTGGGCTTGGAGGCAGCGTCGATGTCGACATGCAGGCACAGTCAGAGGTCTTTATCGGACAACGTTTTCCTGCCGAGACGTGGTGTGAAAAGAATGACACCAAGCGTGTCCGTCTGAACTTATTCAATAGTTCCAATCAACTCTTCGCGGACTACCAGCCGCACAACGGGAATGTTTTCAGCATGCTCGACCGGTTCGAGTACCTAGATTCTGCGGGCAAAGAGCAATGTCTTGAAGCAGCCAATGCTTCTTACTATGTCATCGGGTGGCAACCAGATATTGAAAGAGACCTCTTTGTCCCTCCAACAGGGCAAAAATCAGATGATCCATCAGCTCGCCCTTCGCAGCTCCAGTCGTTGAACATGATCCTCGAGGCCGACGACTTGACGAATGCATGGAGCAAAGATCACAGCGCCGCAAGAACTCTCTGCCATGGTGCCATGTACGAGGTCGAGTGGAACGCGCTGAAAAAGCCCAGCAAGGTGCCCGCAGATCAGACATGTTCTCATCTTATGAAAGCTTCTCCCATTGCCGTGGGTACTACTCCGATGGACGCCATCATGGCTTACGTTTCTGGTCATAGTAAGTCGTCTGTGGGCGATGTTCACAAGCTTGAGATGGATCTCCTCAAGTTGCAGACTCTCCTGCTGGATCGTGATGAAGGGGTCGAGCCGCAACGCCGGGCTGCAAACGTGTTGAGTAATTTCAACTTCCAGCGCCAAGATGGCGGCCGGAAATATTTTCTCTCAAACCCACAGGACGGTGACAACAAGACGACCAAGCCTGAAGGCACTTACGAGCCTACAGAGACCGAGTTGAGCAACTTGTCACTTATGAATGAGAAGCAACGTCAGATCGACACTTTATCGCGGCTACTGAGGAAGCGCCAATGGGATTTATTCGCTCTCTGGTGGAAGCTCCTCATAGATGTCAACGCCGCTGCCACAAGCGGCCAGTACAAAAAGTGGAGAGAAGAAATCACTAAGCATATCGGAAATATTCACCGAAAGATCAAGGCGATCGAGAATGAGGTTGACAAGGTGGAGCTCGACAGCAAAATAATCCAGGTCGGCACTTCCGAGCCATTTCATCAAGCTGGCGATCCGACAGTACTTCTTGCCGGTATTCAGTCAGGTTGGCCCGTTGACTTTCTCGATCCTCTGAAGGTCAGACTGCGTCATCAAATTATTGGGGCCCGCAAGGATGGCAAGCCTGTCGAGCCAAATCTGCCTGAGAATCTTGGGACTATAATCAAGAACCTCGAAGGCTCTTGGGGAACCGAAAACCCTTGGGGAACCGATATGAGACTGCTCTTGTCCGAATTCATTATACTCAATTCCGATATAAACCAGGAGCACAAGCCTGAGAATCCCGCGCTACTCCCTCTCTATCATGACGTGGACCGTAGACTTATCTCTCCTGAAGATGATAAGCCAAGCGAAACGGGTGACCCAAAGAAACCTGATGTGCCTCGCTGGCGTGATAGGTGGCACGGTACGCAGCCATGGTTGCCACTCTATCTCGAATGGGAGGTGAACTTTATACAAATTCCATACAACCACTGGGAGTTGGATGATGGCGATTTGACTAGAAATGAAGCCGAGTATTCCAAGCTTCGATATCGAATCAAGACCGAATCACTCAGTAAAGATGATGTAAGAGACTCCAGGAAATTGTCCGGCAGAGTTTTAATGCTACCCCAGCCAACAATGTCTCTCAAACACAAGGTGGAGCAGCTCTTCACCGACACGCCGGCACCTATGCTCAAAGGCTTGGAGGACGATCTTGATTTTATCCTGTCAAATATTGATAAACTGAACCTCTTATCAGCTCCGCTGGCTGGTTTCACTGACCACCTCATCACTAGACAAGGAGGGACACATGTGAAGCCAACTTATCGGCAACCAAACCGCAGCGGGGGCGGGGGCTATCTCCCCAAAGCCATTCCCGGAGCCAAAGTGGCCGCCAAACACGGAGAATTCGGCGAAGCCGATTTGATACTCATGGGTTTGGAGACGGATCTTACTCCGTACGGAGCAGGTGTCTCGTTTTCAGCCGACGGCGAGAACCCTTTCAAGCCCGTTACGCACGGGCAGTTCTGCTTCTCCAAACTCAACATCATCGATAAGTTCGGCCAAGCCGTGCATGCCATATCTCCCAGCATCTCCGGCGACAAAACGACTCCCAAGCTCTATACCAGCGAGTATCTACGTGCTCAGCAGCTACTGCAATTATCCACCTCTAATGCAACTCCTGTGGGTGGACGGGGCGATTCTTCAGTCGTAAGGAGCGAGTTTGCCCAGGTACCTCCCCAGATCAACCAACTCGCACGTCTCAACGCCGATTTTGTAACGCTGCAGCCGGGTCCTGGAGGCCCAAGTTCGAAACCATACTGGAAGCCTGTTCAGCAAGCAGGCCAGCCCGTTTGGGGTTGGGTAATGGTCAACTACGCCAACTACGGGCTGCAGTTCTTCGCCAGCGACGGGAGGTTTTATAAAGAGGTCAGATTCGGTGGCCCAGATGGCAGCATGACCTCTCCCAACTGGATGCCAGACCGGACAGGCCTGGAGCCCGACAAGGATCCCGGGCTGAAGCAGCTGGACAACCTCCTCGAAACTCTTAAGGACAAGGACTATCTCATGGCATTCATCTACATGATCAATGGGGCTATGAAACACATGCTTCCCGCTCCGGGGGCGTTTTCTGAGTTCTCTACTGCTATCGTTGGTCAACCTCTGGCTCTGGTAAACATGGGCTGGTCCCTTGAGCTCGCTGTCGAGGCTTATGAGAGCCACGCGTCGTTTGGGCCCTCCACAATGCGTAGAACTCTCACACAAGACGAGAAGGACAAAAAGCCCAGGAAGGGCGATAACAATGATAATCATGTGTACGCGTTCCGGGTGAAGCTAGGCGACAAGACAAAGGCCTACGACGGGCTCGTTGGATATTGGAACGCAAAGGAATCACCTGTCGCCGGCGACGGCCTGGAATTGAGAGAGCTGTTCACATACTACATAGACGAAACAGAAGATACAGGCCTCATGAATGATCCCAGAACGAAGATCAGCCACACCAACTTCCCCAAGTTTAATCCATACTATCTTGATCCCACCGAACTCAGGCCGTTAGATCACGACGTCCAACACTGCCGGCAATTACAAGGTTTCGGCGCCATCATCGATCCTTTCACAGCCATCCACGGATATAGTAGCATCCTACCGGTGCGGGAGCTCAAGTTGTCTCCGTGGATGTGGGAGAAAGCGTTCCGCAACATGACAGCCTTCTTCCATATGGGGCCTCTGATCGTCACAACAGACTTGGTGATACCCACCGGCGCAGTAGCTCCGGCTGTGGACGTAGAATCTCCAGCCACGAAGGAGAAGCCGGAGCCATTGAAGGTCAAGCTTCCTACCAACAGTCTTGCACAGTGGGAATGGCTACAGCCGTATATGGTTGACAATGAGGCATTTCCCGAGTCTGTGCATGTCGCAAGTTTCGGGGTTGCCCCAGCTGACCAGAAACCGCGGCTCGAGCCTAACCCCTACACTGCGATTGAAGGATACTTACATCTAAAGGGGCCCAGTGTAGTTAAGGATGTTTCCAAAACGCCTGAACGTAATAGTTAACCAAAGGACTAGGGAGCAAAATATCCACTTGGGTTTACTTACATTCAGGATTGAAGAATTATTATAAATAGAGCTTAAATGTTATACTTTAGTATTGGTTGTTATATAAATATATATTCTTGCTTTTATACTAGATTCTTATAACTTAAAATATAAAGTGCAATATTTCAACTTATATTATTATATACTATATTTAAAGGGCCTGCTATTATAGCTATAACTAGCTAATAAAAGTATTTAGGATTTTAAGCTCTGCCTTCTAAGCAAGGTATTTAAGATAATCTTCTATTAGTTATCTCGCTTCTGTCCCTAGTAGTAAAAATCAGCTTTGCTGTTTATTTTATATGAACCTTTCTAGCTCTTCTAGGGATAGATTGTGCCACTATGTAAGATATGTGCTCCCCGGGCCAAAATTGATCTTGAAATACTCGGCATTGTTCAACTCCTTATGAGAAAGTGTCCTCGTCGAGCAAACTCATTCCTTGTCGCCAGCCAAGGGAATACATTGTGATAGTAATGGGTCAATGGGTATATCTCGGACTGGAGGCCTTGAAACGCGAGTGTTAGGGCAGGTTCACTGCTGCTGTCAAGGAAGATCTCGATTATCAAAAAGAATGTTTTTTATAATTCAAATATATAACAGAAGCATTAGAATATATAAGGTTCAAGCCCTTTAAATACAATACCCATACACATTTCTAGGTACTTTTCGACTTCTTGCTTCTCATGCCATGCATCGTTATATGCAGCGCTCAAGCACAGTTGGTCCCTGTATGTTCCTAAGAAAAACCCAAGGCCATTCCGAAGCTCTTCTCCAGTTACCCATGGTTCGGAAACGGAGATAACACCATCCTTTGGAGGTATGATCTTATCAACAATGCCCAGGCTAGAAATTGATACAGACGGTTGAGCACTGGGAGGCGGGACAGCTAAAGGCCCCTCCACCGCTGGCGGCAGCTGCCTTGTGCCAGCAGCCCAATAGTATGGTACAAGTTGAAGATGCTCTAGATCATCGCGGACACCATTATAGAATTTCTTCATCTCTTGGAGAACTCTGAAGAAGTCTTGAGATTCCGCCTGCTGCTGATCCAAGGTGCTGTAACTGCCAGCAGCTGGAATGGTCATATCCACCAACAGGCTCGTTCCTGATCCTGAGTGATACAATGCAGCAGGATGCTTCGCAGAGTTGTACGGTGCAGTGCAGTTTCCACGTTCATTCCGTAAAATATAGCTGACATATCTGACCTTCTGTTGTTTGGGGCCCTTTTCCTGAAGATCTCTCATCATGATGGGTATGGCAGCGTGGAATGTATGGGTTACAGTAACACCAACATATGAGCATGCATGCAGTAGCTTCGAAGTCTTCTCTTGTGAAAGCGTCAGGGCAATCCGCTGATGCTTGCCAGGAACAACTTCCCCTTGCTTCCACGGAATAAGTAGCAGAGGGATATCGCTTGCCAATTGCTGTTCTTTTAAAGCTGCTATGTGCCTTAATCGCTGTTGCTGCCGCTCTGTCAGGATTTTTGATATGTTTGCCGCCACGCGAAAAGGTGGACTCATATTGTCCAACTCAGAGCCATCGTCAAATGTAGGAAGTTTAAATGAAGATCCTTGGTTGTATGCTTTCGAGCTGATCTTAACGAGATTTCCCAAGAGTAGAAGAGTCCCAATACCGTCAATGACATCATGGGGAGAACGGAGAACAAGGTCGCGGCGGATCAGGCCAGGATGATTCTCCTCCTGTGGTGTAGTGGGAGGTGTTATAACAAACAAAGTTGGAAGCTCTGGAGCGGGAGGATCGCTGTTTGCCCATTCAGAGCCAGTCTGATGTGTCGAGACTTTGACAAACGTTTGGTCGAGCCAGGCCTGCTGATCAGCTACGATAGGAATCGTGCGATACAACTTAGCAAAATCATTCGTGCCTGCACTATGTTTCACTTGCGACGCAATTGTCGGGTGATTGTGCCTGAGCGTGAGCCAAGCATTACGCAGAGCTGTATCAACGCGAGTATCCGAGCCATTGTCAAGGGAATCAACAAGGTCGAAGGAAAGTGATACATGACCGGTGATAGCGAAAAACATTCGGCCGCTGCCTTCATATAACTTCGATAAAACCGCATAAGCTTGTTCAATCTCATCAACAGAGCGTTGCCAAACCCCCTGCTCAACCTGTTGCCAGGTATACTTGTTGTCAGAAGTTGTCATTGCTAATTCAACTTGATTAGCTTATAAGAGTTCGATTAGTAACCTAGCAGCAATCCAAATAAAAAACTATTAGTTTTAAGAAGTGCAATTACAAGATCAATTAGGGAAACTAACATTCTTATAGTTATAGAAAGGGCTTACAAGCCTCAAATATTCTTAGTAACTGTAATCACTATAGCCTAATATAGCTATTATAACAAGAGCGGCATTCCCCGAATGATATCCCGATATTCACCCAGTGCGGTATTAGTCCCTAGATTATCTTAAATTGCACAATGCATTAGCGCGCTGCTCTGCAGGAGGTATTTTGGTCACGGGCATACTGTACAATCCTAAGTCCGCTCCGGGGTGTGTCCCCGATTCCAAAACCTAGGTAAGAGTTTATAGTCCCCTAAGCTCAATCACATGCCCCGCGGAGTGTCCCCGATCTTAGAATTTTAGCGGTCCTATCTACAAATCAGTATATAAACACCGATATTAAGGCTTGATTGAACTTTTCCAGTATATTCTTTCGCTTCTACGAATTAGCGTTTAATAACATATAGAACTTTGTACAGCGGTATCGCTTAGAACTTACATACTATATCTATCGAAAGCAACTAGGGCTACCCTATGAGCGCCTAGATTTACTACAGTGGCCGGAAAACTAGCACCGGCCCTACCTGTACATTTTCACTTAATGTCTCATTCGCTGTAAACGGCCCCTGTTAGCAAGGTACAGTAATGGGATAAGCCTCACTTAGTAACGCTAGAGGCAGACAAATCAAATGTAGAGGAGGAGAAGTTAGTAACTCGACAGTTTACGAATATTGATATATTACATTTATACGCTATGCGATCATCTTACCGCTGCTGTTGATAGATAACCTCTTCAGGTGACAATATATTAGCACTGCTGCTCCTCTTAACTGTTCCCTAGCTATAGGAATTCAGAAACAAAGCAGTATTCTAGGCGATGAACTACATACTAGATAGAATTGGTAATCAGAATAGCTTCAGTTTCTATCTTTACGGATGGGTTCTGAGTTACTTGACCAATCAATAAGATAACAAATTGGAACAATATAGCAATAAGAGAGCTTTCACAATGGAACATTACAACTCTAAGCTGGCATTGTATGCTTTCCAAAGAAGTCTGATTTCATATTTCAATGCCACCTCTTGTAAAATTGTATCCCTAGAGAAAAACGCGGCATTATACCCAAAATTCGAGGGCTAGATAAGTCTCACCTCATGATTTCCTCTCAGTCTTGTGAATCAACACTACTTATACATCTTGGTCTTCTGCTGAAATATTATGCTCTATTCTGGGAAGAAATATGCGTCTATCTGGCAGGGCTATCTACGATACCACATTCTGACTGTTTTTGTTCTCCGAATCTTATTCTGCAACTGGAAAATTCCGTAAAGCAGCGCCTCGGCAGTCGGAGGGCAGCCTGGCACATATATATCCACAGGAACGACCCTATCCACACCTCTCACGACACTGTAGCTGTAGTGGTAGTATCCTCCGCTGTTTGCGCAAGACCCCATACTTATTACCCACTTTGGGTCCGGCATTTGATCATAGCATTGCCTAAGAGCTGGAGCCATTTTATTTGTGAGAGTTCCAGCAACAATCATGACGTCGGCCTGGCGAGGAGAAGCACGAAAGATGATTCCCAAACGATCCTGATCATACCGAGGCATCGAGGCATGCATCATTTCTATACTGCAGCAGGCGAGACCAAAGCTTAGTGGCCACATTGATCCATTGCGTGACCACGCAACAATCCGGTCCATCGTTGTTCTTATTTTAAAGCAATCGATCAGCTTGAAACATTCTTGGGAGTTTATGTGGTGGTAACGCACTTACACCACAGAGTCCATTAGCTTGTTCGGCCGGAGTTCGCGTGATACGGCTCGAGTAGTGGTCATACTCTTTGCAAGAGGTTTAGCGTATTGTTTTCGTGTCAGAATGGCACATCGGTTGGACGAGTTTTGGGATATTCCTAGAGCTCGAATCGGTATGCCATATGTAGCAATAGAAGAACGAAGAACTGCATGGCATTAGCTGTAAGTCGATTATGCGGCGAAAGGTCGAGTAGTGATGTATATGCTCACGGGGGTTTGGAAGCAGGGCCATGACAGTATTTCTGAAGCAAAAGCTGCCTCCAGAAAAAAATTGAAGTCAAGGACTTGTAGGAAACAATATAGGTTTATTATTAGACGTGCTTGTACAAGAATGATATATGGTTGGCTGGCTTCTTCGGCGTCGGGAATTATACACATAGTTAGAAAAGTGGAGCAATAAACATTGGCATCGGTATGGGCCTCAGAGTCTTCAGCGTCGGAAAATTCACTCACTCATCTTTGTGCCACTATCAAGCCCCTAACTGGTGCGCCATGTCAACCATAGGCAATTCCCAGTGTGCACTTTGCCATCTTCCATTCGCACAAACACAAGGCAATGGGAATCATGCTGCATGTCCCTTCTGCCAGCGGACCTTTACCAGAGCTGACGGTGCTCGGCGTCATGCCCGAACCTGCCGATCCAGAAAGAATCGCCCTTTACCGCCAGATGCTAAAAGGGGCAGAAAACTGCGTGCGTGCGATGGATGCTCACGGGTAAAAGTCTTGTGTGACGCAAAGACGCCATGTAGTCGCTGCGCCGCACGGAATTTGACTTGTACCTACAAACATCTCTGTACAAATCCCGCGCATCAGCCATCCAGCCCACGACTCAGCGAAACACGCGATGCTCCCAAAAAAGGATGCCTAAATCTGACTGCCCTACTCAAATGGACAGATCCGAAGGTTGTTTCTCTAAGCGACATAGTTGTTGAACAACCAGAAAAAGATACAGTGGAAACTTCACAGCAAGGAGAGACAGGGCCTTATGAAAGATGGAATCTCTCATTTCAACATTTAGTGGGTGATACGATAGATCCGAGGCTCTTGCTATTAGGGCTGATAGACTCGAGTCCTGATCAAATAATGGAATATGGCGGCAACTTCAGCGGTAGTCCACCAGACATGCTTTTCCCTTCACAAGCGTTGGAAGGAATTTCAGGCCATGGTCTCACTGAACGGATGTCTCAACTAGCCGCCGATTTGCGACAATTTACCGTCTTCAAACCACACCTCCATCGCGTCCTCAATATTGCTTCGCTTGATGAATTCTTAACCAGCTCCAATTGCTTAGCACTCATAGCTGCATACTCACGAAGGCAGTACTATCACCAGTGGCCCATCGTCCATTGGCCGACGTTCGACCCAGAGCAAGCAGCCTTGCCTTTACTATTAGCTATAATGCTGACTGGAGATACATATTCTTGTCGCCGAAATGAAACTTCTAACTATGTCTCTCCCACGAGTGCGATACAGAAAATAGCAGACAAGTATATCTTCAGTCAAATAAAGAAGTGCACCAATATGGCAAACCCTACAACCAATCCCCATGAGGTCCTTGAGCTCTGCCAAGCTGCATTTCTTATGAACTGCCTCCATATCAACATGAACGATATCGGTCTGCGCCAACAAGTTATTACAAATCGACATCCATTGCTGATCAGCGCTCTGAGAAGACTTGGCTTGACAGGAACCAAACATGAACTTTCAGGACCCCGCTTGGAATGGCATGCATTTATATACTGCGAAACGTGTATTAGACTGGTGACATGGACCTTTCTTATTGATTCATTATTGACAGTATATTTCAATCACCCTCCTCTCATGTCGCTTGCAGAGATGTCAAGCCCCCTTCCGTGTAATGATGATGTTTGGGATGCAGGCTCTTTGTCCAGCTTCAAGGGGCTAATGGGACGTGGATATTCATCATCATGTATGCTTTCTCTCAAAGCCCTTGTAGAAAAGCTGTTAAGCAAAGATTGGACAAACGCATTTGAAGCAACGTATGATGAGCTTAGCACTCAACATCTCTATATTATCCTTATGGGTGAGTAACATGCAACCCAGTGAGAGAGAAAAGCTGACACTCTGCTTCGAAGCCTTGCAACCAATCGTCTTTAACTATCATGCTTCCCTATTATGCACAGTGGATATATCTGTTGTATCGATTGCGCTGGATAGATGGGAGCCGATTTGGGACCGGGCTATAGACCGTGTTTCGAGTGATCAGCAACAGTGGTTAGGCATTGTAAGGTATAGCCGGGAGATAGCTTGGTTAACAAGGAAGATTATGGAGATTAGTATAAAGAACGAAAGTGAGCAGTCGGATTACTTGCAGAAGATTGCAATTTATAGCCCTGTATCGATTCATCAATTTATTCAACGATGCAGGGATCGAAGTTGAAAATAGAAAGATATATATACCAAGCGCTCTGCCGCAAGCCAACAAGACATACATATTCACCTCAATTGCTTAGCCAACTGACAGTCATATTACAATTCGCTCTGTATTTTCATCTTGCCGTTCTTGATACTACTTATATGGCTTGCCAAGTCATAGATGCTGAGTAAGTCGATAAATATCCTCGTAGCCATCTGATTGTCTCTTATGTAACAAACTATATTCACCATATAATAATACTTAACTTTCTTTCAAAAATGCATAACATTGCGGATTCTATCGAGTAAAGTAATCTCGTCCTCCTAAAATGGAGAATATCCACTCTTTGCCATAGTCACTCCTATCACTGTTGCGTCATCCAAGTCCTCGTCCGGCAGACTAAACAAGCCATTATGAAGCTTCTCTTGGTAGATTGCAGGAGAATCAGGAGAAAAGATGCGTGAATAATAGGCCTTGGCTAGGCCCTTTGAATCACCTGCAGCAAACGCAGCCTTGCCGTCCTTAATACGCTTGGCTGTACCCTCATACCGGATATTCCAATCTGCATCGGATGTGCCTGTAACCCGTTCGACGCTGTCTAGCATTTCGCGTTGATTGATCATAAAACTCGACACGTAGATAGGCTTGTTCTGGAATTGCTGCAGTGTCGGGATTGAGTCATCGTCACCATCTGGGCTCTTCTTCAGTCTCAGAAACGATGCGACAGCGCGTCCACACTGTGCCCATGTAGTGGTGTTGATCCGGATCTGTCCATCATCAAACATTGTGACTTCTCTCTTGTTGATGTCGAAACCAAACCAGTCGGGCGGGCATGCCAAACTAAATTCGTACCACAAACCCGTCACCAAGACAGTCCATGTCAAGCCAAGGCGCTCAATCTCGGACAAGAGCGGCCTAAAAGCTGGTCCCATTCCAGTCTCATCACCGATGGCTTTATTGTTCAGTACAACATCGGCGGTATAGATGTTGGGCATGAGATGCGGTATTTTTGCCTTTGCTGCGGCCTGCACAATCTTGTTGTGAGTTTCAGTCCCAGCCGAATAAGCCAAAGTAATGATGAGAAACTCATGGCCCTCTAGCGCGGAAACAATCGACTCTTCATCATCATAGTCCACAAAAGCGACTTTGACGCCTTCCGGAAACTTGGAAGAGCCTCCCTTACGGGTAAGTGCTGTGATGGTATGTTTACCACTCTTAAGAATTTCCTGAGTGATGTGCCGCCCAAGTTGCCCGGCTGCCTGCTGGTGGTTAATAGATGGCCATTCACATTCTATGACTGATTTGAACGCACCCCTATAATTGCTACTCGCTCAACGTACGCCGTTAAGCTGGAGGATTCAGCCGTTGTTTGCTCAACCATGATGTATATCTGTTCGAATCGTTGCAAGTAGCAGAATTAGAGGGCTATTGAGAAATCTAGTAGTCAATGCGTATTATCAAGACTCATAATATGACAGCGGTAGATGGGCTATATATACATCATAACGAACCTATAACCTTACCAATTTGCTTTGTTTCCAAGCATTATGAACAGGCGCCGTCAATGTGGTTAGTCAGACTGGACTCCGGATCTCCGAGTTGACAAACATCAGCCCCGCGCCCGCTTCACCGGACTCCGTGTAAGGTCGCTGACAATTAATGCCCCTTTCTCTTTACTAACACAAGAGCTAATGAAAATTTTGTACGGCAAATGAAGAGCACAAAATGCTAAATAAGCGGACTCCGTCGGGGTTTGAGGCACGCAATGATTGTTGGCATACACCACACCACGTATAAGGTAGTTGTAATACTGATGCGAGTAGTAGCATGGCTGTGTATAAATACCCCTCGGATTTTCTAACAATACCTTTGAAGCTATGGCATGAACATAATACTCTCCCCATTATCTCTCTATGTCCTTCATATATTGGTTCTGACCTATTGATAACGGCACCTACTAGGCTATGGATAATACTGACGACTTCGCTATCCCAAAATGGGTTTCCTTCACCAAAGAGTGGCATACAAAACCATATCCGGATATTTCCCCCAGTCGTAGTGATCTGTCGGCTACGGGGAAGAACGTGGTTATTACTGGAGGAGGTACAGGCATTGGAAGGGCTGTTGCTATCGCGTTTGCAAAGGCAGGAGCGAGCAGTGTCTCTATCCTTGGAAGGCGGCTGGATAGACTGGAAAGCAGTGTCATTGCGATTTCGGCTGCAGCGCAGTCTCACACCCAAGTGCTTTACAGAATAGCAGATCTTACCGACCGTACGCAGGTCGAAGGCGCACTTGCGAGCATTACGAGCGCAGTTGGCAAAGTGGACATATTTGTTAACAACGCAGGCGCACTCCCGCCCATGAAGCCAGTCGCAAAATACGATACGGCAACATTTATGCGAGCCTTTAACATGAATGTGCTTACATCGCTCAATGCCATTCACGCATTCATTCCTCTTGCCGGGACTGATCCAATACTGCTCAATATATCAAGCAACCTTGCCCACATACAGCCGATGCCCAGTATGTCGGCGTATGCGGCAAGCAAGGGGGCACAGCTAAAAATGGTGGAGCATTTTGCGGCAGAGAACCCAGAGCTGCATGTCGTCAGTATTCAGCCCGGGGTGATTGCGACGGAAATTGCCGGGCCTGACTCCAATGTACAAGGCCAAGACGAAGGTAAGCAGCAGACGAAAATCCTCGACTTCCAGTATATAAAGCTAACGGTTTCATGAGTAGTGGAGTTACCGGGGCATTTTTGCGTTTGGTTGGCCTCAGCTGAGGCAAAGTTTTTGAAAGGAAAGTTTGTATGGGCCAATTGGGATGTTTCCGAGCTCCTGCGACGAAGCGAGGAGATTCGCGACTCGCGGTTGCTCACAGTTGGTCTGGCTGGAGTCGCCATGTAAGGAGGCTGATATTAGGCTCCACAGTACATCGCAGATGATGCGTAGCCCACGGAGCTTATGTAACGCTGGTCTGCCGGAACTCCGTTCGGAGTTCTTATGACATAACGAAGTCCGCACGGACTCCGCCAAGTTTCGTGGATAGGAGATCTTCAGGATTTGAATACATTGGCTTTTTTTTCTTTTTCCAGGTATTCCATAGTTTACTGGAAGCAGTGCCGAAACCGCCTTTCTGGACAAAGCTACACTTTCCCATTTTAACAACTTTCTCAAGGCTGCCAAACCACCAACTACGGCATCCGTAGCTGTTCCCGCGCCTGAGAACCGACATGGGTGAGGCGAGAGTCCAAAAGAGCCTTGGTAGAAGAAAGGTAAAGCCGATAAAGCTGATGATTTGAGTCGAAGAATTTCTTATAATTATCTTAGGCGTGCGACGTATGTTGTCGTCGGAAAATCCGATGTGATGCCAATGTTCCCAAATGCTCCGCCTGCGTCTTACACGGCACATCCTGCACATGGACTCCAGGACTTCATGTAAAAGGACCCGTCAGGAAAATTCAGGATGTGTAGGTACTTTTTTTTAAAATCGAATCCGCTTAGCGACACTGACGTGGGCTAGTATGGGCTCACAAAATCGGCGCTTCGCTGATATTGAAAGTCGTTTGGCGGCTGTTGAACGCTCCCTTCGCAACAATTCAGTGTCTCAAAACACGTTGATGGAAGAGCCCAGTTCACCAGCACCTACCGTCACGAGTGATTGGGCAGGACTCGCAGGAACGATGTCGCCAATCGACAACAGCGACCATTTCGCTTTGCCATCACTAGACCAAGTGTCTGCGTTGGTAAACAAGTACTTTTCCGACTACAATCAGGCCATGCCTCTCTTCTATCAACCACAATTTATGCGAATGTTGGATAAGTGGTTTCGATGTCCCCATGAGCGACACGAAGCGTCATGGGCATCAATAAACGTTGTCCTCGCTTTGGCTCTGCAACACGCGCCATCTGCTGCAACAGCCAGCGAAGACCAGGTGTCTTCGGAATGCATTAAGAACGCCCAATCAGTACTGAATCATCTCGTCATTCGAGACGAAGATTTACAAGGACTACAAGTCGTCTTGGCACTTGTGATTCTTTTCCTCGGAACCACGCGGCCGCAACCCTCATGTGTCCTGATCGGGACGGCCGTTAAACTGGCGCATCGACTTAAACTCCATCTCCAGGACGGGCTCAATGACACCAACACCGAACTGGCGGCTCAGAAGGAAAGATTACTATGGATTACATACATCCTAGATAGAGATATATCCATGCGAACGGTGGAACCCTACGGACTCCAAGACCACGACATGGAGATTGACACTATTTCAGCAACCTTGAAAGGCGATTCTGCTGGTATTTTGTCTCTCCCGGACGATCCATCTCGGACTGTAAACATATTCCATCTCCGAATTCAGCTGGCCCGTATTCAGGGGCAGATGTATGACCTAACATACTCTGTACGTGCGCGGAGATTTTCTGGACACCAACAAGACGCCGCTCTGGAAAAGCTGACACACTTGCTTGAAAGTTGGCGCAAGACTGTCCCTGAAGGCTTTCGCGTTGAAGACCTCTCTACTTGTGCGTCGGATAATATTCTGAGCCAACTATTGCCCCTACATCTTGCGTATTTTCTATGCTTATTTACTGCAAATCGTCTACAGAGTCGCAATTCAAGTTGGATAGAGCGCTTAGTGGCTTTCTGTGACGGGATCCTGCATAGCAACGCTATAGATCTTCCATCTGTGTCTCCGTCACCAGCAAAGTCGAAATTGAAGCTGCTGCCGACCAACTGGCCCAGCATAGTTCAGGCCGCAAGATCATGCTTGGAACTTTACCAATTCGTCAGCCGCAGCCGGTTATGTACACTGCCGTAAGTCGTCCAAGTGTAAATAGCGTATGCTTGTAATATAAATAGTACGACTGACACAGCATGTTTAGTAGCATTGTTTGCAGTTACCAAGCTGCACTTGTAATTCTTATCGCAAACAACCTGACCGTGGGAGAGCACCTTCTCGATGATCATATCGAAGATGACTCGCAGCTCATAGAAGAAGCATTGATAGTATTCGAGAAACAGGCTGTGGAAACCAGTGATGATTTTAAGCAAGCTCACGTTCTGTCGACGTGCCGGAGATTGAAGGACGGGTCAAGATTAGCAATATCGAGGTTTCGCCAGGAACAATCCTCAGTGCCATTTGCAAAAGGTTTATATAGTCTTGGGAATATGGTAGACTAAAAGCCTTTAATGCTGCAGCCTATTATGAAAGAGCTTCACTCTCTCATCTGAGTAGCTGAAGGGTTGACACACTCTCAAGAGGCCGGCTTTTCTTTCATTGTCTTTGTGCTCTTGCTCGTAGATACTTATGTTGAGATTAGGCCTTTAAAGCGAGACAGTATACAGATGCGCTAAAACTTCCCTTGTCTCGTTAGCTTGAAGCTCGGAAAACCGAATATGTATAGCGTTTGCTATGTTTTAAGCTCGGCAGCTGCTGCGAGAGTGTAACCTTGAGCCCTCTTAGGCAGCAGGAAGATCTTGAAGATTGTGCAAAACGTAGCTAGGTTGACTCCTATTGCTCAAGCTATGGCCTAGCATGTGTTGTATCTATGAACATTGGCAAAAGTTTGCTTTGAAAGCCTGTCATCATTGCTATAATAATTGACTTATACTAAATACTAATCGTAGAGGGATTGTAATTAGAAAAGTCCCCAGTATCCTTTCAGCATCCGCAACAAACTTCTGCCCAAACTCCATTGGTTAAATGCTTACACGCTCCAACAGTACCAAGATCCCAAGCATTACATCGAGAGTTTTTACACCATTTGACGACTGTTTCGGTATCAATACACTACATTCCCTTTACATCAATGATCTTCATTGAAGATGAGCCTACCGATCCACGATCAAATCCATTAGTTTACACCTGCAGGGGCTGGTCAGAAATTAACAGGCATCATACCCAACAACCTGGTTCAGGTACAGTCTCTCGTTGTCAACTTCGAGTTGGCAACCATTATTAAAAAAAAAAAAAAAAGGAACATCTTGAGCTGCTGAAAGATGCATTAGGGCGGCCAGGCTGGCGCATAACGCATAACTCGCGGAGAATCGCATGACTATAACGCACTAGAATATAACAAATTGTCTGGAAAAGCCTGCCGTGGAAATTTATCGATGCCCGAAAATAGTTTCTAAATAGCAAGTGGAGGCTTTTCCTCCAACCGATTTGGAATCATGCAGCCCAGCAGCGCCTATCGTCACAGGGCCAAACCAGCCTTCCTCGATTTTGACTACCTCATAGTCATCTGAGTATCCGTGCCATATACAGAAGAAAGACGAAACTTGGATGAATGGGTAATTATTTCGGTGGTTTAGCAAGCTCATATGCATCGTATCCGTCTATCCCCCACTGCAGAGATGCTGCACGCAGTAGGTACCGATTACCCATTCGTCAAAATGCGGGTCAGCCTTATATATAACAAGTTATATCCCGCCGAGGGTTGGGGACATCGGCCCACCCGTAAGTTCCCCGTAGCAAAAACTATACAAATGTCTCCTTGAGGAATTCTAGGCTAGTGACCTCTCGCAGCTCAGGTTTACTTGCTGACAGCAGAATAGGCTCTAATTCAGGCTGCTACACAGAGCTTCCGAAGTGTTAAGCGCCCGCACCGCATGGTAGTGATTTGGAATCACTTCAGCTGGAAACAGAAAACGCATTGCCTATTTTCACGAGTTCGCTAACATCGGATTCATCTTCTTCATTTCATTTCATTTCACTTCATTTCACCAAACAAAAGAAATGCTATACCACCTGTAAGAACTCCAAGTTGGGTTGTCCAGTGTTACATATGTTAGTACCAAAGGAATGTTACACGATCATATGGTCTTGTTGCTTCTAGCAACGAGCGAAGATGTTGCTGTTCACTATTTTCGTTCATAACAATCTAATCGACTTCATAACTAACCCAAGTTATCAAATAAAGTATCCCAAAATCACCACCAGTAAATCTCAATGTCTTTTTAGATTATGACGCTAACAAATGTTGTCATTTTGGCGGCACGCAAAACAATTCTAACCAGTAACTGAGCTGGGCAATCGGCGCTAACCTGCAACGCCTAATAGAACCCTTCTACAGGCTCTTGGTAATTTTTTTGGTATGATACAATATCTGCGAGGTTAGAATAAAACTATATTACATGAAGATAAAGCAATATGTCAAGAATCCGAACGAGAATCTTTTCCGAAGAGTTGTACAGTTGGATGGCAGTTGGACCAGTCAAACATAACAATATGGATCCTTTGAGTGGGATGTAACCCGCTGATTCGATATGACAATTACAATCCGAAACACCGTGTCGTTCTGTATATAAAGCGCGAACTTCTCTCTCTCTCGTGATAAGCCAAAGGGCATCTATTCGGAACACGGTATGTCAAATTTTGACTACTTCTGCCCGCTCTTGTAATCTCAAGGCTTAATGCACTGCATACTCCGGTTTGGCGGTCTTATAGAAGACCCCGCTAGGGACCACCGGTAGCTTACAAGTAGTACCTATCAAGTTCCTTGCACATTCAGGATCCATTCGGCCACCAAAATTCCCTTCCCTAACAAGTCTTGACACTTTTATTGAGGGTGTTGGTTAATGCTGTACAATGTACTCACCAGCTGGCAGCTCGATGAAGTAATTAAATTCTTCCAGGCAGTGCTTTGGCATTTGTAAGAATATGCCCTGTTGGTGTGAACATCGTCAAGCAGACCACCCTTGCGTCTCCATTCATGAAGTAGCATCTTCTTCTTCAGCGGAAATGGGTGGAGCCGGGCAGGCGTGGCTTCTTAGCTTGCGGAGAACTGTGGAGCTACGACGGTAGTGCATTTGGTGGGGTTGATGCTTACCGCGCCCAAAAATATCAGGCCGAAGCATCGCATGAAGCTGCCTAGTTTGTAGCGACATGTTTCGTCCTGCGTATTCGATTTCATCAGAACCAAATATGTAGGATTTCAACTTCACAATAATTACAGGCGGCCGCTATACTACCTATGTATGTAATGCACACAGTGAATAATTAGTGTAGCTGTTAATGGTAGGTGGGAAAAGCAGAGAAGTGTTAATTCACAAGTGAGATATATATATGTTACCCGGAGCCAGGTTAAACTAGAGTCATTGTGCGAGAATTCCAAGTTTTCGAAGATATGGTAGGCATTCTTGCTTATACCTACCGCAGAACCCCGATCAGTCCGAATCATCATTCGGAGTTCAATTTGTCCTTTATTTAATATCGTGTGTAAAGTGTGTATGATGTAATCCATGATTAGCTATCCACACTGTTTTTGAAATCGATTAAAATACTTGATATTTCAATGATCAATACTGGCGCTTTCTCTGATAATGGACCTCTCGTTGAGTAGGATTTGAAGATTTGATGGAGTGGGCTTGAAGCTAATCCTTGGCATAACAACTATGACACAACACTTTCCCCTGATCAAGCCTAAGGAGATGATTGTCGTTTTCCATCCCTTAATGTGACCAACCGGGAGGCTCAATTACGATATCTCTTGGTGGATACCGCGGGATATAATGACACTAAGATAGGACAAACGCGTATCTTCGCGAGTATTCGCTTTGAACACCCCTGTGCTACATTCCTCAAGATGTATCTTTGTGCTCCAGCTAGATTGCCTGATATTCCAGTGTCTTCCGCCGGAATATCTGACAGGATTGTTACCAGGTGCATCTTAATATCTAGGGAAAAACGTTTCCGTGGCGGCAGATTGATCTGGGCATTGTAGACTACAGGCCAATAAGAACCCAAAAAGGAAGTCTTGGAGCATGATCTGTTTCTTATTCTTATAGACATATTCTAAGAAGAGATTCTAGACCTTGTAAATCAGACGGGCAGTGTGAGAAATTATCTGTAGAATTGTAAGTTTTGCATCTCGAGGTCAGTAGGCATATGGATTACTCAGACACACCAGGTCAGAATCCACCCGCCCTATTTCGCAGCTGCCTAGAATCTTCTATACTTAGCGTCTTTATATGTAACCGAACTTCAGTGTTATTGCAGGAATTGTGCGCGTGTGCTTGCCAAATGGGCTCTTCCGATACGAATACGAGATTGTAGGCACAATGAGCTTTGCCCTTGCTCGTACTCGCATGATGAATTCACCGCCTTGCAAGAACAACTGGCCGTTCCCGTAACAGATGGCACTGTTAGACAAAACAATTAGAAACAGTTATAAGTTCGAAGGATTCCAACTGTGAAAATCTAACTTACGATACCAGCACGTCTGCATTTACCTCTGTCTACTTAACGGTTCGCTTGTTGAGGTCATGGGGTGGCTGCTAAGCTTCGTTGTCTGGCTTCTCGAAGCTTTGGGGGCTATCGTTGCCATTAATCTGCTCCGACAGGCACTTCCACGAAACAAGCAAGAGCCGCCTACTGTGTTCCACCTGTTTCCATTTATAGGAAATGCTGTGTCGTACGGTATAAACCCTCCTAAATTCTTCGAAAAATGCCAAGCCAAGGTAAGCCAGATCCGCTATTTACAAAACCCTCACACTTTCGTCATAAGGTAGACATACTAAGATATTAAAAGCATGGAGATATTTTCACGTTTGTTCTTCTTGGCAAGAAGATCACATGCTATTTTGGCATCGACGGCAACGATTTTATTCTGAATGGCAGCCACGATGACCTGAACGCCGAGGAGATCTACTCCCCTTTAACAACGCCAGTCTTCGGTTCCGATGTCGTATACGATTGCCCCAACTCAAAACTCATGGAACAGAAAAAGTTTGTCAAATTTGGTTTGACGCAGCGAGCCCTTGAGTGCCACGTTCCGCTCATTGAGCAAGAAGTTGTCAATTATATTGGCAGCGAGATTTCGTTTTTGGGAAAGTCTGGCAAAATGGATGTCTCCAAATCAATGGCCGAGATTACCATTTTCACTGCTGCTCGAGCCCTTCAAGGGTATGAGGTACGTGAGAAATTGACGGCCGAGTTCGCGACTTTATACCATGATCTCGACATGGGCTTCCAGCCGATTAACTTCTTAATGCCGTGGGCACCACTGCCACATAACCGCAAGAGGGACGCTGCGCATTCCAAGATGAGGGCCATATACATGAATATCATAGAGAATCGCCGAAAAATCGGACTTAAAGATGGATCAGACATGATATGGAGCCTGATGAACTGCAATTACAAAAATGGCTCGCCAGTCCCAGATAAGGAGATAGCACATATCATGATCACGCTGCTTATGGCTGGACAGCATACCTCGTCCTCGGCCAGTTCATGGATAATACTTCATCTCGCATCGCGCCCGGATATCACAGAGCAACTATACCAAGAACAAGTTCAAAATCTCGGTCATAATGGCAGACTCTCGCCGCTACAATACGCCGATCTGAGTAAGCTTCCCTTGCTGCACAACGTGGTGAAGGAAACGTTGCGAGTACACTCTTCAATTCATTCAGTCATGCGCAAAGTCAAACGACCAATCGAGGTTCCGGGGACTCCCTATGTCATTACACCGGACAAGGTCCTCCTTTCATCGCCTCTGGTAACCGCGCTGAGCAATGAGTTTTTCCCCAATGCCCAAAAATGGGATCCACACCGATGGAAAAGTCTAGAAAGGGAGACCGATACTTCAGACGAATCTATATTTAGGGGAGCTAGAAGTCCATACTTGCCATTCGGCGCTGGTCGACATCGCTGCATCGGCGAAAAGTTTGCTTATCTGAACCTCAGCGTCATTGTGGCCACCATGGTGCGTAACTTTCGGTTCTTCCTACCAAATGAGGACAAGAATCTCCCCCAGACAGACTATTCGTCTCTATTCTCTCGACCAAAGCAGCCAGCTATGATTGGCTGGGAACGCCGACATCAGGATGATAACGGGTTGCCCTGAGATAAAGCCTTACAGGAATGGCTATCATTTATAGATTTAGTAGTTTTAGCTTTCAAACAGTAATTTTAACATCTTTGTTAGCAAATACGTGCATCTGAGCGTACTTACGGCGTTGTCCCTTGCCTGACCTACTCTCTAAGAGAAAGGCGACTCCTTGCTTGTATCCAAATCAGACGTCTCAAGTTCTGTCTTTTGCTCTAATTTGTCTTTACGTGGCCGGATCTCGGACGCTGTAGAACATTGTTGGGTTCCTCATGCTACCTAGTTCTCTGACTTATGTCCTGTCTTGGACATAACAGCAACACTATATTCTGATACGGTTGGTTTAGCTTAACAAGCACGTCGCGACTTGTAGAATCTGCGTCAGGCGTAGATTTCATTGGAAACGACTACGACAGTCTCCTTAGGCTTGACAGCTACTTCGAGTGAGCCTAGTCGCAGGCTATCATCGCTTAAGAAAATTGGAAATTACAGTCTGTTCAACGATAGCAGGCGGCGAGTCCCAGCCAACGTTGCTCTAAAGCAACAGCCGCCCTGCGGTCAGGCACCACTTCGCTGACCAGGCCGCTAAAGGCGCACAGCTCACAAGCCCTGCTGTCTGATGTGTCCGGTGTGCCGCAGATGTGTAATCCAAAACCGCTAGCAAACAGGGACTTGGAAATAGTTCGTTGCGGTCGGACGCCGCCGGAGTCTCATATAATACAATTACACAGCGAGAATAGCATTGTGGCTGAAGCAAAACTATCTTTGAGCTTAGGCGCGGACGTTTATGGAGCAGTATGCCTTGGTTGTTCCGCACGGCATCGCAGTTTTGGGTCGTTCAATCGATTTGTATTAACGGGCGTAGCGGAATTGAGTGGATCGCAAGTCGAATGAAGATTAAATGCGACCATCCATTGTTTTGGTAAATGATCGCAATCAATGTCACTATTCATTTTGTGATATACAGACTTTTTTACCCGTCTCTACATATATTAAGACGTATGGACCACGTCCAATAGCTTTGGCGTCTTCGTATCAACACCACCAAAATCAGCATTATGACTAAACAAATCACAATCATCGGCGCAACAGGTATTCAAGGGGGGTCTGTCATCAGAGCGTTATTGAAAGACAGCGCCTACTCGCTGACAGCCATCACTCGAAACAAATCAAGCGACACAGCAAAGAATCTTGCTTCAGATGGCGTTCGCATTGTTGAGGCTGATCTCGATGATATCGCCTCTCTCCAAGTAGCATTTGCTGGATCATCTATCATTTTTGCCGCCACCAACTTCTTTGAAGCTTTTGTCAAGTACGGTAGCGAAGAGGCCATTGACATCGAGACAAGGCAAGGCATCAATATTGCCAAAGCTGCAGCTGCAACACCAACGCTTGAGCACTTTGTTTGGTCGACTCTTCCCAATACCTCCCGCATCAGCGATGGACGGTTCGCTATCCCTCATTATGTGAGCAAAAACAGGGTCAACGACTTTATCAAGGCGGATTCAACGCTCCTCCAAAAGACGACATTTCTCTGGGTCGGCACTTACGCGTCGAATATGAACTATCCCTTCTATCAACCGTTTCCGATTCCAACGGCCGGGAAGAATCAATACATCCAGGTTCAGCCGACCCCAGCATCTGTGCAATTTTCCATGGTTGGGGATGCCGCGATAAACGTTGGACTCTTCGTACGCGCAATTATTAAGCAACCTAACAAGACACTTGGCGGCAAATTTGTCAATGGCGTCACCGACATTATGACGGCTGGAGAATTGCTTGCGACTTGGGCATCGGTGCGTGGCGTTGAGGCAGAGTACGTGCAGATAGACAAAGCGACATATTACAGTCTATGGCCGCAGTGGGGTCAAGCGATGGACAAGATGCATGAGTACTTGGAATGGGCTAAGGATCGCAGCTTCTCGGGTGAAGACGTTATCCTCTCTACGGAGGACCTCGGCATCATCGGATTAAGCGACACGCGGACTGCGTTTGCTAAGATGAACTGACTAGGTGGCTACTAAAGGGCAACTTCAGAAGGATAGAGTCATAACACAGAGGACAGAGCACCCAGTCACAGGCACTAGTAGCAGTGCCTAAATAGACAGAATTTGGTGCCCTGCACTGATAAAAGACATGGCAGCTGGTCTGCATTCACGTAATGGCACTATAGAGTACGAGGCACTCGTATTCGTACGCCAACGGTAGGCTGTAGCGAAAGTCTGTTCGGGGATTGGTTGGGGACGGTAAGGACGATTGGGTTGCAATTGATCAGCTAGGGGGAACCACTAAGACTTTATTAGTAATGCAGAGCCGTTAAAATCGACCTTTGGTCGCTACAATACCCCCATTAACTCCGAGATATGTTTGGACTGCTGAAATAATTTCGCTATTGATGAAAACACGATTCATAACCGCACAATGTCTCTCAGGAAAAAAGCATGTGCCGCTTGTGTCACTTCAAAACGAAAATGCGATCAGTCGCAGCCAGCATGCCATCGATGCGCCAGGCTACGTCTCACTTGTCAATACCCACCTACGTCTACGGGAGTCAGTCTTGAGCCGCGTATAGATTTCTTGGACGGTTCAGCCTTGCCCTGTGACGAAACGCCAGTCTCCCACTTCACCTTCGACAATTTGGCGTGGGGTAGCTCCTGGAACCAACAAAGTCTTGGATTGGACTTCACAATCGCGCCGCATACACTAACACTACCTATGTCACATCTGAACATGGGAGGTTTGAAAGATCTTGGGGAAACAACGTTGCAAAGCAGTACTATACCCAACCAGTATCAGCCTGCCTGCGAAGAGGATGCCAGAGCCGAACATGTTCCCACTTCTCAGGACAGTCAGCCAGCAGTATCAAGTTGCCACGGTACATCTAAAGGGGGCAATTTTTGTCCATCTTTCTGCCAACGCACAGGACTGCAGCGAAATCAGTTGGTACTGGCTGACTTTGGCTTTGTGCCTATGTTGCATGATGCAAACAGATGGACATTCTGCGCCGGCAAAATGGTGTCCTACATTGCCGCATTTGCCAAGACGGCATCCACTGACTTCATCGCGCCGTACAACCTACAGTCCCCTCTAACTGCTGCACTAGGAGTATGCGCCGCTCATGAGACTCTGACTGGGCCAAGTCGTGTGGTTCTTGATAACCTTATTGAAGCTGAGATAGAGAATCTGATTTGGCATGTACCACAGCGAACAACACTATCGGTAACTGATCTACCAACCTCCGGAGATATCAATAATTTTACTCCGGTAGATGACCTGCAGCTTTTCAGAGAAGAACTTGCTCGGGTGCAGGCTATGACGCTGTATCATATCATAAGATCGTTTGGCAGTGATGCCGCACAAAGACGTGAAGCGGCACGAAATGAGCCATTGCTCGCAGCTTGGACTACATCGCTGCAAGGGCGAATACATAAACTCTACTGTACAATGGATCAGAATATACGAAATCACGCAGTCTCGAGCTTTTCACCGTTTTTAAGACCTGACCAGAACACATGGGTACCTACAAACGGGCAGTATAGCCAATTTGATGATCGCAGCTTTGATTCGGGTCCACTCAGAGAAGATGAACTTGAAATCGCGCATCGTACTATTCTTATATCTTACTTCGTGCGAGCTACCCATATGGTAGTTACGTTTGGGATTTGCCCTCTAATATCGGAGCTCGAGTCTTTGATGGTGTCTGTACCTGCGAGCGTGAGAGGGCGGAAACCCAGCTTAGGAAGCGGCAATCTGTTTCCATCTTGCATCTTCTCATCCTTGGGCCTCCAAGAGTCTGATGCTTCAAGACTCTCATACAAAGACCTTCTTGGGCTATGGGAGCAGGGCTACATGACTTCTTCGGATTTGAAAGATGATTATACCCAGCTGCTACTGGTTGCTTGTAAGGGAGTTGACATCCTTTCGAGCGATGCTGGGGGATTTTAAATCTAATTAAATAATGCTGAAGTTCAGAGCCTGAAAAGTCTTTTCATTTTCTATAACACAGCACCTCGCTAATGCGGGGAGGGGAGGGGGAGGGGGCAACTTGGTGTGCTAGAGAATGGCTCCCATTTGGTTAGGAGCTGTTTCCCTTCACACACCTCGACTAGGGCTGCTTCATAAAATAAAGTGTAAAACAGCGTGACATATGACGGTTTTTGTAGCTTTGAAAAGTATGTAATTCTTTTAAGAAAACAGTCTAGACTTGCTACTATTCCAAACTTAGCCAACTCAGTCTCTTAACAGTAATATTTTGCATAACAATACGCCATATCTTCATAAAGAGCAAAATATGCATCTGAAAGTCAATGGCGATAATGCATACTAAAACGAGGTAAAACACTGCCAGTGTCTACAGCAAGCGTAATAGAAAACTAGATGATTGGTAAGGTCTATATCAGGTTTTCGTGCCCTATCTCAACCTAATTAAGAAACAGAAATCGAGTATTGTGTTGTTGTAAACACAGCATTCGAACCTATTAGATCTGTGAGAGCACTTCCCAGATTATTGTCATCAAAGCTTTACTCACCTATAAATGGTTCTGTGCCTGCCTGAAGACTGGTGACAACCATGTTTGTGCTTACACCCTGACTGGACGTCAGATAGTTTAAAAAAAGTTTCAGGTCGCCATTCCAACTGTTAATGTTGCTAGGTGCCACAAACGAGAAGACCGTAGTGCTACCGTTGGGGCCTTTAAACAGCTGCCACGAAACACCGTTGATTGTAGGCGTAGCAACTGGTGTACTTCCTGTGCTGGAGATAGGGCCTGCACCACCGTATTTGCCCAACCAGATCATTATCTCATATTGATTGGCGGAGGATGCAGATGGTGCAAGCCATAGATCGTAGGACACATCAGCTATAAGCTGGGATCCGCTGTATCTGCGATAGCCCTTAGTTAAAAATGTTTTAAGCTCCAATGTCCTATATACTTACTGCCAACTCCACGCTGATGGGATGGATTTTATCCCAGATAGTGCTTTGTTAACCTTTTCCAGCGCAACGTTGGAGTACGATTTCACGTTTGAGCTTCCGCCCGCCCAAGTCCATGAGGTTGACCACGAGACTGAATTACCTTGGAATGAGTTGAAAGTTGTGCACTGTTGCCCAGATGTGGCGGTTGCAGCTCCCCAGTTGTTGTGATATATGGTATATGGACCTGCCTGTTGACTTCCAAAACTTCCGCACCAAGTGGTTGCCCGTGATTCAATTGAAGATATAGGACTGGCTCCAGAAGAGGCAATAAGCCACCCACATATTAGGTACGAGCTGAACTTCATGCTTATGTTGAAATTTAGAGTGAGGGTCAGTAACACGAAGATTATGTATCGCATCGGAACATGCAGATTCAGAGGTTTTGGAGCGCTTTGTGACATATAAGTAGTTTTTGATTGCTCAGAAGTCCCGCACAGTTGGTCAACAGTTATGAAGGGTCGCACCTCCGAAGACGATTTTATGCGCCGCATGCAAAAGGGTAACACGGATGATCTACATCCGTGTTGGATAATACTGTAACCATTTTAGGCGTTCCGGGCATCGCAGTCTTCTTGTTTTTACAAGTTGCGCACCAATAGCTTCAAAACGGTTAATTGCCAGACTGTGTTCCAGGAGAGTCTTATTTTCACCTTCCGTCCGCGGTTAGATAGACAAGTGTTTATCCCGGCAGATTCTTAGTTCTTGGTACTTCATAGCCCAAGTACAATTCGGTTCGTTGTTAGTGCAATTATTCTTAAAAATTGCTTGCAATTTACATCACAACAGTCATCCACAGACAAGAATGTTTAGCTACATCATAGCAAAATACACGTCATTCCGAGAGCGGAATCTGTATAGCTACATCTGAAATTATTTCGGCTTATTACTCAATGGACGTTTTATACCGTTTAACCGGAAAGCAAGCTTGATATGTTGCATAACCCTGAAGCCTCTTCCTCGCGCTCTCTCGATATAAGTCATATCCCGTAGCAGTACGTTCGTTTTGGAGAGTTTCACTTTCTCTCTTCATGTGCCCCCTATTTTTTATATTTGATAAGAAATAATTCTTACTGAACCGATTTCTGCAGCTTCCTTGTTCTGTGTTAAGGGAGCCCTCTAACATTGCCTACAAGAGTGTTATCCAAATTTTAATGTAGCTATCAATATTTTTCCATGTGAATATTAAGAACCTGCCAGCTTTATCTAATAGCCTACAATATGTTGTTATATCAAAAACTTCTATGTGTTTGCCATAAAGTGAAAACTTTTGCGTATCTCTGAACAGAGATACCATTCCTGAGAATAAGGTGTGTATAATGCTAAGTGCTTAGACACTGGTTAAGTACTTGTAATAAAAGCTTGGTCAAGTTCGTGATGTCAAGACTTGAATTAGTATTATACAATCAATAATTAAGGGAAAATGCCAAAAGCAGTAAAGCTAGCACAGCCATGTCTTTTTTTTAAATATATTTACACGTTAAGCTGCGCTCTTTGTAGCCGAGGAAATAACTAGCCCGAATCGCACCACCCTTTGAAAAAGCCCTTTACCCAGTCATTAGAATATCAACAGGTCCTATAAGCCAGCTCAGGAGCCCCAGCCATAAAAGCAGATTCTATGGAGATAAACTGCTAGTTGCGATCATGACATGGAATAAGACTTGGCAATCCATGAATCGCAATTCTTTGGTATCGCGAGTCTTGAAGGAAATTGGCTAAATGATGGATCGGGTATTAATGCAACTAAAAAAGCCTCGCAGCTCCACTAGATTTCCAGTCTCAGCTACAGACAGACGGACAAGGGAGTTGATAGGTGCGGCAAAGCTAATCGGCGATCGGATGATTGAATACCTCGTAGAACGGGTGAATTTGCACCGAGGAGTTTCACTTAAAAACAGTGTGCTACGGGTATATGCCAGGGGTGTCAAAATTCTCTATTTATACTTGCAACTATCTCCCGAGTTAAAGAGTAAGCTGTCATTTAGTACCGGTTATACCCGGCATGAAAATGGCATTAACGCATTTGAGACATACTTATAAAAAGCTACGGATTGTATAGGGACGGAAGGTGATAATCGGTGCAAACATAGTCCTGCTGCTTGGAGTATCTTTAGTAATAAACTCTTTATCGACTTTCTAATCCAATTCCAAGAGCTTCGCTGGTTAAAGAGGCTTGCTGCGTTGCCCAGAGAACTCTGACCGCCCTTCATCCGAATGGTATGCATTTCACATGCTGTAATATTCTAATGGCCAGCGCAGGATTATTACAATACTTTTTAGCAGCAGGAGCCTCAAAAGGCTCGTATTGGGCTTCATCATCCTCATTTGAGGCATGTGTGCTTATTTATTCTCTTCACAGTCAGTTTACTCAAACATAATTATGAAAACTAGAATAGTATGAACGCACAAAAAGGCTGGACACGTGCTTTTGTCTTATAGCAGCGACCAATCCAATCTACTTAGAGTCAGATTATTTGGAAGCTATAGAAGAAGCCAAATATTAGTTAGCGTAGTCCAGAAAGAAGCTTTGTTGCTTGAATCGTTATACCGCTGCAAAAGGACAACCATGTACCCTCTGAACATGGGTCAACTGTTATGACTGAAGGATTACTGCCGGGCCCTAGACAAGCACCATATAACCCTAGGAGGCGCAGAAGACAACCTTTTTTCGCATGTTTAAGCTTTAGATCCAGAAAGATTTGCTGCGATATGAGAACAATGGCGCTTTTTGCTAATTGTAGGTGGAATGATGATGAATGCGTAGTCAGGAAAACGTCAAAATATTAGTCGGTTATTATCAATTTCCAGCTATAGCTTCGAGAGTACTGCACTACCTTATACAAATGAAATCAAGGATATATATTTCAACAGCTAAGCTACACACAGACTTTTATTTCCCGAAGCATTTGTCGCGGGTTAAAATTTTGTTAGAACATTGGCACTAGCTGCATGCTAGTTGGAATGTCGGAATAGTTGAAGTCTTGGATAGTAGGACTTAAAAGTAGGATATAATTTATCTTGATCTTTGTATGGGAACTAAACGCTGTAAACTAAAGATGCCTACTTAATGACAGCCAGACGCGTGAGAGTCGTGCTATAAATTTGCATGAGGCTTTGATTAATTCAAAAAGCCAGTTATCTCGATATTATCATTAAAATGTCTCTAAGAATTGCTTTGACACCGCTAGACCTTTTTTATGTGCTTACACAGTTGCGTCTTGTGCCTGTCGGTCATGATATGGTAGGCGCTCGATAATGCCTGGAATCCTCCCAAGACAATCGCTACACTGTGTGGCCCAATATCCGCTAGGCTTTTGCAACTTGACAACCTTATGCACACCCCAAATTCCTCCCTCAATATCTGCAAGGCTCTCTCAACACCACTTGGCCATTGATAAAGAGCCCCCGTATGGGGTTCTCCCAGCAAAACACATGTCGGCACCGAGCGCAAGAGCTTTGAAGACATCACTTCCCCGACGGATTCCACCATCAATCCCTATCATTGATGGTTTTCAGGCGACCGTTTTTGCATTGATGTTTCGAGCCGCTGCTGCGCAAGCCGGTAGAGCTTCAAGTGTAGCCGGAGTACTGTCAAGCTGGCGACGCCGTGATTGGAGATGACGATTTCTTTCACCAAGGGATACTGAGCGACTGTAATGACATCCTCAGGTGTATAAATGCCTTTGAGCCAGATCTCCATGTCTAGTAGAGTGATAGAGCTAAGCCAAGGCAAATATTCAGACGCGGAAACGGCAGCGTCCCTGATCGCATTCTTAAAGTTCTTAGGGCCATAAGACACATTGGGAAATATGAGGTGCTCCGAAAGGTCTGTGCCGTTTCGAAGCCTTTAAGATATTGCCCTTAGCAACCATTCGCGCAAATTTTTGATGATGGTTAACTCACTCGTTCAATCGGCGACCAACAGTAGGCGAATCCACCATGATCAGAAGGGCCCTGTAGCCAGCTTTGTGAGCTCGAGCAACAAGTTCCAACGTGTAATCTTTTCAACTTGCACTCGATATTTAGATGGCATAAGGAATCTTACTTTCACCATGATCACAGACGCTAATAACCTCTTCGAGAGGTTTCGTCGCCCAGGCTGACAAACACATGGCTATACCTGCCCTTGCGGCAGCGCGTGAAGTTGCAATTTCGCCATCAGGAATGTGCCAAGCAGTGCATTGCCGCGGGTGAGAAACTGCTCGACGAGATGGTTGACTGACATATAACTTCAGAAAGCTGTCCCACACATGCCCGACGGCAGTCGGATCATCTTTGTCACAACAGGCATCACCACCTTCTCTTCTATCACTCCCAACTACCTCCTTTACGCAACTTGCAAGGGGGCTATTAAGCAAATGACCCGCATGATGGCCAAGGATCTCGTACCAAAAGGTATTCATGTCAACGCCCTTAGCCCAGGACCTACTACTACCGAATTCTTTTTTCAGGACAAAACAGATCAAGTTATTAAGGCCATAAACAAGAGAAATCCTTTCGGCAGACTTGGAGTGGTCGAAGAGATTGCCGACGTTTTCATGTTCCTATGTAGCAAGCAGAGTAGCTGGGTCAATGGGCAGTGCTTACTGGCGAATGGAGGAGCCATGGTCTGAGAACATGAGATGGGCTTCGCTGCGATCCCGTTGCTCTGCAAGCTAGCAGATCAAAGGATTGAACAGAAATGATAGAACTCTCGTCATGGAGAGACTTATTGCGGGCCATTGGCCTTTCTCGCCACCAGTGACTTGCAGTTTGCGGCAGCAAAAACTTTCCATCAGTGTCGCCCTTTGTGCTAGCATACCGAAGTGCCAAACATTAGAGCACTGAGTTGATTTGTCCATGATAAGGGAAGTCAGGGAATCTCGGATAGCATGGGTTATTTATAGGCACCATAACCAATCACAAAGGAATGATCTGTTAGTTCACAAGAAATGCCGATGTTGGTGTTTCTAGGGTATGTACGGTTTGTAGCCACCGCTTCCATGTGATTGGTCGCTGGAACCTGAATTGTATGCTAAACCGAAACACGCTGGGACCTTGGCCTCAGCAAATAACATGAATTACTGTGTGTCGATTTCTAGAGAACTATGCCCAAAGGTAATTTGTCGGCGCGCAGATAGGAAACTAGGTTTTGGCACTATCCAAGAAGTGGCATAAGGAGATTACATAGAACACTGTATTGGTGTGTTATTAGAGTGTTACGTACATGTAGTACCGATGTTATAAAACTTCGATGCCACTGTATTTAGTTCGCAACAGTGAGTTAATAAAGGGGGATTACAAAGAAACAGTTGGGTTTTCAAGCTGTAAAACTTGTAGACAATAATGAACTAGCATTACAAGTATAAAAACACATGTAGATCCAAAGCTGCCTTACCCAGAGCTGTCGATTTACAAACGATTGTACTCGTGCTCTTTAGTGAAGCCTCTATTTTAATTCAACCGTATCCACTAACAGCGTCCGGCTCCAACCTGGCGGGTAGCGGTCACCAATAATCTCAGCTTTAGTAACCGCGGATCTTATCTGCTGTACCTCGGTGTCGGTGAGTTCAATGTCCAGCGCGCCCATATTAGCCTTGAAATTGGCTATCTTTGTTGTACCTGGGATCGGCACTACCATGTCCCATTGCTTCAGCAGCCATGCCAAGACCAATTGACTGGTCGAGCAGCCCTTGCGCTCGGCGAAGGAAGTTAGTTCATCCACTAGTTCCAAGTTCTTCGAAAAGTTCTCCGCAGAGAAGCGAGGTATAGTGCGGCGCCAGTCGTCCTTGTCAAGATCCTCAGGCCCTCGCAGTTGCCCAGTTAGCATACCTCGGCCGAGTGGCGAGTATGCAACGACTCCAATTCCCAGTTCCTTGCAGGTAGACAGTATTCCTGTCTGTTCAGACTCAATCTCAAGACTGAAAGGGCTATATTCGACCTGGACTGCTGTGATAGGGTGAATCGAGTGGGCGCGGCGAAGAGTTGTAGAAGAAACTTCCGACAGGCCCAAGTACTTAATCTTTCCTTGTCTATAAAAGTATACACGTTAATTTCACCATATTACTGACAAAATGTTCTGAAATTGACAATGATAGATGGACTTACTCCTTGAGTTGGACCATGGCCGCTACTGTCTGCTCGATAGGCACTTTGGGGTCGGCTCGATGGACATAGTAGAGGTCAATGTAATCCGTATTCAGTGCCTTTAAACTCTTCTCACAAGCTTCAGGCACATACGCTGGATCAGTTCTAGCAACTCCGTGGCCCATATTTCCGAACTTGGTGGCCAAAACAATATCTTGCCGCTTGTTAGGGTTCGCCTTGAACCACATGCCGAGAAGTTCCTCGCTATCGCCGTATGCATCGGCTGTATCCCAAAATCGCTCTCCAGAGGCATAGAGTTGGTCAAGAAATTGAAGGCGCTCTACCATGGGGGAAGCCTTTCCGTAGAAAGCACTTAAGCCCATGAAACCCATGCCGATGGCTGTGACTTCAGGACCATTCTCACCCAGTACTCGCGTTGGAGGCGCCATTGGTGATTCAGTAGGGCGTAGTTGAATGGTATAATCTGGTAAATTCGTGTGTCTAAGACCACAAGGCTGAAAGCTCTAGTATTTCGTCGAAACTTGCAGTTTTGTTGAAAGTTATAAAAATTACCTGTGAGTCTACTCTAGAGCGAGTGCCAATGCTGTTCAACATAGGTCATTCGGCCGAGCTCTTATAATCCTAGATAAAATTTTATTTCTAGTACTTATGATGACTATCCAGTAAAGCATCTGCTATAACAATGTCCGGCTTATGGTATGCCAACTTGTAGCAGACGTAATTGGTGTTGACATAGACCACCAAACTACTAACGCCGATCGCCACATTCGGCCTGTGCAAGAGGAGATTTCGCTGCAGATGGAGATACGCTTTAAGCGACTAGTGTTTATTCCGATGGTGGCCTTTACTCGTGCGTTTTTCTCCACGGGTCGACCCCATCAATACGGACATAAGAAAGCTGATGTTTTTCCCGATCCAGGGGTTGATTTTGCTTATTCAGCCGCCCGGACAAAGATACCAACAAAATCACCAACTACCGCTTTACCCGATGACTATGCAACTAATCCAAACGTGAACTTGCACTGAAGCCGCAAGATGCTCTTGAATTACCTCTACGCCCATCGAATCATTCTTCCTAACCATCGCACACCAACGGAGATACTGAGGTCCAAGTGGCAGCCATGATTTCAAATGGGCTTCGCGGAGTTAGCGGCCGTCTCTGTCATCATAGGCTTAATTTCAGTGAAAACAATTAATATATGATAGCCTTGAAAAGGCAGCTTGATTCGCCTGTTCTACTACCGCTTCATTCCATATTAATTGTACAAACAGACACATAATAACAATAGAGGTATTTTCTCTCGAATTTAAACAACGTCAGATCTTGTTTGGTTTATCACAGGGGCCAGCAGCGGCTTTGGCAAGTACATCGCAACGGAGGCTTTACGCCGAGGCCACAAGGTGATTGCAACGGCGCGAAAGATTGCGAGTATTGACGAGCTTGGTGTTGCTGGTGCTGCGACGTTGGAACTCGACGTGACTTGGGATGACAAGATGATAGCTGCCAAGTTTAAGGAGGCAAATCAGATCTACGGAAGAATAACCCACGTCGTCAATTGTGCTGGATATATCCTTGAGGGTGCAGTAGAAGAGGCTAGGTGTGTTTGTTTGGCTCTCTTACCTTGAATCATGCTGTTCGATCACTGAAGCTGACTGTTTCTATTAAGCTCTAAGGAGGTCTACGACCAGTTCAACACCAACGTTTTCGGCGCTGCCAATATCACTCGCGCTTCCGTTCGTTATCTTCGCCAGGCTGCTCAAACTGGCTCATCTCATGTTGTTATCGCACATTTTGGCAGCTTGGCGTCTTACTGGTCTTTCCCCGCAATGGCACATTACTGTGCCACTAAAGCCGCTGTCTCTCTCCTTACCGATGGAATTGGTCGCGAAGTGGCCCCATTTGGCATCAAGGCCTGTACTATTGAACCTGGCTTCTTCCGCACCGAGTTTCTTAATGTGGGAGAGGCTCAGCGCCGAATTCAGACTGCTGCAACCATACCTGCGTATGTCGGCACTCCAGTCGCAGATTCGCGTGAGCTGCTTATCAGGGCCAATAACAACCAGGCCGGCGATCCGGAAAAAGGTGCCAAGGTCATTGTGGATGTATTTACTGGTACAGGTATTGCAAGTGGTAAAGAACTACCCGACCTTCTACATTTAGGCCCTGATATTGTTGGAACCCTGAAGGATTCTATGATTCCCGGCATGCTTAAGACAATGGACCAGTGGGCTGAGGTTTCGAGGTCAACGGATTTCTAAGTCTGTAGTTCCTTTACAGATTTGCATAAAGCACAGATAATTTAGAATGTTCTGAATTCTGTCTTTTGCTCATTGCTTTAAATGATCATCATAGTCTCAAATCATCCTTACCAGTTCTGATCTTTTAGAACCTGACTTGGTTTATTTCCTGTGCTAAACCAAGTATATAATGATCCTCTTCCTTCCTACCTATGGGTAGTAAGGAACAGCAGCGTCTTCAAAAAATTCAGTTTAAGCAAGCAAGTAAACAGATACCTCAAGCTATATTCTACTAGACTCTTCCCCTCCATCAATTGTTTTCACTATGGCTTAGCAGCATAGAGGAAGTCTTGAGGCGAATCAGCTCCAAAAAAGGAATTACTGTATGGACCAATGGCCCTTTCCAATCGTCTTAATTGCGCGGGGAAGCATCTCCTTCTCGTAGTCAGCTACAGTAGCTTCCAAGTTTTCAGTTCCGTGCTTGATGATTTGTTTCGCCAATTCAGGTGTCGTACAAAGCATTATTCTCTTACGTCAAATGTGCTGCATCTCCAACCAGGGTCAATCCAGGTATAGGGTTCCAGGGCGAAGACGTCTCTGGCGTCGAGTATAGGGGCCAGGAGCGGAATTTTGAAGCGCTGGACTTGATGAACTCGGTAAGTTCTTGGGCCCATCCGGCGAATTCACTGAGAAGCAACGACTTCCACAACGCATTAGGTCATGGAAGATGGCAGACGTCTTCCCCGTCTAGCTGTTAGGAAGTTTCACACCAACAGAGAGATGATAAGATTCATCACCTAGGTAACGCAAAAATATTTGACGTCCTTTCTTCATGGCTAGGTAATTTCCTTTTTCAACTAGAGAAGCTGCTGAAGAGTAGATTGGGTCTCCAGGCTGCATGAATGCAATAAAGAAATGAATTCCAGAGTACTGCAGCTCAGTAAGAGTGACCTGCGAACTTGGATCAGCTACAGAAAACTTTTCATCTCCTGATGGAAATGATGGGCATTTTACCTGCTTTTGACTTTTGACCGACCCCCGTCTGCACCTATGACAAGACAGAACCCAGGTTCAACACAGCTATTTATATGGGCCGAGATAGAACCATCGTTTTCTCTCTGTATATGTTGGACAGGATAGCCCCAACGAATTCTAGTATCTAGCATAGAGCTCAAGAGAAGGTTTCGCAGACTTTTGCGATCAATCTCTAGTTTATTAGCATTACTATCGTTAGGAATGTCTGCTTGAATAGTGCCTTGCGCATCAGCAATCTTGACCGGCACATCATAGCGGGCGATGGACTGGAACTTTTCCAGTAAGCCAGCTTCTTTTAAAGCAACCTGCCCCAATTATTTATGAATATCAAGGGTACCACTGCTTGAACGTTCATTGGAGAGTGTGGCTGAATCATCTCGTTCAAATACCGTGTAATCAATGCCTGCAAGTTCCAGGAGTGGTGCAAGAGTGAGACCAGAAGGGCCGGCGCCAATAATGGCAAATTGGTACTTGGAATAGACTCATGATGAAGAAGAACCGTGAGTATTTTAGTAAGGAAAGCTATCTTTCCAAGTGTACGAGAGTGGAAGTTGGTTTATATACAACGCCATCGTCCACATCGCGACTGCTATCGTTTTCAACATCGTATGGAAGCTTGGCGCATTCGTGAGTGATACACCACCAAAGAAGTGGATTACTTCAAAAGCTTGGTTCCAACAAGTTAGCCACTCGGAGATTACTAGTCTGACCTTGGCGGTGGCCTTCATTTGCTATAACTTCCGAGGAATCGATAACTTCCGACCGTGTCTGTCGCAACTTGCGACCTCCTCGTCTAAAACTTCCGATCTCCAAAAAGCTGTGAGTGAAGCTAACCCGATGGTGTCAGACGACGACAAGAGAATGGAAAATATGCTGCGACTCCTGCAGATCGAGCAAGGTAATGTCAAGTCACTCAGTCTGTCTAGGTCATCGTATTGACAACCGTCTATGTCAGTTGCTCCCGGGAGTTCCGGATGTAAACGCTGCAGAAAAGTAAGCGTCAAATGCACCTATTCACGCTCTGGAGTGATCCGTAGGAAAAGAAAAAGCAGTAGAAAAGGCAACTAGGGCTAGCCAGCCCAATTTGGAGGCCTCTTCCAACCGCATCTGATGAGACGATTAGTGGCATGCATTGTTACCTAGTAACCGATATCCAAGCGGCTCGCGAGCAGCTACGCAGTATCTATATCCCAGAGCAGCACAGCTGCTTTGACGCGCTCTCGTCATTATCTGAAAGAAGCGCGAATATGGGCATCCGACATGTTGCTTTGGGGGCTAATACAGCTAGTGAGGGGTTTTGTTTGTTTGAAGAATATGTCATAGAATGGGCCGAAGGTAGATTGAGACTTGATAGTAGTTGCTTATAAAATCTCTTTGCGCCACCCACAGAGGTAAAAGCAAAGCTGCAACGAAATCTTTGGCTTACTCTCAGTGACGTGGGAGTTTTATTAGAACCTAGCGATTTGAATATCCAAGCAACGATTCTAGCACTGAGCCAGGCATCCGAATTCGCGGGACCGTCACTTTGCTGGATGCTTGCGGCGAATGCTTGCAGGATGATGCAAGCTCTGGGAGTCAATCAACACTGGCTAGATAGTCATACTCAAGAGCAGCGCCTGATGGAGTTTTGGCACTTGAACCTGCTAGATAAAAGACTAGCTATCACCTTGGCAGAAATCCGACTATTCATCAGGAAATGGTGAGAAAGATTGGATAACCTACTTTACGGCAAGTCCAGCGGGCTGGATCTCATCTCACATCAACAAACACTCCTGGGGTCTTCGAAGCGCATTACACCTATAAACCAATCTTGCTGTCGTATTTACTGCAAAATATGTGGCACTGCCTCTACGGCGAAGCCAACCCAAACGATGAGAGCATACGAGCGATATCCGAAGACTTGATCTCTTGATATGGCCAAGCACGAACGGTTCGTTTGTTGTATAATAGCTACCAAGAATATTGTGACCTTGACTAACCCGCGAGACGTACCAGATTCTTGAGGCGGCAGCGCTATTCGAGAAGCCACTGTGTGACTATAAAGCTGCAAAGTCGATTGATGTAGCATTTCATACTCTCGAGTTTCATTTCTTGTATCCATCCTAATCACACGATCTTCAGTCCAGCTACAGGAGCATTGTTTAGACTCTTCGAAACAATGCTCCAGCTGCTCCAACACATGGCACATGAATCCAAACGGCCTTACCACCCCATCATGTGGCAGCTGATTTGCTGTCCCTTGAACGCCTTTCTTATTCTCTTTTGTTATATTCTTTCGACCGGCAATCAAAACTCGGAAAGAAATAAGGAAGCTTTGGCGGCTATGGAACAGCTACCGGGCTACCTAAGAGAGATAAGCTGGCGAAGCTCGTTTGCAGCAGGGTTAGAAAGCATCTCAAAAACTTTTGTGCAGCATACAAAATCAGTGGCTGGTTGTCCGGATTCTCCAATCCACAATGACTATGAGCTAGTAGCGGAGAGCTCAACATCTTCATTAACAACTTTGTTAGACAATGGGGTATCTCAGGTCCAATTGTTGCAGTCTACTCCACTTTGCAGCAATGTTGCCTCGGATATTCCAAATATGTTACAGCTTGATACCAGCGAGTTCAATAGCCAGCTCGATAATGGTTTAGCTACAGTTACAGACTTGGCTGATTATCATACATTGTTTGAGTTTGTTGAATTATTTAATTCGGAATGATAGAACAAAAATGATACAGTATGCACCAAATACGCTACTAGCATCATAAAAACCACATTGACCATCGATAATATGGATTCCCATTTATCAAATGCTTGTGATATCCCCTTGCTGAAAATTAGTGTGCTTCCAGAAGATCAGCATTCGAGCAGAGCTTCGAATCACATTTGTCAGCGCCTGTAGACTTTCTTAGAGCGTATCTCCTTTCAAGAAGAGGATTCCGTGGGAGATGGTTCTCTAGGCATAGTAGAACAGTAAATCTCCAAGCTCATAACAAAGTATGCGGTAAAAACTGCTCACATTACAAGAAAGGTCATCAAAGGCCTTGAGTGGATCGAACATACGGGAAGAGGGAGTAGTTCCAATTGCCGAAGGATTGAAGGAGCGTCGTACACTAGCCAGAAGCAAGATGCGCGGGACCTCGGGCTCCGCTACACATCGTATACTATGCCCGTATTGGATAATTTTCACTTAAAGGTTCCATACTACTACCAGTATTACTCATCCGAACGGAACAATTCAACCGGTTCGTAATATTAACACTGAATTCAATTGACTAATGTAACAAACATCAAGCTATGCGGAATGGCTTGTCGGTAAGAAGATTTGAGAAATTTGGCAGGTATAAATACACATGAGGATAGGAGACTTCGCATCTAAGCGATCCAACATCTATACATTGTCTGCCCATCTGCAAGTTCCGAACTAAGACAGTTTTTATACCAAAAATAATCTATAAATGAAGATGACCAAGCTCTTTGTTATCATTGGCGTTACTGGCAAGCAGGTATGTGTAGCTCTTAGCACCAAATATTGGTATTAAACTGAGACAGAGAAAGGGGTCCTCGATTGCTAGACAATTTCTAGATTTGCCAAGCTGGAAAGTTCGGGGTATCACTAGGAATCCGTCCAGTCAAAATGCCCTGCATTGGGCAGCCGAGGGCGTTGAAATCGTGAAAGGCGACCTAGATGACGAAGCTTCCCTTCGAGCCGCCTTTGAAGGGGCCAACGCCATCTTTGCAAACACTGATTTCTTCTGCCACATGTTCGATGGCACACACGGGCCTGATACGGCGTTGCAGTACGCTTTCGAGAGAGAAGTCGAACAAGGGATGAATGTTGCCCGTGCTGCGTCTGATCTCAGCGTCCTCAGTACACTAGAACACTTTGTGTATTCATCCCTAAGTGATGCCTCCCGGTGCAGCGGAGGGAAATACACCACCATTTACCACTTTGACTCCAAGGCCAGGACCATGGACTTGATCAAAAGTCAGTTTCCGGAGCTGGCTAATCGTATGAGTGCCCTGCAAATGGGCCACTACGTCACAAACTGGCGAGCTGTATCAGCAATGGCTCCTCAGCGTCAATCGGATGGGATTTATCTCACCAAAAGGCCCTTCTCTGGAGACGTGCAAATGCCTTTTGTCGTTCCAGACAGAGATACGGGAGCATTTGTTAAAGCATTACTGGATGTTTCTCCTGGGAAGACTCTTGTCGGTGTATCTGAGATGATGACCTTTCCGACGTGGATGGAGATTTGGGGACGTGTATTAGATGTCCAGGCTGCCTACCAAGAGGTGACCCCTAGTGAGTTCTACAAGGACTTCCCAGAACCGCTTGGCCAAGAATTGATGGACACAAATGAATATATGATTGAGTTCGGGTATACTGGTGGAGATCCTAAAGTCATATATCCAAAAGAGGTAAAATTTTCCCATAGTTACTGCAGTCGCTGTGATCTGAGTTAATCTGCTGACATTGCAGCCCAGTTGGACCCGAATATCAAGACGACTTCCATGGAGGAATACATCAAGGGCGAGGACTGGTCTAGCGTGCTGGGCGAGCAGTAATTGCATTACAGGGCGAACTGAATGGTACCGGGTATGGCACAGTTGGTGGAGTTAGCGGACTAATAGAACTCCGCCCGATGCGGACTTTGACCCTGAAGCGATGCCTACTGTAGACATTCTCAATCAACAATGACGCTACGATCTTAACACACTTAAACTATCATCGGTCGCTTATACTTTGATGGCGTGCGTGAGACATTGAACGGATCAATCCATCGCTATTCAGGCCTTAACTGCTTGCGCTTCCCCAAGGTCAGCCATGCCCTCGCGAAGGTGGCATAGCAAGTCCAGGCTTGGTTGCGCGCCATGCAAGAGACGTCGTGTCAAGGCAAGTAAAGCCTCTCGCAATGTGAAATCGCGCGGCACACCTACTTATCAAAATGCTAGTGTGACATGACTATGCCAGTTTGTGGTAGATGCTCCCGTTTTGGAGAGCACTGTCCATTCACAGACACCAACGCTGCTCGCGGAGCCAAAACAGAAGCCTTCCCAGCAGGTTTTGTCATATGGGACTCAAGACTGTCCGTGTCCAACGATGTATATAGCCTGTCACCATCAATGCTTCTATTGACAAAGTCTGCTCAATGCGTGGCGTCTTTGATATTTCACGAGGCTCAGCAGCATGTTTTTGCGATGCAAGCTCTCAACGCCTTGTCCGTGCTATTTCGCCAGGGTCAAGGCTCTAGCAGTAGTGTGAAGGCGCATGCCTGGCATCTGAAAGCCTCTGCAGGTTTTCATGCCTCCGTTGCCGGCAGGGTAGTCAGTACCTACTTTGCCCAGTGGATTTTCGGCCTAGCAACCACCGTCTTCCAAATTCGTTTGTGTGTCACTCATCCAAGAGAGGACGCCATAGCTGAGACCTTCCACCTACTCAGAGGCACCGCAAGACTTGCCATCGCTATAGCACCCAGATTCCTGCAAGACCAAATGCTAGCACATGACAGAACAAGAGATATGGGCGCAAAGGTCGATCCCGAATTTCTGGAACGAATCAAACTGTTGGAGACAAACATTCGGATGGTGGAGCCGGACAAGGAATATTTAATTCAAGCTGCTGAATTGCTGCAGACCTGGTGCATTTCTATACAGGGACAGCCAAGGACTTGGTTACACATCTTGTCATGGCCGGCGTTGGTCAGTGAAGCTTTCGTCGCCCAACTGCAGTATAAACATGAGAATAGCTCAGTGGCACTTGCTATATTCTTGCATTGGTGTGTAATAATGATGAGGTTTGATGATACCTGGTTTCTGGATGGGTGGATTGCACAGCTGGCGCAGCAAGCGTGGGCGCAACTTGGGGGAGGTTGGGAGTCATCGGTAATAATAGCGGCTCAAGCTCTACAACTAGGCCCTAAAGAAGGTTGTAAAGGTTTTCTATAGAAAACTATATGGGGGTCTATAGGAATGTATGTCTATCGGAATATTGTAAGTTAGCTGACACACGTATACTAGAAAGTAAATCTGCTATAAAAGCGTAGTCGGAGAATTTCTAACCAAGAGCCAGCAAGGATTCGGCCAGTACTCCCCGTACTGCACTTTCAAGATCCGGGCATTGTCTCCACTTAATAGTGAGATGCTCGGGCAGTTCGGCCCGGATATTCCATAGGAAGACAAGAATAGATGGGGCTATGATTGGCTTCCTGATACATGTTACATCCCGCTAAGCCAGTTACAGAGGAGAGTTATGCTTGATAAAAGAAGCAAAGGAACTACAGCTCGGGTACAATAGCCCGAATACTACTTCAGGAGAATAACATCTATACGTTTAACAGTATTTTCGATTACAAATTCGAAACTTTTAAATTCGCCAGGATGTAAGAGCAATACATAAAGCATTTACTTATTCCAACTTCTGTTCGATAATAACGCCTTACAGTCTTGTGGTATTGATTATATGATTCCAACATGGCTATAACCAAAGAACACACGAGCAGTGATCATGCTACCGACATTCCTGGAAACAATGAAGAAGCCTTAGAATTGGGCACGACACGCAATGATAGATCGAACGAAGGGAGTGGAATTTCTCCCGAGAATAACAAGATGATAGAGCAAGCCAAAGAAGAGCAGAGGATCATAAGGGGCTGGAGGGTGAGTCGGTTATTACCACATATTCTACGTTCTGTCATGACACGCTGACACTGTCGTCCGTAGTGGGCCTTGGCTTACACCTCCCTCATGTCTACTGTCTTGCTCTTCGCTTTAGACAACACTATTGTAAGTGCCCGGACCGTCCCCCTAAATCCCCCTCTAACAGAGCCACTCAAAGATCGCAACCATTCAACCTACCATTGTCGAAACCTTCGGTGACCAGACAGCTCTGGCATGGGTCGGAGTCAGTTTCGTGCTGGGCCAGTCTCTCATTTTGCCCATGTACGTATCACTGCCCTTAGTTTCGAACTCGCGCTAACCGTGATCATTAACAGTGGAAAAGGTTACGGCCTCTTCAACATGAAGTTGTTGTTCATTGCCAGCTTATTCCTGTTTGAGGCCGGCAGCGCCATCTGCGGTGCCTCGCCAAACATGGCAGCTCTCATCATTGGCCGTGTGGTGTCGGGCATCGGCGGCAGTGGCGTATATGTTGGAGGCTTGACGTACATCAGCGTCCTGACCACGACTGCAGAGCGACCCAAATATCTCGCCGGCGTCATGTCCATATGGGGATTTGGAAACGTGCTGGGTCCAATTGTCGGCGGTGCACTTGCGCAGAGCGCCGCCACTTGGCGTTGGGGGTTCTACATCAACCTCCCCATTGCGGGCCTGTTCGCGCCCGGATACCTGTTGCTACTCCCCAGTATAAATGTCATGCCGGATGTTTCTCTCGAAAAGAAACTACGGATGCAGGACTGGGTCGGTATTATCATCTTTACTGCCTTCTGCGCCTGTTTCTGCATGGCCGGTAGCTTTGGTGGCACTCTTTACAAGTGGAATAGCGGCTCGGAGATTACGCTCTGGATCATGACTGTCGTGCTGCTGGTTGCCTTCATCTTCGTAACTATCTATCACCCGCTTGTGCCTCCAGAGAGAAGGATGATGCCAGTTCATTTCATGAGGAACAAAGACCTCTTCCTGTTGCCTCTGCAAGCCTTTCTTGTTGCAGGCTCAATGATGATGTCAATTTATTATACGCCGTTGATCTTCCAGTTTACTAAGGGGGATGATCCTTTACAAGGCGGGGTGCGCATTTTGCCCCTGATCTGCATGATTGTCTTTGGCTGTCTGTTGAATGGCTTTGTGATGCCTAAGACTGGATATTATTTACCTTGGTATGTTATTGGCAACGCGTTATTACTGACGGGCGCTGCCCTGATGAGTGAGTACAGAGCCTTGATTCCACGCTGTTATTTTAGACACCCAGTGTGCTGAGAGTGTTTATTAATAGCGACTATCGACGTCAACACTACCAACTCCCACCTCTATGGCTTCACGGTGCTCATCGGCCTAGGGATCGGGTGTTTTCAGAGTGCTGGGATTGGTGTTGTGTCGGCGCTCGCCCCTGCCTCGGAGGTCAACAACGCAGTATCAATCATGACCGTTGGTAGGTTACAAGACGCACTCATTGCAAAATCCTTTCACTAAGAATTCGCAATGCAGCACAAGTTTTGGGCATAATCGTGTCCCTTTCGGTGTCTGGCTCAGTCTTCCAGAACATGGTCCTCACATACCTCGCCGCCGCATTGCCAGATGCCAAAAGGGATGAGATCAGTCAGCTGGTCACGGGAACGAGTGGTAATTTTTACCAGAGCCTGAATACTGCGCAAAAGTTCTTGGTCGTCAAACAGGTAACAGTAGCAATTCGCGATAGCTTCTACTACCTGGTCGGTATCACCGCCATTGGTTTCGTCACATCTCTATTTTTGAGTGTGAGTAGTCTCTGAGGAAGCTTTGAACGCTAAGAATTCATTTTGTCTGCTAACACCTTGCCGCAGAGGAGGAAACTGTTCATTGAGAGCGGCAGCGCGGTGGCCTAAACAAGAAGTTCAGGCGCCAATATAGGGACTCTAAATCGGTGTACAGTCAGCTACAAAACGTTCAAAGGATGGCGTACCGGACAGCTTGTTACATCGATATTGATGAGCTACAATCTATAGACTAAATTTCTGGCGGAAACTGACTACAGGCCGGGCGCAACCTGTGGCTTTCTAGTGAGATGGGCCATCGCATGAGCGCGCGAGGATTGAGCATTACAAAGGCAGTTCAGCTGGCGTCAAAAGAAATTGGTTTCGTTCATTACTTATACGCCCTGTAACTCTATAGAAAGTGCTTGATTGTTGACTACTATTTTCTCCTAATTTATAGCTATTCTCAGTTGAATTAATATTTATCAAAGGCGCCGGTTGAACAATTTTAGAGTGCTAGCCACGTCTTCTGACCCCGTAGGAGTTTTATAGAATCTAATTTTCATGGTGCCGGAATGGAGTACCAAAATTGTCGCTTGAAAGGTGTGGCGGTTCTCAGTCGTCTGTATCGAGGTGCGCTGGGCTTGGTATACAACGTCCTGTCTAATGAACAAGGATAGAGCCTAGGGGATTATAGATGCTTCTCTTGAACCTTGACACTCTCTATGAATGAGTATACTAGTTGATTAAGCGTAGTTTTTTATTAACTCATCTGTAAAATAATACTGAACACCGTAGGTAATTGATCATGTGTAAACACTTTATTTCAAACGCCACTCTTGCTCGCTAGCTGCCCCTTCACAAATGCTTCAAACCCTTCAAGTTACCTCTGAATGTTCCACTACCACCTCTGGATCACATCTCCACCCAGCTATGAGCTATCTCGGGCTTGCTGCTCTTTGAGAAGTGCACATGGGGTATACCGCGTGCGGAAGAACTCAGCGCGTTTTTGTACCTGTTTACTGAGGTCCTCTTCAAGGGTGGCTAATCTCATGGCCGTGGTTCCGCCTGGTTGAGCAATTTTCTCGAGAGCCGCTACCAGCTCTTGTAAAGCGCTCTTATTACTCGACTGGCTAACGTCGCATAGCTCTCGCAGACGAGTATCAAGCGTGCCGAGGAGGGCCATATATATCGGGTCGTTATTCATCATGCCGTTACCGCCTTGCGGCGCATTCTGAAGCCAGACGATGTAGTCGGCGACGGAGGTGGCCATACCACAAGCGTCAGCCTGGCTGCGGAACACTGCTGAGGAAAACTGGGCAACAGTGTCAAGAATCACAGCGCCAGTTTCTTCGCTTATCCTTGGTGCCTCTTCGGTGTCACCTGCTGGTACAGGTAGAGACCAGGACCAATCGCGCATGGCCCTATGCCGGAGCTGGTTGTCTCTCCCTTGTACAAAGGGTTCGCTTTGTGCGTTAAAGTCAATATCCGAGCTATCGAGAATCATGTCCCCGTCCACTGGCAATTGACTCAAGGCACTCTGTTGTTGGGATATGGCTGTTTGTGTTGGCTCTATAAAGTCATTGGTCAACGGCAGAGATGAGCGCAGATTATTTTGCTGGTATAAGGGGTCCATTTGGGTTAGAGTAACGGCGTCTATCGAAGCGCTCATTTTAGCAATGTGTGCCTCTGCTTCGTCTTCCCATTCGGCTCGATAATCGATGTTAGTTATCAAACCGTGTAGCATTAATATTAGTGGAGCAGTTGTATAATTCGAAATTCTTACATAGGCGTTTTTGTAAGTCCCCTACTGTTTGAAGTAGATCGGCCTTGGTCGGCCTTTGATTTGAGAGATACACGCATTCCTCACCAGCTCGTCTGCACTTCTCGCATGCTGGCTGTTCTCCTCCACAGCGAACTTTTCGATCTCGGCATAACTGTTACTTTACGTTAGCTATATATGTGGTGCTCAAGGAATGACAGGCACACCTTGCATGCAATGCGACGCGAATGCGCTCCATTCATCATACTCATCTCGGTAGCCGCCACAGTCCGCTCTGGGGCAATGCCTCAGAACCAGCGAGCGGCTGAAACACCCCAAAGGATCTTAGGGAAAGAGAGTACCTAGTTTAAAGATTTCTCTTCTCTCTCGCGTAATTAGATTGGAATTAAGAAATGGTGGACTTAGCCAAAGGATTAGGTGCTAAGCTGATTGATTTGGCTGAAATCATGCTTACTTAGCAATAGGGGGAGCTTATCGAACATCCCTTTAGGCATAAATAGCATCTATAAAACCAGACCCTGTAACTAAGTAGTTCTCGTCCTTAGTAATATAGGTAACAGTTGAAATGCTCTAGTATAAAAAAAGACTTGACTAAACTGAAGATAGAAAATTGTCAGCATTTCAACACTTATATTTATATCACAAGGGTTAGTGCAAAGATTGAACCGTTAAGCTTTTTATTATCTGCCTAGCTCTATGGAAGGGTTTGGATTTATAACATAAGTTTGTATTTTCTAAGGCTGAATCTCGATCCATGTGCAATATCATCGTAATAATAGCCTATTGTAGAGCGACTGAGTTGCTGGAACTTTCTCCCGTAACGTGATAGTAGTTCACGCTATCACTTATTGTTCTTTTTCCCATAGCGCTGGATAGTCATATTCGTCCCATTTCCATTCTAAGCCCACAACATCTCCTTGTTGACGGTCTCGGTCTTGCCGCACAAAATTGAATATTCCCACAGTCCAATAATCCCAGTCAATCATACCACGGGCTATAGTTTCTTCGTGCTTCATGGGAAGATAGCTAAGTGAATCTGAGTTATAGGGTTCTAGCTCACAGCGAGAGCTTTCTTGGTCCGCAAAAACGACTGCCAGCCCTGAAGGCGACTTGTCACTCCTGATAATGTTGATCCGAGATACATTTAGACCAATGTACGATCCAACTAATTCTTCTGGAGTCGCTTTGTACTTGGACACGTCTCTGTTCTCCTGCCAGATTGAGATCATCTTCTCATGTCTTTCCAATCGTTCATTTCTGGATAATTCAATAGCAGCCACGAGATTGACGGATGGTTGAAGGTCAAAAAGAGCCTGAAGCATGATCTGTGATGTCGCGTCGGATGCATCCCCTGCATAAGCCGCATTGCTCAGTACTACAATGGCAGAATGTGATGAGGGTATCAGGTACGTTGTTGCTACTGATCCTTCAGTAATACCACTATGTCCATAAAGTGTTCGAGACTCAGAGTTTCTGCCAATAATATCCTCATGTCTGTGGATGGCATTATAAGAGATCTGCCCTAGTGCAGAAGTAGGCATCGTGGTTCGCCACCAACCAAGCAAGTACGCGGTATTATTGTCGAAACCATCGTCCACCGGTCGAGTCCACACCATCCCCACATGGACGATATCTGTCGAAGGGGATTCTCTTTCTCTTTCGCTGGATGAAGGAGCTCCTGCGATGGGTGAATATTCTTTTCACAATCATATCGATTCATAACTGCTGCGCAAAACTTGAGCAGGTCATTGACAGAACTGCGCATCCCCATTGCTGCTACGCCTGGCGCATACATTTCTGAGGTCAGGCCGTTCTCAATTCTAGCCCAATGCCCGTCCTCCATCTGTACGTAGGGATATGCAATGTTGTTGTTGCTGCGGACTTCGGCCTCTGTAACAAGTGTCTGGTCCATGGTAAGAGGCTGACAGAGCCGTTGGCGTACAAATCCGCAGAAGTGCATACCGGAAACAGCTTTTATAACATTCGATAACACCCCAAATGCGGCATTGCTGTAATTCCACCAGCTATTGAAGCGCTGACCACTGTCATTGGAGGTAGGAAGTGCGTTGAGTAGGGCAACATGATCCTCCTCCCTGATGGTTAGAGTGCCTTGAGGGCCGAAAAAGACGGCGTTGGGATTCGCTAGCCCCGTCGAGTGACGACAAGCATCCACGATCGTCGCCTGCTGGCCGATTCGAGGATATCAACTGCGGCAGCAGTCAAGAGCTTGGAGCAAGACCCAATCAAATAAGACGTGTCACTGTTAGCATCCAGGTTACTCTCAACGTCTCTCAAGCCGAGACTTTTGCGATAAAGGACTTTGCCTTCATGTAGGATGCCAATAGATATCGATGGCGCTTTGCAAACCTTTTGCACCTCGGCCACGTGTTGCATAGCAGCGTCAAGGCGCCGCACTGCGTCCCTGGAGCATGATTATGAGTTCACTGCTTCTTAGGGTGAGAAAAGATTTCTTACTTGTCCATCTCTAATACTAGGCTGGATTTAAAGTGTGGTATGTGTCGAGCGGACTTTGAACCCAATGGACAACTGTTAGCAAGGCGCTCCCAATGGTTTTTGATGTGGTATATAGTAGATGTAATGAGCCGTAGGGCACTCCCTTTGGTCAGGCAAGACTTGATCGTAAATGATGGAAGTAAAACCAGATTTTGTTGGTACTGCAATCCTCTCGCCGATATCTGCAGGTAAATTTGACTCGCTGCCTGAGGCACCAGATTGTGTAGTTACACAACGACACCGTAAGACCCTTATCAGTCTGATCCAGGCTGCAAGATTCGTGGTTATGCTGGAGGGGACACTGTAATTACACCAAAACAAACTTCTATTCGATAGAGCAAGTCGCGTTGGCTATTGAGGGGGTAACCAGAACTTGATGAGGCATCAATCTTGTACTTCGTTGGTTTTCTTGGGAAAGGGGATTCAGTCACCAAAATCTCAGTTGCACTCTCTCCTGCAGCTACCGCAGCAACTGCTGTGATACCTCGTATTTGGAATACTGATGGAGTCGCATGCAACGTGGTCGAATTACTGGTTGACCCAACCCAACCAATATATATTGGCCAGTAGTGTCCGTGTGCAACCCAACAACATTAAGTAGAACTTGCGCACAATTGCTCATTTGTATAAAGGGGGGGCGAGCGCAATAAGTGTTAAAAGGCTGCCGCATCCCAGATCCTGTTATGTGAACATACAGATCCTACTATTGGAATATACATATCCTATCAGTTGAACATGCGTTTTTGACTTTAACAACAAACCAATGTTACCAAAGAGATTGCAATTCATCTCCTACTGTAAGTATCAAAACAACGCGCTCGTTCACAGTTTACTGATATCAAAGAAGTTTAACGAGCACAAACCAAGACTATCAATAAGATGTGGTCCACCAGAAGCGGCGGTGGGGGCAAGTCCAGCGGAGGCGGGTTGGTGGAGGCGGAGGCGGTATTGGAGGAGGCAGTAGCGGAGGCAGTGGAAATGGAGGCGGCAGCACAGGAAGAAAAGATAGCGGAGCAGCAGAGCAAGCAGTGGATAGAAAAGCGCAAAATTAATAAGCGCATAGAAAGCTATAAATGAGCACTTTTCGCACAGATGGAACCTTGTTGGTATGTGCGTATCATCTTAGCGTGGATGTTCAAAGTTTTCTTGTTCCCCGATTTCTACTGCCCCACCCGTAGAGGTAACTCTGAAGTTTAAGAATAATCAACATTGCAAGTTCATTATTACTGTCGTGAACAAAATCTTCAGGCCATATCTCTTAACGTAAGGATTCATTGTGTAGTTTTAGATAAGTAGAATGGTTTAACGCAGGGCATAGCCTGCAGAATGATTCTTGTTTAGTAGCACTAAAGAATAGCTACACTAACCTTATATCAAGGCCAATGGCACGAAAAAGTCGTCAAGCATCAAGTTCATTGTCTACATTAGTCGGTCCTAATTTGCATGGTGGTGGAGCAGAATTATCTCGTCCCGCACGCAAGACTTACGATAACTGATCTTGAAGTGTAACACCGATGTAATAGATATAATGTAAGCCTTGTGTACCCGACCAAGCGGTTATCAAAAAAACAGAGACCGCAAAATGAATATCCACATACAAAGCGACCACAGAAGCACTTTTAGCGTGTGCTGATCTTAGCGTATTGTGTGCATAATTGCCACTTTGTGTGTTCAAAATTTCCTCAGTCTCTGTTTTTTTGATAACTAAGCCTTGCGTACCCAAGATATACTTAGTAAGATTAGCGCAATCATGCAAACTTTAGAGTACACAAAAGGCAATAATAGCACTATCAATTAGCAATTTGAAGCGCTATCGGTGGGCGGATAGCTTATAATCTCACGGTGCCTAAGCCGAAATTCTGTACAAGCACTTCCGCCAAGAGAGATTTTACGATCAATTCGTTACCTACACCTACCTGACGTGTCAGTGCAATGTAGGAATTACAAGCGACGGACACTATGAACAAGGAATTTACCGAAGTCTAGAGTCGGGCATGGGATTATTACCACACGCGTCTCAATAGCAAAGAACGCAATCGGATAAGCAACATTACTTCGCCAGAAGATCTCCTAGTCCATTACCATGCACTGACTATCAAGTATTCTGGGACGAAAACTGCAAAAAGCTTGAAGAAGACGCAAACGTTCGTGGCACAACTCAGAGCTTTTTCAACTGTCATAAACACGACCGTCCAGGCGAAACCTGACATTGCAGGCATTGTATGGGGTCCACTAGCCCTGATACTCGAGGTACGTGCCCTCTATGCTTAAGCCTGGAATAACTGGTTGGTCAGTCCGTCGCTCTTGAATCTGTCTGCTTAAAACAGAAGCTAGCTTGCCGCAAAGCATGAAGAAACCCTTGAAGCAACAACGGATGTTTTTGAGCGGATGGAGCGTTCTCTACCCCGCTTCCAGGAGTATTTAAAAGAATTTGGTCCCCGAGACCTGTCGGCAAGGCTCCAGCACGCCTTGATATGCTACTACGCGGAGCTCATTGCCCAGTACCAGGATGCAATCGAGTTCCTTAGAGCCCATCCAATAAGTCAGTTGATGCCGTTAGAGTACCACTCCGTGCAACAGCCGAGGCATGCCATAACTCATGGTGTTTCCTTTTGTTTCCCAATCCATTCATAACCATTTGGTTCCATTACTGCTGCATCACCATATGTGTCAGGTGCCATCATTGTTTGTGGTCTCAGGGCATCTTTGTCCTCTCATTTGACTAACAAGTCTTTGCTGCACAGAAAATTTTCTTTGTGAATCGTCGCGCGACACGTTTTAATATCCAGGCGTCGAAGCGCCTTGTCGCTATCCAGGAGAAGACAGCCTGGGTTGAAGCAGAAGTAGACTGGGCGAAATATAAAATGCAGCAGGAACAGCACAACAACATCATCAAGCTATTGTCCGCAAACGCATTCACCGCCATGACTGATCAGCTCCCGTATAAAAAACTCCCTTACAGGCGCAATCTCCGCTTTCACTTCCGCGGAGAATTGATGGGCCGAATGAAAAGCTACCTTATTCCTGGAACAGAAGTCTCAAGACTGCTGGCAGTCTCTTTATATGGATTAGGAGGCGTTGGCAAGACCCAACTAGCACTCGAATTCGCCTTGAGCATGCCGACGATTACGATGCTATCTTTTGGGTTCGAGCCGAAACAGAAGAGAAGCTTAGAGAGTCATTCATCACCCACGCTAGTTTATTAGAGCTTGGGCCAACGGGTTCTCAGCAAGATGCAGCGCTGATTAGAACTTTTATTAAGTGGTTAATGACTGCCACCACGGGTCAGACTCATATCATTATCTGCACAATGTAGCCCAGTCCGAACATCATAGTTACAGATACCTAGGTTCGGCCAATCGACGGGTTAAGTGGCTCATGGTCTTCGACAATGTTGAAGATGACCATGCTATTGACCAGACTTGGCCTGTGGGAGCTCATGGATCCATCATTCTTACCACCTGGAATCGTGAAGTGGCGGCAACATATGGCCATGAATGTCTCGAAGTTCCACTTTTTCCCCCCAAAGAGAGTCTGAGTTTTATGCTTGATATCAATCCTTATGTGAACGCTACTAAAGAAGAGGTTGGCGCCGCCCAATCCATTTCAGATCGTCTCGGCAACATGCCATTGGTCCTTCATTCAATCGGTTCTTATATTAGAATGGCGAACCTGTCTTATGCCAGCTTCTTACAACACTATGCCGATTTTGACACAAATTTGCTCTTCCAACCTGGGAACCCAGATCGCTTTTATGAATTATCCATCCATCGCACTTGGACGATGGCTCTTGTTAATATGACAGGAAAAGCTAAGAGGCTGATGGAGATTCTTGCCTTTTTTGATCCTGACGATGTGCCCATCGAATTATTTGAGTGCCATGATTATAAAGCTAAGTGAGGGACTATTCTGGTTCTTATATGCGAATTTGACTAACGGTTTGCTAACACGAATCAATATCAGCGTTCAATTCAATACAGGCAACACGCTCCTTGCTATGAAGCAAGACAATGACGCACTTTCTGCTTTTGAAGATTGCCTTAAGATACGGCAATCGAAGTCGCCAACCCACTCATACACAGCCTTTGTCTGCCATAAACTTGGTTCTCTCCTGCGCTCGCGAGCAGATCTTACTCAGGCCGCGTAAGTTCTCTGTCGGCTCAGTTCGCATTAGCGTCTCATTAAGTGATAGTAGAGTATTTTTTTAAATGTGTGATTAATATTCTCAAAGACTGCGAGTCTCAAGTCGGGGCCGTAGCTCGAAGCTACTTTAGCTTAGCATTGACGCTTGAAGAAAACGGCCTGTTTGATGAAATGGAAGAAGCAAAGGTGCAACTACACATTTCTCTTAAGGGTCTAAAAGCTCTTGTGAACAGGGAAGATCTTACTAAAGATTTCTTTCAGCAGTTTGTTCTTTTTTGCCACCAGTTATAGTTTGTAAACATAGATATATTGCAGTCGAGTGGTTAGTGTGCACTTTGCGTGTTTCTATAGCTGTTTTATTTAGCTTTATTTGAAGTTTCTGTCTTTACTCTCATATATATATTCTATGACTTATGTACAGGGTATATATTATATAAACTGGTTGCCCAAACTATAGCCTAGAATGTACTACTAGCTCTTTACAAAATGCAACTCAAGTGACATCGCGATTAACAAATGGGCCTGGTGTAATCGAAATTCTATGCTTAAAAGTAGATTATGAAAACTATCCCTGCATTCAGGATTGGTTGAACCCACAACCATAAAATTATATCGTGGAGAAGCTCAAACTGTATCCTAAGTATTGATTTAGTATTTGTAAGCATGCTTGCTATTACGAGAATTGTGCATAGCTATAATTATAGTAAAAGTTAGTTCGCTAGCGGATTTTATGAGTCAGAGATACCTGATGTCCGGTGGTTCTAAAAAAAGTTAAGCTTGAGGTCCTTGACGGATTTGCATTTCAGACATATCTCAGGCCAGGCGGTCTGAGTAAATTGGGTGTGGAGTTCTAGAAGGGAAGTCTGGCCATTACTTCCATTGTCTTAGGTTATCGAAACCTTGCTATTATATATTTGTAAATTCAACGAGTTCTATTTGCTAAATCATCAAACTGGAGAGACATTTAACTGGAAGCTTGACTCAAAAGGGATCGCTCCGAAATAATAGCCAAACCAGTAAATTGAGCTTTTCTTTATACACTCAGATGAAACAACACATTGTGAGCTTTTTCATTGCATTCGATTGGTTCTAGTGTTGCGTTTCCATGCAATTTGTTGTAGTATAATACTGTCCTACGCGGCTCGGTTAGGGCGGGAAAAAAATTTAACGCTGAAGGATTCGCGCCTTACAGTTGACACAAGGTCCCGCAATTCATGCAAGTAACTACATCTGCAGTATGTATTGGATTAGTACTGTACTTAAGTATGACAGCCTTCCTTGCGTCTTGCTATTCAACACCCAACTGCATTATTGGATATTGTACTGTTTAGAGCCATCATGCCTCTCCAGGTTTTACCACTCAGTGTTTCAGACTTTGAACAGCTTGTTCACCATGCAGACTTCGGCGAGCCTGGGGATGATTGCGTAGCACCTCCTAATCCAGTGGCATGGCCCGTCACTACACGCTCTGAAGCACAGTTAAGGGCGCGCTGCGCCTTCTCTCTCCAGAAGCGCCGACTCTTATGTGACCCTACTGTGCACTTCCTGAAGGTTGTTGACAAGAAAGAGGCTGGCAGCAATACAGATGAAGATGATATCATCGCCGTTGCTCGGTGGCATCACTATCCTCAAGGCTATGAATATAATCTCGAAGCAACTTGGGAGATGGCTCCCGAAACCATAACGCCTCTTTTGCCCTACATGATCGATGAGACTTCAGACTCACTTCTGTCGTCCTATCCACCACCCAACTTCAACCTCGCCTTGCACAATTATATCCTCTCCGAACGCGACGCCTTTCGTTCCCAATGGATTCCACAACAGAAGCCATGTTGGCTCTTGATGCATCTGGCGACACGTCCCAGCAATCGAATGCGTGGAGCGGCGTCCTTGCTAATACGATGGGGCCTCGCAAAGGCCACTGAGGCAAATGAGCCTGCTTACTTGGAAGCTGGGGCAACTGCTAGGCCAATCTATGAGAAATTTGGCTTCAAACAGGTTGGGGAGCTTAGAAAATTGGATTTGGGGTTCTATGGGTTGGATGCTTACTTTGAACTCTCGAATATGAAGTATAATCCGCAGGAAGCAATTAGCAACGGCGAACCGACTTACCTGTAGTTACCTAACTACGAATCTAGGTAGGTAGTGTTACTACTTGTCGTATTACCTGCCTCCCAGCGGTTGCGGACATGTCCTCCGCCACTTCGAATCACATTAGCGTTATACCCAAAGGAGTTAATGAAGGTCTCGCCAACATAAGCATTGTGTTGTCAATTAACGAAAATGATTTGGTTGATTACGAGTTGTTATTGCTTACATCTCCCCATATTCATTTGTATATAGGCCAGTTGCTAGCGGCATTGCTTCTAAGTATGCAATTGCTACTCTCTCCTCTTATGGACTATGATACATTTTGGTTCCTGTCTCCTGGGACTGGGAACATTGCGTATTTATCACTGCGGACGGGCCCTCTAGCTTGTTGCCACAACAATGAGAGTGCCACTTTTGTAGTGAAGCAACAGACGGATAAATGGTTACGACAGTGGGCGTCTGAAGGCAGGACACCATTCATTCACCGGAAGCTATTAGTAACAAGCATGACATACTGCATTCAGGATGCCTATACAGCTGTAATCTCATACTTTCACCGAGGACCAGTGTGTTTCCCAGCTGATCAGAGATTGTGGTGATAAGAGTTGGGATTCCAGGTTACTGCAACCGCAATCAGACAAATGCGGAAGACAGACTACTATCTAGGGATTTCCTGAAGGGCCACTTGGTATAGAGCAACCAAGATTTTCGGATTTGGCTGAGGTTGTTTATAAGCCAGACATGCAGTGTTACCTTGCTTTAGTGCAGGCACTGTTAGTAAATTAATCCTATGTAGGTGACTTTAGCTAAAGGAAGTGTAATTAGGGACCGGGAGTAGAGTTGGTTTTTTATTGATAAAGCATAAGCGCCTTAACTCCACCCTCTGTACTGTACTAGATTAGGTCTCTTTAGTCATGAGCTGACTGTCAACCTGTCAACCTCGAGCCCCTCCTACTGTTGACTTGCGGGGGTCGGCCAGAGTATACGAACTCTGGGCGATGGCGCTCCGTGCACGCCTCTTTCTGTCGCCGAACCGCTTCACAATGAGCGCACCACTTCGAAGCAAGCAGGGCTGCTGGACTTGCAAACTGCGCCGCAAGAAGTGTGATGAGATCCGCCCTTGTTGTTTGACATGCGAATCGCTCTCCATCCCGTGCTATGGCTTCGGCCCGCGGCCCGAGTGGATGGACAATGGCGTCAACGAGAGAGCAGTCATGAGCAACCTGAAAGAGATCGTGAAGCGCACCTCGAGACGTAAAGTTGGATCGCAGCTGCCAAAGCAGCGTGATACAGTCGTCAAAATAGCGCCCAAGCTGTCCGAGACCTATGGCAAAGACTCCTCGTCTGGTCCGGGGTCTAAACTCGAGTATGCAGATGGTCCCCCTCCATCCAGTGATGCGCCATTGCAGGAACTTGGGCCTGGCATGCGGCATGATGAATCTACGGTAAGTACGATTTCCTCTCCACCGCGAGGGAGAGACCCTGATGCCTAGTAGACACCCGCTTCCTCCGAGCATGACGATCCAACAGTGAGGACCAATCTGTCCGTCTCAGCGGAGGAGGCTGCCCTATTGATGCATTTCCTTGACAATATATTCCCGTTACAATACCCCCTTTTCAAACCGGGAATTCTGGAGGGTGGCCGAGGCTGGCTCCTCAGTCTTTTGCTCCAAACCAACCCTCTCTACCATGTCGCACTCGCTTTGAGTACATATCATCGCCGGACGATGATGCCCGCTGAGACCGCCCGTCCGCTGCAGGCCGCCGCCCTGGTTCAGCAAGAAAAACATCTTGGGCTTTGCATCGCATTGATGAACAAGTCTGCCCAGAGATTCTGCGGCGAATGGAAAGGTCTGGGGATCGCGGTCACGGTTATCGAACTGGTGTTCTTCGAGGTAACTACTGTCTCTCTGCCAATCTCCACGTTCAGCCTTTGACAGCGTTTATCAAGCTCTTCACCGACAACATCGGTGCATGGCAGACACACCTTCGGGCGCTGCTGAGTATGGGTCTGCAAGCTCACGAGCAACATTACGATGGGCGGCTCCGCCTGACCGAATCAGCGAGGCAAATTCTACGTGAAGACCGGCCCGTCTCGGAGAACGAGCCCGCGGTCGCGGAAGAGGTAGCGTGTTTTCGGTTCGTAAACGGCACGACGACTTGGTTCGATATCACCTCCGCCATCATAACGGGAAAGGCTCCAGTTTTACTGCCTCATCTCTCTAGTATACTCTCTTGCGACTCACAGCTTCAGCTCGGTGACATCATGGGCTGCCAAAATAGCGTCATGCTGCAGATTGGACGCATTGCTGCGCAGCATGAGCAAAACGTCCTGGCCGTGAGGGAGGGGCGGCTTGCGTACCCCGCGATGAACGAGGGCGCGGCTGATATCGTGGTGGAGATCCAGCGTTGTCTTGCAGAGGGAGCATTTGCGCGTCTCGACCTTTCGGAACGCAACTCTGCAGGCGTGTCTAGCACGATGCATGACCCGAGGACACTCATCACGCGCACTTTTGCTCAAATGGCGCTCGTCTACCTTCATCTGGTCGTGCATGGCTTCCGGGACCTGGAACTATCAGGTGCAGCCATTTCTGAAGTCATGGAAATACTTCAAAGCCAGGTCTCGCGGAGCCTGCTACCTGCCTTGGTCTTGCCACTGTTCATCATTGGTGCTTCCGCGAGCGAGGGGGACCAGCCGTTCTTCCGCGACGTCTTTTCGCGTCCACCGTTGCTGGAACCCATGCTTAAGCACCGAGCGAGAATCCTGCCGATTCTCGAAGAGGTTTGGAGAAGGAGACAGACCTTGCCAGCATTTGGGTGGAGCGACTGCCTCGAGCTCACCCCTGATATCCTGCTTCTCTGAGCCCCCGATGCTTGACAATTGCTTGCTTAGCCAAGGCAGCGACATCCTCTCAGAACACAAAGCTCAGTCTTTCCGGGGCTCGCTGCCCCATAGAAACCCTTTTCTGAAATCTCTTACCTTGCGTATATTCCCATGGCCTGACTAATCCGCGCAGCGTGCCGTGCTGCTCAATATATGCGGTGGACTTGTTCAGCCGCAGTCGTTCTTGGGATTGGATTGGTTCGCCCAGCGGGTATTCCGATGATTGGACAGTAAATTCTCGGGTAACGCTGTTTTTGCTGTCGTTTCTTGTGCCCCGAATGGCCCGAAAGGGCATCTCTGTGAGATTAATCATGGTGTTCCCGGCTTACCAAGAAAAGTATTGGCTCTGGATATCTCGTCTCGGGCTTGTTTATCTTCTTGCTGGATTTCTAAGCTGCGCGGGTTCTTTTCTGATTGGCCGGTGGCTGCGGGTATTGTAGTGTCTGCGCGACACCCCGTGATTGGACACAGCTGCGCATCTTCTTCCAATTTCGTTGCTTCAGAGTATAGGCCAGCCATCGTGCTCGTCCATTTGCAATAACATATCAACAATGCAGGCAGGATTCTTTATAAAGGATTCCTTTCATCCCCTCGCTGCCCATTCTCTGCAGCAATTACTGACCATAGCCTTGCATTTCCTTACAGTGACTCCTTTCGGCAAACACAAGCCCCCACCCTTGCATCCCAAATCATGAAGAACATTGTCATCCTCGGAGGCTCATATGCTGGAGTTGCCGCCGCCCATCAACTCCTCAAGCAACCTGCAAAGACTGGGGAGCTAAAGGTTACTCTGGTAACCCCGAACACCCATTTCTACTGGAATGTGGCAGCACCACGCGGCCTGCTTCCTGGCCAGATTGCCGACGAGCAGCTCTTTCAGTCCATTGCCGATGGGTTCATGCAATATTCACCGGGCAAGTTTGAACTTGTAATCGCTTCGGCGGAAAGCCTAGACGTCAAGGCCAAGAAGGTTGTGGCGACTAGCCCCAGCGAAGGGAGCAAGACGGTTACTTACGACGTCCTCATCCTTGCCACTGGCTCCAGTATGAAGGGAGCGGTACCCCTCAAGGGATTGGGCTCGACAGAAGCAACAAGAAATGCTCTCCACGAGCTCCAGTCCCTGGTGGAAAATTCCAAGACAATTGTTGTAGCTGGTGCCGGTGTGACGGGCTGTGAGGTTGCCGGCGAGCTGGGGTACGAGTATAGAAAACAAAAGGAAATCATTCTAGTAAGCAATAATTCTAATTCCTGCTTCACACCGTCTTCGGCAACATGAACTCCTAACTTCTCGCAGCTTTCCAGCGGGCCTGGCGTACTCGAGAGTAGCCCAGCAAGTGTATCAAAGCTCACAGAGAAGGAGCTCACGAACCTGGGCGTCCATGTCAAGCTACAAGAAAAGGTCGCTGCATCCTCTCAACTGCCAGATGGGCGGCAAGAACTCACCCTTTCCGGCGGAGATAAGCTGATTACGGACATGTACATTCCTACGTTCGGCCTGACCCCCAACACTTCGTACCTCTCCGCTACATTCCTCGACAACGATGGATTCGTCGTGGTCGACGACTATCTTCAAGTCAAGGGAGCTGGGCCCGTATGGGCTATCGGCGATGTGTCGGCCATGGAAGGATCGCAATACCTGTCAGCCAACAGACAGGCAAGCCATGCCGTCAAGAACATCATTTTAAGCATAAGTGGCAAGCCATTGCTTGCATACAAAGCTTGGCCCTGTGAGAAACAATACCCTGTTTACTGGCTTCTTTTACTAATTTTCCGTAGACTCCGTGGGCCTCCAAATTGGAAAAAAGGCGGGCACGGGTTATATTGACAATTGGAAAATTCCGTCTTTCCTGGTAGTTTTCATGCGGAAGACACTATTCATAGAGAGATTTGCCCCTACGGTAAACGGTTCTTTGTTCTGATCATCAAATTCGTAAAGTATAAACAATATTCCCCAGCCGTAGTGCGCAAAACTAGAAGGGACAGCTGGTTCCCACTCAGCCAGTCAGGGAGCGAAAGTAAAGCGCAATAGATTTGACTTGGATTTGCCGTGCTGCTTTACCGTTGATTTGTTTATATATAACGCCTTAAATGCCGGTCCGGTTTATTTCTTGGTAGCTTGTTTATTAGAAAATATTACATGTTGGTAGAAACTTATGTTGGTAGAAACTTAAGATACTACTGTCGAGAGCTTTCCTTAATATTACTGTAAAGGTTAGTGGTTATATAGTTGGTATAAACTATTTGGCCTTTGAGGTAATAAAATGTAATATTCGAAGATATAATTAAACTATTGAGTTGGAAATAAAGGGTAAGAAAAAGGGAAAACTTCTTACTTTCTTCTTATTATACAGAGAATACAGAGTCTAGGATAAAGCTAATACGAATGAGTTTGTCGTTTTCGAACGGACGACCGACGACTTGGATTGTAGATGGTTGGTTAATATAGGTTTGGGGGTCGTCTACCGGGCGTTAGTAAGTTACAGGAACAAGGAACTCAAGGCCACTCATTATGTTATCTGGGTGACCATTGTCTGGATGGGCACACTTACAAAGTTCATGATTTGGTTTGTCAGAATAGTTCGTAGTTACGGGTTAATACTCTTTGTTTATGGCGTTATGTGCGCTATTGACCTTGAATCCTTCAACCGGCAAGACTGTCGACGGGTAGTCCACGAAATTGAAAAGTGTTATGTATCCCCAATAGACTGGACATATCAAGGCGTCAATGGGGCATCCAGTGCCAGTAAGCTGGGCGGAGTCGTCCCATACATCTAAAAACTGCTCCTTAAGAATCCGGATCTTCATTTATAACTGTTAATCCGTGCAACAGAATGAATGGTATTAGTGCTACTAGTTTGAAAGTTATGATTCAAATCACATGCCTGAAAGATCTCGGGAACACTAAGCTCTCTAGTATCATACACCTTAAGGATATTGTCCCCTCCATCGGCTTTCAACGAGCCTATTATTGCCTTTGCTCCGGCTTAGTAGTAGGCTGTGAACTGTGTTGAATGATTAGCCATGGCACATCGGCCTCGTATGCATCTTTGTACGAGTAGTTACTGTTAACTGAGAAGTATCCCAACAGTCGAACGGTGGCTTGAAAGGAATGACTTAACATACAATCAGTATGAGTCTTTCGAAGACACTCTCATGAAGCAAGTGTCAGAACATATCGCGGTGGCCGGCGTCTTGCAGAGCTTTGCTAACAAAGTTTACTGTTCGCCGTACTGGTGGATGTGGCATCACTACACCATCCCATTCTATTATTCTAAACACCAGCTGATCAGGCAAGGGCTCGGCCTGCCTCCAGGGTATTACTAAAGGTATATATCTCTGGGGATCTTATGTAATTAGTTTATAACAGGAAGCTTACTTCCGGGACATTATGCTATATGGGCTGCATTAAATAAAGTAGAACTTCTGCACAGTCGTTTTACATGGGTATCCTAGGATATAAACAAGTTGCGTACAGGTGGGTGACATTAGGTTACGCATTGAGCGTGAACCCAATTATTGAAAGTGGGAGTTTCTAGGCTCTAGTAGCATTTTGCTAAACTAGTGGCTACAATCCAGTGCAGCTGTTATCCAGTGTATAGTTTATTTTAATAAAGTAATCAACGCTAATAAATAAGAGGTTTAGGACAAGTAAGCTGTAATACAGCACATATCTAGATTAGCTATTAAGTATAAAGTCAACAGACCCCCTAATTGACCACTGGCACTCAAAGTGTATCCCATGGAATGGGATATTCTCAAGGACTATTATTTTCCACTCGTAACAGTACGGCAACAAAGTGACTCCTATGAAGGCAGGGGAGAGAAACTAATTACCGTCAACAATAACCCAGCTATCGTGTCTGAGTCTCTGGTTATTTCACTTTTTGGTCTAGCCTATTACCGGTAAGTGAAAAGAAACACAATGTTATATGCTGCCACTTGCATCAAAATATAGACTTACTAATGAAATGGCTTTTGGTATAAAGGCTCGCTTTCCAATATCGCATAGTTTCTCTGAAATCCAGAGACGTTGCTGCTCATTTATCCCAGGAGCACTGAGCGCGCATTGTAGTGGCCAAACTATACTCAGAGCTTGCATTAATTCCGATTTTGGCGCCGAAGGTGCGCCTGCATCTCCAATGTACCTTGTGTCGGATTGAACGTTGGAGCAGATCTCGTCTACTTCTTGCTGTATAGCTTTCAATAAAATCGAAATCTCCTTAGAATCTCGGTATCCGCTGCTCGGGTGAAAAAGCTCTTTACTCCTTATGAGTACCCGAGCCACTATTATATTAAGCGTTCGGTATTGATCCCAACGAAATGCCAGAAAGCCCTCAAGCGGTTTGTCTCCTGCATAGTTGCTTAGCATTGGGCGTACTAGGCGGAGGTCTCTTTGCAGACGCTTGATGGCCAACTGCAATTTCTTCACATCAAGCTGTCGTGGAGCACCTTGACGATTGAATAGAAATCGTTCGGCGTCTAAGCATAGGTCATAGAGGCGTAGCATAGATATATCCAGCAGTAGACTAATTTTCTCAAAGGAATCATTCAGTAGCGCCACAACATCCTGGATATTGTTATCGCCTTTGACGTTCTGTACAGCCTTGCAGAAGCAATACCGCCCACTCGTAGGACGAATATGCGCTAGCAGTGACAGCAATCCATTGACATGGGTCTGCCAAGTCGTATCGGCCGGACTGGCGTTGGTCACCATCTAGAAAACGTAAGGTTAGAGAGCAGGCTCTCTCTTTTACACAAAAGCGAAAAAACTCACGTCATTGACTGCCAAAAGAAACACCGAAGCAACCAGAGCAGGTGACGCTCTGCACGATGTTATGGCATCTCTCAATCTCCGTGTTAGCCAATAATATTTTAGAGACGTATTGCGAGACACGGCTGGAGTTTGAGATGACTGATGAAGAAGCCAGAAATTTGTCCCAGTTAACTCTAGGACCGATAAAAAGAGCTCGGTAGCTTCGTTTGAGGCCTGCCGACCTGTGGTAATCTTCGACAGGAAGAGTACGTTTCTCGAACTAAGGTTGAGCCGCTCATCTTCGAGGTTGCCTGCGATCATGTAGTCAACCAAGCATATCAAGTCAGCCAACTGCCATGAGCGCCGATCATCGCTTTCAGTCATCGTAAATGTCGAGGATGACTGTATAATATCTAATGACCGCGAACATGGGGAGGAGGTCGACAAGTCGCTACGGTAATGACTACGCCGTGCTGCGTCGGGTTGCCCGGACGGTTTCTGTTGGAGATCATCATAACCTAAGCAAATCCTATGAGATTTGACGCAGCGTTGGCATGATGGACGCGTTGAATCACAAAGTATGCGCCTTAGTCTGCAGCTCTTGCAGCCTGTGCTTGGGTGGCCTGGATTGACCATCTGGTCGTACCATCTACCTTACTCTCCCGTAAGATTGTCAGGGTAGCGGAGTTGAGCAATAGATAGACAACAGGCGAAACAGCAAGAAAACCACGTATTAGTTGATGACTCCGCCGTTTGTTTTTGTCTCTTCAATTGTGCCGAAAGAGGTTGGGCAATGAAAGACTCTTTAGATGACGAAAGCACGGCAGTAAACTTGACGGTATTAAAGGCATTTTATATTTTTCCGCCCATTGGGAAACCAAGCAGCCACATATAACTATGGGCGATGAGCCTGGTCTCTATTATGATTATGAGGACCAAAGAGCCGTGCTCCCAAAAGAAGCCTTCGAGTTCCAATATCCTGCAAAAGGAGACTCGCAGCTGGCAGTACAGATTGCAGCTCACCTACGACACAGCGGCTTCAAACCAGTCTTGGAGAGGCGAGGCTTTGACCACGCCGTTTACGTCCCAATGATCCTACTAAGGCCTCAAGCTGATATTCCTATTGTGCAAATGTCTATTCTACGTGGGGAGACAGATATTGAGTCCACAGAATTAAACATTCAATTGGGACAATCTGTAGAGTCTTTTCGAGATCAGGGATATGCAGTCATTGGAAGCGGAGGTTCGTACCATGACTTTCACGCGATTGCGCAAGCCTATTTCGAAAATAAATTTGTCCCTGCCGGATTTACTGCATTCGAAGACTTCCTGGAATCGGCCGCCTCCATTCAAGATCCACAGGCAAGGACCAAGGTTTTGCTAGGTTGGCGATCTCTTGCTAGCAGCTATTTGGCCCATGTGGAGGGTTCGTCAGAGCATCTTATGCCATTCATGCTTGCCGCTGGAAGCGGTGGTGGGCGTAAAGGGGTTAAATTTGACATGTATACGTACAAGGGTGCGACTATGAGTCAATATATGTGGTAGGAAGCTGTGAATAATGTTCTGCGTTCGAGAGGCTATCGCATGCTAAGAAAGCATGTCTGGCGCAAGGGGTCTAGTTTAAAAAAATCTTCATGAGATAGTGATCGATATTATTAAGACCATGCCAAGTCAGCTGGGAGATTTGTCCGAGATGCTTAGCGAGCGCCCTCGTAGGTGTCTCGGCCCTGGATCCCCAATGATATGTCGCTTACTTCTTCATCCAGACTCCGAAGACCTCCTTAATAGTTATAGCTGCAAATCGCCACTTAATCAAGTAGCATATTTAGCATGATTTAAAAGTTACAGTGACTTGCGAAGTAATTGGCATCTTTACTCTTTACTTCGTATACTGTAGCTCATGAATAACATATGTAATATTTAGCCAACACTAGCATCCTCGCAAGAGATGTATTAGGAGGGACTTTAATCAGTCAGCGAACCCTGCAATAATATAGCGGGGAAAGCCCCGTCCTGTCCGTACTTCCATCAAGTTATTACTGCGCTAGCAACTTCGCATCACACTAAGGTAAACTGAACTGTTACAGCCTGTGTATATAGAAAAGTATTTGAGCTATTGGGTGTTATACGGATCCACCTGTGGTGATTTCCAATACCGCTTTTATAAATGTACAGATTTTACGGAGATATAGGCTATAAGATATTAATAATAGAACTTGTTGGCAAGGAGTAGACACTCATTGGTCAGGAATACATAATCCGTGTTCCCAGACTCGTGACAGCATTCTAATATCCGGATCTCTCTCCCGGGTCCAACAGGTCCGGAAGCCAAGAAGAGGTGGTTAAAATCACTCCACTATCAAGTCTTTAAATACATATGGAATCTCACTGCACCCGACAAAGTTGGTCCCCATCATCAAAACTTGTACACCGTATTGATCCTTATATTACATCACTTATCATGGCTTCCCCAACTGTCCCTTTGCTTCGTCGCCTGGGAAGAGACGGTCCTCTGATACCCGCCATAGGGTTCGGTACAATGGGGATGAGCATAGCATATGGACCAGCAGCGTATGGCTACCCAAAGCACACTCCGGGTCGTTGAAACACTATGGGCTGACAAACGCAGGTCGGACACAGAACGACTCGAGCTTCTTGACCGCGCGTGGGCACTGGGCTGTACAAACTGGGACACGGCGGACGTCTACGGTGATAGTGAGGATATAATCGGAAAATGGTTTGCGCTGCACCCCGAGCGTCGCAAAGACATATTTCTTGCTACAAAGTTTGGCCTCAGCGTTGGAAACGATTATAGCATTAGCGTCGATTCCTCACCGGACAATTGCGTCAAATGCTTTAAACGTAGCCTGAATCGGCTCAACGTTGACTACATTGACTTGTACTACTTGCATCGCCCCAACCCTAAGGTTCCGATCGAGAAAACCATCATGGCAATGCAAGAGCTCGTGAGGTACGTAAAGTATTTTCCACACCCAATCCACATATAATTCTTCGGGACAATGAGCTCATAATTTCACTTCCACATACAGTCAGGGTAAGGTCAAATACTTGGGTCTCTCAGAGGTATCTTCAAGCACCGTCAAACGCGCCCACAATGTGCATCCCATTTCGGTGGTGCAAGCAGAATATAGTCCTTGGACGCTAGACATCGAGGAAGCCCAGGGTACGAACCTCCTCGCCACATGCCGAGAGCTTGGAATCTCGATTTTTGCGTATTCACCGCTCGGTAATGGCATCATGACAGGCAGATACCGGTCAAGCGCTGACTTTGGACCCGGCGACGCTCGGGTCGGCATGAAGCGCTTCCAAGGTGACAATTTCCGAAAGAACCTCGAGCTGGTTGATAAGTTTGCAGATGCCGCTAAAGCAAAGGGCTGTGAACCTGGACAACTGGTTCTGGCATGGCTCCTAGCCCAAGGAGACGACATATTTGTTGTCCCTGGAACGAAGAAGATCAAGTATCTTGAGCAGAACTTCGCCGCTTCAGGTGTGGGTATATCAGAGGATAACAAGCGGTCTATAAGGAGATTAGTGTCTGCTATTGGGTTCAGCGGAGATAGGGATATCACATATGGATCTTACCTTAATACAGTCGCTCTCTGACTTACTGTACTTGGGATAGTCTGATATCTAAATACAGCTCAATACAGCTTTGGGTGTTACTGTTGACTGCCTACTTCAACCGTCTCCACCATCTAGGCGCTCGTAGGGTAGCCCTAGTGGCTTTCAATAGATACATGAATAAATTCTAAGCAAAACTGCTGTATAAAGTTCTATGGGGCAACTTATACGCCATTTAGCAAAAAAACGAAAGAATATGCACAAAAATGTTCAGCCAAGCCTCATTATCCACAATTGTATGCCATTTCGCGAGATAGAGACTCTATACGACTAGACCTAGGCAAGGATAAGTCCAGGCAAAATAGTATGACAACGCATCTCCATTCTTATGGCCGAACATTACGCTGTCTTTCTTCGCGAAGCTCAAGAGTGGATTGCCCTTGGTTATAACACTATGCTACGCTATCCACCTTGTAAACTTAAAACAAGGCTTAATTTTGAGATTTACACTGTTCAATTTGGGAGAGAATACCGTAGGTGCAACCCACTCTTATGACCGAACTGTCTGCCTACATGTAAGCTTACTACCAAGTGTAAGCGATGTCTTCACTGCCAAGCTGCTTCTGTGCTGCATCCTGCCTTATCGTTCTGCCTAACAAGCTTTGTACTGCTTTGAGATATCTGCTTCAGAATACGAGCTCATCTACGCGCTTGTATTTGCAGCTGTCATCAGAATAGAAAATTGTTATTCTTAGTCTATTGTTCCACAGAATTGTTCATCTATAAAGGCTGCGTGTACACCCTCGCGAAATAACAATGCTTCTCGAATTACATCCAGTTTCGAAACCCATAATTACTCATATTTCTGGATATATACCCAAGTCTATTCTTACCTCTTGGATCACCTCGAAATGGGCAACTTCGGATATATCGCCTTTATTAGCATGGTTGCTAACATGGCCCATCCCATTCTTGCAACCTACTCATCCGGCAAAGGAGGGCAAATCAACTTTTATACGGATACCAAGTGCTCTAATTACAATGGAGAAGCCGCCTGATGGTGGAACAAAGCACCAACTATCGGCCTGCAGTACGAGGGAGGTGGCCCTGGCGACTGTTTCCAGCTCAACATGCCCGGTAATTCCCAGTCTATTAATATAGCTGGTATGTGGACGAGCGGTGGACGTGCAGACTCTGGTGGCTGTACATTCTTTTCCGGTTACAACTGTGATGGTGCCAATCAAGTCTGGGCCACGTATGGGAACGGCGCAGGAGGATGCTTGCCTGCAAGGGGCAGTGCTGGCTATTTGTGGAAGAGTGCACAGTGTGCGGCCGGTCTCTGAGGCCCAGAGGCTACAACACAGCTAAAAGTCAGTTGAGTGTAGATGAATATATGTTCTTATTATATCACGCCTCCTTAAACTTGCATCAAGTGGAAACACGTGTTTGTGCTTAATATGGCACCTTCATGAATTCCCAGCCCTACAGAAACTTGCGCCGTATTAGTATTCCAGCTGTCTTTACTGTCTTCTACTTCAGCGTCTATTGTTATAGGCGACATATCCCTCAATTGGGTATTTCTATGGCCTAAATGCCTCGACGATAGTAAATTATGATCTATAACATAAATGCGTACATATCCGCCATATTGGCCCGTATATGCGTTTCTTAAACCACCGCTGCCGCACAAAGACTAACAAGCTTGTGGATCATATTATTATGGCAGCTGCGTCCAGCCAACCGGATGAGCCCCCATATCCTTCATTTAAGGAGCTTCGGAGCAGTGAGCAGCGTGTCCACTTCTCTCCGCCGCCAAGCGTCTCTATTAGCCTCCAGAAGGCGTCTTTCCTTCCGCAATACCCGTCATGAGGACCTCTCGTAGCGTGGGAGAGCTTGACCCCTTCTTGAGGCTAGACACCAGCAGCAGCGGTAGTGGCGCCTGGCATGAGATCTCATCGCTACCTCTGACGGACCCAAAGGTCTCTTCTTTTGAGGCTTTGCGCAACCTTGACCAATGGAAGTCTGATTGAGTAGCATGGCAAAGGGACCATACTGCATCTGAGTTTAATGCTCGAGTATATCACCTATGGAGATCTCAGCGATGAAGACCGACCCTACGCAAATGAGCCTGTTGAGAATGGCAGCTGGGAGGAGGACTCGAGTACTGAGTTTCTCATACGCTGTTGCGAAAACGATAGACCGCTCAGGAAAAGAGGGCTGAAGATCAAAGTTACACCATCCGCAGGCAAGAGCTAACTTTGTCACTCTGCATGACTATGTCAGTGGTAGGTTTTAGCCCTAGGACTTTGAGGAACTTGTCTAAATAATAGTCTCAGCCGTGCATCCATGGCTCATGGGCTTACGTGGGGATATTATGCGAGCAAAGGCTGTTGCACGTCCCGTGCCTTATGTTGAGTCAATGTTCAATACCGAATGGACGGTGAGCAACCTGACTGCGCTGCAACATAAAATTCTGACGAAAGAACTTTGAACCGAGATGTGATGCCCGCCATGCCCCTTGGACGCTGCAACTCCCAGATTTCTGCAAAGAATAGGTGCAAGGACGGCCTAGTAATTGACGGTCCGTCTTGTCCTCTAATTAAATACTCAGCAACACTGAACACGAAATATCTATCTAACATGTAGTATGAAATATCAATAAACCACGAACCTGCAATTCAACAACTGGGTTGCCAAATACTCCAATATCCAGAACACGTTCGATGAATTCCCACTGGCCGCCTGTTACGTCTTTCACCTTGAGCGAAATGGTTCGAAGCCAGCTTTAGCCCGTCCTTGTACTTCTGGATCCAACAACAATAACACTATTCTTAATAATAAGCGCTGAATCTTGATGATGATTCAATGATCACGGTTGAAGATGAAAACGGCTCGGATACATGTCCTCTCCTAACACGCGGCGTGCCGCGCCCGCCTGCTTAAACCTTAATGTATGTGTTACGATTAGAGCTCTATGGCGCAGCCCAGAACCAACCGAGCTATAGTGCATCCAGGTCAATTACTTTCTCCTGGTTCCGTTCCGAGAATAACGGCTTAGATGGCATTACTGCCCATGAATTTATCATGGAATATGTTGGCAATGCGGGTTAGTTGGGGGCTAATTGCTATACGGCCTAAGGCAAACACTAAATTTGTGTAAATTGTTCCCATGAGACACTTGGGTTTTTTTGCCTGCTCTAGGAGTACCTTGTGTGTCGCTGACCGTGAAAACCCTTGCCTCAATCAGCAACAGATGGTATAATTTTGCCCCTGCTTGAAGTCCCTTGAATGCCTGGCATGAATCGACTGTACAGTTGGGATCTCCAGGAAAAGTTAAGAGTAGGCAATAAGAGGCGTTGGCGAGGGTATATCAACGCGATGCTAACAGGTTACCCGATTCTCGTACTCCAATTGATTCCAACCCACCATGCCACACCGCTGGTCAAGAAAGCCCTGGCCGCAGAGCTGAGATCCGCCAACACCATCGTGGCGAAGGCCTTGCCGAGTTGCATAAGCACAACAAGGCGCGCGTGGCGAACCTGCTCCACAAGAATTGCATTTTAAGGCCGGGACAATAATTTATGGCGGCACGGCGCCGAGCGACAGCAAGATCGAATCTCAAGTCGCGGAACGTCATGAAGCGCGCAACAGCTGGCTCGGGAACACTTGATCAGACACTCGACGAATTGACTCATCAGAAAGGCCAACGAAGACCCCCGCATAAGTTTTCTTCCTTATGTATAGGTACTCCTATCAAAGTCTAGTATTATCTATATTAACCCTTCATTTATAACATTATTTTATTTACATGTTGGATGAAAAATAAGCAGTTCTCAGCGTCTTAAGCTTAGGATGGCTATTTGTAAGTAGTACCTGAGCCTGTATAGATAAAATAACCATGCATTCTCAGAGCAGATGCATAGAACTCGAATGATATAGGAAGAACTATAATCTTCTAACTGTCTTTATAGCAAAGGCGGCCATCGGCCTCTTGATACCAATAGTTTGACCTTATGCATGTTATGCAATAAAATAGATCATTGGGGTCGTATTTCTGCTTGATCGCTTCAAGTGTCGGTCTTGTAGTGCCGTAGAAATTCGCAAGATAATTCGGATCCTTGTAATTTGCTTCATTGATATAGGTTCCAGTGTCTGGTGCCAGCAATTCCAGTGCGGCGCCTTTAACGTAGGTTATGTCGTCCTGTGCTGCTTTGACTTCCGAGTAAGGAGTTGTGTCCGGCCAATTACGAGCCACAAGATTGTTGACCAACGACTCGCGCCACGCCGGATTGATAGCAGTATTAGGAACGTCCAAAGCCACAGCACCGCCACCGTTAACACCTACTACCGTAAACGAATTCTGGCTAGGGAGGCCTGCAGTGACATTGACCATTTGGCGCACGGCAGTGCTGTTAGTGAGCTGCGCACTGCGCAAAAATCGAGAGCTCATGATGATGCTTTGTCCAACGTCCATGCTGTTCGCGTGAACGTTGTGGAAATAGGTGAAGTAATCGGGAAACGCAATGTACTCCGCCGTCACATTCATACCCTTGGAATTAAATGATGATAGCCTTGCCACCACTGGTGCCATGCTCTCCTGTACATTATCGATGCTCCGATTGAAGCCGCCAAAGGCAGACTCTAGCCTTCTGACTTTCGGAGCCAACAATGTGTCACCATCCCAGGCCGCCCAGCCAGCATAGCCACCAAGATTTGCCTCTAGGATCATAGGTGTAGTTTCATACCAGGTTGCAACGGCATCCAAGAAAGTGGCAAGATCATCATTCCCATCTTGGGGAACGATGGTCAGAATAGCTGCAGTCACAGGCATCTCCGGGTATGCCTTAATGGTCGCGTTAATGACAACACCATAGGTGCCACCACCTCCGCCTCGGAGCGCCTGGAACAAATCAGTATTGTGGCACGCATTCGCTGTGACGACTTCTCCATTTGCCAGAACAACTGTATACTCAAGAACTTGGTCCGCAGCAATGCCGAATTCGCGCATAGAAGCCGAGTGGCCTCCGCCTTGCAAGTAGCCACCAATGGCGCCTACACCTGTACATGTGCCGCCCACGACGATCACATTTTGTTCGTAAGCAAATTGATACACTTGTGTCCAAGTGTATGCTCCACCAATTGTAATCGCGCTGCCAGCCCAAAGAGCCGCTCCGGTAGATTCTATACTCTCAGGTTCCTGCGGGGAACACTGGCTGGTTGAAAGATATGAGTTGTGGAAAGTGAGGCCTTGGCGGAGATTATGTGTCCAGATCTCTAGACTGGCATAACCTGTTGAGCGACCCAGAAAGTCGTGGCCAGTCTGCTTGATAGAAACGCGCATATTATGTTGTGCTGCGAAATTGAGTGCAAGAGAAATGTCATTTTCGTTCGTCACATTGACCGCGTAGTAGGGGGAGTCTCCCAGCGAGCAGCTAGAGGTATTACCACCAGGGATATCACAGCTGAAGGTGTAAGGATAGTCATAGCCAGTCGGAAATTGAGCATGAAAGAGCGAGCTATTCCAATTGGCCTGGATATCGGCACACTGAACTGAGTCGTTCAGAGGCCCTGGGTAGCACGGAGCGGCTACAGGAAAGTTCTGAATAAGCTTCCCGGGAAGCGAGGCATTAAATGAGGTCAGCGCTGATTCAGTTGGCCAACAGGTTTTGTCGCTTGGGATCTGTACATTTGTTAGCGAGCCGATTTCAGTATGTGTCTCCTAGGAAGTCATAGTTCACTTACGCATTTACATCTACCCGCTTGCACGACGCTCGAAAGGCTGGCAAGGGTTACCGGAACGAGCAATTTCCAGGCAATCATTGTTCACAACAAAATTATGTCTGTTTGATGATAGAACTGAGGACGAAAGAGCTCGGATGCGAAAAGGTGGGATCTCAAGCATTATATCTTCGTTTATTAGGGGCGAACGCTCCTGTATCGGCCTTCCACGCCTTTCCCTAACCCAGCTCTTGTTCAAAAACTATCCGGGCACCCCTCAGGGTTAATTCGTATACCCTTCACAGAGCGGTACCACTTAGTACAAGCAAGGCCGTATGATTGGATCTATTCCTTATGATGGGATATACACAAGGTATCTACAATTTCCAAACCAACTCGAGTCGATCCGCTGCTTGTTCGTAGTATCCACTTCAGTCAGTCTCAACACGCCGTTTTCTTACACTTGTCAAAAGCTGGTCATTATCTACCAAGTCCTTACCTTCAATATATTATGTTCTCGTTTGTGAGTGGGCTGACAGCTTGTATCTTAACTATAGGGAGCTTCCACTATACAGAAAAAATCCAGCAGTTGCCGGGCAACAAAACCGTTCCAAGACTGCCAGCGCATAAAGAGCTGCCCATCAGCACAACTCTAGATCAGTTTGCGTCCCATAGTAACCGAAAAGAAGCTTTGTATGGACTAATTAATTTCCAACACGCCGTATATAATTCAACCCTTGCTAGTTTAACATGTAGGTATCACCCCTGCAACCTCTGCTTAGGGCTAGACTAAAGTCAAATATCAGGGTTGAGATCGTCCTGACAAAGTGCCTGCCCCATTTATCATCGCAGTCTTTTTCCAACAATCCTTCCATTCCGCTTTCTCCTGCAAAGCTGATAGGGAGTAAACCTGATAGGATGTTGCTGACAGATTCTTTACTCACGTGCATAGCTACATGTACCCTTGTCTACCGTACAGTACAGTCTCCTTTTGCTTATGATATGAGAAATGAATCAGACAACGGCCTAGTCTATGCCTATTGTAAAACACCTAGGGATTTGATTTTGAATCGAAACGTCCTCGTCGACAAATTATGCGTGAAAGCCTTGGGGGCATAGTGCTACAGGTCAGTCTCTTCAACGTTGTCACAGTGGCTAGCCAACAATCCAAGGATTTGATGGGTGGTTATACATCAATGATACGCTTTTATAGCCCTAGGAGAACCAGTTTAAAGAATAGCTAGAGCAAACTACAACAAGCTCATTGGTAGCATTTCTATACTCAGAGCCAGGAAGTTTTACTAAAGGCCCGATAGAGTTTATTACCAAGTCTCCAAAGCCAGTGGCAACGAAAAAACACTTACCCACCGCCAAGTAAGCAGCAGAAAATGTTGGTAGTATTAGGCAGGTGCAGGGGAAATCCAAGCCAGGAGATTTTGGTGATGTGGTCCACCAGTACTATAAGCTAGGTGCTAGTGAAGTGTTCTTATGTGCATGAATAATTGAAGAGCCTTACCTTTCGATGCACTACCGAGCACATATAGTGGTTGACTTTACTACCATTAAGAAGGCTTAACCGGAGGCTAATAAGGATTCGACCTATGTATTTATTTTTGCGAAATGAAACTCACTTAATTTCTCAAATTGCATAGAGTCAACTTCATTTTACAATTCTTATTTCATTTAGCAGGAAATGGGTGATATCTACAAGAAGACCTCAACCCCCGCGTTTGTTTCGCTTCCCTGATCCTTCAACCATCTGCTCCGGTGCCAAAGTCTTCTCTGCGCAATAAATCACCCGAAAAAAATCTTCCCCAATGTGTTTTATCTATTCCCTCGCAATCCCGACGAACCTTTGTCAGCAGAATTTTGAGGAATTTGACAGGACTCTTTGTGAATATTCCGTCTTGATCACAAGCACTGTTAGGGATAAATCCATCCGCTTCCACCACTGCTCCGGTCTCTGTTGCTAAACTCATCATTTTGCATGTCCCTTCATAGTCGGCATAGGAAGCAAAATATAATTGACCGGAGAAGACATTTAACAGTAATCGCATAGAAGACGGCAGGTGCCAATCTCTTCCGAGAAGCGGTGTTGGGTAGAGTTGCAGTGAATCCAACGACGAAAAGGCTAGATTTGGCCGGGGGCCGTATAGATGAAGCGCTACATGGTTTGAAGTCCTAATGGATGGCATCAGCTCCTGAGCTTCATGGGGGCTGATAATCACCAGGCGCTGAACCGAATTGCCATTTCCAGTGGTACTCAATATCCATTGCACTGGTCGCTGATAGGAATCCAGCAATGAGGCGGTGCCACTAAGAGCAACAGTGTCCTTGTAATCTAGTGTCGTAACAATGCTTTCTGGGAACTCATGGACGTCGAAACTGTTCGCTGCACTAGTGTTCCACAGAGTCTGAAAAGCAGGTATAAACGCTGGAGATGAAGAGGGCATTTTGCCAGACTTAATAAATTCAACAACGTCAGGGTGCAGCGAGTGCTTTCTGGGATCAGCTGGATGTGGCCTTTGTACCTGTCGTTCTTGCTCCATCTCTGGCGACAATTCTCGTTCTTGTTCTTCAAGAAGAGTGGATTGCTGGCTGCCCAGGCAATCGAATTGCTTGCATCGCTCTTGTATTTCCAATATAGCGCGGTTTTCCGATGAAGAAGGTAACTTGGGGTTTGTATGCGCCATCAAACGAGGACTATACCTATCTTCCATCGACTGCGCCTCAACTTCGAGAAGCATTTGTGCTTCCTCTATCGACAACTGGCGTGACTTTTCGTCTGTTACTTCGCCCCATATAGCCTTTTGACGCTCAAATCTCTCTCCTTGCACGGCCCACAACGGCATATTTCGCCTCGTGTCAGCATACGTCTCAAAAATTGCCCAATGCAAGACATCCATAACGCAAATCTTATTGCTACCTGAGAGGCCAGTTGCCGAGCAAATCTTTGTCTGGATCTCCTCTGGTACACAAAATACGACGGATTGGCCTTGGCCAAGTTTCCGCATTCTCATGCATGCTGTATTCAATCAGCCGTAGCACTTGCATCACAATTAAGACTACTTACCTTGCACCAATCTATCTTTGGTCAGACTAGGACCCAGAGTAACCGCAGCTCTGTAGCCAGTTGGGAGCTTGAGATCTGTTCCTCTAGTGTGAGCTTCGTCAAGATATACGAGACAAAGATCCAGCCGATGAGAATAAGCAGATGTTTGCAGCTTTTCGACGTATCCCTTGCGATCTATAGCGCATAGTTCATCAGCATCATTGAAAAACACCACCGCTTCTTTCTCTTTTTCGACAGGGACAATCTTTAGCCACTCCTGCGCGACTTGGATATTAGTGAGTTCAATTATCTGTGCTCCAACATCAAGAATGACATGAACTGGAGGATCCAGAGACCGAGCAAATGTTAGGAATGCGTTGCCCGACGGTGCTTCTTCCTTTGGTCGTGACATAAGTACAACGCTATTCTCAGACTGTAACAACCTTTCAAGGACCAAGGCATTGGTGTGTAGTTGATCGTCAAGATCCAACTGTTCAATCTCAAGAGGCAAAAGATCGCGTGAATCATTAGTGCCACTGAATCCCGTTGTAGGATGAATCTTTTGCTGTCCAATGTCCCAGCCAGAAGCGGAAAGCTTTTCTGGAAATTCCTTCATCTCTCTGGGAAAGATAATATGCGCAAGGAAATAATCAATGACGTTTTTCGAGTATCGGAGATGAGGGAACAGACGATGGGTGACTTGGTAACGGTCCTTGATGTTCACTCCGACAAGGCGATGGAATGACTCAGGAAGACTTGGAGCAAATTGGATCCACTCCGAATACTCGCTTTCAGCTTGGTCCAACTTCATTAGGTGCTCGAAACACAAAAAGAGGTCATCATCAGATAATCCTCCGTAGTAGTAGCTCAAGCATGTGAGTACAATGACAACATCTACATGACTGAATTCGGATCTTGGAGTTGGGCTATCCTTTGCTCGGTAGGGCACAGCAAGTCTCGTAGCAGGCTGCCGGGTGGGAGCAAGCCCATAGTTGACTCTCCAACGCTTCTGCTCGAAAACGAATCCTAAGATGCCCTCTGCTATAAGGCCTCTGAGGAGAAGCAATGGCCCTTTGGTCAACTCAGTATAAAAAGAACACTGTTCCACTGCAGTTATCTGTTCAGAGGAAAGAAACGCAGTTGAAATATACTTGAGTACAGCATCTTGTGTGCTTGGTTGCTGGTGAACTACCGGAAAACCAGAAAGTCCGACGTTGCAGATTTGATGAGATAGTTGGTTCATCAAACTATCTAGGGCGTCCTGTCGAAGTATACGAGTTTTGGGGAAGCATCCTTCAGCATGGTAATTGACTTCGATAGAATCGGGGAAGCTCTCCTGTATCTGCGGCACTATTCGCGACATGAGACTAAGCACTTTTTGGACGAGTATCCAGCGGTCAGGACTGAGCTCAATTGGCCTTTGAGTTCCCATCGTATATATCAATTCGAATTTTACACTGTAATTCTCGTCACTTTCATCAACGATATCTCTAGTGTTGCGGTCCAGAAATCGTTGTGTGTCCAATAAAACGCGTCCGACTTCTTCCCGTCCAGAAAGAAGGCATTCGATGCCCATGAGCTTTTGGGAAAGTATGTGTTCCGGCTGTGAAAGAAGAACTCCACCCAATTTCATGCAATCTCTATAAATGCTGTCCAATGATTTGCAGTCATTTGCCGTCAGTCTCAAGGATCGAGAAAAGGGCATATAGTACACTCGTTTGCCCAACCATCCGCCTAATTTGGTGACAAGAATACGATGGAGCTCCTTCGCCTGTGGTTTTGTAACAATAACGCGTACAAGTCGAGATCCGTCTGCCAAGTGAGCTGCTATAATAGGAACAATGATGGATGATTTCCCTTCGCCCATATTTAGCTGCATAGTGACATTCTTGCCATTCGGAGGCGCCCTCATATTTGCGGCTACACTTTCTTGATTCTCCCGGATTAAGATGTCGCTTTCGATTTCGAGTAGCAGAGACTTGGGGTAATCAAGAGGTTGCCAGTTGCGATGGCCAACATTGAGTAGCTCTTTCATAAGGTCATCCCGGTTGTCGTGTAAGTATCTCATGCGTCGAGCGCGTTGTAGTCTAGACAATGCCAGCCCATAGTCGACGATAGCCTGTTTCCACTGATTAGGTATTTTGTTCCACCATTTGCTCGCCAATTGCCGCAGAAAAAAGGCTGGGGAAACTCTAGGTGCCATAAAAAGCGATATTGCCAGCGTTGTCTCAGTGTCTGATGCATTGCCAGTCGTAGGTCGCATAGCTATCGTCAAAGCTTCGCAAATTCGGTCTGCATCCTCTTTGCAACGTTGTAAATTCTTGTCCAATTCACCAACAAGATCTTCCCCATAAGATTTAATAAAATACTGATGATCTTGAAGGTTTAACTTTTCGAAACTCTTTTCGAGATCTGATACATAGCTGGACTGATGATGGTGTCGTCGTGCATTGTCCCGTTGCAGTCGCTCTACAAGAGCCGCCCCATTGGAATAGTTTTTGGCGCGATCGGCACTATAACCCAAAAGCTCTGGAATTGTACCCTGGATAACTGGTTGCGGTAGCGGAGGGTCGAAGATTTCAAAAAGATCACAATCGTTGAAAAAGACTCGTTTGGCTGATTTTGTAGGGATTGGTGGTGTTTCAATACGCGGACCCCAATCAATCGACTCGACGGAATAGCGTCGAAGGACATTTACGATCTCAACAAAGTGATCATACAGTCGATTATTGGAGAGCCAGCTAATCCACCTCTTTCGCACGACTTCCATGGCTCGACCTAAATAAATATACGTCGAAATATTGCAGCTGGATGGAGTTTGAAGATTTTCGCAAATCCATTGGCTTTGCAGAGAAGCTGAAAAATCTGTTACAGCCGTGTCCAAATTTTGATGGAAATTTTGGTAGCGCCTATTCGTCAAGCTTGACATGGATTCCCTGTGGTAAGGGCTCATGTGAGAATCAGGGGAGTCCGAGAAAGGCTTGGAATTGCACCTAGCAACATGCTGCAACCAGGCTGAGGCAACCTTGTGACCGTCAGACAATTGATAGGATTGAGACTTGGGTACAATTGTACCTCCAACAGACGACATAGTTGCGCATGCGACTAGAGTTTGTATAACCTGTAAGTTACAGGACTCGGAGTAGCCCATTGCGGCAAGACAGAACATAGCCTGGAACGTGTTAATGTTATTTTGTTGTCTTCCCAGGGTATGGTAGAGCTGGCACCAGTGCGAGCTAAGAAGTGGCCTGGCATCTTCCAGCCATTTCGCATCATAAGAGATAACGCTGTCAGGCAGGGGGGTGTCTGGGCCCAGCATGCTGTCGCCTTTAGACAGGTATGCCCAAAGGATATCCGCAAAATTGGATGGAATAGCTTCAAAAAGATTGGCCCGCATTGTGAACAGAGATCTTGCTATTTTAAAAGAACGATTATATCTGTCGGAAAACGAGACCCTATCTCGCCCATGATAGAAATTGTCTTTGGAAGAGGCGAAGTCTTCAGCGCCAAACCCGAACAGGTGAAAACAAGAAGATCGGATCGCTTGACGTTCTTCTAGTAGCGGCTCTACCCTGTCAAGGGCCTGTGGTTCAATATAAGTGTCAGGATAGAAAAATTTAAACGATGCGGCCTGGCGTAGGATTGACTGGACAGACCTATGGAACCCGATGTGCTGAGACAGGCTACTCAGACAGGGATCCCACGAAGTGCTTTCCATTACTCTCATGTATTCTGGATAGTAGCGTCTGCTAGGAGATATTTTTGCAATGCAGTAAAGACGTTCAAGGTTTTCCTCTGATAAGCACCGGAACGATCTAACGGCTGCTGAATCAAGGATCATGAGAGCCGCTTCTGTGCCGGTCATTCCAGTCAGAGGGTCAGGAAGGCAATGTGAAGTGAGAGCATGAAGATAGCACATTATCAGCTTGCTCTGCAAGCTCCCATTGTCCACAAGTCGCCCTAATAGCGTGTCAACATCGTAGAAATGGACCTTTTCAGAAATTCCATAAGGAATGAAGACACGAATATGATCCTCACAGCCGTACCACTTAGCTTTACCGCTTGGTAGGAGCAGCTTGCGTCTTTGCAGATCATCTGTTAAGACTAATTTGCTCTCAAGTCCAATCAACACACCAATGTTTTGACAGGGATCTATATGCATATCGCGAAATTGACGGCTGTAGACCTTATCTGATTTTTGGTCTGACCAAAACTCTAGCTGGAACCTTGGCAATGCGATGTTGACCCGATTGAAGTCTGAGTTGGCAATGACGTGTATGTAATCGGGGTGTTCAAGCGGAGCCAACAGCTTGTGAAGGCGGTGTACCGCTATGTCAGTGAGGCCAAGGAGAAACTGGCCGCTTTTCTCCATAATCCAGCCTGAGTGAAAGGATGGCTCCAGCTTCCTCATTCTCCAACACTCCAACGGTAAGTCCCAAGGCGAGGACTTTGGTCGAAATTCGATCTGGCCGGTTCCCCGACGATACCAATGAGAATAATCGTCGATGAAATGCTTTGGTAGTATTTGATTGAAGACTCGTGGTGGAATGAGGTCAAATGTATCCTCTTGTTCCCTCTCTCCTGCTCTGACCGCCACCAAGAGAAGGTCTTTCTGTTCGAAATCACTGAGACCAAAATATATTTTGTAGTCGTGGTAAACCCCTTTGGAGGAAAATTGCATACCAGGCATGTCCGTCGGCATTACTTCCACCATTGACCTTCCGAAATACGTCTCATAACTCTGATGCCTCTCGTATTCCACCGGCAATCGCGACAGTGGCAGCCCGTTGACAAGCAACTCGGCCGTCAAAAGGTTGAAATATACATTCAGAGAGCCAAGTCCGTTTGCAGCCACTGTTCGTGTCACAAGCCAGTGATCGGCTGCGGTAGAAAGGGTTTTCCATTCTCCACCGCCAGGATATGTTGACCAAGTATTTGCAATGGCTTCATCTAGCCACGAACTGCGGCCACACAATATCTCTTCAATATACAATTGATGAGCCTGGTACATGCACTGATGCCAGCGGTTAGCTGCGCTGCGGTAGAACGCATCTTCCGGCTTCATCGCAAATTGCATGGTAGACTGAATAGCAATCGATGATTCGATCATTATACAAGCCTCTTCCGGATTCTTCACAATCCGCTGTAAATGCTTGTCATCGACGTAGAAGGAAGCCATACACACCAGAGCTACTTGGAACACTGTTTCAATAAGCTCTATTCGTTGCGTTTCATCTTGAGCTTCTTTTACTCGATCCTGCAGGCTGCGAAGCCACACAAGGGCCACTTTCCGACAATCTCTAATGAAGGAAGCACAATCGCGCGATATAGCCAGACATGGTGCCCAAGATAAAAGTCTTGTTCCGAGCGAGATAAAAGCAAACAGTGCTTGGAAAGATTCCCAATTTTCGCTGATTCTGGCTAGTGCTAGCCGAAGACCCTGCAGGAGCGTGGCAGCGAACATTTCATCGTCCAGATCCTGGTGGCTCCCTCTGAGGGCAGATTTTGGTAACGGAGGTCCGGCTTGTCGGCTGGTTTGCAACAGAATCAACACTGTATCAAGTTTCCTGAAATCTAGTGCTGGAGTATGAAGATTCACTAGAATATTCTGCCACCCAAGGCGGTATCCAACTGGAATACTGGCCATAGCCTTGAATTCTTCGAGGGAAAGATGATCTGGAGACATTGCCTGTCGCGAAATAACATGGTTTGGTGTCAATCCGTTTGGCTTATGGTGAGGCCGGAAAATGAAGTCTTGGAGGCTGGCGCACTGCTGTGAAAGAGTGTAGGTGCACATTTTGGGAACGTCGTCTGTACAATGAATCTCGGATATGTAGCAACGTTGTTCGGCATCGTAATAAGCGTATCTCATGCCATTCGCCACCAACACATCTTGCAACACTGCAGTTTTAACCAGCTTAGACCTCCTGTGAGAATGTACGTTTGGCTTTGTAGTGGACGCGAGAATTATCGTACGCGCGGCGTTATCGTAATAAGAAGGCAGGTAAAGGCCCAGAGTCCACTCAGCAGGCTGATCACCGCTACCACCATAGAGTGACCCCAAGACATGAATTCGACAGAATGATGACATATTACGCCAGTCATTGAAGCATTTTGGGACCTTCAGCTCAAAAACCGTCGATTGCGCGTCGAGCCTCTTCTCGGGAAGTGGCCATTCATGAATGTCAATACGCAGTGTTTCGGCCTTATCCAGGTAGTCGCATTTACTACAGGAAGAGCTATGCTCAGAGTTTGAAACCCCCGTCTTCCAGTTCACGACATCCTCAAAGTCATGGCTAGCGCTGTTATAGAGCTTTATCCAGTTTTCGTATTCATTTTTAAGCCTAGAGAATTCGTCTTTCTTTCTCTGTCGCGCTGATTCTGCTTCTTGTTCAATGTCCCGAAGCAATGTCTGATGAGCTGGAGAACTGTCAAAGTATTGGACTGAAAAAGAGTGTACGTGTCCAAACGAGTGAAAGATGGAGGGATATGAGAAATAGGCGCGAGCACGCCGCTGTTCCAAATAATCTTCCACAGTTTTTAGTCGCTCCATCTGCCCTCTAAGCGGCAAGATGAGAGACTGCAGTAGTTCATGAGGCATCTCCGACCTATAGTTCAATATGAGTGGATGATGCTGGGTAGCGGCTTTGTCGCAAGCAACCCAGAGTTCCATAATGACTAGCAACATGATGGAAATACTCTCCGGATCCTCATCATACTGGCTCAACGCAAGGTTGTAGTAGGCTTCAGTAGTATTGTAAAGCCTCTCGCATGTATCTTCCTCCAAAATATGAGAGGTTAACCACGGATATAGAGAAGTTTCAACCCAGGTTTCAAAGGCGGATAAATAGAAAGGGATTGTGCTCTGCTCTTTGGGGCTAATAGCCTCAAGAGATGGTAAGTCGTCTTTTTCATTCTTTTCCAAAATCCATGGTGGCGTGAAGTCTTTGTCAGCCTCAATTACTTGTCGACTGTAAATTTGCTCAATGAAATGGTCAATCTTTTGGCATGTTACAAACCTCCCTTGTGAGATTTCGTTGGCCGACAGTGGATGAATATCCACAAGAGTTTCATTTTTTCGCATGATAACATTCCATCTCTCTTCATTTTGGCTTTGGCAATTGCGCAAAACTTTTTCAACTGTCGCAATCCATGGATAGGCTTTGTGCCGGTCAATCTTGATCAGGCGCTTGGATATCTTGGCCATCATGCAGTGATATATATCGCTGGGGAGGTCATGGGCCTCACAACACTGCAAAATGTAGGCCATAAAGAATACCATAAACTCCTTGTATAGCTCTTTGTTTGAAGCTGAGCGTGAGAGGTACAGCTGGATTGCCACGCGAACAAGTAGCCAGACCGACGACCTATGCCACGGTGAATCAGCATTAGACCAGAGAACTTCTTCCCGAGTATTCTTCCAAATTTTAGATCCTTGAGACGGCCGGCCAATGGCGCTAAGACCGGTTACCAAGAAATCAGTTACAATTGTTGGAGCGGTAGTATCTCTTTCCTCAATGTGTTGGTCACCAGCCTTGGTTATCTTTGGTTTCATTTCAGACACTTCTTGGTAACTCATTGTCGCGATTGTGTTTGCAAGACCGGCCTGACATTGCTCTTGGTTGAATACCTCGAGGCTCACAGCAGTTGAAGAAGCCGGAAAAGAGCGTTTGAGACGTCCCGAGATAGCCATTACCCTTTCGTTCTGTGGTGACAGTTCAAATGGCTCAAACACAGCGTTGTCTTTATCGCATGTTATGACTATACCGGCATTCTGTGCTTTCACATGAAGCAACAAGAAACCCCCTGCCATTTGGTCAGCAAAGCTAGCTCTTACTACACAACGTCGCTCTTGTTTGCATGGATATGTTAACGTACCATTCTTATTGAGGTCATAGAATCCCTCGCGGAGCAGATCTTCATTCAAGAATCCGCTTCCATCAATGATCTTACGAAAACGCTGAATGGCCTTCACCGCCTCATCGATTGCGATCTTGTCGCTTGCATGGATGGTGGTGCTGAATTTCTGGAGCGCATCGGCGACGATAGCTAACATGGAAGCCTCGTGAGCCACAATGTAGGCATCGTCACCATTCTGTGGGAGCTTTGGAGGCAAAAAGATATTCTCCACCACATATTGTATGTCTTGGGGAGACAATTTTAAAGATTCTGCTACGTCCATGTCGTGTGTGTATTCATATCCTCCTGATAAAACGTATTCGGATGTCTGTTGATTATTGAATTGAGAGAAATTGTATAACAGCTCAAATATCTAGACTTTTCGTTAGTAATCTTGGGTTACGACGAGGCTCCGTATTGAGCAAAGAGACGCACGGATTTGTCAAAGAATCACTGTCATCAACCGAACAGTTGAACAATCATGATGATAGTCGCAAAAAAGCGATCGGTTCCCAAAACGAATTGCAGCTGGATCTCAATATATATTTGTGTACTTTGTTGTAGGCCTCCCACAGCCTAACCATGTTCGTCGTTGGACAGGCAAGCCGTGAAAGCCTGGCAAGTTGCACAGCACCAGCGGAGCATGCTGCTATTGGATGCCACCGGCAGCAGCCAGGCATATTTATTGCAGTATGTAGCCGCTCAGAGGTACGTATAATGGAGCTTAATGGTGAGTAGGACCCACTCTGTGCTATGCTCTCACTGTTTTGAACGGCGTGGCTGAGCGCCCTGCAGCCACAATGCTGCATGCGTGTTGGTACAGGATATATAACACGCTTGTTGTAACTGATGTATTCTTATCACAGTTAGATGTTTTATGCCTTGTCTACGAACTAGAGAAGGCATTCAATTAGAGACACCAGCAACAGGGATGACAGTTGCTATACCTGGACTACACTACCGGCCCTTTCATTCCCCACCTCGCATATACGGTGATCAGCTTTACTGCTCAGGGGGGCCTTGCAGCAATTTAGCCCAAATCCCCGGCTCAACCTGGATATGTCTTTGCTTGCTATTGAGCTCGTTTCAGCTTAAGAAGCAAAGGCGAAAGCTATAGGTTGGGTCCCTAGCTTATCTGTAGTTGCCTCTTCACTAGCTTTCCAATTCCTCGTTGTATAGTTGGATCTAAAGCGGAATTCAAAAGAGTTAAAAAGTAGAGCATTTACGTCAATTATATCATCTCTTGTACATCTATTGTTTCTATTCCTTGCTGGTGGTAAAGTGGAAGCTTCGAATAATGACAAGGTGCGGGTCATAGCATGGTATTACTGCGGTCTTAGTGGCATTGGCTTGTGGGCAAGCTAAGAGACGCTGTCTCGGCACTCTTTTACCTTCCGCCAAGTGACCAAGTGCGCCAGCCATCGCTTTCATCACCTTCTTTCTCTCCTAATGACGGCGCCTTGGCTACAAGCCCACATCCCCAGCATTCTCTCTTGTCTAAAACTTCCAATCTGTTTTTGAGTTCAAAAGACACATTCAGCTGCCAAATATCGGAGATGCAGCTCAATACAGCTTTGGGTGTTCCTTTTGACTGCCTACTTCAACCGTCTCCACCGTCGAGGGCAGCAATCCTAGCTTTTGTCAGTATCTTCTAATGCATCGGGAATTTCGTGCAATGACTTTCCAGAGGAACAAGCTATTTTTTTTTCTTGAATAGCATCAACATATGAATGGTGGTATCATATAAGAGGATTAACAATACGGTGCACGGATAAAGATGAGATAGACTGAAGTCTATTAGTCGCAAGCGTCTGAAAGGTCTCCCAAATACCAGTATCTCAATAACCTGCTGCTTTGCTATCCAGAGTATTACTACTTTGATACGTGATACTTAAATCGTGACTGGTTGGCTATTCCTCTAAACAGTCATTCACTGAAATGCTGTGATTGTCAGCAAACTACTCAACGTAGCAACGTGACTATTATTTAACATCCTACATCATCAGAATGTATGCGTACATTCCAAAAACATTTCTTTTCAGTTTACTCTCATTTAGTAATGCAATGCTAAGTTGCTAAAAGTGGAACCAATGGGTAACCAGTGTTGTCAAGCTAAGCAAATATCACCGAAACCGCATGTCTGTCGTTATTTGGTGACGTGGTGTGACCGATGTTCGGCTTCACTTTTGATGCTTTAAATGTAACTTTCCGTAATCTACTTTGGTTATTACTTTGACTTGTGCACTTATGCGCATGAGGACTTTATTACTTTGCCGTTACCATGTCTGCCACCATTCTTCTTGAGTTGACCGCCAACCGATCGCCTCAGAATCATGCAGATACCACCAATGACTTGATTGGGGGTCGGATGGCTAACGATATTTCGTCTCTTCCGAATGAGCGTGAAGCAACTACCACAGCGACGTCCCAATCTGAGCGTCTACGTACTGTTCGGTCCAGAGCAGCAAATGCGGCCGATAGGCCTAGCGATGAAATACACGATCAGTCATCTCGACTACCATTTCGTCGCCTCATCGCTGCGTATCTATGTCTTTCAGCCATCTACTTTACTTCATCACTTGATATCAATTCAGTTGCGTTGGCTCTCCCCGTAATCGCGCGCGACCTTGGCGCTGGTAGCAGCATTACTTGGACTGGAACGGCCTATTTAATGGGTCAGGCCGCTTTTCAGCCTCTATACGGTCGCCTGTCAGATATTTTCGGTCGGAAGCCGGTCTTGATGCTCTCCGTTGGGTTTCTCGTCATTGGCGACATCTTATGCGCCAACTCCCACTCTCCCGCTTGGCTCTATGCGTGTCGAGCAATAAGTGGCATTGGCGGCGGCGGCATCAGTTCTATCATATCAATCATTGTTAGTGATCTCGTGAGCCTTAAAGACAGAGGCAAGTACCAAGGGATGCTTAATGCCTCCATCGGCGCTGGATCAGCTATAGGGCCATTCCTTGCGGCCTCCCTGATACAAAAGATAAGAATAGCAGAGATATCGAGTTGGAGATGGATCTTCTACATTCCACCAATCCTGGCTTGCGTCTCTACTATAGCTTGTATGGCTTTCCTGCCATTGACAACCATCAGTGGAAGCTGGAAAGCGAAGGCAAGACAAATCGACTGGATGGGACTTGCAGCTTCTCTGGTCGCAACTATTTGCATGCTGGTATGCATAGCTATACTGCTGCTCCTATTACAATGAGAAATTTCTGCTAATCCAACCATTCTTGTATTTATAGATACCTCTAAATTTAGGCGGAACGTCTTGGCCGTGGGGTAGTCCGGCGGTAATTTCTTTGATGATCATTGGCGGAATTGCAGTTGCAGTGTTCACTATCATTGAGAAAAAATATGCACGCATTCCTCTCATCCCTCTTCGGCTTTTTACTAGCAGAGCTACTGCAATTCTACTCATCCAGAGCGCTTTTTACAACGTGGTATGGCAAGTAGATATGTACTTTCTGCCTGCATATTTTCAAGATGTCGGGGGATTCAGCCCCCTTCAGGCTTCTGCGTTGATGCTCCCTATACTTTTGTTTTCGAGCGTTTCAGGCATTCTGTCAGGCCCGGCTATGACCATTCTCGGGAGGCAAGTCTAATCATCCATCAAATCCCTTGTAATGGGTGCGTGTACGCGGCTGACGCGCAGAAGGTACGACTATATATACCATCCAGGAATCTTTCTGTGGCTCCTAGGCGTCTGCCTAAAGATGATATTCGGCCAGAACACAAGCGTTGGGGCTTATTTGGGCGCCTTGTTAGTTGAAGGATGGGGTATTGGATGTGTTTTCCAGCCAGGTACAGTCTACTTAACACATGCCTGCATGGATACGACTATGTTATCGTGACTACTCACTGCGTTTAGGTCTCGTGGCTCTGCAAGCACATTGCCCATCCAAAGATCGTGCGGTTGCGACGTCAACGCGGAATCTCTTCCGAATGCTCGGTTCTGTCATTGGCATGACAATCGCATCCGCTTTGCAGAGTGCTGTTACGCAGGCAGCTCTGCCCGATGATATACCAGCTTCAGTGCTCTCGCAAGTAACGATGGGAACATGGAGATCCGGAACTACAACTTGGGACCAAGGCATATCCTATGCCAAGTTCAAAGGTTTTCAAGCAGTGTTTGCGATGGAAATTCCTTTCATGGCACTCTGCTTCCTTGGTTGTTTTGGTATACCCAGTGCAACGTTTGGGGAAGATAACGAGAGGGCAGAAAGACGCACGACGTAAAACACTCAATTATTTGGATGAGTTGCGATAGCAGCTTTTGACTAAACGATACTTCTGGCGACCCAGGGGCATTTAGTTACAGGCGGGAGAAACAACTTTACATTACTATGGAAGCGAATGCAACCCGGCCAGTAGCCGAAAAAGTTTTTGGAGAAGATATACTCCAGTGCCTGTACGCATACGGATGAAGATTCCCCGCTGGTCTATTGCATATTCCCTGTTGTAAGTTGGTGAGTCTAAATAGCTTTTGGGTATTTAAATGTGAAGTGTATACACACAGCCCAGCTTGCTGAGGGCTAAGAAACCCCGATTGAAAGAGTCATGCATAAAGATGTTGATAATTGTAAGCACAAGACACAAAATAATTGAGTTATTTCAAAAGCCTCTACCTTGATATTTCGTCAGTGTCAATACACATCCATAGCTAAATGATCAAGCCCGGTCTTTTCAGTGTCATATTCCGTATGTCATGAATAGGTTTGATCTTTGTGTGTTAATTAAAGAATCACATTGGCTCAGAGGAATACCAAATGTCTAATTGGTATAATGAATTATGATATTACTAACGTTCTGAGTATTTAAAGAGATACGATGTTAGTCTATCTTATTTACAATTTCTCGGATATTCTTTTAACATCGATGTTGAAGTAGTACACCTCCTGTTCTTATTTCATGCTATCAACAGCATAACACGCTTCCCTTACTGGTAGGCAGGGAAAACGGTGCCATCGCTGTTACCGCTGTAAGTGTAGCCGCAGTTACCGTTACCAACGACATATCCTTCGCCAGTGTCGCTGCCAGCGATGGAGAGGATAAAGTTAGGGTGGTTGGACTGGGATGCGCAGGTCTCGCCAGGGTGGTACAGCAAGAAGCAGTTTCGGTTTCTGGGGCGGAAAATGAATGTCTCGCAAGTTCCGAATTGCTGGCAAGCATTGCAGCAATCGGTTGCGGTGCTGGCGCCGTCAGCGACAGTGTTGAAATCGGAACCGACACCGGGGCCGTTGTTGGCGACGTTGACAGCATAGTAGCGTTTTCCATTGTTGCTGAAGTTGGGGCCAAAGGTGTTCAAGTTGCTGCAGGCGTCATAGACGGTAGGGCCAGGGATAATGGCGGTGGTGGTGGTGGAGGCTGTGACAGTGCTAGTCTCGAAGGTGGTTGTGAAAGTGGTCACACTGGAAGTGTAGGTGGAAGTAACGGTGGATGAGACATCAGCGGGAACAACAGTCTTGGTAGAAGTAAGAGTGCTGGTCTTGGTAGTCTCTCTCCAGTAGAAAATGGTTTCCGTGACGGGGTGCACGGTAGACTGCACAGTCTTGGTCTTGGTGTTGGGCAGAATCTTGGTACCTGGAATTGAGTTAGCGATTGGCCCTGTTGCTTGGTAAGAAGTGAATGCGATGACTTACAATCCACCTTGGTAGGGTACATTGAGGCCTTAAGACCCTGGGGCTTCTTCACTTGAGCCCGGGGAGGGTGAGGGTGGTCGAGGGCACGACGATTGAGGGTATCGGAGTTGACCGTATCCTGAATGTTTCGGAAGCCCGCAGTAGTTGGCACCACGGTGGTCGAGGTTGACGAGGTAGTGTCAGTGTTTGTGGTAGTGGTAGTCACGGTTGCCGTGATCGTGTCCGTCTCGACAGCAAACACGGTAGATGTGGTGGAAAAGGTATCTGTCACAGTTTTATCCGTGACAGTCTTGGTCTTGGTGGCGAAACCGGTAACAGTGTACCACAGGCCAACATAGCTCGTCACCGTTGGGCGGATGGTGAGGGTAGTGGTGGGCTGATGGCTGCTGGTAGAGGTCTTGGTGACAGTAGACACATGGTTTGTCGATTTGGTGCCAAGCTCAGTACGACAGGTCGTTACCGGGTTCGTGGCAACGACGGAAGTCGCCAAGAACGGCAAAACTGCCAGAACTTGAAGTGCAGTCTTCATGATGATCGTAAAAAGGACTGAGTAGTACCTTGAGTCTGAGAAGGAAGAGAAGCTGGATGCACTGCTACAAACATTCGAGACAGACGAAGAGACAGACGCATGTCGATTTATACAGCTCTATCCGCTGTCTTGGGTGGCGATTCAGCTTCGCTTCCAGCATTTGCTGGTCTTTCAGCACATCACGGGCAATGGGTAAAATTACTCGCGGGGCGATAGAGCTTCGAATCACTCAGCTGTAGCGGTCGGCGCGTTCTAGACGCAAGCTGTCATGGAGTAGCATCTAGCAAAGTGGATATTAGGCGCAGCTCTTCAGTAGTTTGCTTGGAGAAAAGCACCACTAATTGGCCATGCAGCGACCTACGGCCACAGAGGGCCAGCGTGACTAGGTGCTGGCGATGCTATATTTACACTAAGAGGCAATAGCTCCAGGCAATAGTGCCAAGCAATAGCGCGATCGAGCCATCTCTTGGCGCCAGGAACGGGGCCATTTGCCGGACTAAGCCAACCGCTTGTTAGCTCAGGGCAGATTCCAACTACTCCAAGGTGGCGCAGGGCGAGAGGCTTCAGATGGGCATCTGAACCCCTGACTAGTTTCGTGTAGTTAGAAGAAGAAAAAGAAAAGAAAAGATATTGAATGGAGGAAAGTGTAAGTTGATTGATTGTAAGCCGGGTTTGTATCCCTGATGTTCCAGCGCTCAACTGTCGGATTCCGCGATTCGAGACCAGGGAGCTTTAGGGGTCCAGATGAGAATTGCCGGGCCAACATCCAAGACCAATTTCGCTTGTATTATATGCAGTACTTGTATAAGGATTGAGTGCTAGGAAATCAAGCCTAGCCACGTTTGATCAGTATCAGCTCGTGATCCCTACAGCATTACTACGACAGTACACCGAGGACGGCTTATCACGATGCCAAATCAGTACTCGCGTAACAATGGAATAGCTGAGATTTATATTCTCAATGGCTGAATCTTTAGTCAATGGCTGAATCTTTAACCAATGGCCATACATGTCTCGTTTTTATATCGCATAATAAGATATCAATAGATTGGAACAAGTTTGCGGTGACGAACGTTCTAGGCAATGCTAGACCAGTGGGTAGCACCTCTAGCTGCTTAACACTAGGACCCTGCGTTCAAGTCAAGCTTTTAGCTCTTGGACCCACAAGAATAAAATAAGAGTAAAGTATCCGTAAAGAGTTAAAAACTAAAATCCGAAAATAGTGTTATTGACAAGCAACTCACTTTCAGCCGTGGCGTCAGAGGCCTAAGACGGCCTAGCCAAAAAGATAATACTGAGCTGAGTTGGCGATAGTCAATATACAAGGGTTTGAAAGCGCGTACTACTGCAGGGTTTTCAATAAACCGTCTAATAGTTACAACTCAAGGCCATGCGGCGGGGTAGCTGAAGAGTAGCAATGTCCATAGACCAATGTAATAGTATATCATCAGGGGACTTCACGGCCTTGTCCCGCTTCCACCGTGATCAGGAGCAAGAATATACAGTGGAAGGGAAAGAGGTGTTCATCCTCTTCTTCGTGATATTCCCTCTTCGTTTCCTGTGTTTCCTTCCGTAACACATTTCATTTCTGAGATCCAAGTTTTTTTCATCCTTGGTTTCACCCGCCATCTCAGCAGGCTTGGCGACTTCTTATTCACAATGTTGTCTCCCAAAGGCGTCGCCTGCCTAGGCTTTGCAGCAGCTCTTCTCCTTGGCAATCCAGTCTCTGCTGCTCCGCAAGCCCATGAGGCTCGATACCCCAATGTGCCTCGCCTCGACAGTCGTGATGACTCTTCCAACTCTACAACAAATGGCACAAAAACAAGCTTAGAACCTATAGTTCCTCCAACCGTTGACCCGGAAGACCTCTTCGTTCTCTCCCTTGCTACCAATGTCACCTTAGCATGGGCTGGCTCGCCTGACAACTCTTCCACCGACTCGAGCCCTCAGCGACGAAAGCTAAAGCGCGACGGCGGTATCTTGTCACAAGCCCTTATGACATTTGCCTTTCCGACAATTCCGCTTGACCATTCGTTATTCGTAACCGATGTTAGCTGTACCAAGGGTAGTCTTACTGGCACTCTGAGCGACAACGCCTACGGATTTGCGAAGAAGGAGTGGGCCGGCGTCGCCGATATTGTGTTTGTAACATCAGTGGACGGCTGTGGTCTGGATAATCAAAACGACTTCTTTCATGCGAAGTCTCTTTCCTTCTCCGACAGCAACAAGAGTTTCACTGCCACTGGATCCTCGGCTGCGTTCACAGATGTAGCTGAGCATCTGAATCTCAAATGGGGCAACATCGGATCTACACAGGCGAAGCGCGCTGTTGATAAGAGAGACGTAAGTGTTACATACGGTTTCTGTGATGCTATGGCTTGACTCTTGCACCTTATTTATATTGTGTTTTTATATTTGAACTCTGCTAACATACCCGTCACCAATCTAGATGTTCGAGCCGCACGCTCTTGCTGCACGAGATACCGAATCAGTCACCTTATCCTGGGACTACTGGCTTCAGGACGACGATCATCTCGGTACCGATCCCGACGCCCCATGGCCAGATGCCGCTCCATTGTATAAATGGGGCTCTGAGGGAGGCGAAGCGGATGATTCTTACTCAAAGGGCGAAAATGCTGACCCCAGCGGCCACCACAAGCGTTCAAACGAAACCTCCGTTTCTACTCACTCTGCCCGTGATCTCGAATATGGCTTGGCTCTCTACTGCATTAACTGTGGATTTGGTGGTTCAGCAACCCTATGGGGTGAAATTGACGCATCCATCTTACACCTTAGCGTCGACACACTGCAAGTCGGACTCACCGCCAACTTTGCCGCAGGACTCAATCTTGGAATGGAGGCGTTTTTCAAATATGAGAAAGAATGGAAGAAGGAACTGGCCCGAATCGGCCTGGGCGGTTTTGAGATCCCCTTGATCATCGACGTTGGTCCTTTCATCAGCGTCTCAGTAGACGCTAATGTGAGCATCGAAGCAACTGGCACTCTTGCCATCGGCGCCTCCGTATCTTGGCCAAACATTGACATCATGCTGGATTTGCTTGATTCCAGCAACAGCCACTCAAATGGCCTTTCTCCTCAGTTCTCGCACATGGCCGAAGCTTCTGGGGAGCTTCATCTTATGGCAGCGCTGGGTTTGCCTATCGAGGTGGGCGTTGGCATCGATATTCTTGACGGAGCGTTTTCGCTGGACGCTGGTATCGTGGATACTCCTTCAATCGTTGCGGAGGGCTCTTTCGAAATCGCGGCCTCAGTCGGAGACGATGGAGAAATCGACGTCAGCCTTGGCGGTAGCTGTTACGGCATTGCTTGGGATATCCACTTTGAGAACAGGCTTCAAGCTGTTTTAGAAGGTGATTTCGTCGGCGATGATACATACGACCTCATCCCTATTCAGGTCAGCGCTCCCATTGCCCAGGGCTGCATCGGATACGTCAACGATGGCACCGACGACAACTCAGACACGCCCCAGGGCGAAGGTTCCAGCGCAGGCATGGGCGGCAATGGCTTGAACAGTGGAGGACTTGGCATGTCCGGCTCCGGTTCGAACTCCGGCTCCGGTTCCAAGTCCGGTCCGGGTGGCAAGAGCTCCAGCACTACCAAGGCCACAAGCACTGCCAAGTCCACGAGCACTGCCAAGAGCTCAAGCAAGAGCACAAGCACTACTAAGAGCTCCAGCACTGCCAAGAGCACTGCCAAGAGCACCAGTACTGCTAAGAGTACTGCTAAGAGCACAAGCACTGCCAAGAGCACAGCCAAGAGCACAGCCAAGAGTACAGCCAAGAGCACAAGCACTGCCAAGAGCACTGCCAAGAGTACTGCCAAGAGTACTGCTAAGAGCACTGCTAAGAGCACTGCTAAGAGTACTGCTAAGAGTACTGCGAAGAGCACCGCCAAGACCCCTGCCAAACCCACCCCCAAGAGCGGCCATCGTTAAATCCAGCGTCTCTGCAGGTCTCACTTGCAAGTCTATCAAGGAAGCAGGCGTAAATACTGCCTGGGGTTTAGTAAAGCTACTAGAGTAAAGAATGCCAACCTCCGTGCTACCACCAACTGTCTTCAGAACTCTAGTTGCGTGAGCCTAACTAAAGAGCAAAGCTGTCAAGAGCTTGGGGCGAGACCCTGGGGTTCCAGCCCTTGCTGGCTTATATGACAAGGGATGTTTTGTATATAACACAATTCCGAAACCGATAATAATATATAACTAGTAATGTTCTTCCACAAAAAGCTACTTGCTTTTGGGTTTTTGATCTCTATCTATAATTACATAATGAACTCTGACAGTAAATACCCGTTTGTTAACAAATTTGTTTATATTCTTCTATTTTCGTAACACTTTCATGTGCTCCTCTTCCTCCCTCTGTCTCCGTCAAACATTGTCTGTGAAGTGACGGCACGTATAGCAGTGTTCTAGAGCCATGCTATACATACACATTACCCTATACCATACAAAATTATCTTGAATCCAAATTACACTGCTTTGCCTTCCTCCCTTCGTAGCACCATTGAACATCGCATAGGATGCTTGCCCATTTGTATGTCTATATAAAGTTGACTGAATTGTTTGACTTGTGCGTAGCTAAAATTCGCGCACGTTCTTGATGGCTTTCAACTCTCTGTGCGACCTCGCCATTCATTGATCCGGAATATCCAATCGCGAACAAGCGCTGCAAAAACGCCAGTCTCATCAATAGGAAGGCCATGCGTACCACGATCCAGAACAGCAAAAGTTGATCTAGGGTAGAGCTCCAAGAGGCGAAGGCTGTCTCGGTAACCGACGACTTCATCTTGCCGACCACATATAACAAGTGTGGGCGCTAAAAACTTCGTCTTTTCATCGTTAAAAGGAGTGGATAAGCGATATCGCTGCGGATCGTCTTGAATCAGGTCCAAAGCCCTTTTATCGCTTGCTCTCTCCGCCGGAAGGTAAACTTTGTTAATTTTTGCCTTGAGGTTTTGGACGTAAGTATGCGTTTGAACAAGGACATTCCCAAGCAATTTCTTGTCTTCCGTTGACATATTTGACATGAGCTCCTTGTTTTCTACCAATGGGCTGTAGGTATCCAGATCTCGTTTGCCATTATCGGGCTCAATAACCGGTACGCGGAGTAGTAAGCCATCGACTCGATCGCGATATTTTTGAGCTATAGCGCGTGCAAGGTATCCGCCACATGATGAACCAATGAGTGCGAATCTTGACTTTTGCAGCCGAGAATCAATGAATTTTGCCAAGCGCAGGTATATATCGTCGAGATTTTTGACATCATCGGCAGGTGTCGCGCCCATACCGGGAAGATCCACGTAGATACGGAGAAATCCTGGTGCTTTAACAAAAATTGGCTCAAAATCTACCTCTTCAACTTTTCCTTCCCCTTGCCATCCATGAACAATCAGAACAGGAAAGCCTTCTCCAATCTCATATGCAGACAAGGTGGATGCCATGTTCCTGTTGTGACAACGCGTTAAGAATGGAAAAGAACAAGCACAATGTAATGAAGCTTTGTAAGAAGCTTATTCGTATTCTGTTGACAAGCGTATTACCTGGAATAAATTGCGCAATGTCACATGACTTCACCGCAAACATTCAGAAGCATAGTACATGTACGTTGCTTTGCTTACATGAAGTTTACATTGATTCGAATATTTTTAATATTGTATTATTTTTTCCCGTTAACTACTTATTCATCACGTCGGACACTTTGCATATATCATTCTTAATACAGCCAAGGGAGTTGAGCGGGGTTCTCTGCTTTGTGAGGGGCGTTTTCAAGCTTGTATGCCTTCGAAATCATAGATGGAGCACGAATAATGGCCATTTGCCTCATAGCATCAATCTGAGGCCCACCTGGGTGAGTGGCTTGGTCAAGATTGGAGATGGAAATTCGTTCCCAGGTTCCGGCCTTGCCTTCCATCTCTCCTTGGTATGATTTAAACAATTGCGAGAGCTCTTCAGTGGAAGGTGTTGAGCCATTTTTCAACAGGGCCGCAAGCTTGTTAGTGAGATTGGCAGAAGCCTCCATGCCGATGTTAGCGCCAACGCCCCATTTCGGGTTCATCTGCATAATGTTAGTGACTGATATCAAGTGCCAGAGGGGGTAGGTTTCTTTTCCAGCATACCTTGTGAGCTGCGTCCCCCACAAGAGCAACGCGGTCCCAGTGCCACAGCTCCACAACACCCTCCTCGAAATTTGCGTGGCCTGCAGCGAACCGCTTATCCCACAAGTCTTTAAATGTGACCTTGGGTGTCAGTTTGACATTTGCGAACTCCTCAACTAGATCCTTCGGCACATTTGTGGTAAAGGGGACTCTGTCGGTGCATCTCGGGATGCGCTTGTAGATAAATAAGTGCGTCTCTTTCTGCGAAGGGAATGCCTGGATCACCCAGTCATCTCCGTGCACCTCTGCTCCTTGTCCGGAAGGAATATCGTCAAACAGCGGTCCTCTGCCAAAAACGCCAGTGAATGACGCTGTAAAGGGGTTCTCAACGAATAGACCCTCGGGTGCGACTTTACGCAAGTGGTCACGAACTGAGCTCCAAATGCCATCTGCGCCGATGACAATCGATCCTTCATGGCTTGTGCCATCAGCGAATTCCACAGTCACGCCGTCTTTGCCGAACACAATGTTGGTAAGTTCTTTTCTGGTAAAGACATGCTCTTCTGGTTTATCAAGACCACTAAGGAAAACCTGAGAAAGGCTGGCACGATCTGTGACAACGACAGGATAGCCGTGGCTGAACAGAAAGAACGTTAGTTTGGAAACAATGCATCTCATTATATCTCATTATTCCTGACTTACATCTGAGAAAACGCGGCATAATCCTGATCTTCGCTTAGGTGCTTTGCGTTGGCGTCGCGGTGCACCATGCCCGTCATCTGATGAGACACCTTCTTCAAACTCTCCAAGAGGCCTAACTGTTCCATCATCCTCGTGACTTGAGGCATAAGGAAAATGCCAAATGCAGTTGTGGGAGCCACAGCGCTTCGCTTTTCGAACAGCGCATAGTCAATTCCAGCGGCTTGGAGGCTGTTTGCAAGGAAAAGTCCAACAGGGCCACCCCCAATAATGATAACTTTGAAAGCCATTTTCGATTGATTGTTTGATGGATGGAAACTGAACGTATAAGTTGTATGAGATACTCGTGGCACCGAAGGAGTTTATAGTTGTTTCAATCGCAGGTTGGCACTGCGGATGAACGAAATGTAAAACTTGGATATCAGACACAGATTCTACAATTCACGAGTAGTCTTTTGACGGGTTTATATGCCTCTTCTAACAGTTACACTACAGGTGCAATGGTATAGCTAGAGTCAGGGGGATGTACTATGAGTCTGCTGATATAATCCATATTTGGTAATAGAGTTTCGATAATAGAGATGTTATCCATACAGTTCTAAAACCTAGTGGATGCAGCTTGGTAATAAGGTTTTCTCCACAATTTTTAAGAGCAACACATATGTTTATATAAAAGTGTACCTCTATACCAGTAACTAGCTAGTAGTAAGTGAGTAATTTTTATAGCCATAGTAGTATAGCTATAAAATATTACTTTAAAAATAATAAATAAATAAATAAAAATATGTATGTTTAATAGCATGCATATACTGTAATTACTTGGCAATTGTATATTTATAATAAAAGAAAACCTTCCAGAAAAAGAATAGTTAAGAATTAAATTATTATAATAGTATTAATATATACTTATTACTTTCTTTGCAAATTTCTTCTAAACCTCTATAAAGTGCTGAAATATTTTTTTTGCCTGTAATTACTTAAAGAGAAGTTTTTTACTGTTTACAGATTACCTCTGTTCACCATTTTCCTCTTGCAGCCTTTTTTGATCATGCTTGCTAATAGTGATCTGCTCAGTGGAGTCCCAGAGTCAATTACTCCGCAATCGCTGTACTGGGCCATATCCAGATTAAGGTGCTGGATCTAGGAGTCTCACGTTGCTATGCAGGGGTAAAGCACACCTTGTTCCGTTGGCAAAAGTCACCACTACTGTAGCATCCCACGTCAATGCTTCGGCTATACTTACCGCTTATTGTGGAATCCTTCTCTATGTATCCCTTATCACAAATCCCTGGTGCTTACATATTCGCTTCCGCGTGTCCCTTACTCCATATCAATTTGTCTTTGTTGACGCTTAGTGCCGACCGCTCAATCCTTGTTGCCTGATCGCCGCAGCTTAGCCCCTGCCGCGTGCCATGATTTATGGTCTGGTGTGATTGATGGTGATGAATTGTGACTAATAGGCTCACTATAAGTTTGACTGGCGACTACCGGATGGTTTCCAATTAGCATCAGCAGCACAAGTTAATCTGCTAGATCCGACGCTCCGATCTGAATCGGGCCGCACCTAATACCTCGTATACGCAACTACGGGGAGGACGTTGACACGGCTGAACGGCTTTCATCCATCTACCTTTCGGTTGTCCACAGACCGTGGTGCCCCGTACTCCTGATGACATTCCTTCCTTCGTCAGAACTAGTAATTGTCGACAGTCAGCCCATCATTTTCACCAATTATGACGGACGTCAAGCCTAGCTGCCTGGAAGGGATCGATGCCAATGGCACAGACAGTGAATCAGCAGTTGAGCGAACAGGGGCCAAACCTGCCGAGATGGTGCGTTTTACTGCTACGCCAGAGAAAAATGGCGCCACAGTGGAATCGGAAAATGCGTCTCAGCTGGATCAAGCGACTTTGATGGCCACACGCCCAAATGGAGGATGGAAGGCTTGGCTGCAGGTTGCTTGTGGTTTCTCGTTGATGTTCAACACATACGGTATGATGTCTCAAGTTAATAAGCCTAATAGTACTGGTATCATGTTTTGCTGTGCAGCTCAAAAATTAATGCATTGATAGGTCTCATCAACACATTTGGCATCTACCAAAATTATTACACCGAACAGTTTCGCTTTGACCCCTCTCGCGCATCTCTTATTGGTGGACTGCAGAGTTTTCTTCTTTTCTTTGCCAATGGCGCTGCAGGACCGTTGTATGATGCCGGCTATACACGCCTCTTGGTTGTCACAGGGACAATACTAATTGTCTTTGGGACGATGATGCAGAGCCTTTGCACAGAATACTGGCAATTTATCTTGGCCGAGTCGTTGTGTATTGGGTTTGGCGGTGGCCTGACGTCGTTCCTATCTCCTACGGTTTTATCGACCTACTTTACAACGTTATATCCCCTGGCACAAGGAATTGCGGCCTCAGGGGCCGGAGTTGGAGGGTGAGTGAAGTTTTGTCACACTATAGGCTCAGAAAATGAGTATACTAATTTGAGATGGCTGCAAGTATCATTCTGCCTATTGTATATCGTGAGCTTGAACCAAAAATAGGGTTTCCCTGGACAGTACGTGTTATTGGGTTCATTCTTCTTGCGACTTTGCTGCTTCCAGTGCTATTTCTTCAGCCACGCATGATTCCTGGCGCTGGTCGGAAGTTCATTGACAAGACCGCATTTACCGACTGGCCATTTGTTGTGTTCTTGTGCGGTAACTTCATCTATCTCCTCGGCGCTTTCACTCCATTCTTTTACGTGGAAGTATACGCCGTTCAGAACAAGATTGCAAGTGCGGATCTTGGCTTTTACATCATCTCAACTATGAACGCAGCCTCAGCTATCGGACGTATACTGCCTAACTTTGTCAGTTCCTACATAGGACCGTTCAACATGCTACTACTGTCGAGCATCTCAACATTCGTCTTTGCATTTGCCTTTGAGGGCGCACACAATGTTGCCTCGCTCATTGTTGTGAGTGCCTTCTATGGAGGCGTTACTGGCTTATTCTTTGCGCTACAACCCGTTGTAGTGATTGGACTTTGTCCCGATCCAAAGCTCATCGGGACGCGTGTTGGGATTGCCTTAGGTTTCATATCGTTTGCGGTGCTCGCAAGCAATCCCATAGCCGGGGCCATTCAATCTCGCGGAGGATTTGTAGGGGTTTGGCTTTGGGCCGGCGTCACGACTGCGGTCGGTACTGGCGTAATGTCTGTATCGCGTCTAATGAAGACCAAAAGTAACTTTTTCATGAAGGTATAACATTACCTTCAGTGAGGAAAGCCAGGACATAAGATCAGGGTTGGACATAAATGAAGAGATTAGTACCAATAGATAAATATAAACCCAGCACTACGTGTCTAATTTCACCACACCGTTTAAACTTCACAAAACTTGAATGCTCAAAGGAAGTAGACAGATGCTTAGGTACATGTATGTACATTGTGAAGTTTGTCAAAGTATATCAGCATGAGTGCCCAGTGGAGGAAGCGACCTTAGTTTGCCTTTGCTATTAAATTATTGTCTTAAAAAGCACTCAGATATCGGCTGGCATAGTCGTGTAAGAATGCTGATACAGCTTGTGACTCATATATTTGAGCGTATTACCAAACGAGAATCTCTGAGCGAGCTTTACGATAAGCGGAGAACAATTTAATTTTCTATCTTGTATTCTGAAGTCAGTGTTTGCGGAGAGATTTGAAATGCCTTCATATGTTGAGCTGAGATGATAGTCTTGGCCCATACAAGCACCATATTGGTAATACTCCCTTTACCACGTCATATCACTTGTGAACATAGCCAAATTGATTCCAGTGATTGAATCTGGCAAAAGACATGTGGGGATCAGGAGGTTAAAGGTGGTCCCCGATGAGTTTACATTCACATCAAGGATACGGCGAGTGGATCAAGATTGCGACGTCTGCAAGTCAACAGCCAGGGGAAATGCTACCACAGTAGGAAGCTACCATCGTTGGATATAACCCGAAAGCTAGCGCAGAAAACTCTCCGAAGCACATCATACCTCTGTGGATTCTTCGGCAACGGCAATGGCAACGGCACAAGTCAGGACAGGCAGGCCCTGTTCAGTCCACCGGGGTTGGGTTTTTGCCATTACTGATTCGTGAATACTGGCTTTTTAGACTCACCAGCGTGAGAACAGATAATAAACTGCACTTGGAACCTGGGCTCAAATTCTGCTTATACAAAGCTCTCTATTTACCCTTTAGTGTTAAAACTCAAAGCATGGCAATAGTACTCATCCACCACAGCATCTCACCAAACGGTGCATTTTACGAGCATTTACCCCTTTACCCCTGTTAATGAAAAGGATTCTTAGTGAAACGATCAACCAATCGATTGAGAGATAATTGCGTAAGATGTGAGGTGGTCAATTTAACCCTACTTGGCCTTTGCACGAGCAGAATTATGTATATCAGTATATCTTGAGATACTCTCCGCGTCATGTTAACCTCTATATAATGACAGGAACTAAATATATCACGCTCCATGTATCCAGCCGGATGCCTATCTGTACAGTAGAAAGCAGAAACAGGTATCTGTTCTATCTTTATCGGGCCATCCCACTCTTACACAAGTTTAAATACAACTCCATATAGTCAACTACGCCTAAACCTTTTCAGCCAAAATCAAGCAATGATATTAATAATTCCGCTTGAAAAAGGTTAGTGCTACAACATTTATTATATATCTCAGCAAACGCATGTTAAGAAACTCTCGACCATTTAAATTTATTTCCCTAACTATCTCACTCAACGCAATTTAGTACGTTGAGGGAACAATTGCTGTTCGTCCACCATCGGCCAACAACACATTTCCATTAAGATACGAGCCAGCCTTACTAGCCAAAAATAGCGCGACGCCAGCAATGTCAGTTTCCTCACCAGCTCTCTTCTCTGGGATCAATTTTGCTGGGTCATAACCACTCCCAGTCATAGTCGAAGTCATATCAGTCGGAAATACTATTTTGATGTCAGTATACCCATTCGAAGCATTGCCATTTGGGGCTGAACACTCACGTCCTGGAGCAATGGAGTTGACTCGAATGCCGTACGGAACCATGTGTGTGGAAAGCTGCTTCATCATGTGTTGCTGCGATGCCTTGCTCTGGCCATACGCAAAGCGTCCTGTTGGAGCAAATCTTCCGAAACCAAGCGTGCTGCAGGTGCCGACAATTTGACTGCTGAAATTAACGTTCTTTTGGCGATTACCGGCATCGAGAAGTTTCAGGAAGGCAAGCGAAGAGTACCAAAACCCAGCGGTGTTGATCTTGAAGGTGTCTGCGTACTCATCCACCGAGTGCTTCCAGTTCTCTTCAATAAACTCATCTAGCGAGGAGTTGTTGTTTAGGGTCTTGGATTCGGGCCCAGAGGTACCTGAATTACACCACAGCAGGTTGATATATCCAACCTCCTTGTGGATAAGGTCTGCAGCGGCCTTGAGCGACTCTTTGGAGGTTACATCACACTCCAGAGCCTTGACGACGTCGGGGAATTCTGTGGCTGTCTGTTCCAGAACGCTCACACGACGACCAATAATATAGACTCTGTGTGCTCCATTTGCGGCAAGAGCACGAGTGATCATACGACCAATTCCTGAATGATAGTCGTAAATATGATCATCAATTCCTAACTCTATATCCAGACAAGGTTATGCCAAAGGAGATGTTGAGGCGGGTGGATCTCGAAGGATGAGAATTGTGTGGAGGACATTGGATACTACTTACCAGAACCTCCGCCGGTAATCACAGCGACGAGACCGGAGACGTCGAAGAGATTTTTGGTCTCAATAGTTGCTGTGTTGGTAGAGCCCATTGTGTTGTGAGACGTCGAAACAAGTTACTAAAACTACTCAATGGCTTTTATTTTGCAGTGATGAACAGCTTGCTTCAACTTGAGTCAACAATGAAGGGAATCTTGACCAGTCTATTGAGTTGTAGCGAGATATAAATTTATATATATATATTATCCTTGATGAGCCCATTTATTTTGCAGGAGCTAACAATTCTTCCAAGTACTTCACCGCTCCATCTACTGATCCCGAGTAACCGACGTACATATCGGGGCGAACCACCGCTGCAACGAAGGAATCGTCATCGGCCACAAAGTCAGTGCCGTAGACCAGGGCTTTGTCTCCACCAGTGCTACCTTGGATGGCGTGCTTGGGCACCAGCTTGATATCGGTAACAAGCTTACCAAACTTGCCAACATGATCAGTAACGTCACCCTTGACAAGGAACAAAAAGTTTCCGTATGGGACCGCGCTGTAGAGGCGCTTAGGAGTAGAGTCTCCCGCGACAACCAAGTCAAAGTCAGGGGCGGGGTTGCCGGCCTTCCAGGCACCAGTGCCCGATTCCTGCACGATTTCTGACTCAAGGCCGCTGTAGGTAATACCCATACCCGTAATGTATGCGGCATGCTTCTCCACATTGCCGACATATTGCTCACCCTCGTGGTGAGTATCTCGCACAAGACGCGCAGCAACTGAGATAACATTCCCTGCAACCTTGCGGCGCTCCGTGTCGAAACTGGCAATGATCTTGTGCGCAGCCCCTGGCGCCAGCTCGTTGGCATGGGCCAAGACATAGCCTAAGCGCCATCCAAGACCGAAGGAATCTGAAAGACCAGTGTTGAGGCCCTGTCCGCCGTTGACGGAGTGCGCATGTGCAGCATCACCGGCAAGAATGATTCGACCGTTGCGGTTTTGTGACACAAAGGTTTCGGCAAGTCTCTCCTTGACTAATGTGGGTGTCAGCTTAGCCTGTCTGACTTGCATATTCATCGCTCCCGCCTCAGAATGGGAACATCGCTTGCTAGCCCTGCGGAGTGGATGTGGAAGGGGTGGAGGGGCAGGGGTCTGGCGGACAAGGGTTAGATATTAATGAGATTTCTCACCTTCAAAAGTGCTGAACCACTCAGTCTTGGTAAATTCGACTCTGTAAGGAGCCAGGTGCTTCTTGATCGACGCCTTAGACTTCTCCTCTGTGATCTCTCCGTCCAATAAGATGTAGAATCGGCACAGGCCCCGCTCTCGAGGAATCCATGCAACGCGGGATTGTCCGTCCAGCTCAAAGGTAATAATTTCCGGCACGCGAGGGAAGTCACTGTCGATGAAGGTGTCAAGCACAGCCCATGTCATCTCTGGCTTAGTACCTGTGAAAGGAATGCCAAGGGACTGGCGGACCATGGAGCGGGCTCCGTCTGAGGCGACACAGTAGGTGCTGTGGACGATGCGACCAGATACTGCTGTTACATCAACACCAGTTGAGGTCTCACGCACAGATTCGACTGGCTCAGAGAAGACAATTGAGTCGCCAAGCGCGGCAGCCAGCAGCTGCTCGACGATGGGCTGTCCAATCATCAGGAAGTTCTTGTGGTGGACATTCTGCAAGTTCTCCCACCAGTGGCTGCGGCGAGCAGTGAATTCTCCATTTGCGAAAATGGAACTCGCTATGAGGTGGTTAATTATGAATCATCGGATTACGTGATACAACTTACTGTTGCATTTGAGGCCCTGTGCCAAGAGTTCGTCGAGGATGCCAACGACTTCCAGGACTTGTTGACTTCTGGCGTTCAAAGCATCTGCACGGCCGAGCTGCAGGGGCTGGGGCTTAGCTTCTGTTGCAGGAGATCTGTCAGCGATCTATGCATGTGATGAGCAATATCTCCGCCTCGCACAAGGGTCCAAATAGGCGAGACTAGGTATCATGGCTTGGATGATAGCGGCTCGACTTACCAAGGACGAGGACTGAAGCTCCAAGTCGTTTCGCGAGAAGAGCCGTCAAGAGACCAGTGGGTCCACCTAGAAGTGGCACATGAGATTAGCCCGGTTAATTGAAAAGGAAAAAGAAGTTAGAATAGATGACACTATTCTAGCCATTTGAACTAGAGCGAAAAAGATGCTCCATATCATGGATCACGTACCACCAACAACAGCCAAGTCAACAGTTTGTTCCAACATTTTGAAGTTCTTAGCTCAGTTACTTGGATTTATTCCTTCGTTGTCTGCAAAGATCGAATTCCTTGAGCTCGAATAATTGCAATTGCAAATTTGAAACAGAGCTAAATCAGGAGGAGAGCTGAGTGTAAGCTGAAGATGGATGCTAAGTTTGTTTGTGGAGGCAACCTGAACGCCAAATTTATACTTCACCATCTGTCTAATAATCAAGTCAGGTAACTCAGTATACCGGCTCTATGTGAAGTTGAATCAATTGTTTGCAGCGTAAACAGAAAAGTATTTGACCCCTACTGTAACAAACTACAAGTATTTGGCCCTTACGTAGACAAGTGAAATATTTGACCCCTGTCAAAAAAAACGATAGTTAGGCTAGAAGAGTAAATGACTGTACCGAGTATTACTCACTTCAACTCTGGAACTCATCCTAGCAGGTAAGTTAAAAGTAATAGTAGAACAAAGTACATCATAATAGTAGTGTACGTTTTGTTGTTCGCCACATAGTTATCTTCATCAAGTAATAACTGGTAGTAGAGCAAATTAAAACATATGAGTAATAATATTGCATCCTCAATTTGCATTGTCAAGATATTTTCTTACTCTGTGAGATTTTATATCATATAACTTAATTCTCAACATCATCTTTGAATCAGCACTATACATTTGTAAGAGTATGAAGAGAGATACACAACGCACGCATTGACCTATACGAACAATTGGTTAATCTAGAATACACAACATTTCAAATTAGGCCTTCTGTAACAAAATTGCATTAAGCTCCGGTGCTTCATTGAACTGTCAACTACAATGTCAAATACAAGGTTGATAGCCTAGTATCATCTCGATATATTCCTCTATGGTCTATTGTCTATTCTTGTTGCAACTCACATAAGCTATACAATTACCTGTGTTGTCAAATCTGCAGGCCATTGTGCCTTATCCACTGCATTCCCTCTAGTTCCAATCGTGAAACCAGGTTTCACCACTCCATCCGGAAACTGCAAGACAGGCTTTACTGTTCTCAAAGAGACACCAAGATTCGGAGCGGGACGTGTCTCAAAGTAGGATGGGTCGAATAAGTAACCAGATCGCTCTTTCAGTAGCGGCATAATTCTGAATAGAAGCTGGAGCATATGGTCGTGGTGTCGGAAGACCGGCGATCCATATCTTCCCCAAAGTTGCTTCCAAATGTCTTCAGGGTATGTTCCGACATTGTTAATTAGCCAATTGGTGTAGTAGTCAAGAGCCAGCTAAAAATCGGGTGTTTGTTAGATGACTGCAACATATAGCTGAGGCGAGACATGTGAAACTAGGCAAACAGTGACTTACGTTTACTTTGTACGAGCCGCCAGTCTCTCCTCTTCGGATTACTGCATCCATGACGGCGCAAATGCCACTGATACCAGCACTAAAACCCTGAGTAAGACAGTTTTTCTAGGACATTGAAGCCAGCCTTTATGAAGCGACCTACCAAAAGTCGGTATTGGGGAATATAGCAGTGACTGGCTCGTCATTGCCCATGGCGCGACCGAATTCGTAGGAAACACCACAAAACTATATACAGTTAGAGATGCGAGTTTCGATATAGGGTTGTTGTAACTTACAGCGTCAGAGATCTGCTGCCAGCCGCTCCGGTCCTGTAATGGTCCGTTCCAACCGTACGAGTTCATTCTGACGACAATGATGCCCTTTTCACGACCCTTGCACATTTCCAACACGTCGTCTGCATCAAACCCATATTTCGCCAATGCTTTGGGGCGGTAGCTCGAAATGAACACATCGCATTCCAATATTAACTCCTTCATTTTCTGTCGGTCCTCTTCCTTTTTAAAGTCAAGTGACGCATTCCACTTGCCCCAGTTCAACTCTGGATGATATAGCGTCGCATCCGGGACAGACGGCGAGGTTATACGGAGTACACTTGCTCCAAGCTCGGCCAGACCACGAGAGACAATGGGAGCAGCGATAATTCTAGTAGCATCCAGAACTTTCAATCCTGCCAATGGGCGAGACGGGTCGCTAGGCTTCTTCCCATTGTCAGTCCACCAACTTGGAGCCTGGTGTTCATTTGCCTTCCACGTTTCCCAAAGGCCGACGTGGGCATTGGCTTTACCGTGTTCGGTGGCCTTGTACTCGTCAGGGGGATAACAAATGGATCCAGCTTGCTTCCACACGTCGTTTGATAATTTGTCCAGCTCGTCGCTATTCAGTTGTCCGACCTTTTCAGCAAATATCGGCACCAGCTTTTCGAAAGTATCTTCCGTCGGAGGCTCTCGAGGAAGATTCAACATATCGAGAATTCTATCTGGGTTCATAGATCCATGGATATGATAGAACTTGCCGTCTTTGGTCTTGTACATGCTTGACGTGCAGCACCGATAAGGCCCATCCAAAGATCTATGGACATCATAATCCTTGAAAAGGCTATGATACAACGCCTTGGCAGAGGGATCAGTGCGAGTATCCCCAAAGGTCACATTACGCCCCTCAGGGTCAATGGACCAAAGCATAAGAGACATGATAAATAGTAGCGCATGATCGCTATCTTATTGTTAGTATTTTGTATTCCAAATCAAATGAGTAGTAGATGGGCAACCAACGTATTAATTTTCACTTTTTGAGGTGCTACGCCATACACTTTCTCCAAGATGGCATTGACATATATGGACTCCAATCCTTTCAGAGCGGCTATGCTCTCCGCAAATCGCCAATTCACAGGCAAGGAAGGGTTGTCGGAGCCCTCAAATGAAATGAGGTCTGCATATTTATCCAATCCACTGATGAGATGTTGTACAGTCTGAGGATGGTTCAAGATACCATCTTTCAGCACATTTGCAGCCTCGCTGACAACTGAATATGGCTTGTCTGGCGTGTGGCTAGTTGAGTTTGAGCTTGCCATTGTGATAGGTGCACGTTTCAATCAATAACAGATTTTGTCTTAGTCTAAAAAGACAGCTACTGAAGAAATTTATAACAGATGTAAGCCACTTCCAACAGAGTGTGAAAAGCCAAGAAAGAGCGAACTGTAAGATATTACCAGATAGCAATTGTAAATATATTATATGAGAAACAGTTATGGTTTAGGTTTAGTTTTGTTTCCATATTTAGTAAAGCTCCTGAAATATTCATTCTTATAGTTTTTATTACTTATTTCTTCTCAATTTTTATTATGCAACACCACAAGATATTTCCTTTGACAAAGTACATGAATATTACAGTATTATAAATATATTGCTTAGGCGCAGGCTTACAACATCTGCGGACCGGTCGGATAGTTAGGCTGCATCCTTCCAAATCGGTTCTGCGTAAGCGCTTGCCCAGCAGTATTTTTCAAAGGATTGATGGCAAATCCACGCTTGTCTTTTAACCGTCTGTAGTAGATTATTAGCACCCCCCAGCTGGAAAGAGAGAAAGAAAAAAAAAGAGTAATTTTTGCCATGTCCAAATATTCGGTGCGTATGCCATTAGGTATAGAGCAAGTAATGTTACCTAAATAGTTACTACTTGGGAAACTGTAAAGGGAAAAGATTTGAAAGGTACGAAGCGGGGGGCCAGCAAGATACCAGTCAACGCAGGTACTGGTATGTAAGTACACAAATGCCCCAAAACGGTCTTGTCGTTACATTTTAGGTGGAGTATCATTGATCCTCGTGGAGCTGATTTATTCTCCAATCCCTGCTTCCTGTACAGCCCATGTGCTAAGCAGTAAGGATAGATTCTGCTACTACATGCTAAAAATCCCACATCTTCCGTACAGTGCTTGGAACTTTTCCGGTTTTTGCCCCTAGGCTCACTATGACCTGTAAAGAGTTTTTGATCTGTTTACGCAGTAGTTTACCAACGCTGATAGCAGTTGCTGAAGCTGGGAGACCTCCTATAACGGCTTAGGCCATCTATATACTCCCCAGATTGCCTAAGCTTACTGTTTCTGCATGTAAGAGTGATATCTCCCGCAACTCCCGCAACTCCATGCACAGCATCCACGGTATTAGTACTAGGTTCCACGAGTCGTCTTACAGAGGATCTACTGCAAAAACAGATATGCATCGATTTTTCATTCTACCTCGGTTAATCTGAAACGCACTCATTGTTCTATCTTTCGTTGCACTCTATACTAGTCTCTGACAACACTGCTTGGCAATTGTGTTCTCAGAACGAAAGTAAGCTGCCTCGACGCCTTTGAGATAATATTTCATCTGCAACTTGCGATATACACGCGCATCCGCACATACCTACACATCTTTGATTCCATTTGCAAATACCACGCTCTACTCTCTGGTGGAAAAACAGGTTGACAAAATGTCGGACGTTCATTTACTCGTTTTCGGAGACCAAACTGAGACAGCGATTCCTATGGATGAGCTTCTACAGTACTCCCATAAATCCAAATATATAAGCAAATATCTTCAAGATTCATTCGTCGCAGTACAAAATGCTTTGGACAGCTTAAGTGATGCTGAAAAAGAACGATTCAAGTTTGATTCGTTTCAGAGCCTCGCAGAAAAAGTGAGGTCGGAGAAAACGCCGGATATAGTGTTACGCACCCTCATTCTATGCGTTGCGCAACTTGGATCTCTTATATTGTTAGAGCTCTCAATTATCACTCTTTCCTTGCAGTGAAGTTACTAACACAACCTTTAGTACTCTGGAGAACGACTCTGATCTTCGAGACTCATGGGCTTCACAAAATATCATGATTGTCGCCTCTTGTGCGGGCCAGGTTCCAGCCGCTGCAGCGGCAAGTACTCATTCGCTTGATGATTTGGTTGCAGTGGCGCCCGAGATTGTTGCTATCTCACTGCGAGTTGGACTTGATGTAGATCGTCGAAGTGCTGCCCTTAGCGATGACCGGAATGGAAGCTGGGCGCGCGCGGTGATTGGTGTTTCCGGGGCCGATGCTCAGGCATCCATTGACGAATTTCACAAAGCCCAAGTAGGTCATTCCTTCTATCCGGTAAATTCTTCATATCTGACTGTCCAAGGGCACGCCTGGAAGCAGGATACCTTATGTTGGCGCAACATCTGCCTGGGCAACTACGATATTCGGTCCACCTGCTACACTTGAATCATTCTTCTCTTCAAACCCATTTGGGACACAAAGAGTTATCGAGTTACCTGTCGCTGCTGTCTTTCATGCTGCAAGCTTTGACAGGCCCGACACCACAAAGATAACCGGTTCAGCTAACATACTTCAACAGTATTGGTTGAAAGATGTTTGCTTTCTTTCCAGCGAAGATGGAGTAGCTTTCAAACCGCAACGACTTGATACTCTTGTATCTGAAGCTGAGTTAAACATGCTGAACAGAATGACTGACAATGAAAAAGTTTTCAACGCGGTGAAACTAAGGATAAAAGATCAGCAGGTTGCCATTACGCCTATCGTCGCAACTAAAGTTTCTGAACGCTTGAAAAAGGCGTTAGGAGAGTCTAACGCTACTGTCCGAACTGAGCTTCTAGTCGGTGGATTGTAACATCATTTTGATATATGCAAAAAATGGCTAGCTCAGTGTTTCAGCAGTCTCTGTTTATAGGAGATGTCAAATTTCAAGCGATACAGGCGTTAACAGACTAGACTAGACATATGGAGCATGTTCTGTAGAAAGCTTTTTCATTCAATAGCAGATTTGGTCAGGTCCACTAATGACTTCTCGTGATTCTATGAAACAAAATTGTACGTTGAAACTGCTCAGATCTAGAATGAAGATGGCTGTAGCTGTTAGCCCATCCATCATAAGAATATCAGCCTTCGATTGTAAGCTCTGGCTGGTTCATTGAACTGTCTCAAAGATAAAGTTTACAGTTCACGCCAACAGCTTTTGGAGGTGGCAGTACCAAGGATGTAGATGGTTAAAAGCGGAAAGTGTCTTGTGTAAAAGATATTTATGCTGTTCATAAATAGACCCGCAAAGCTACTTCTTACATGTAGGTTCACGTTTCTTAGATTCACGCCAGATATAGCGCCATTATTAGATCGTCAAATACTACTGAAAGCTGGATATGTAGAAGTTACAGCCAACTCATACTCTATCGGTAACCCACGTGCTAGTGTGTCATTTTACTAGTGATGCATTAGTTCTGCTTCGCGAACAATACAGATGCTAAAGGCGAATACTAGAAACAGCTTTACGTCGTCGGCTTTGTGTACTCAAGATTTATATGCATAGACGGCGAAATGAAAACTCTTCGCCAACAAGTCGACAGCCATAAGAATAGGGAGCGCAAGAAGGTGAATATTTCTTACTGAATCACCATGCAAATTTACGCAGAGACTCTTTCCTCTCAACATGTAACAAGTAAGACACAGATCTCATCCAATATATGTTGTATTAATTTGTCAGTCTGGCTAACGCAAAGACGTGTTTTATTCTTCTCAATCTCTCTCTCTCTCTTTCTCTCTGTCTCTCTCTCTCTCATATGTATCTAGCTTTTGACCAGACGTCCAGAATCTTGAAAACTCCAGGTTTTCCATCTAATGCACCTCTCTATAGGGTAGTTTCTTCCATCATTCGCCTCCAAAATGGCTTGTATTCGGCCCGAACCTTGTTCAGGGAGGTAGTTGAATACGTGCATAGATGACTCCGCATAGTGCCTCGTAAGGTTTCCGCCACTGCTTATTAGTACTAGCGATACTCGCTTCCCTGGCTTATGCTAAGACTTTATCTGTTGTCGAAAGTGGCCCCACTGTGCTCTGATTCCGCACCGTTGTCCGATCCTGCCCCATCCTTGTACTTGCAGAAGTGCCTTGCGCTAATATGCAGCTTATTCTGTAAGTGCTGCTCGTACAAGTAGGTCGGTTGCTAGTACTCATCTACGCGGTATAATTCTTGGCAGAAGTTAACAAAAACTCGCAAGTAGGTATGTTGATGTTCATAAAAACGTACATTATGCATTTGGCATAAATACATGTCTTATGTGATACAATTCCACTTATTTACTACCTCTTAGCTGGCTATGACACATTCTTTTCGACTCATAATTGCTACAGTAAGTTCCGTACTAGAATACAGATTTCTCTATCCCCAATGGAGAAAGAAACGTCAGCACTTCAGCTCTAACGACCAGAGCTCGATGTAGTAAGCGAAGGCTTGTAAATCGCTGGGCTGATGTACGTATTTACCGCATTCTGCTTGAATGCCGCGTTGCCCTTGAAAAATTGGCCGGTGGACTTTGTCACAATCTGATGAAGATTTTCTGATGATTTGCCATCCACAGTAGCCAGCTAACTTGCTATAGTTAGTAGAATGTCAATGGCACCCCAAGCTAAGTTTAAAGGAATATAATATCTACTACTTGGTACTAGTATATAAGGAATTTGCAATTAGTAATAGCTTATCAACAGATTTCAGCGTAACATCAGATGCTTTAGGTTTCAAAAAAAAAAAAAAATTAATATTCTTTTGGTTTCAAAGTCATTCAAGTATTACTGCTTTATTTTTTTCTATACATTTTCTAAACCAATAACTAAAAAAAATTCCAGATATCTATAATATTAGAATAACAATTTACTATAAAATTACATCTTATATTATATCTATCAAATTCAGTCTCATTAGATCAAGAAGTGTCATGCTACTAATTTCTATGTCCACCAGTTTTTCAGAATTGTTACATAATCCTAGGACATGATGTCTGGTCTGTCAGCTGAAGCATTTTTTGTTTGCCCTCTGATAAAAAACTATCTAGCCAATTTCGACTTGCTTTCTGAAAGCTGACATGAATTATGACACATAAACAATATTGGATTACATATTGGTATTGACATTGTATCTAAGACATATTCTACTTATTACTGGGTAGTAATTTATCAGTTCAACACCATCAGACAAGCTCTTGCAAATAAATTTCTACTGTCAATTTGTGACTCGCATACTAAGTTTCCAGATTAAGGCAGCTGATAACCGTATTATGTACATAATCCGTACTATCTTGAGCTTTATTCCCGTCAATATAGTGCAATGCCCAGGAACGGGCACACCATATCCCTCGTACCGTCAAACGCCATGCAGTCAGAGTCCTACACATCGCCCCTCTGACGCCGTTGTAATATTGATCCCAGTCTGTATTGTTAATGTGTAGGACATAGATAAACTTGCCGGTATTACAGTGAAAGATGGTTGGTCAAACTGTCATGTAAGCTTACGGTTGCACTTGCGGCCCCGGGAAATAAGATCCTCGAGAATACCCACAATCCTGAGATATACAAGGGTCTCGCATCGAAAGGATCAGCCTGCCTAGTGGCATAGAGGTCCGGGGTTCGCGCCTGTAAGACATGCTACTGGTAAATCAACAAGCATCGAGGGCTAGTAAACGGATGTGAAGGATCTGAATTACCTACAGCCAGTGCTGAAACAACGAGCCTTCTCGGCAAAAAAAGCGGTCAACATGCCGGTTAGTCCGCCTAGGTTACTCATTATGTGAGAATCTGATTCAATACTAAACAGCGTTGGCGGAATCGATATTGAGAAAAGAAGTAAAAAAAACAACTCACCGCCAAGGACAGCTGAATCTTATATAGACTCCAGCGTGGACAATCGTTTTCCTTGTTACTCTTTTTACTAAAGGCTACTCATCGACAAGACTAGTGTTTGGCTTGAAGAAAGTTCATTTCATCTTCAAGTTACATCACTCGCTACACACGACTGTAAAGGCTTTTAGTCTCTTCGACACACACTCAATCAAGATGATGGACCCGGTACCGATGGAGTCTGCCCTCCGAGGCACTCCAGACCACGTCGTCCTGCCTTTATCAGGCCGCATTCTCGATCACTCTCACATTGACATGGCCGCAAAGATCATTGAGGTTATCTACAGGTATCAGAACAAGCGTGCCGGCAGCGAGGGTATTGAGTCGGATATTGGTCTGCTCGCTGGTTTGGCGCAGGCATACAGCCATGTGAAGGCCAACCAACCTATCAAGATGTGCCTTCCCGCCTTCCCCTTCAAGTCTCCCAACACCAAGGTCAAGGTCCTTGGACGCGTCCCAGACAAGGCTGAGGAGTTTGCTCTGGCCCATCTGAACGGCCTTTGCGCGGCTATCAAGGATGTATACAGCCCTGGAGCGGAGCTGACCATCATCTCTGATGGTATCGTATACAACGGTTAGTACTTGCTTTACGAGCAAACAAGAAGCAGCTGTGGCTAACATTACGTGACACTTAGACCTCTTGAGCGTCTCAGACTTGGACGTCTGGAGATACGGAGAGACTCTCCGAAACTTGGCCAAGACAAAGGGCTTTACCCACATCCGCTTTTCACGACTCTCAGACCTTGTGCCTACGGAGGTACCTGCAGTTTTGGACGAGGTTTCATATGTTGCCAATGCCACCAACTTCCGCATTGCGCTCATCAACAACTTCAGAAGCAAGGACTGGGATGTCAACGAGAAGATCACATCTGACGAGGATATTTGCTTGACATATCGAGGCTACCTTAGATTCCTTCAGACCGATCTTGCTGATACATATCCCATTTCAGACACCTTCACCAAGTCGAAGTACAAGAAGGGCATTGAGAGCATTGCTAAGCAAATGCTTATCCGCGGTCAGGCATTTGCCCGCGCAGTTCGTGACAAGTTCTCAAACCACGTTCGTTTGTCTATTCACCCCTCCACTGGACACAACAAGGTTTCCGTCAGCACTCTCCCGACTGATTCTACATACACCACTCCATGGCACTGCGCTGTGGCCGTTCGACAAGACGGAACCATCACCTCTGGTCTTGCTCAGACATTCTGGGACGACCCCAACTGGGAGCTCGCCTACGAGGATGGCAGGCCATCATATTTCCGCGAGAAGAGCGACCTATATTCTTGGGCCTCCGGCGCCATCACCGTCACTCCCAACTATCCTTGCGGTGTTACCATTTCGCCCGCTGAGGGACCCAACAAGCTCTCAATGCAAGACATTGATGCTAAGAAGGTCCGCGCACTTTCGGAGATCAACTCCCCCGTCATTCTGCGCGGGTTCTCCGGCACTAAGAACCGCGAGAAGTACATTGAGAAGGCCTCGGAGTTTGGAACCCCGCTTCCGTGGAAGTTCGGCATTCTGCTCGAGGTCAAGGACCGCGGCGCAGACACTCGCGGCCTGAACAATGTTCTGTCCGCCGAGTGGATGCCCTTCCACTTCGATGGTCTGTTCAAGACGCTGGACCACACCCGAGAGGATGGAACCGTATACAAGCTTCCCAACCCACCACGGTAAGTAATCGTATCACCTAATATTGCCATCAACGTGCAAGTCTAACTGAGTTTCTAGATTCCAACTGTTCACTGCTGTCACGCCTTCTCCCTCTGACACAGGGTTCACTCTCTTCTCCACCTCTACGTTTGTTCTGAAGCACCTGCCTTCTTCTCTCCCTCTGGAGACCTTGAAGAACCTTACGTGGTCTGTGCGAACCAGTTCATTTGAGTCGACCAAGTTGGACAACCTGCCTCTGATCGTGGACCACCCCGTGACTGGAAAGCCTTGCTTGAGGTATCACGAGCCCTGGCCCGAAAACAAGACCAGTTTCGAGGCCACCAACATCACAATTGATGGCCAGACACCCGAGGTCTCTGAGGCTATCACCCGCGAGCTAGATCTTCTTTTGCACGACCGACGTGTCGCATATTACCACGCCTGGCAGAAGGGCGACATGCTGGTCAGCGACAATATCCTGGCCATGCACACTCGCAGTGACTTCCAGGGAGGTGCCGAGAGAGAGTTGTGGAGAATTCACTTTGATTAAGTGGCTTGCTTGTTACAGAAAAAGTTTGTTTACAGCCTCATTTAGTATAGACATTAGATCCATCACAGTCATTTTCATTGGCATGCTGTAGTTGTTTATTTATGAATGAAATGAAATTTTCAATTTCTTCCACTTATCTTTTCCATTTCCAAGTTGCTCGAGAACTAAGCTGTTGAGAGTGTGCTCTCTAGAGCGTAAAAAATATTGAAACTGTGCACAGTGATAGCTACTAAGAGTAGCTGAAGTACTCAGCTATTGGAGGTGCGATGCGATACTTCTCATGTATCAATCTCTAAGAGATTCGGACAGCTTTATTTGACTTTTCCAGGCATTTCCCGATGTTAATTCTTAAGACAGAGGCCTTGCTAAGTACGGGTTCTACTCACCCTTGTCTTCAACAATGCGAATTCCGATCGCAAAGCCGGCGAAATATGCTATCTGTCTCACTGAATGAGCCTTTTGATACACGTTATTGTACTCCCTCAATATCTCAGATTTTCTTTGAAGCTTCAAGGAAAGTGGGCCGTTATTCCTGGAAACTTTTAATTTTATTCTCTCAACCTCAGCGCCATCGGTGCAACTCCGTTTTTAGACAAGTCAAATATTATTAGCATTAAACATTATATTATATTATATCAAGCAGTCGTCAACTAACAAGTCCACGATTTAAACATGTTAGAAACCAGTAGTACTCGTTTCAAATCCCAGTTACTGTTCAAACCGCTGATTTCCAAGACTATGCCCTTTGAGGTCAATTTCACTCAAGAACAACGAAGTAAATAAGCCCAATCCACCGAAGCCAGTCATTGTGTAAAATATTGTTTGGAAGCATTTCAAGTAAATACTGAGGATCTCATCTAGTGCTGTTGATGATATATCCAGCGATCTGAGTGCTTCAATAAAATTCACCGCATTTGAGGCATCTTTCAGGGGCGCCAAAGTCCCCGTTAGCTGGACCGCAGCATTTGAGATAGACTCCGAAAACACATTGTTAAAGATTGCTGAAGATATAGTAAGGCCTACAAGACCTCCAAACATGCGAATAGTGAGAAGTTGCCCAATAGCTAGGCCAGTGTCGTTGACATTCTTGACGCTCGCTTGAACAGGAAGGAGATTGAGACGCAATAATGAGACACCTGTCCCCCAGAGAATTGGTAACCCGTAACGCATTGGTGGTGGAGATCTCACTTTAAAGAGAGCTAACAGCCCAGTTCCCAGTGTAAGTATGACCCACGATAGCCGTAAAAGCCAGACATATCCACCGAAGAAAGGGACCATCATCATTGAGACAGCTGCAATGAAAACGCTAACGATGACAGTGGGAAGCAGAGAAATGGCAGAAGAGATTGCGTTCTCTAGTTCAACGGCTTGTAAAAGTAAAGGCATGTACTGTAACAGAGATACCAAAATCATGCCGTGGATAAAGCCTCCCAACAGTGCTGCATTTCCAGTTCTCGTGTAAAATAGTCGGTGGGGCATAATAGGTGCTGCAGGCTTGGTCTCGTAAAAGACAAACATTACAAGCAGAGCAGCTCCCAAGAGCAAAGGAAAGAGCGTCTGCCATGAGGCCCAGGGAAATAGTGAACCCGCCCAGCTGAGGGGCACAACAAACAGCGTGACTCCGGCAACGATAAGGGCCATACCGATCCAATCAAGTCGATTCAAGTTCTTGGTGAATGTGGCCTCGAGAGGGATAGCCCTGAGTTTGAGGAAGAAGAACACAAGCAATGTCCCCGTGGCTATGATCGGCAAGTTGATCCATGCAATCCATCTCCAGGATACAAACGTTGAGAAAAGAGCACCCACAATAGGTCCCATAATGTTTCCAATAGCCGTTGGAATAGCCATTAAGCCGATATATTTCGAACGTTCTTCTAAAGTTGTCATATCTGCAAGTATTACTTGCGCCAGAACATCGATTCCTCCGCCTCCAAGTCCTTGGAGGACCCGCCCGGCAATGATGGTGTTCATATTTTTCGCCACGGCAAAGACGATTGACCCAAGGAAGAACAAGCCTAATGATACGTAGAGGGGCAGCTTCCGACCGAATGCGTCGGAGATGCTGACCCAAATCGATTGCATGGTCAACCCACATAGAGTATAAGCTAGACTTGCCCAGAATGACTCCAAGCTCGTTCCGTTTAAGTCACCAGCAATGGTCTAAGCAGAAGTATCAGAGAATATCTAGACGCTATGTTGAAGAAGGGAAGTATCTCAAGGCTTACAGGTAGAACAATTCCTAAACAGGTTGCATCCAGCTGGAAAACGAAAAGACTCGCCGCAATTCCCATGAAGGCGAGCTTAAAAGACCAGGATTTTCTAGCTTCCGTTTCAGTCTTTCCTGCCGCATTATGTTCTGGTGAAAGCAGTCCTTGTTCAATTGTTGTTGTTACTGTAGTATTTGCTTTTTCCACATCTTGCTCTAAATTCGCTTCTTTTGGATCCGTAGCTGTAGAGACATCGGCATTAGAGTCTGTAATAGCCGCAATTAGGGCCATGTCGATGTGGGAAGGCACGTTATCGACAACAACTACGGATAGTCGGCAACTCCTCAATGAACAGGAGTGAAAGTTGGCTTATGGATTGTAAAGATTGCAAGTAGCAGCGGTAGAGTGTACCTAGAGATGAGGGAGCCAATCGACCAACCAATAGGGGTGATTTAGACTGAAGGATTTGATGTCCGCTCGGATTCGGTCTTTGTCCGCTGCTAGCGCATTGCTATTCTTGGCACGCAGTTTATGACCACGAAGCTGAACAGATGAATTGCCGAGCTGCACAGCTGCAACGTGGTAGAATGCCGAAGAATGTGATTCATGATAGTTGAGCTTATGCAGGAGCGAAGGAACTGTAAGAATATAGATCAGTAATATGGCATGCGACAGGTCAGCAGAAACGAAGGAAGCGTTCTATATGGCTCTCATTGGTTTCATTTATAGAGCCGAAACGGTGTGCCGATATGAATGAGACGCGTAGGGAAGCATCACTGAATGTGTATTGGGCTTCTGTTGCGGATGAGCTACCTTCCTTAGATCAGCTAGACACGTTCTACCTAGGTGTAGATGGGCAGCTTCGCTGGTCAGGCATAGACGCAGACTGGGGATGGAGCCTTTGCGTAAACTTTGAGTTAAACGGAAAGAGACAAAAGAAACATCTATTAAATGCCATGCTCATATATTTTTGCTTCTAAGGGAATGTGTGGCTTTCTCCAATGCTTTCCTCTGCTTTAACAAAGGAAGCTGCTATTCACAGTTGCAATCGCCAAGAATGAGAAACTATCCACAGTACTTGTGAACTATGATACTATTCAAATAGCTAACGGCAATTCAATGAAGCCGCTGTGGAACTGGCAGAATTAGGACATGAGAAATTGCACAGGCAACATCTACCTGCAAGTCGATGGCGAAAGCCAAGGACAGGAGCAGTGCAAGAAGCGCTTCAAGCCAAGAAAAGAGAAGACGACCAAACTTTGATAGACAGGTTATGCGGCAGCGTAACCTGTCAGTATTACAACTATTCTGTCAAAAGCCTTCTGAAATTCAATGTTCTACTCCCAAATGTCTCAAGCAAGTATGCAACTCGGTGGTGCATGTAACAATGAGATTGCACCCGACATACAAGATTCAACAGGCCGCTGTATTTTAGCGGTAGTCCACTATAAAAGCAAAGAGGCAACGTACTAGAATCCTGGACCAATCGCCTTCCTCCGCATCTCGAAAAGGCGGGGCAATTTGATGCAGTCACGTGCATTTCTGTCGAATTTCCCAGCCTCCTTATTCTTTGCGCGCGCACGTATTCACCTTCAACGCTATTGCATCCATACTCACGGGGCATCGAGGCAGCCAGCAATGCACACTTGGTCAACTGTCCGGCCTTCTACCCACTGAACGAGATTATTTCTCCTTCTTTGGAAGACCCGGGACCTGGTGAAGGGGCCTGTTTGGACTCGCAGGTCTTCTGGAGCTCTAGACAGGTCGCCTGTTCGCGAAGCTCGCTTCTCTGGATCATTTCCGTTCTTTGCATTTTGTTGCTTCTTCAGACGAGCAAATTTCGCGCTCTTGGTCAGCTGTCCGGCCTTCTACCCACTGAACGAGGTTATCTCCTTCTTTGGAAGAACCGGGACCTAGAGAAAGGGCCTGGTTGGACTCGCAGGTTTTTTGGAGCTTCAAATAGGCTGCTTGTCTGCGAAATTTGCTTCGTCTGTTGTTTGTGACTCTTGAATCTGGTACGTTGGCTCCTGTCCTCCTCTTTACACAATAGATCTCGACCTCCAAAGAACGAACAATGTCGGCGACTCCATCTTTCGATTTCAAGTTTAAGACGCCTGCCTGTATAGAGTGGACTCTAAACGATGCGACGCAATATCTCATCGACCCGGATCCGCAAAGAGATAGCGTGAAGCTCGAAGCTTGTTTTTCTAGTCAATCCTCAGTGGCATCTTTTCAACTGCATTGTCCCATCAGAGTGAAGGGCATCGAATCCTACTCGTGTATTACAAGCCTGATAAACATCCGTTCCATCGTCACTCTCAACTTTGATGAGAATCCAGAAATTCCAGATATAGTGCGAAAGAAACTCAACTGCAAAGCAGTTTGCTTGCATCTTGACCTTTGTCAACCTCTGGATCTCATCGCTCCGACTGTAGCGACAGAACCGATACAGCCGAGGAAACGACCGTCTGGCCAAGTTATCGATGCGTTACGATCGCTTGCCAAGGCTACGGCCATCAAAATTTATATTTCGGCAAGGGAAGTTTCTCTGCCTAGGCTGGCTGCCTTTTGTGAAGCAGTTTCTCAAAATCGATTACATCCAATCCATACCGACACTTCAACTGGTCTGGCTTCATTATACGGCGGATCAGGTGGGAAGATAATCACCCTTTCCTCAGAAGATACTGCGTCGACGTATCGGAGCGAAAACCCGCCATCATACGATCAGCTAGAAAGTCTGCCCTCCAAGACGGGAATCTCGCTACTTGGCGCAGATGAATCTCCATCATCTGTAGCTACGAGTAGTAGGCGTAATGAGAAGAAGAGGCGCCGGCTGGATGATTCAAGTACTTCTTCTGAAGCTGATGACTACCATAGCATGTGGATTCTAATGACCAATATGCGCAAAGAAATGCACAAGCTGACGAAGCGAGTTGAGCGACTCGAGAGAGAGAATAAATTTCTGAATGATGAACTAGACGAGCTACGTGCTAGCTGTGAGAAGGCTACAGAGGCTGTAGACGCTGATGAAACTGCCTTGCTCGAAGTACACGAGGATGTCAATGACCTGAGAGTACAGGTCGATTTTCTTGCTCAGGGCAGATTGAATAGCGAAGCTGAAGAACACATCATTGAAACAGTCAAAGAATCTGTACTCACACATATTTTAGAGAGTTCATATAATGCTAAGATCGTTATTGAAAAGGGCTAGTTCTTGTATATTCGCTGCCAACAAGCAACCTTTAATTATTTAATAGAGCATAAAGTTGTAAGGTTTTACCGCTGAAGATGACATGCCAATGACTATTAGCCGAGCGCACCTTGCCACGTTTTCACTTAAAATTACGTGTCGAAAAGACAGAGTGTACACTGCTCAGAGGAACCGCTTTTCATTTCATCTCCTCGCTATTCATTCGATGATATCTACTCCTTAGTTTCACAATTAGACTACCAGCAATAAGCCGTAGCTCACAGGAGTCGTTGGACACAAACTATACTTCTTTTCATCGACAATATTCCGTCTCCATGAGTTGTCTGAAAAGCAACACAGTATTCCTATGAGTCTACTAAGTGAGTTTTACGGTGACGACTCCTCTGCTAGGCACAGAAACGGTGATGGCTCCTCCGGACAATGTTGAGGATGTAGTTGCAAAGGTATGAGTATTGTCCGTGACGTATGCAGCGGCAGAAGATGGAGAAAATCCAGTAAAAGACACTTTGGCTGACTGTGCCGAAGTTCCGCTGTTTGTAAATACAACGATTACAGAATTATCGGTATTCTGGAAGGCGCCAATTATAACGTTGGTTATGGATCCTGTAGTGGCAACACGATGAGCCCCAGGACGAATATATCGGGACCACATGGCGAATGCCCAGAAGATACCCGATGGCGTAGCTGTCTTCCCATCGAGGGCATCAACCAAGTGGCTGCCTGACTGCGATTGTTGGATCTCAAAGCCCTCCCAGAAGAGATAAGCGGAGAGTTGCGCGTTGACCATGGCAACAGCCAACTTATTGGCCCAGGTGAATCCTTCGTTGGTGCCACCGCTGCCATACCATGTGGTAACGAATGCTGTACTGGGTCCGCCCTCAGTGTTCCATTTTGGCAGCGTCGTCTGGCTAAGTGGCGAAGTGGCGTCTGCGCTGTACGAGTGAGAGGTGATTACACTCAGATATTGAGTAGAGCCCCCATTGACTAGATTTGTCGTATAAGTGCTCTGGTCGGTCCAGCCTACCGCGTCGCAGCAGGTGATCTTGGTAATAAGGCCAGCAGCCTTGACAGTGTTATACAAAATGGGTATAAATGAAATAGCCTCTTGGGCATTCGAGCTAATCTGCATCTGAGAGTATGATGGCTGGAAATCCGGCTCGTTCAAGAACCCTAGATGCGTGATCGTGTAGCCCGCTGATGCGTAGTACTTGACGTATTGCACGAGAAAGTTTGCGTACGCTTGTCTCCAGTCCCCAGATGAGCATGAGTGTCCTGTAGTGCCGCAAAGATATCTGTCTCATAATCAGTTACTGTTTACTCAACACCAACGATACTGCAATAATGTTGGCGGCATTATTTGCTCACCCGGGGGACGAGTCCGAGCCGCTAGTCTTCATGAACCCCGGAGCGCCCCATGCATCAGCATAGATGATTTTGACGCCATAAGAAACAGCTTGTTTTGTAAACCATACTTGGCCACTGTCGTTGTTATCCCATACGTAGTTGGGTGTCGCAGACGGAGAGCCTGGGTTATTTGGCTCGATGCTGTCTCCGGAACCACCTGATCCGATGCGGTTGCGGATGATGCTAAAGCCAGCGCCAGTAGTAGTACTGAACAAATAATCTAAAGCTTGTTTCTGAGTGCTGGCATTGGCACTCTGGAATTGGCTGGCGCGGCCAAATGCTTGAGAAAAGCCGAAGCCGTCAATCTGCTGATACTTCGTATTGACATTAACAGTGATTGCAGATTGTGCTGCACATAAGGCAGCAAAATTTGCCAAGATTGCCAAGTGATTGAAAGTAAGCATATCCAGTCCCTTTGTCCGAAAAGTATTATCTCATGAGGAGCCGAGAGGTATCTGAGTGCCAAGACTGAGAATGCTTGTGGTGCCTATCGGACATATTTAAAATAGCAGTATTGCTTCTTCCAACTTTACCCGTCGGACACTACTCGGTATTATTAATAACGAACTCGGTATATCAACACCGAAACAGCATTCATGGATTGTTGGAAAGTGCTCCAAGCGAGAAAGTGGAGGAGCGACATCTGCTGAGGAGACGAGTATTTATCCAGTCTCGCAAACATCTGCCAAATTTGCGGTTAAAAACCTCTCGTTCTGCCGTGATTGTAGTTTTTGTGTGTCGAAGGCAAATCAAGCGATTACATTATCTCCAGTACAAAAATGTGAGAGCCAAACGCTCTCTAGTATAAGAGAATAAGTCCCACGCGTGTAATGGAAGTGAGAGGATTCCGTCGACGTATATAACCCTGGAATGAGCACAAGGGCATCGTATATTTGATACGAGAGCGTTTGAATTATTTGAATTAAAAAGCAAGACTACCAATGTTTGGGATGTCTCGTCAAATATTAACAGGTGCTCATTGGAGGGCGATTAGCGATGACCATTGAGAGTCTTCATCATTGAGGCAAGCCTAGTCTCCGCTGATCAGCCCCTTCCTTGGAGCCAGAGTTCAATGAGCCGGGCAGCATTCTTAGCACTAGACCACGAGGCAAAGCAGCACATTCCGCCTAAACTATTTTTGTTGCATAGTTTATCCGTCGTTAGATCGCTCAACACATTTTACTTAGCAAGTGGTAACAATAATTGGCCACAGAGCGCAAATCAGATCTCACTTCAGAGCCAAGTTTCTTCCCGGCATGAGTGTAATAACAGTTTTAAGGAAAGAGAGCTGGGGTCTAGCGCGGTGTTGAGCAGGAGAATGCTATGGCATATGATAGCCTTCATTCAGGTCTATGGGCGGTCGAGAGCTAAGATAAGCTCGAATACTACACAGAACTCTGAGACAATTATTACCTCTATTCAGAGCTATCGAAAGCTTAAAAAACGTTAAATAATGGTTAAATTTTAAATTGATATAATGCCACCTCATCTTATCCTGCAGCAGATACCTCCTCGGTTTTCTTCGCATGACTATAGCCAGACAAAGACAAACAGTATTCTGCAAGAACATGACTTTATCTTCATTGAACCCCACCGCAAGCTGCATTTTTCACTGCGCTATACAAACAGAGAGGGACTTACATTTAACTTTACTTCTCAATCAATTGACACGCACCAATACTACCGATATAGATACGTAGCTTTATTTAGCCGGTGATACAAAATCTAGATTCAAGTCTCCTTTTTAGGCTCTATGCAAGTTTATGTAGTATCTTGTAGTCATTGTGCTTAATTAGCTGAATTAGGAAGAGTTAAACAACGTGACCCGCGACTCTCCTCATATGCAGTCGTATTGATGATGCAGTATACGCATAATAGCCAATACCGCTAAGCCGCTCTCCCCATGGGGAAACATAGCCCTATGTGTATATATGGCCTAATCACAAATTCGGATTTGCGGAACGTCGCTGAATCTGTACAAGGGCGAGACATGGTGATAGTCAAGCATACTGCCATAAGGCAAAAATAGAGTTATAGATTTCATGAAAGGAGTGATAGATAATACTGGCAAATGCTAATGAGATATATGCTGTAAAGCCGGACGACCGGATCTTTGACAATATCAAGAGTAATATTTAAGCAATCGTTTACCGTCGTTGATATATTCGTTGTCATCAACAAATCAAATCATGACTATGCAAGCTTTGAAGCTTCTTGTTCTCGCCGTGCCGGTTCTGGCCCAATCTCAGGTTTGGGGGCAATGTAAGTGATAACTCTCATGGATATCAGGTTTTCAATTATACTCATACACCGCAAAGGTGGTGGAATTGGCTGGACTGGCCCAACCACATGCGTTGCTGGCGCGACCTGTGTAGTCAACAATTCTTACTATTCTCAATGCATCCCTAATGGGCAAGCATCATCAGCTGCAACAACCACCACTTTGGCCACCTCCACAACCAAGACGTCGACACCAGTTTCTGGAACTCAAACATCAACAGCTGCCGCTTCATGCTCTGCATTACCGGGTTCCATATCTCTCAAGAGCAATTCTAAACTAAACGACCTGTTCACAATGTTTAATGGAGATAAAGTGACTACAAAGGCCCAATTCGCGTGCCGGCAAGCCGAAATTTCTCAGCTAGTCCAACGATACGAGCTTGGAACTCTGCCAGGACGTCCTGCTACTCTTACAGCGTCTTTTTCAGGGAATACGTTGACAATTAACTGTGGAGATTCTGGGAAGTCAATGTCGTTCTCTGTAACAATTACCTATCCTTCATCAGGATCGGCTCCTTATCCTGCAATCATTGCCTATGGTGGCGGCAGTCTACCAGCACCTGCCGGAGTTGCCATGATCAACTTCAACAACGATGATATGGCGGCTCAGGTTAATACTGGCAGCAGAGGTCAAGGGAAGTTCTACACCCTCTATGGAAGTGGACATTCTGCAGGCGCAATGACAGCATGGGCTTGGGGAGTCAGCCGCGTAATTGATGCTCTCGAACAAGTGACGGCGGCAAGGATTGACACCACGAGAATTGGGGTGACGGGATGTTCGCGCAATGGAAAGGGTGCCCTGCTAGCAGGAGCGTTCGATAACCGCGTCGCATTGACACTTCCCCAAGAGTCGGGAGCAGGTGGATCAGCATGTTGGAGGATCTCCGATTACTTAAAGTCGCAGGGAGCGAATATCCAGACCGCATCTGAGATTATCGGAGAGGACCCTTGGTTTTCAACTTCTTTCAACAGCTATGTTAACCAAGTACCCGTTTTACCATTTGACCACCATTCTCTGGCCGCATTAATTGCCCCAAGGGGGCTATTTGTCATTGATAACAATATCGATTGGCTGGGCCCGCAAAGCTGCTTTGGATGTATGACTACAGCACATACGGCATGGCAAGCTCTTGGAGCTTCAGACCACATGGGCTATTCCCAAATTGGGGCTCACGCACACTGCGCCTTTCCGTCGAATCAGCAATCTCAGCTGACGGCTTTTGTGCAAAAGTTTTTGCTCGGCCAATCGACGAATACCACCGTCTTCCAAAGCGATTTTACATTTTCACAAAGCCAATGGATCGACTGGACCGTTCCAACTTTAACTTGAGCAATCAACCACTGCGTAGATAGGAGCTGCTACTTTGACTATCGTCTTCTTTGACACACTTCTTTGAGAATATGAAGGCTTTTGTTTACTTACACAAATGAACTTTAGCTAACAGCGGATATAATTTATATAAATGTCACCTTCGTTAGTGCTTTGTTATTTTTCCTCGTTTTTGTGTAAAGTGATATGTTAAGCAAAATGCTCGGTTACAAGCGAATACGAGTGACTTCCATTAGCTAGGTAAGATATAGTGCCAATCCCATAGCTATAAAGGTTTGTTTAATCATAACCTAATCTTTATCCTTTCCTTCATATCTAGTCATAAATGGGAGACATAGTAGGTAGAGCGGTACATAGTCATAGTTGTAGACTCACGCTGGGTGCGTTATGTTTCAGTACGTACTCAGGTTGATCTAAACCTTTATACGAAGTAAATTCTTAGCATAAGCACGCGGTTTCCCATATATAGAGGCATAGATGATGAATCAAAGACGACTGTACCACAAGACATAGAGAATTAATGAGTTTTTGCATTGCGCATCAGCCACAGCACGGCATCGCCATAACTTAAAATAATGCTTGAATTTGTCTATGCACTAAACTTTGCGGTTAGCGAACAAGCTTGAAAAAGCTAATAACACTTCCATCGATACTATTGCGATGTACCTAGCACGTCAGACGACCAGCATTACCTAAACTGCCATTTTAAGAAGTTGGTTAACATTGAAACTATCAAGAAGGGGACGTTTTCCGCTAACTTTTTCCACCAATGCAATGGCTGAGAATACCGTGATATCCATACGATCCAAAAAAATAGAAGGCAGTTATTCACAGATTATGCCATCAATCCCGTGCTTGCAGGCAAAATGCTACCTTGTTAATAACATTTTGAAAACGGCATATATTCAGTCTATTGCTTACCATCGAGTACATAATTAGTTTGCCCGCGCAATTCACTATTTGTAAGCCATAAAATGCGACCTGGTCAGTAGCCTTTTTGTGTGTCAATGATGGCTAAGATATCTATTGGTGGTAAAATGAGTGTTGCTATTGAATCGTACCTATCTTCAACAACTATTGATTATGACTAGCACAGATTAAGCAGCTGAGGTAGAGTTGCTTCTATTGCCATCCTAATGAAGCTATGGCTTATTACCGTATCCGAAGTTTCCCATACTGACATACCAAAACGGCCATGGCTTCGGAAATTGTCTGATGGGCAGATAAGTATAAATATTTGAGGAACTTCTAGGTCTCGGAACTGTTTCTCCTCGTTCTTTCTGTATTGTTGGACTGTCTTTTAACCAAGCTTTCTTCCAAACGACTATGGGCATTATCAACATCTTTACCGCCGCCTTCGCGGCTTTGCCTCTCGCAATCGCCACACAGACTTTCCAAAATGGAGGTACTACAGCCGGATTCGACTATGTTCGACACGAGAACCAAGGCCAAGTTCTGCAAGTAGCAGATATCACATACAAAGGCAATTCGGCACTCTTGATGCAGCAAACATACACGCCCGGCTACACTGGCCGATACCACTCCGAGGTTGATCACAACCAAGGCTATAAACGCGGAGATGAGCTATTCTACGGCTTCATGTTCCGCTTGTCGTCCACTTGGGAATTCGACCAGCAGTCTTACAACATCGCTCAGTTCATCGCCGATCGCCCTGGAGCTGGTTGCGACGACGACGACTGGATGCCTTCCTCACTCATCTGGCTAGAGGGCAATCAACTCAACTCGCGAATCGTCAGCGGCAATTACCGCCAGCCGGACTGCAGCCGTACATTCACGGGTACCGGAAACATTGCTACTGTTTCTGCCGGCACATGGCACAAAGTTATTATCCAAGCTAAATGGGCGAGCGACAGTTCAGGCTACTACAAGATGTGGTTCGATGGAAACAAGGTCTATGAGCACTACAATATTGCCACAACAACCAACGATGATGCCGTGTTTGCATTCCGCGTGGGATTGTATGCCAATGGCTGGCATGACGATAAGAAGATGGTTGGTAACCAGGGATTCCGTCAAGTGTGGTACGATGAGGTTGCTGTCGGTACCACTTTCGCGGATGTAGACCCTGATCAGTACGAGTAACGATTTAGTGGATAGCTTAGTGGTTTAATTAAAGATATACTTTAACGCATTTAAGAACAAGAGAATCATAATTTCAGGTCACCGCATGAAGTCATATTGTTAGGAGAGGATATTCTTTAAAACATAAAATGACTATAATGCAAGGTGGTGTCAATATAAAAACAAAGAAGCTGCGACGCAACTAGTTAGAACCTAGTTGCCACAAAGAACGTAAAGAAAGAGAACTCCCAGCTCTGCGAGAAAGAAGGCAGAGGAAAAAAAAGTCCTTTCATGAGATCAGCTGCTGTCTATCAACAAGATCGCGATTGACCCACTACTTCCTCCACCACTCTTCTTGTGTTGCCTAGTCCTGACAGGTGAAAATTGAAGAAGGTATAAAGGATCTGTAGGAAGACATTATTAATTGATGAAAGACCAGCAATCACGAGTACAGGAAATACATAGCAGTATATATCGACCAATGTGACATTATGTATGGATGCTGTATCCACTACTCAGTAACGTAAGCAAGACTACAAATCATACCCAATGATGAGATACTATTTACTTAATAGTATTGACAATTCTAACTAACTTCACGGCTTTTTCAAAAAGAAATCACTCATATATATGCCATACTCCATACGCCCTACGCCATATACTAGGTACCTATATAATATAATGCCTCTCAGAGAACAGGATTTACAACAGCGCGTTATATTCTAACGTCTGTTACTCAAGCAATATAATGAGCAGCCAGTATTATTACGAAATCCAGAGTCGCCATTTATTTTCAGTCTTCCGCGTTCAGTACGTCCGGGTATTATGTATGCAATAGGTACAGGAACAGTTAGCCTTGCTGTTGTCATGGGGTGAGTTTAGCTGCAGCCTTAAGTATGGCTACTCGTAGCAAGATGTCAACAGTGACGTTCAGGGTCAACATGCACAATAAAAGCAGAAAAGACAGATTGAAACCTTTAGATACCGAATGTATTGAAAAGTTGAGCTATATACTAATGCAAAGTATGTACACATATATACATGCGCCTAGAATAAATAAGATACCGCGAATGAAGAAGGTTTATATACATCAAAAAGCATACATCGACTCTTGATATCGATATGCTTAGAAGTTGACAGAGCCACAGCTGTTGGGGTTGCTGTCGCAAGTGCAAGCGCTGGGGGCGTTTCTCCAACCGGTCAAACGGTTGGCAATATCGCTAGCATAGCAGTGGGTAGCAACGTTGCTCTGGAGGTTGCCGGTGCTGGAGATGGAGCCAGAGTTGTAGATACGGGCAGCACGGTAAAAGGCCGAGACGTCGCTGCGGCCAGACTCGTTGATGCAGTTGGCAAGGCCATCACCATCGTTGGTGCCGGCAGTTCCCTCGCTGATCATCTGGTAGATGGTGGATGAGGGGCAAGGGTTCTGAACGTTGTTGTTCTCGTTGCAAGTGGCACCACCGTTGTGGTCCTGCATCAAGCCCGGGTTGCGAACACCGTAGTTGGTGGTCCAGACGCGGACACAGCCGCCAGACTCTTGCATAATGACAGCAAGGATGAAACGGTGGTCGACACCAGTGGCAGAGGCAGCAGCCTGGATACCGTCCCAGATGGCTCCAACCTCGGGACCGCTGTCGTTGGGGACGCCCATCCAGTCGCAAGACGAGAACATCTGGTCCTTGTAGTTGTTGAACATGTTCTCGAAAGAAACCCACCGGCTCTGGTCGGGCCAGCCAGCACCGGTGCTGCCGTCACCGAGGTACAGAGTGTACTGGTCAACACCATCGCCAACACCATCAGTGATGTTGGAGTTGTCGTATCGGGCCACGGGGTTGTTGACAGTCTCTCCGGTGGATCGCTTGCCCTGGTCCTTGGCGGCAGCAGGAGCAGCAGACGTCTTGGAGGCAGTGGTCTTAGTACGCGATGGCATGTAGTTACCGCCGTTGACCTTCTTGTGAGGGTAGGCGTGATCAGGCACAGGGTGTCTGGCGCCGTTTGTGGCAGAAGGCGGGTAAGGCACAGCCATGGCAGCGCCAAAGAGCAGAGAAGCGACGATAGCCTTGTTGACCATTTTGATTGATGCGTTCAAGTATTGCAAGAATGGGTTATTGAAGAGGTCAGTCTGTTGATTGCTGCCAAAGCTGGAGTTGAGAGTGCTGGTGTCTTGTCTAAAGAGCAGGACGGTTGTCTGATATATATACACATCACGGCTACTACGAAAGGCTGAGGAGAATCATATGAACAGTATCAGCTTCCTATTAAAGCAAGTATGTAATCTCAACGATGCCATCGTCGGAATCCAATAGTAGCCTACTAATCATCAGCTTACACCTCTGTTGGCAAACAAAAGTGAATAGAGCATTGCGGCCTCTCCATGGTGTTCTTAGCGGCTCCGTTAAACCCCTGTATTTCAAACTCGTTTCGCCTTAGAGTTATACATGTAAGGCTACTTGGTAAGGCCTTTCATTTCATGGGCTGTCAAGATGAGTAAACACTAGTTACATTTTACCTATGGTGGCCACCCTGACCAAAAAGAGCAATTACGGATATCGCTAGGTAGCAAGAAACAGGCTTCAAGTACTTGATCCATCAAACAACCTTCCCCTAAATGATAATACTAGGACATGAAAATTTCCATCCTTGGGTAATACCTAGATAAAATAGCGCTCCTTGCAACTACTCCTACTTCTACATCTGTTGCAGGCCGTCTGCATTGATGATACGTTGTGGAAGGGGAACTACTTTGTTAGTTCGCGCCACTCAATTAACTGTACATTTGGGTGTCTATTGCGGCTACACACCACTTAGCTTGCAGAAGGAGCTTATAATTTAAAAACGGCACAAGCTTAATATCGAGAGCCCGAATGGAGAGCCTATTCTTGGGTTTCCTATCTTAGCCTTGCCAGATTGAGTTGAAAAGTCCGTACAGTTGCCAATGGTACCTTACATCTCGCCTATCCCTGTCCACTTGTGGCGTTCGTCAGATCGCAGTAGGCCAGGCACTGCAATCTGCCCTGAGCGCCTAGTCGCCTAAGCCCCCTGTCAACACTGAAGCCTTGAGCTGCAATAGGTACCGGAAGGCTGGCCTTTGAGACGCCGGTACAAACATATAGGTCACGCCTTAGCGCGGATCTCGGCAAATTCTGCGGCGAAATCAGTTGGCGTGGTGAGAATGTTATGCCGAATACAGCAGGTGGATGCATTGGAACTGCAACGTTTATAGAAGGTAAGCAGCTTCATTTTGCGGCTTGCAATTCTAATCGGCTAATCGCAAGGGAAAAACGAATGCCTTACCAGTTCAGGGAGGTGCACGCAGCCTTGGAAGATGCCACAGCTAGGACCATGGTGCCGAGCCGCTTATATTCCTGGCGGCTGTGTACAAGTAGAAGCAACGCAGCAGCTATCGTACAAGTTGTGCGGTAGTCTTGGCCGCTTCTTGTACGGGGTTATGAATGGAGCACCCTGAATGCGCTCGCTTCTGTGCCGTTGAGCACTTTCGTCGAACAACTCGGCCGAGTTCGCTTTCTCCTTCCTAAACGAGATAATTGACTGTATAAAGCAGCCGTCGGTAATTAATGAAACGAGGCTGTAGGAAGTACCTGGGTATAACCAGAGGCACTACAGTATAACGAGTACCTACGCCAGGTTACTAACTTACTCGATACGGAAGGCAATGGCTGCCGATATCCGTGGGCCGCTTCTCAGATGGACTAACTGGACACGAATCTACCTGACTCGACGTGCAACTGGGCAATCTCTACCTGCACGCCGGCAAGTAACGATGTCTTATTGGCGGAATAGATAGATTGTTCAATTACAGAATCTAGGCCTAGATACCAAAGATGCTACTAACATCCCAAACTAGGCTCTCGCGGTCCATGTGTAAGCACCTCATCTCAATTCTGTAACGCCAATACATGCACCGAGTTAGTGGCCACTACTATAGAGTCTATAGAGTGACATTCCGTGTACTGCATTAAGCGGCTCACGGCGAAATCTCCGTAGTTTCGGCATCCCCATTCCGCTGCAACGCTCGCTGGGTACATATGATGCGAGTAGCGTGAAGAGCCCCTGCATTGTTCATTTAGGGCTACGATCGGCATTTCGCAGCGGCCGTCCCATCTAAGTTAATCGCACGTTTGTTTTCTGCTTCTACATATGAGCCGCTTCTGAGGATAGTAGAGTCCATACGTTTAAGAGTTACTTTAAAGAGCTAAAGAGAAATTGCATTTAACGGCCTTTTTAATAATAATCTTTTACTTGGGAGAACTCGACAATCAGCTTAGGGTGTTCCGAACCGTACCATGCCATCACAGAATACCTGTATCCATGACCTGCTTGAAAATGACTAAGCGCAATCTGGTTTTTATTCGCATTCTTAGCGTGTCACTACATACATCTAATCAATATTCATACGGGTGTACATAGTAGCTTGGCACAGAGCTCGGTTAAGGAGGTTCGGTGGTAGCCTATCCTCTACAGGTGTCGACAGTTGCGAGAACATCTCCGGACAGTCCGTCGAGTGAGATTTAAGTTTAATCGACCTTCACATGATGGGTGAACCGATCCTATTTCAGCATTTCAACGTTACATCATTTGCATATACCACCTAGCATGTCATGTGGTATTGTCATCCGTTTGTGAAAAGGGAAACTGTGACTAAAATCACCTCCCATTTCCTGTCACAAAATCCTACTCATAGTGCGAATAGATGCATCCTATGGCAGGATGCTAGCTTCATCCGAAGGAAAGGCAAATGGCTCAGTTAAGTAGTAATAGGAGCACAAGTATAACCTCTTTTGGAAGCTCTGGAATCCCTCGCTTACTATTCACATCCTTGGCGTATAGACTTAGTTAGACTGCCGGCTAAACTCGATATCAGGCACCAGGGCCATCGATTGAGTTTTTTAAAGATATTCTTGCTTCATGCAGTTCTCGGAACCCTCATCTGCAAGTTAACTGCTCATCTCAAAATTGATCAAGGAGACATAATCGTTTCGCCCTTTTAGGTAGTTGCTGGTCTAGTATCAAGCTTGTCTTTTTTCAGTTCAATCTACTGCGATTATTACAACAAGTAGATATATAATAGTAGTTATCAAAAGCAGCACCCCAAACCCAAAGGATTTCTTTGGTATAAGTAGGACTATGATACAACTTCAGCTAAAACAGCAGAACAAATTTCACTTCCAATAAATCCAAGTTAAATGCTACTACTGATACTACCGTGGCGCCCAAGGATGTCTTGCTGTAAGAAAAAAAAAGTTAGTCGCTAGACCTTAGCTGGTGTTGCATATTAACTAATCACACTTTCCATACTTAACACGGACTGAAAATGCTAATAGCTCAAAGGTGAGTATAAAATTTTCTTTTTAGTAGAATAAAGATTGAAACATACAGTGGTGTGTAAAGTTTCATTTAAGCTTCACGAGACCTTGTTTGAAGATCTGCGCTACCCCAGGGGATCTGCGCCCGCAGGGCAATTCCCAAAATTCACGGCGTTCGTGATCGACAGTCGATCATACAACGCACAGGGAGCTAATAAACTGTAAACGAAAACGGGTAAGATAAACATACCTAGAGCTTTAGCAATATCTTCAGTGTGTTGTACCGAACATGGCTGTCAAACTCAACTATATGTCTGTTTTGTTCCTGCTTCGTCGCGCAGTGGAGACTTATTTTGTACTTGACTATGACTTCTGCCTAGTAGATAAGTTGTCAATTGAGAAGCTCATCTTGCGCAAAATACATTCTTTTTCTTTAATTCTTTCATTCTTTTTGGTTTCACAGTGTCCACCATCTTTTTCGTCTTTTCTGTTTCAGCAAGCCCATTACGAACTGTCAACAGACAAGCACCCTTATACATGCGCATTGGCACCCACAAGAAATTGGCCACGACCTTGGGGACATCGAATGCACAATTGATCTCTCCAACAGCACTAAGTAATACTGCCATCGTGATTTTTTGTTTTTGGGTCGCTAGAATAGGAGACAAAGATAGTACTGTTGCTATGACAGTTTTCCGTCACATATAGCCATACTTTTATATTGTTATGTAGAGCTATTACCGTTGTGCAACTGACCTCTCTGACATTTCTTTCCACTTCCGGGTCTAGCTCTCTGTTCCCCTAACATAGGAAGCCCGTGCTTTGTACTAAAAGTAGTTTCGGTTGTTCTTGAAACCATCTCTTATCTACGCTGTAATATCAGTGACTAATCACAGTCTTCCATATGCGCGTTTCGCAGATCGCTTCCAGGTTTCCTATTGTAATTATTTTCTGCTTGTTCAGAAAACTATCTATCTTGCCACCATGGGATCAAGACAACGATGGTTATGTACACAGCTACAGGGTAAAGCAGCTGTGTCGAAAAAGGGGGATAGCACATGTAATCATTGCTGCTTCAACAGCGGTAAGCGTCAATGTTAGTGCTAGCTTACCTAAGCAGCATAATCTGGAGAAAATATTCGATAGTATTGCTGCCTTGCTGTGGCCACAACCGCGTCGCAACCGCGTCGCCATCGCTGTATTCGCTACAAATGACGCGTGTTCATCTATCCGTGACATCGAAAGCACCTATTGAGCAGGAGCTTCTGAATATTGGTCAGAGAAGCGCAACCTGCATTATGTTTTCCCAAAGACAAAACTAACCTCGCCTCACGCAAACTGGACTGCGAGATTATGCGACGCTATGGCAGATTCCTCCATATCGGCGTTGTCCAACGCATCGTGAACAACAAAATGAATGTTCTTGACCCATAAAGTACCTGCACAGATCCCTTGAGAAGGCGACTTACCGCACAAACAACTTTGTACGCAACGTCGCCACTAATGAGCTTAGCTGCACCGGCCATTGTCTCTTAAGTTTGTGATAAAAGCCAAAGCACCGTCTTTGCCGATACGACCAGTGCTTCGACAGTGCCTCGACAGGGCTTCTAGACATGCAAATGGCTTCACAGGCGCCATGGTCAACCATTCAAGTGGAGGCAACACAACCTATCCCGCCAAGATCAGAAGACAGGAAAACGGCCCTTTGAATGTAATTTCTAGAGCCCTTCTGAAGGTCGCCAATCCCACTTCGGAGGTCACTTCCATACGCTTGACTGGAGTTTAACACAGCCAATCTTCTGCCGTTCTCCATGCATCTGGGGTTGGACCGTAGAGGAGCTGTTACCTGAAGCACTGAGATCGATCTCTTGTCCCAGAAGTCTAAGATGGGTAAGATTAAGACTTTGGCGATGTTTATTCTCTTCCAACACCGGTCAATATTGACGTAGTAGTATTCTTGATTCGCTGAGAATGGTTCATATACAGCTTTGTTTCCATTCTCCATTGGACTTTATTTTCCGAGTTCATGTAGTGTACCAAATTGAGCGACACAACAACTGCATCATGTAAAAAGCCTTTTGACAGTGAATTGGGAGTAGAATCGATGCCATGGCCTCCAGCCTCCCGCATAGCATCCCTTTCACATGGCTTATCACGAGAATAAAAAGGAACGTTGTTTTTACTCTCAAATCCTGTCTGTTGATCGCTCATTCGGTTAGAATCAGCTAAAGTAAGCAACCTTCTTAAAGCATAGCAATACAAAAAGCATAATAGAGTAGCTGAATTACTGAGTCATTCGATAAGATTACTACGTCTCTATTCGAACCACCGAAAAAGGATAGGGTAACGGCAAAGCAGCGATCTGGAACGAATTTCAACTCATGGTCATCCCTTTCTCCAATACCGATGTTAATTACTCATTGAAGCAAGCACAATCTATGATGCAGCTTCCGCTCGCTCAGCGGCGAGCAGCTGGGTGAAGGTATCCCTAATAGTTTCCCTCAGCGTCAAATACTTCAAGCCCAGGATCTTCTCCGCTTTGCTACCATCCACGCCATACGCATCCTCTATCCACCCAGGTTTTCCTTCAGGTAGTCTCGTTTTCAGTTCGGGAAACTCTTCGCGCGCAATGTCTACCACAGTTTGCCATCGGAGAGATTGCCCAACCCAAAAACGCTGTCCACCTGCAGACGGCACTTCGAGAGCAAGGAGATGAGCCGCGCTGACCTCTCGTACATCAGCATATCCACCAAAGTCAAATTCAGGTACCTCTTTGGCGCCTAACAGATTGTAGATCAGCCGAACGCTCTCACTCAGATTCGCTGTGGACGTCAACTCCGTGGCGTAAGGACCAAAGATCCACGGCGGAGTAATTGTGACTACGTCGAAGTGTGCGCCTTTGTGCTTATCAGCCCATTCCCATACTGCTCGTTCGGCTAGTGCCTTCGAGGCACAATACGCGGTAACACCATCTGTAGCAGGGTCGGCGGCCTGCTCATACGTGATAGGGTTCCAGTCCTTCTCATTGTATACATAGCCAGCTCGCTTTCCTTTGGTGACATCTGCAACAGAAGCGTGTGATGAAGTAATCACCACTCTTTTAACGTCTTTCCCATGATGCAGGGCCGCATCCAGGATGGCGACAGAGCCTCTAATGGCGGGTTTGAGGAGGTCTTCCTCGTTGTCTTTGGGCTGGAGGTTGAACGGAGACGCAGCGTGTATTACGCCGACCACATCCTCAAACGCCCCCTCGTATGATTCAGGCTTGGTTATGTCGGTAGCAATAACGTAAGAAAGCTTTGGCGCGAATTCGGGAAATTGTTCAGCGAGCTTCTTGAAAGACGCCTCCGATCGCACAACGGCGCGGACACTATGGCCTCGAGCAAATGCTTCCTTTACCAGTTGACCACCAAGGTAACCGGTGCTACCAGTAATAAGGATAACCATTTTGAAGGAAAATGTCAAGCGCAAAAGCAATATGTAGATCTTGGAGTGGGTTGTAAGATATCAAAGTCTTTGGACTGATGTATTGCTGACCCTAGGCGATCAATTAAGTTTGCTGACCCTAGGCGATCAATTAAGTTCATCGTTTGGGGGCCAACGAGGGGTTTTATACTCCAAATATGTCTAGACATCTTATCTTGCAAAATGAACTAGCCTTTTAGAGACACTGAAGAGTGGCATCATGTTATTGTGACGTCTGGAATGCTCTCCGCTTTCACTAAAACAAATAAGTTACCAGCATATAATAAAAGTTCTCATATGGCGTCATCGCGCGGAGTGGCTGCATAAAGACAAGTAGGATTGTACTGGTCTTACACCTAATGGCAACTAACTTTAGCTATTACTTTCAGTAGCCTCCTGGTGAAATTGTACAAGAGGTCGGAAGATTTTGGGCAGCCGTATTATCCAAGTCGAAAATAGCGTCTTACTTCTACACCTGTAATTTTTGACATGCTCGAAATCAAGTCACTTTCTGCTATATTGGTGCCATGCCGAGCTCTGCTGTTGATGCTGGTGTCTAAGATGAGAAAACAACTGGCGACGTCATGAAAAAATTACGCTGCCGCTGATGCCAACCACTCTTTCAGATTTGGATTGTACTCACTGGAAGCTATAGAATCACGCTGGTCATTCGGGCGAGTAATCATTCTATCAGCGCGGTATTGGGTTCCGTACTACCAGAGGCTAAAGGATCACATCCATTACAAATATGCATCACAGACACGCCTGATAAGAGGCTCCATGCCAGAGGTAAGTAAGTAACATTGAACTAGAAAGCCACTGTTGCTAGCAATTGTATTTGCATGATTTTGTTGCATTAGTTTGCCCCGCCCTAAATCCCGAAGAGTTGCGAATTGGTTGCCGCACCAGCCAGTAAGCATGTAACTCGTGTTTGCGCAAGGGAGCTGGGCTAATTATGGCCTAAATGAAGATGGCAAAGGAAGAGTTATCAAATGGCCATGAAGAATTTCATATAACCGCAGCTTAGCGAATGAACTTGGCCAGTTACAAATGGCTGGTCATGATTTCATTTCGAACTCCAAGAACTTTCGTTTCCAAGTGAGTTCTGGCCAACTAGGCGAAGTAGAAGACTGGGACGTGACGGAGCCTGCCGTTATACATCGTATTTCTCTGTATGTTGTAACCTATCCCCAAGACTATAAACAGCAGCATAAACTCTCAAAGGTTTTGAGCCGTTTAAGAGAGTTGACGGCCGCTTCAGCGCATGCTACTGACATTGAAAGCTCCTGTACTAACGGTGCAAGTAATGTTGTAGACAGCAACGGGAAACATTGTCTTGCCGTGGCAAATTGAAGTGTAGCAGCAACCCAAAACAATAATCCTTTGCGATTTCCCCAGAGGCCTGGAAGATCGGTCATACGAAGAAGTTTTGTAATGCTAGGCTTATTCTCCACAAGCTTCGCCGCAACATGAATCGGGATCTTTCTATCTGCGGCAGCTAAACAGACCAAGCCGACTCGTCGACAGCATTCATATATAATTTCGTTTTCGTTAATGACGTTCTCTGTCGCTGGCGCAAAGCTTTCTATTCTTTGGCGAAGTGCAGCCCGCTCCTGGAGTATCTCGTCTGTGGGGGCCAATACAGCGTTGTCTTTATCAAGAAATGTCGAGAACCACTTATGTAAAAGGCTTATGAAAAGTAGCAGCTGGATCTCGATGCGTGTCGTAGGAGTCTTATCAACCTGTTGATGAGTAATAGGCGACATCCACTCTTCTGGAATGGCGTATTGTTGGTAAGGGTTTATTGTTGGGAACAGCTTTTCAACATCTTCCAATGGAGTATATAGATTGTCCGTTGCTTCTAGAGCTATTGATCTGGAAACTCTGTTAGAAAGCGTCTTGAAATAAATGGGGGAATAAGTACGTGCATGTTTATGTAATTAGAGATATACTGCAATAATGCTAAACTGTCTGCGTCTTGAAAGTTGGCGCTCGTTTTCAGAAACAGTTTGGCTAATGCGTGTCGATGAACGATCTGCTCTTCAAGTGAGCACTGAGCAATGGCGGCGGATTGCTCATTGCACAGATAATCCTCTTCCAAAGTTGCATCGATGTGCTCGCGGATGCTTAAACCCTGTGGCATATCCCTGGATAGTAAACAGACAATTGGGGCGCCTAGAGCCACAATTGCAGTTAAGCATCGGGGACTGAGTAATCCATGCGACAAACTCATTTCTGCGCTCAGGCGGTGCATAACTTGGCTTTTAAGTTCCAGTAATACCGTAGTCGTTCCATGCCCCGTCAAGGCCATGTAATGAGCGTAGCTAAGTAAAAGACAGCTACTTAGTATCATGGGACAATCTTGATTGTCAACCATGACAAAACGTCTTATGAAGTCTTCATTGTAAAATCTGAACGCGGTCAGATCGGCTGAGAAAGCGTTCGACCCTCGTCCTTCAGGTATGAGAGACGGAAGACATCTTGGATAGTTGGGTATATCATATCCTGCCGTCGAAGACATGGCCTTTGTATTTTTCGGTCTGGTAGCCTCATGTCGTTGGATAGTGTCGGAAGCGAAGCAGTAAAACTGAAGATTTGCTCTACGTCGATGAAAACGCTTATTCGTTATGGTGTTATGAACAGGGGTGCTTTCTTTGTTTGCTTCGCTTTCTTTGCCGGTCTGCCGTTGGCGCTTAGCAGGACCACCCCAATAGGCAGCGTGGCTTCTCGCAGCATCTGAATGAGTCTTAAGCCATCTTATTTCATTTCCTTCAAACTCTGGCGTAACAAAAGTGAATCTTGGAGGAGCTTTGGTATGTTTACGCAACGGCATGTCTTTGAATTGTTGTGTTGAGGCTCAATCGCGTCGCTATTAGTTGATGAGTGTCCAAATTGGTTCAATGTCGCTGAATACGAACCCACGGCTTCTAGTTAAATTGACCCCAGATAGATAGGAAGCACGCCTTGATTAATATACTAACTTACGCTTCGGAAATTCTTTGCCCATTCGCGGGCTAGAACAATTTTTACTAAATACAGTCTAGCATGGATGATTCTCACACCAGATGAGAAGTTTCCTGTAATGTACAAGGCAGTTTACACTGTCATGGCAAATGAAATAAGAAGTCCGTGAACCCACCAACATGCTTATGGCCTTCGCATTGGTTACAATACGAAACTGATCAGCATATGATAGCAACGGTTCCAAAGCGCTTCTTAATCCCTGCAACTAGGAAGTCTTCGTATGCTGCTTTGTAGAGCTTTGAGAGCGCTAAATCTGTTTAGAAGCCTAGTGCGTCTGGTAAGGCTCACTGATGCCCCTTAACCCAGAGTTAACCCAGAGTTGTCTGCGATCTTACAAAAGTGCGAAGTTTGCTAACTAGGTCAGCATGTCTAAGACACATCTTAAATAGGGTGCCTCCGCAGATAACTCCGTCTCATGCGCGAAATACGAGAAATAGGCCACTTAAACTACATTCAATGGTTTGATCTTGTGACATACATGTTTACCATTCAACTTAAACGACTTCTAGAGCTATGCGACCGCTGCGCGAAGATTATGACAGAAAGATCACGGCAAGTTCTGACTTTCCCCGTAACACATAGTCTCACGACATGGATATACATAAATGCAGCTACGTTCATAAAAAATTAAATAATGAAGGGGCGAGTATAGCTAAGAGAGCCCATGATGCTATATATGCTATTATACAGTTGACACTTTTTTTTTGTGGTAGCATTCCGTGATGTTTGCGATGCAAAATGAGACCTGTCGCGTCAGCTCCATCTAGTGTCTCGTCGCTAATTGGTAAACTGCCTTTGCAACCCCGCCTAATTCCGTTTCAGGGTGTAAATCTGCTTCTCAACATGAACGCTCACGGAATAAAGAACTGACAGTCTAGACTTTGTAATTATCATATTTTAGCGAGAGGAACATCTTTTTCTAGACCTGTGTATGTGTTGTAGAGGCAGTTATGAAAGTACTAAGACAATTGTGACTTATCATGATGAGTTTACTTTAGGCTTTCGGTCCGATACAGTTTGAATCAAGTTCACTGGTGGAAAGAAAGAGTAAATACGGAGTAGATTTCCCGTCAAATAGTCCCAGGCGCACCAGAAATAGCAAGTGGTTCTATAATTATGGAACAGGAGTTCCTTGTAGCAGACCAATTAGAGCGTAAGAATGACTCCGGCTCTTGATCGTGGACGGACCATGGCGATACCCAGTAACTGTCAGCCCTCTTTTCACAAAATCGTGCAGATCTTTGAGGCTCTTCGTACAGAACTATGCGTGAAACATCTAGACCGCTTGTTAAATGTCTAGAAATCACAGTTCGCATTGAGGGGATATGGCGCCATTCCTGGCCTGTCAGCCTACAGGGGGCACTAGGCGTTCGAACTTTTGTCAGCTTCCAATTTGTTACCATTCGGTGAATAGATGGTTAAAAATTGATTCTTGGTTTATGATATGATTAGGCATTCAGAGACACTACGACAGACTTGGGAATGAGTTGACAACGCCATCAGTTTTGAGCTTAGAGGGCAATAAACTCATCGCCAATTACGCGTATAATTCCGACAACAAGGACGCGGCGGAGTAGTGTTTAAATAAGCTCTCGAATATCATGGCGATTAAGACAATGTAAAGCTTATAAATTTACAGCTGTTATCATTGTCTCGTTCAAAATAAGATTGCACTTCATGCTGACCCCTCATCTCTTTATATCATCGATGGTGAGGAGAAACTGTGACAATCAACTCGCGTTAATTTGGGGGATATTAAAATTTGCAAGGACACGTAACTGGCCCCCTCCGCCTTGTTTCTTTCTTTTCTTTTTACACTAATGTATTAATTGATGTTTAACGCAGACCTTTCCTTTTCGTAACTGAAACAGGGTCAAAAGTTTCTGCTGCTATTGTAATCAAAACAAACTTACCTTCGACTCCAAAGACAGGAGGAAAAGGAAATGGTGACACTTGTGGCGATCTCCAAGAGTGTCTTTTGAGGGATGTGGCTGTTCTAATCATACAAGAGCCCACATTCTCAGAGACTTGAGACGAGTTTCATTGAATTATTGAATAAAAAACCGGAGGAGGCGCTGTGCATCAGATTATATGCAACCTAATAAAAGCCAAGTTACCATTTCTCGTGAAGGTCTATCGAGGTATAAAAGTAAGCAAAATCTAGGGATGTGCATTTAACAATATGGATAACAGCATCAATTTCAGATGACAAAGAACCTGGGCCACAACTAGCTAGAAGCAGTCGCAACAGGAAAAGATACCTATACAGAATTAAGACTTCCAACCCTCCTCAGCAGAAATTCAGATATCCTCTTGGTAAGAAGTTCTAGCTGCTATCTAGTGATAGAGATGCTTTAGCTCCTCTTAGTTGTCTGTCACTCTTCGTTCACTGATCAGATCCTGACAATCAAGCTTCACATTACAAGCTGGCTAACACGTTGCGACTGCTATGCGTCTGAATAGTCTCCATACGCCCAAGTACATTCTTGACACAAAGACCTTCTATGATATAGGCACGTAAGAATCCAAGTTTTGGTCGCGGCTCGTAGCCGTCATCTATTATGATGCACCGACAGCTCTTTGCTCACACCTGTTCATTGAGAACTTGGCCTAAACCGCTCTCTTTAGAGCGTTAGTGATCGAATTGAGCTATCGTTGTGATGTTGTGATCTATGCATCATCAAAAAAAGTAAAAACTGCTCGAGCTCATGTGTTAGTCACAGGATATTTGAGACTTCTTCGAGTGTACAGTCATGGCGATGTTGCACACAACCCACTCTGTAGTCTTCGTCAAACCAACAGAGATTACATCTACCTATGTTCATACAATAGTTGACTATGATTCAGATCCAGCGTGGTGTGATTTTGTATATTGGTCACATTCTTAGTTGTTACAGCTGGTTCAACCACCGCGTTGCTTTCGGGTCATCTTCAGGATTACCCACTGTAGCGGGCTGCGAGCAGGTGAAGAGAACAGAGGCTGGTTAGTGCTTTGTATCAAACAGAATCAATAATAGATAGTAGAGACTACAAATCATCATACCCATAACTCGCAACTCCGGTAATATTGACTTCTAGTCTTTAGCTAAACACAAAATCTGGTCATGCGACCTCGTCTTCGTGCCTGCATGCACCTGAATTCTGTGGCGCCCGCTGGAGGGCCAACTAAAACTCTTTTTACGAACCCCTTGCAGACGGCCAAGCCACGTCCAGCTCTAAATAAACATTAGCTGTCCTCTAGCGGGCGGTTTAAAGAGTAAGTCAAATGTTCAAATAAATGTTCCTCCCCGTTTTGGTATCAAAGAGAAATCCAGTGAATTGCGATGCGCCCAGTAAACAACTGAGCCTGTTGAGCCGTTACAGCTTTGAAAAGACATTGCGCCCGTGAACGTTGATGCGGACATCCCTGCTTGATGCGTCATTCAGCCCTTGCACAGAAGACGATGTTACAAGGCGGGGGATATCTTGGAGAGCCTCTACCCCGCAGATCTAATACGACATTGCAGGTAGACTACTTAATGGAAACTTGAAGCAGCTTCTAATTCACGCCACCATGTTATTCACTTTTCCAAAACACTCAACGAGGCCAAGATGAACTCTTGGATGATAGTATCCTACGGTGTTCTGACTAGAATCACTATGGCAACTACAAACAACGCAAGACTACTGAAGTTGCCTATAGAACCAACAGCTTTACGTTGTTGTTACTGGCGCCAAGAAGGAATTTCATATAGCAGCATGAAGGTTTACCTCGAGATGGAAACACGTCAACAGAATTCCACGTTCTCCAAAGCTCATGGACCTCATCATCGACCGATCTTGGCTGTAACGCTATCCACGAGCCAGTACCTGCTGATGGCTGATCCAACGCTAGCGTTGCATACCGAGAGGGGTTGCATGCCTGTGTGGTAGTATTCATCTGGTCACATTACGGCATTACAGCCTATACCTCTACATCGTCATGGGCATCGGCGTGGGATAGATATACCCGAGTCTGCGATGGAGATGCATCGACATTATTGTTCACAGAGCTGTTTCGCACGTTTGCGGGGTTTAGCAGGTCAGTTGACGAACAGGAGAAAACCTGCCAAGTAAATAATATTGGAAGAAGCAAATTCTACTGCCGTATTATCCCTAATTCAACGTTAAAGGCTAATGCTGGATTCAAAGTCAAAAAAGAGACCGAAGGGGGAAAAGGAAAAAGCAAGAAAACAAGATTCATGCGGAGGGGCTACTCCATGTTTAAAATTTTATAAATATGTGATAAGTGTACCTTCATTGGCGATTTACGAGCAGACAATCTGCAGTTTCCCATTCTTCCCACATTTTTGCGAAAAGCGATCGCCAATATCTCAATATGGCACGAAGGCGACTGTGTAGATTGCTACCATGCTTCTCTTTTCTACGTGTTCAGCCAATTTTCATACTAATCCTCACCATGTTATATCACCTTGGCGCTTCTGCTCCTCTGAACAACCGAAGCAAAGAAGAAACGAGCTGCTCTGGGTCTACATCAGCAACATACGATGTTGTAATTTACGGGTCAACCCCAGCTGCGCTTGTAGCCGCCATCCAGACAACGCGGATGAATAAGACTGTCGCAATTGTATCTCCGACCAACCATATTGGCGGCATGCTGGTGTCCGGCCTTGGTTGGACAGACTCCAAGAATGGGAATGCCATCGGTGGTATCGCAAGAGAGTTTTTTAATCGGGTATACAATTATTACGAGCCCAGTTCTGCGTGGACCCATGGGACCAGAGCACAGTACATCGGCCAGAACATAGCTGCTCAGCCAGGGCCCGCCATAGACCAAAGCAACCAAGTACAGTGGACCTTTGAGGCCCATGTCGCCGAGCAGATATTGGAAGACTGGGTTGAGGAGCTGAACATCACAATCTTTCGGAATGAGACACTGGATGCGTCGGCTGACAGTGTGACACTGAATAACAACCGGATTGAGTCTATCAAGACCTTGTCAGGTCATGTGTATGATGCCTTGATGTTCATAGATGCTAGCTATGAAGGTGATTTTATGGCTGCGGCCGGGGTCCCATACACAATAGGCCGTGAAAGCAAGGCAGACTTTGGGGAGTCTTTGGCCGGAGTGCAAATCGCTCCAGACAACAGCTACCAGGGAATTTCTCCGTATGTTACAGAGGGAGATTCTTCTAGCGGCCTCATCCAAGGAATCGACCGTGTTCTTACAGCCACAGAGGCTCAGCAACTAAATGGTACTGCCGATGATTTACGGCTTCAGGCATTTAATTATCGGATTAGCTTAACGCAGCAATCTGACAATCTGGTGCCTTTTTCTCAACCAGAAGGATACGACGAAGATTCCTATGAGATCCTATTTCGTTACATCGAAGCAGGCGACGCAACAGCACCCTTTTTCACATCGCAGTTTATGCCCAATGAGAAGACAGACAGCAACTCAAATGGACAAGTCAGCACCGATTTCTTGGGTGGAAATTATGACACTGTCAAAAAGACAAACTATATTGAAGAGAGTTTGGCACAACGGCAGACAATCGCCAACAATTATAAAACGTACACGCAAGGCTTTTTTTGGACGCTTGCCAACCACCCCAGAGTACCCGCATCGATTCGGAATGCGACAAGTGTTTGGGGCTATGCCAAAGACGAATGGACGAGCAACGGAAATTGGCCTTATGAGATTTACATACGAGAGGCAAGACGCATGCAGGGAAACTATACCATGACGCAAAACGACGTACAGAGCCCCAAGGGCTTCGGCACAGACAGCATCATTGGTCTCGGATCCTATACCATGGACGTGCACGAGGCGGAAAGGATAGTCATTGGGTCGCAAATTCAGAATGAAGGACTGGTCCATACTCCAGTGCCGAATCCGTTTCCCATTGCATTTGGCAGCATTATTCCTTCCTCAGGCTCCATCACCAACTTTCTAAATCCCGTCACAATGAGCGGTACTCATGTGGCGTTTGCGGCCATCCGACTCGAGCCCACGTATATGATAATGGGACAGAGCGCGGCGACAGCTGCTGTGTTGGCGATTGAACAGTGTGTAAATATACAAGATGTTGACAGGCAATCGTTGAGCGATCAATTAGAGGCAGATAAGCAGGTCTTGTCTCTGTAAGTACTTCACTTAATTGAGGGCTCTTGAGATAGCCCGAGAGCCGTATATTAGTCTACCATTCTAATGAATTAAGTCATCACACAATTCTTCTCAGTCATCAACAGCTCACAGAAAATGCGAATCAACAATCTTTGGGACACTAAAGCCTTGATCCAGCACCCGAATGTTATCAAGCTCTATATTCTCTCCCATTCCTGCTCAAGAATGGAATACAGCACAGTATCAAACCACCTACGTTGAAACCACACATTCTCTCGCTTCCTGCCTTCCAATGTGAACCCAATCTTTTCCCATAGCCGTATTGCCGCCTCATTGAAGCTAAAAGACCAGAGTTCAATGCGGTGCACACCGGCATAATTAAATGCCCAATCCACAGCCCATTTAGTAGCTTCCTCACCGTAGCCTTTACCACGGTATTCTTCTAGAAGCCAAATGGAAAAGCTCGTAGAGCGGTGATCTTCTCTGGCTTGGAGCGATGGCGGGGACATGTTGAGAGACCCAATCGGTTTGCCCGCTGTGACTTTCCCATCCTCTGACTCTTGTAGACAAATGAAAACGAAGATCAGAGCTTTCTTTTGGTATGACTCGACAAACTCATCCATGGAATTTTGAGTTGGTGGCCGGGGAATAAGCGGGTGACCCAATTCCATGCACCCGGGTTCGCTGATGATTCTGTAGAAGGTGTCCAAATCAGACATCTGCACACTGCGATAGACCAGCTGTTCCGACACAAACAGCGTGTTTACGGGCCGCGGCAAAGACATCATATGGCCTTGAGTCATGATCGAACGCCTGGTGCTGAATGATTGAAACGGTGTACTCAAGCTGAATGCGCTGGTCAAAGTGCAGCTGCCTCGATCCTCAGCTTGGGTTTTGAATGCTAGATTCTCTTATTTCGTGGGAGCGCGCATCAAAAGGTGGTGTGTAACCACGCCAGATATTTATGACCACAAATTGTCTAAAATAATATAATATATTATCTGGACCCGTCAATCTAGCACATCAAAGCGGAGTATTCATTTTGATTCCATCTACAGTATAAGCCGTTGCACTTTTGTTGCCCGCTGCGGTACGCTAACAGACTCTTGATCCTAGGTGAGAAATTAGGCATGGCATCTGCTAGCTATTTTCAACCGGAAGATAATATTGAAGACCCATTTAGAGCTAATGGGTCAATATTGCTCCGCAGCTGACGCCTATAGGAGCCTATATCAGTCCACTAGCAACATTGATAGCCGCTCTATTTTCTTGATTTCTTGGCCACACGTACTGAGATAAGACACACTTACAGCGCTAAGAACTACGGATTTCTAAGTACACATTAATGAGAAGAATAGGCAAAATGAGAAGATATGAGCACTCGTAGATTAAAAATGAATTGTCCTGCTTGAGTTATTAGTGGCACATCAGCAGCTATTATACGCGTGTGACATTTGAGCCCCGCGTTGTAGTCCAGTCGCCGTCCTCGTCCGGGAGATATTCATTGTGACCAGGATAGTTCAGCCAATGAGCAGAATGAAACAAGATGTTGGCGATGACAGGTACGCCATTGCGGTTTACACACCATTATTGAACGCAGATACTGAGATTGAAGAGGCTTGAAGGAGGCTCTTTCTTACCAAAGCTTCCGCTGGATATGGAATTTCTGGATCCTTTACTGATGAAGTTGAAGAGTAATTTGCGGCGATGGACATATCAAGCAGCTTCTATTCTCAGAGGTGTAAATACGTTACACGAATATTATTGTAAAGTGCCGATGACGCAGTACAGCTATGAAGGCGACTTTCCAATCATGTTATGCAAAAGATTGCGGCGGTTATGTTCTAACGCTGCAGGAACTTCACAAATCCACTTCCATCAAATGGTTCGATAATGCTCGAATAAAAAGTTCAAAGCCCCCAAGAAGATGGTGTTCAAAGGGTTCCGCATTCACAACATAACTGCGATACCCATGACATTGCTTGGCTTAGCGGCTATTGTTGAGTCACGATGTATATGGTTTTCACCAGGTATAGTAATCAAGATTACAATTCATAATGACGAAAAGCAAAGTTCACAAAGTTATTGGTCGATTTTTCGCTTAGCGTAGTGATTTGCCGAGTGGACAACCCATAAACATCAATACCAGGCAATCTGCTCTCCTGGCTTCTTCTTTGCTTGGTATCGTCATATCTAGCAGCAAAGATGCCACTATGCTCAACATGCAAACACCTTTTCCAGACTCAAGAGTTCGATTTTAGCGTTGTTGATGTCTGTATCGAATATTATCCACATCATTTCTCCATTCTCCAATTTCTTAAAGCGGTTGACCAGAAATGTTTCATATGCTGGCGAGCTTTTCGCAATTCCTTTAGCAACCCGGCGAAAGCGAGGGGCCATCTAGAAAGACTTGCGAGGCTCACATCAAGTCTACAAAGAGTCGCAGAGAGAGCAAAGCTACCGCCAGATCGGCGATGCGTCACTCACATGACGGGCGCCCGTCGCCGAATACGGACGGACTTCAACGCCGAATATCTTCATGGGATGAAGACGTCGCACGAGGATTTGTCCGACTTGCTGCCGGATATTGAAGCTCTAGAGCAACTCTTACAGTCTGACGTCCAAGACGATAACGGGCGTAGAGCAGGCACCATTATTGCTCTCCTTCGCGATCCAACAGGTATTGGTATTGTACTTTATACGTGTCCATCAACGTGCTTAAAGATCATCTCTAATATGATTCATTGTACAATTCAGTTTTCGATGCAAATTTACAGTCGCCGTCCACGGCATCAAACGAGACTTTTGCCCACATCAGCACTTGGATTCGCCGCTGCGAAGAAAAACACTCACAATGTGCCTATTTCAGAAGAAGTGAGCCTTGGTATCCGACCAGAGTTATAGATGTCGGCTCCCTGGAGAATCTTTCGGTCATATTGGTGCCGGGAGGACGGGCTATCGCCAAGAATGAGAGATACATGACGCTTAGCCACCGATGGGGTTCTTCCAATGTCCCCACACTTACCACCAAAACGATTGATACTTGGAAGAATGGACTTTCTGTCAATATACTGCCTAAAAGATACCAAGAGTTCATCGCGCTTGCTCAACGCCTGCAGATTCGATACGTTTGGATTGACTCGCTCTGTATCATTCAAGAAGGCGACGACGGAGAGGACTGGCGAGCCGAGGCCCTTACTATGGACCAGGTTTACCAAAACTCGTTTTGCAACGTCTCCGCGGACTGGGGATCAGGTAAACGCGGCTTGTATTTTGAGAGAGACTTGCGGTTGATGGATAAGCCTCACATTGACTGGAAGGTCAGACGTAAGCCAAACCGGGACGTGGTAGTCGTGGAGAAATGCATATTGGTCGAGAACGAGTTCTGGGAGGAACAGGTTTCCAGGTCTCCTCTGAGTGTCAGAGGCTGGGTGGTTCAAGAACGATGGCTGTCTCCACGAAATCTCCGTTTCGGCTCGCGCGAAGTTTTTTTTTGAATGTGCTGAATCTACACTCTGCGAACGGTTTCCAGATAAGTTCCCGGAAGTCCTTCGAGAAGGAGACGTTATTTTCAAGGCTGCCTTGAGCAAGCTTCAGATGACACCGAGCCGGCAAACTGCACTCGAGCCCGCTACTCCAGGCACCGAACTCTACGACGCATGGGGCGACGTATTGGAAAAAAATTCCAGTTGCAATCTGACTTTTGCGAGTGATCGCGCCGTCGCTTTTGCTGGCATTGCCAAATTCTTTAGAGCGCTGGTTGATGACAACTACGTCGTCGGGCTATGGCTTCGGAACCTCGCTTCCGAGATGATGTGGTATCGAGACCGGTTGCTCACCAAAGCGGTCATCGAAGAGCCTCGAGATCGACTCAGCTTATTTCAACACGATCAGGCACACCAATATCGGGCTCCCAGCTTTTCGTGGGCATCTACAGCGGTACCAGTCGCGCCGAACCATGCAAAAGGCAACTCGGGCTTCTTGGCTGCCGTGAAATGCGTTAAATATCGCGACACTCAGAACGCATTGGTGGAAGAGTGGACTGATGATTTGTACGGACCCTTGTTGCATCCAATTGTGGAAGTTGAAGCAATAGGAACTCTCAAACAATGGCGACTAAAGTCATATTTTGACGGCAGACAAACAGATATATTTGCAATCCCACACCGCCCTAGGCAACATTCTAGAAAGTTTAGATATTGGTCGGACGCTATTAGCAGAAACACTAGAGAAGCAACTCTCGACTTTCAGCTCGATAACGCCGATATAGCAGCATGGGCCGCCAAGGATAACTTGTATTATATACCGTGGCAAGATCATTGGAAATCCTATCTGCCTGCAGATAGCACTAGGGAACATCCGGACGATGATTTTCTCACATGCCTTCTTCTTGAATTGGTCGACGCTCAGATGAGTCGATTTCGGAGAATTGGGCGGCTATACATCAATGACAAGTCGCAGAGAAGGCTATACATTGCGAAGCAAGAGAACGAGGCCAATTTGCCCTGCGCGCACTATGATGCTACGACCAGGCGCCACACTATATATATCATTTGAACAAGTTCAGTTTGGCCAAGCGGCAAACCCGTTGGTATGTTCAGTTGCTGACTATGAGCCGCTGCATAGCATAATGCCTCTTTTAGATGGTGGATTCCGTTAAAGGAACCCTAGCATGAGCCTGCACGCCGGATATAGAGGCACCATCTCATCGTCATGTATTATGTATTAATATTAGATAGTCGTAATATATATGGGTGTCTATGCATTTCATGTACTCATTGCGCGGATGCAGCCTCATACTTCTGCCGCCACTGGAGTTGCCTCCTCCTCCTTTTTGTATTCCCAGCCCGCTTTAATCAACCAGAACATGGCCATTAGCGGCGTCGTTAGCAGGCCCAAAACTCCACCCAAGATTAATTTGAACACTTGAGGCAGCCATTTATCGTGATAGACATAGTCGGCGCCCTCCTTTCTCCCGAATCCTGTCAGTGCGCCCATGAAAATGGGCCACAGTATCAGGAAGCTCACGACTCCAAAGCTGAGGCCCCGTAAGGCCTGCTGGATGAATTCGAGAAACGTCCACTTGCGATGCGGGTTTCCAACTCCCTCAGCTGGATCGCGTGGGAGGAAGAAGAACAGCCGCAGCCATCGGTTGGTCGGCTGTGAGATGAAGCCGATGGGCTGCACCGAGCGATGGCGAAGATCGTAGCGAAGGAGAATCAGCTCGACGAACCAGGTAATGACGCACTGCACGAATATCGTGACGGCAGCATCACCGGCCAGCGTGTTGGGGAGCTGCCACAGGCGGACAGGCCGCTTGACTGTGTTTTGTGTGGTGTACATGGCTGTGAGATTCGTTAGCAATCAACTCGTGTGTGCCGATTAGGAATTATCTCAGCGACGAGCTCAACGCTTACCGTACGCGATGGCGAAATTGACACCCCCTGACAGAGCAAATGCGCCAATACCATCCAAGCCGAAGATGTAAAAAATCTGTCGACCTGAAAACCGTGTGGTGGGCTCGAGAATTTTGGATTCTGCTCTCGTTTCTCCTTGGACAGGCAGATTCTGTTCACTCTCGTTCAAAGTACTTGTAGTGTTGGTTGTTGCCGTGTCCAAGCTCGGCTCTTGTGCTGGCGCTACACCCTCTGCTTCCAGATCTTCAGGTGCCGCCATTGTGATCGTCCCGCCTGTAAGATGCTTAAAGGGTCCTTAAGGGTCCTGAAGGGTGGCGTGTTGTTATACGACGTGGTTTCTTCTCGGGTTCAACCAGGCGTGTCAAAGAAGCATCATCGTGTTTTTGTAAGATTGGCGAAGGGATTAAGCATATATGTTCAGAAACACATTAACGAGCTCAGTTTTGATCCGGAATCATCGCCTTTATTAAATCTCGAGAATCCACAGTTGGCTGGCAAGGGGCGTCGAGATATGAGCTGCTGCTAACCGAGCCAGGGAGCGGAATAGCCCGGTGCGTATTATCACTAGTTCAATTACCGAGCACGAATACGGTGAAGAGCAAAGAGAGCTTTGACTCGAGATCAGATGAGGGCGTAGGTGACCATTAATAAAGATTATCTAACTTATATAGTCGTACGTTGCAATCCTTTCATCTCTTGGTCGAATACGCTCTCCCTCTGTTAGTGGCCGGCTGGACTGCTTCCACTTGCATCATAGCCGGATGACTCGGTCAGGCGTGCAAAAATCACAGAGAGCTCGAAGCCGAAAGTGGACCGAGCTGAGTTGCTTTAAAGATGTGAACCAACTACTTTGATTGGCACAGTGACATTGATAGCGCGTGGCTAGCACGGCTCCAGTACCCAGTAGTGGAATTGGGACGTGCAAGCTGTTCTCAACATCAATGGATTGCTTCACCGTTAGAAGAGCCCTTGAACTAGCGGTAGCCAAGAGGTTTAGCGTCAGGGTCTGGCAGAGCATTTGCGGTAAGGAAAAATTTTGCTAGCCAAGCTGCTCAGCTACACGCTCTACACGTTACAAGACAGTATTGCTGCTCGCTGTGTGATCGGCCATCAACCCGGTGCCGGTACGGAGTACGCCGCCCTGGATCTCCGAAGAGCCGGCGTCGTCGAACGAAGCCGTATCTATGCTGCAGTCTTCGGGCAGCGCGATTGGTTGCATGTAGCATGCGTATTATGCCTCATCCCATATCCAGCAATCTCTGAATCTACGACTGCCGCTGCATGGGCATCTGCCGCGATCCACAAGTCGCAGAAACAGGCTAGTGCCATCAGTAAGAAGGAAGCTTATGATGTAATTTGACCCTTGCTTTTTCGCAGGGTCCTGCCAAATCGCTAAATCGCACCATGGTGTTGTGGCGAATCATGTAGAAAACGTGGTAGGCGAAGACGGGCGTAAATACGCGGCAGAAGCCGTCAACGGGGAAGATGCATGCCTACATTGACCCGACTACCGAATCTGCAACAACCAAAAGAAAGAGAAAAAACTTCTCTGAAGTGCGTGCTTATCCTTGTGATGTTTTCACACTACATTTAGCCATGTGATGATATATGGAATCAGTCAGGCTTCAAAAAACTATTATAAGCAACGCTCATTGTCATCCTCTTCTTTACGAGTCACGCTTTCCTTTTCGAATACGCTCTTCTTCGGTTTCGGCTCCTATTTTTAAGAGCGCAAAGATGAACCCCGCCCCCATAAGCCACGCAAGCTCAAAATTTGGCGACACAGCGGTTACCCGAGATCTATCATAGCCGTTGCTTGAGAACTTTTCGTTAGGTCTAGTGGAGTTGCCAACGATATAAGCTAACTCGGCGAATCCAAAGCTTAGAACTTGCTTTCATATGCTTAGTGAAGAGACTTGGTGACGAATGTATTGCATATTTGAAGAAATTTATAATGATATCCAATATCGGCTGTCACCTGGTGTCAACGCGCGATTTATCCTTACTTCGGAAGATAAAGGTACGCCATCTTCCAAAACTACCTAGAGGTATTCTCACTCTTATACTACTGGCACATGTTCAAACCCCCCAGTCCAAACCCTTGCAATATCCATTGTCTTCGAAATGTTCTTTAGCGGGTCGCTGCCTGGTTTAAGCAAGATCAAATCGGCGCGATATCCCTCTTCAATAGATCCTCTCCCCGTCAAATTATGCAAAATACTAGGAACCACCGTCGCCGCCCGCAGTACGTCCACCTCACTCATGCCCGCCTCCACCAGATACTGAAGCTCTCGATGCAGAGTAATCCCAATCAGATCACCTTTAAGAAAACTGCCAGCTGCGTCAATTGCGTCGGTCCCAGCAAGGATCGGGACACCCGCGCGTATCAGCCGTTGCACACTGATCACTCCTGCTTCGTAAGTCAGGCTCACTCCCGGAGAAACGATCGATTCGATGGTCGAATTCTCCGTGACGATTTTGCCAATGTTCAGTGTCGGTGTCACATGTTGAGCCTGTCGTTTGATGACTTGTGCCATCTCTTCCGTGAGCGGGATGTCGAACGGCACGTGTTGGATACCGTTGGTCTTTGAGCTTATTGCAACTTCATATGAGGCGAAATCCTGGGCATGAGTCATAGAGACCTTGCCTAATGCATGTGTCGCACTGACAAGAGCATTATGTGTAGCTTGGTTGAAGCCGTTCGATTCTGCGATTAGCTTCATATAATCCGACCCGTTTCTAAAGACATTGGCCACAAATTCTGGTGCTTGGGATGGTGAATGCATCAAGCCTATGGCACCAAAGACTGTTGCATGCGTGCTGTTTGGTGCGACAGCGGACTCTCCAGCGCTGAAAAAGGAAGTCAGTCCGACTTGCTCGCGGAAGGCTGAGCATAACGTGTAGTTGTCGCATCCCATGTTCATGGCGGTTGTTACGCCATAGCTGCTCAGTGTCTCAAGGCTGGCCAGCGAGCTCAGGTGAATATGGCTATCAATCAGCCCCGGGAGTAGGACACCTCCTTTTCCATCGATGGTCTTCTGTACGTGCCGGGTATCCAAGGTTATTTTGTCCCCGTCGATAACCACAGTGCTAGGTTTTCCGATGCTCCAGCCGTCAAAGACACGGACGTTGATGAGGGCTGTTTTGGCTGTTGGTGGTGCTCTCTGGCTTCGAGCTTGAAGTAATTTCAGCTGTGTCTCAACGTGGGTACTTGACATATCCCGCGCTTGATGACCAGGGAGACAAGCGTCAGCCAACAGGCATAGTAATGATATGAGGAGCAGGTTGATGTTTGACTGCATAGTGAAATGTAAAAGCTTAAGATCCAAATTATTGTTGCAAAGTTGCTATCCGTGTCGGATCCTTATAGACTTTATAGCTATTGCCATCACGTCCCATTTGTAACGGTAGAGTATAACAGACGCATTTGCCTTGAATTCTTTCCCCGGTAATTCTCCTATTTCGATCCGGCCTTGCCGCAGGTAGAGAGACCTGAGCATACACCGCTATCAAGGTAATCCTTTCCATCTCGAGAAACGCTTTCGTTATAGGGCTTACCATTGATACCGTCAGTTCATTTCCATCCCTCGGGACGATGCGCACATTGGTAGAATGCAGGGATGTACGTACGAAGCAGCCAATCAGCTCCACTGAATAAAAATCCACCCCCCCGTAAATAACCCTTCCGGGGGCGAAAGCCTGTACTAAAACGGGAGCTTCGCGATGCCTCAGCCGCAACTGTGTTTTGCTGCACTATGCTGTGGAACATGTCCTTACGAGCCATCCAATCCAGCAATATCGGGACTTTGAAGACACCGAATTGCTTACAAACGTTGTACGAATACGCTGACGCAAAACTCTGGCAGCTCGGGAACAGGAATAATGGAAGATTGACGCGTGTTCGATTTACAAGGGAGTGTACGAGACATATATAGGCACTCCTCAATTGCAAGACTTTAACATCAAATAATTCTCACATCACTTCAATACCGTTTTGCAAATCCACTCAAGAATCCAAGTTCCGTTCTTTTGACATGTCTGCAAAATGTGCCGGTGAGTTACTATACATAAATCATCGAGAACCAAGCTCATATTTCCTCAGCTCTCGCAGATCCACTGCACACTGACTGGTCATTGTGTCCTTCAATGCCAGCGGCAATTCTATTCACGGTTTTGTTTGCTCTTACCACCTGCGAACATTTCTTGCAAGCTCTGTTTTACAAAAAGGCATACTGTTGGGTCATTGTTGTCTCCGGACTTGCTCAAACAGTCAATTACATCTTTCGAATCATCAGTATCAACAATCCAAATAGCCTGGGCCCCTACGCAGCCTGGTTTGTGCTAATTCTCGTAAGCCATTACTGAATTGCGCCAGAGGCCAAATGCTAACTCAGCTCAAGATCGCTCCGCTCTTTACAAATGCTTTTATCTATATGGTGATGGGTGAGTTGTGACTGTTAATCTCACAAATTACCAAACTTGACAGTCGATAAAAGTCTCTACTAACATGTGATCTCAGGAAGGATGATATGGAATTACATCCCCGATGCAAAAATTTATCGAATCACTGCGTGGAGGTTTTCGACATATTTTGTGATTTTTGACATCATGTGAGATGCCTAGGAAAGCGTTAAGAGAAAGATATTAACCAAGTTGCAGTGCTCTCATTATTCAAGTCGCCGGGGCATCTTCGAGCGGTGCCAGCAGAACAGCGAATCAAGAGGTGTTGAACGGTGAGTTGTATCTGAATGAATACCTGAATACTTTAGCTAACAGTCTTTCAGCAATTCATATTTACATGGGCGGAGTTGCTCTCCAACAATTTTTTATTCTGGTGTTTTTGTTTTACGCTGTTAAATTTCACCGGATTGTCCTTCAACAAATTCGACAAGGCGCGGAGGGAGTGTCAAGTGCATTGCCGTTATTGTATGCGATGTACATAGTACTAATGCTTATTACGGTATGTTGCACAACTCGATTCCCTCATATATCCAGGCACTAACATTGTGCAAAGATGAGAATCATCTTTCGTCTCTGTGAATATTCTCAGGGCTTCAAGAGCAACATTCCCGATCACGAGGCATATCAATACTGCCTCGATTCCGTCCCGATGCTGTTTGCCCTTGTTATACTCAATGTCTACCACCCAGGTCGTATTATGCGAGGGAAAGAAAGCGACCTTCCGAGTCGAAAGGAGAGGAAAGCTAATGGCTTCCAGAACATGTCTGGGGGGTTGCCGGGAATTCCAGTTTGAGAGGACATTGTGCTGACAGGGGAGCCTAATCAGAGGTTCCCTTATGCTTTAATTCAGAGTGCATGCATATTTCAATCCTACTATTCTAGCACAATCATTCTGAGAATGTACAGTAAAGAGAGCAAGTATAAGTAAGTATATAGAAGAAGCATGTAATAACCAGTGATTATTACCTCTAGTTTGAAGCTAGACTTGAAAAAGTTAGGGAATTGCATACAACAAATTCGTGTTACTAATGTTTTTACGCCAAACAAGGTAATGCCAAACTCCGTCCGCCGCGTAAGCTATTTGCTATCAATCTCACCAGCCTTTGGCCTCTTTCCACCTGAGTTCTCAACCCGGTTGCTGCGATTCTTTGTTCAACGGCGTCGGCGTCTTTCCATCTAACCTCTCAACTCCGTTACTGTAATATCTTGCTAAACAGTGTCAAATTCTGTAACTCCTTGATGCAACGCTAATCAATGCACGTCATGGCCGCGTAATTTCTCCCTGTTGCCGGTGCCTGTACCAGAGATTCTGCCCGAAATGCCCCGTGTTGCCCCAGGCCAGAGGAAACGTGCCTATCGACCGAAAACCCGAACTGGGTGCCATACATGCAAGTGTGTACCGCTCCAATATTGCTCCAATCCACTTTTATGTAGATGATTCTTGGACTACTACTGTGTGGTGTCTGGGTAGCGAATTACTAACAATATAGTAGAAGTCAGACACAGATGAGACAACGTTGAACGCTGGAGGACGAAACTAATGTAATCTGCTAGTACGACGAGTCAAATGTGACGAGACGAAGCCTTCTTGCCACGCATGCATCTCCACAGGCAGGAAATGCGACGGCTATACGCCAAACGTAGAAGCACCTCCAGACCTTCCACTAAGCCGACCTCTATCTCTTGAGTTCCTAGGAACTCAAAGTGAACGTCGGTCATTCTACTTTTTTCAGCAGAAAACTGCGCCCCAATTATCCAGCTTCTTCGGAGATGACGTCTGGGAGAGGCTCATCCTCCAAGCAGCTCTTCACGAATACTCAATCCGACATGCGATCCTAGCTTTGGGATCTTTGCACGCAAAATTCGAGCAGGACAATGGCTTGATTAAGCAAAATTATACCAATGAATATGCTGACAAGTTCGCTTTGGAGAATTACGGCCAGGCAATCAACATGCTCGTCACTTCACTGTCAGAACAAGGCCGACCAGCAATCGACGTGTGTCTAATATGCTGTATCCTGTTTGCTTGTCTCGAAGTAAGTAAGTCATTCTCGTAAACAAAATTGGCTCCTACTCATTATTAGTAGACGATGCGAAGTAGCTACGGCTCCGCCATCACACACGTCCAAAGCGGCATGAAAATCCTGTCTGAAGTGAAGTACGACGAGAAAACTCGTTGCTATCAGCATGATGTCCTTGTAGCGTCCAAATTACCATATGTGTCTATAGAAGTACTAAAAGAGATGTTCATGCGTGTTGACCATAGAGTTACCCAGGTGAGTTCTTCCAGATGACTCAGATTGCGTGTTTTTGACCGAAGAAATAGATGGTCAGCGGGGAAAATTGGGAAACGCCCGATTCAGAACAACAATACGTGCCGAAACCAGAGACGTCAGCTATATTTTCGACTTTATCAAATGTCAGCGCATCGCTTGTAACCCAGTGGCAAATGTCTTCCTACTCTATCACCGATACGGGAAATCCTCCGGGTCGGGGGGTTCCAGCAGCTCTCGACATTGACCCCTGGCAGAAGAAATCCAGAAGCATCCTCGCAAGATGGTCTTCAGCATACGACGTCTACCTAAACATCAGGGGTGACAACCTGACGAATGAAAAGAGAAAAGGCACGGCCGGCTTGCGCATCTTGAAAGAGCTTGGGTCTGTGGCAACGATGCTTACACAGCCGATAGTCGATGATGAAACTAGCTGGGACGTCTTCTGCCCTATATTTCAAAACGTTGTCTCTTTGGCGGAGGATATCGTTGAGCTTGACTCGGAAGTAAGCGCAGAGAGAAGCCCATTCTGCATTAACATGGCGGTTGTTGGACCACTTTTTCAGGTAAGCTTCTCGTCGGATAGATCTTTTACCAGCAAGTATTAACTATAGCATTATCCAGATTGCCTGTCGCTGTAGAGATCCCATCATCCGCAGAAGAGCAATTGCAATTCTTCGAACCTGCGGCCGCATAGAAGGGACATGGAATGCCTTTTCAGCTTCTCAAGTTGCGCAAAGAATCTTGGATATCGAAGAAACCGGTTTGCAAAACGTGCGAAGCTGCATGGACGTCCCAAGCTGGGCTCGTATATCAAATGCATCGCCAGTTTTCGATCCCCTTGAGCGGAAGGCGACTCTGACCTATAGCCAAGCGAGAACTAAGCATGGCCTGACTAGACGGACGATGGTAGATGTAATTGAATGGTGACAAGAATAAGGAATCACGGGTATAGTACAATGTTAAGCTGTGACTCTAACACGGGATTTCCATGTCTATAATCTACTTTGGCTAGATAAGCCCCTGTACACAGCTCTGTATTCACAGCTTTTTTCTTATTCTAAAAAGACATCTATGGCAACAGTCGCTTGGGCGTTCGGGGATAATACGCGGCCAAGTGCACGCTAGGCAGGGCAAGATACCATGCAACAACACGGTCAAGACCGATACCACCTCCACCATGGGGCGGTACACCGGCCTCGCGGAAGACATTGATATACTCCTTGATACCGGAGCTGGTAGGGTCAACACCCTTGGAGCGGATGCGGGCCTCGAGCTCAACTGGGTCGGCAATACGCTCACCACCAGACAGGATCTCCTGTCCACGCAGGAACATGTCGAATGCATTCGTCACCTGTTCTTCGGGCTTGCTCTCGGGGTCAACCCTGGCGTAGAAGGGTCTCGCGGCTTCGGGGAACTTGTCGACTGCGAAGAAGTCGACATTGTACTTTTCACGAACCAGTGCGCCCAATGCCTTCTCTTGCGGTGTTGACATGTCTTCGTCGTCGCGAACGTTGCGGAACTCCTCGGGGCCTTCCTCTCGGAGCAGCTTCTGGGCCTCTGCGAAAGTCAAGCGAACCTCCTTTCCGGGCTCGGGGAGGAGAAGCTCTGGGGAGGGATAAACGGAGCGGATGAGTTCGACCTCGGCTGCGCAGTGCTCTGAATATTTTCATTAGTGAAGCTCAATGGGAAAAATAGACAGAAGCTTACCCTTGATGCCGCGGAAGATGTGCAGGAGCACGCCCTCCAGCATGTGAAGGACCTCCTTGTAGTCTTTTCGGATTTCCATCTCCATATCGAGACCAGTGAACTAAGAAAAGAAGGACAAGTCAGCTTCAGACGAAATGAAATGTACAGAGAAGTCTTACCTCAGTCATGTGTCTCGGAGTGTTGGAGTTCTCAGCTCTAAACACAGGTCCAATGCTAAAGACGCGCTTTCGACCACCAGCAATCTCAAACTGCTTATAGAACTGCGGCGACTGCGCCAGGTAGGCCTTCTGGTTAAAGTATGGCATAGCGAAGACGTTGGCACCGCCTTCTGAAGCGGCTCCGATGAGGCACGGCGGCTCAAACTCCTTGAATCCGTGGTCGCGCAGATATGAGCGGAACAGGTGCTTGGCCTCGACACGAATGTCCTACATTCATGTTAGCAAAACAGGCTGGAATCGAGAATACCGACGAGTATCATGACATACAGCAATGGCCTGCTGGACTGGGGAACGCTTGTGCATGACAATGTTGTCCAAGTGAGTCAGCATAGACGCTGCCGGAGGACCTCCCTCAGCCTCCTTCTCCTGAGCAGCCTCCTCCGGCTTGACCTCCTCATCGCTAAAGTTGGTAACAGCGCGGTTCGCCGCCGCCAACGTCATGCCCAGCGCCGCAGGCGCAGCGGCAATGATAAACAGCTTGGTAATGTGCAGCTCGTAGTCGGTCACGCGGCAGCTCTTGACGGGCGCAAAGGGCTTCTCAACCGTCGCCTCGACAGTGACGAAGCTCTCCGGGTTCACAGCGCCCACCCACTTGACCATGCGCTTGCTAATGACGGGAGCCGCGTCGCCCTCCTTGGCGTCGCCCGTGGCGGACACGATGCCCTGGATGGCCCAATTGCCCTCCTCACGCAGCTCGACAAAGGCCATCTTGGCGCCCTGCATGCGCGTGTTCTGGAGCCATGCCCGGATAACGACCTTCTTGCCCACGTGCGACTCGTTGATGGACTTTAGGCTGACGTCCTCGGCATCGGATGAAAAGCTGTTGAGCAGCGCCGGAGTGGCAGCGCCGTAGTAGTCCTTGGAGGGGTCTTCCTCGGGCTCGTTGCTGGTTGAAGCCACGGCCACTCGCTCAGCAGCGCGCTGGGCCTTGAGAGCTTCCTTCTTCGCCTTGGCCTCGGCCTTCTTGGCAGCCTTTTTCGAGGGACCGGCGTCGGCGGCCGCGTCGACGGGCTTGTCGGCTGTGGGAGCTGGAGCTGGGGGGTTCGTTTCTTCAGCCATTGTGAACTGCGGATGACACAAAATTCGATAAGGTCTGGTATCTCGAACGTGGGGTAATGGGTGTTTCTTGAATGATTTTTTGGAGGGGCAGTTTTGGATGACTCATCCGGCAGCAATCACGTGAAGTCTCGAGGACAGGAGACTTCAAGGTGGTGAGTCAGGCCATTGCCGATGATGGATGGATAGTGAGTGTCAATGCCGTGATTTTGACTGTTCAATTTCATGATAAATGCAAATCTTTACAAATAGTTATGTGTAAGCGGCGTTGGGATGACTCTACAAGGCGCAAGTTGTAGAAGCGGGAGCACGGCTGGCATCGGCGCTAGAAACCGGAGCGAAGAAGAGAAGGATGGACGTCATATCTCTATATGTCATTACTATGTAGCTGGTCTCTGTCGCTCGACACAAATTCCAAATCGCATTCATGCAATTCGCTTCATCTGTACATGGTTCAAAGGCGTCGTAAATGTATGGGAGCTACATTATAGCTTCTCCTTTTCTGATCCAATCTCGCAGAAAGCCTTAAATGTCGTAAACTCCTCCTCCTTGCCAACTGCACACTCCAGGATCAGCTCAGCAGTAGATCCGACAAAGTAAACATGTCCCTCTTCAATCTCGTGCTTGGCGTCCCCGACGGCGATTGTGCCCTTGCCGTTGGTGCAGATGACGATACTGGGGCCTTCGAGAGGATCAAATGTAGCCTTTGCTCCCTCTCCGCGGAGCAGAGTGCGCACGACGCTAAACTCTTCAATTGGGGGATCGTATAGCATGACCTCCGATGCAGAGCTGTAAGCAGTCCGGTTAAGTGTCGCGTAGGGGTATTCGGCGGGGTTCATCTTCTGCTCGTCGATGGGCGCATAGTTGTACGTGAGCATGTCGACTAGGGTGGACACATCCTTGAACTTGGGCGTCAGGCCAGCACGGACTACATTGTCAGAGGCCGCCATGCATTCGATGATGTCGCCGGAGACGTAGGCATGGATATCGTCGGCAACGAGGAACAGGGCCTCGCCGGGCTGCAGAGTGACAAAGTTGAGGAAGAAGAGCACGAAGATGCCAATGTCGGAGCCGTATTGGCCGTGAAGTCGGGTGACAAGCTCGACAAGGACGTCGCCCTTGGTAGAGGCCACGCCACCAGCAGCGAAATCGGCTCCCTCAGACTTGGCAAGCGCCACAAGGTTGCCAATTTCCTTGTCAACGTCTTCGGCAGAAGAGGACATTAGGCCGCCGAATGCCCTTTGCAGAGCCTTCTTCTTAGACGCTTCATTGCCGCCCTCGTTCTTGGCGGCCTGGACAAACTGCGCCGCCTCGTCCTCGCCAACCAGAGTCCTTAGGGGCTTGACCGTCTCCAGAAAGTGTGCAACTTCGCCCAGCGGCCTGAATCCACACAGACCCTCGAAGGGGGTGATGGCAATGGCCATCTCGGGCTTGTGGTTGTCATCGGGGTAGTTTTTGGGGTCTCGGGCGTGCAGCTGCTCGGCGAGCTTCTTGTTGGGATGGGCCTGGATGGAGAGGGCCTTGTTGACGGACAGGACCTTGAAGAGGAAGGGCAGCTTGGCGCCGTATTTGGCAGAGACGGGCTCGGAGAGGAGGCTCTGGTTCTCGGAGCAGAGGTCGAGGAGCGTGCGGCCGGTCTTGAGGTCTTTGGAGGGGTTGGAGGGGTGAGTGCCCATCCACAGCTGCGAAGGAGTAAGCTACTGTAGCAAAGTTGAAGGAGGCAATGGCTGATATCCAAGTCGTACCTCGGCGTAGGGCTTGTCAGCTTGGATCGTCAGGTCGTCCGAGGGCGTGGCGGCGGCGTACCGAGCAGCGGCCGACTCGCTGCCCTTTTTGCCCCATTCGTACGAGTTGACGCCGCACTGAAGACGGAACAGAGGAGCCTGCGCCATGGTGAGTTGGAGGGGGGGTTATGGGGTATCTCAACGGTAAGTAAAAGTCAAAAGGAGAAGAAGAGAGGGCGATGGGATGGAGATGCGAGTCTGGCGGTACCGAAGCGGGCAGCAGAGCGAAGAGTTCGTGTTGGTCGTGATGGTGGCTGGAGCTCTGATTGGCCCCGAGCTTGGATCAGAAGCTCGCATCGCTGCTCCAGGCGCAGAAGTACCCCGCCGCCCCGCTATCAACTGCCTGTAAACGATGGACCCCCGCTGTGGAGCGCCTGTGTTTCACTGCATGCGGGAGAGCAAATGTGATCAATGACGGCTTTGAGTTGAACATTGATAATATTGATGTAAAATGTCATAACGTCGTATATTCTGTGTGTAGAAATATTGTACTGTATACAGCTTTCCATTTAGTTTCAGCAATTCCAGATGACAGGCGTCGATGCGTCAACGCCAGTAGGTATAAATTTCGCCAACGCCAAGCCCATACATGAAGTGATGTGTAAATCGGCCATCCCGCTGTGAGACCATGCCCGGCCTACAAGCTTCAAAATCAAGGAATCGTGAATTCCAACGCAGCCCCGAACCCCAGACCAAAAAAAACAAGAAAGCCGTGAAGTCATAACAACAAAATGAGAAATAGAGCCAATGCAGCTCCCCTTGTGGTGCATTCTCCGTAGCCACTGACTGCCTCCCGCTGTCGGTATGTTGCCCGTAGCATAGCACACCATGTAGGAGCTGCACACCTTATATGCCGTCTGGTGACAGTATCGCCACCGTCAAAGTCTCCGCCCAGATCAGGTTGTTTCATTGCTTAAACAAGCCCCCAGGCCAGAATTCCGGCCAGGCCACTGACCACCGCCAGCACGACGCGCATGTCCGTCATCCTCATCGGCGCATCGGCCTTGAGCACCGGCACGTGCACTCTGCAGAACGTCTCGCCGCCGATGGTGGTGCAGGTGTATTCGCTGTTTGTGTGGAAGCCGAGGTTGGACATGGCGAAGGTAGTAGTAATGAGTAGTTGTCGTCGAGAAAGATGAGCAGCTGAAGCTGGACGAAGCTGAAGAGTATATACTGCTGTCGAGGCGTCGAGCTTGGCCGGAGCTTCACAAGTCGATGATTGAATGCGGCGGTTGCGGCAGACGGTGGGGTCGCGTGCCCGAGCTGGTCCGAGGAGCTGCTGCGATGAGCTGCTGCGATATGAGAGCTGGAGGGTCTGTGTGGTGCAGAAGAAGAAGACGCTGACGATGTCGCTGAATATGTCGCAAGTGTGTTATGATATGCAAAAGCTGTCGTGAAGAAGAAGAAGAAGAAGAAGTAGAAGAATCAATCCAAGTCACAGAATACGGCGGCAAAACAACCAGGACCACATGAGCTCTCGTTCCGGCTCCCGGTGGCGCATGACGGCTAAGCTGATGCCGGGCAAAGCATCAATCAAACCAACCGCTCTTGCACGGGCCCCACCGCTGCCAAACTCTGCCAACTCGTCGACGTCACAGGTAAACAAGACTCCGGGGTGCTTGTCTCGCACGGGGATCGGCAAGGATACAGTACGATTGAATGATGGAATAATAGGGAGGGGAAAAAGGGAGGGAAAGAATCAAGCTGTGTTTCCTGGGTCTCTGTTCGCTAAAGCGCGGTCTGATGTAATTGACATGGCGAGCAATACCTAAATGCACGTGTAAGTGAAGCAGGAGAAGAGAAAAACCGGGGAAACCCTGAACATCGCAATATCGCCTGCAGCTGCAGCAAAAAGTACGAGCGCAGTGAAAATAAACAAAATTAATAAGAAAATAAAACAAAACAAAATACGAACAATGGATCGGCCAGTCAGCCATTCGTGCTCAACAAATCTCCCGCTGCCCGCCTTTTGTTACCTTCCTTTTTCCCGTATAAATGCACATGTAAGCTGCTAAACACCAGAGGACCCTACATGTCAACGTTCCATTGTCTACCACCCCTATTCACCACCATTATCATCATAAATAGAACCAAAACCATGGAATGCCAATTCCTTCCTCAACATCAGAGTCTCAGCATTAAACAAATATTATATGTGTTTTATGCTCTGTGTACTGAAACAAAAGCGAAAGGCGCTGTATTATCGCAGCCGATCTCACCATCCAATCGATCCAGCACCCTCAGCTGGCCCCAAAATCGCCCCTCTCCCGCCTGAAAATGGTTGGCCGACGATCCTCCAATGCACGCCGCTTAATTGCTTGCTCTACGGAGTAGCCGCTGCACATCAGCTCTTGCGTCCCGCCCATTGCTTAGGCTGAAGCGTGCTAGGATGACCGGAAGTCAATTGTGCATTTCATTCCCACTTTGTTCCCCATCGCTTGCCATTTAACTTTGAACTTTGCCGAGAATCTCAGTTCAATATATTGCGCCATTCAGAATGCGCACTCAACGCTGTCAGAATTGCCCACCTCTATTTTCCTTCTTTTCTCTTTTTTTCCTCTCTTCTTCTTTTCTCTTTTTTTTCCCTCTTCTTCTTTTCCCCTTTGTAGAGTTGAAGCAGCAAGGGAGAAGAGCGTGAGCCACGACCGGGTAGCGTCATTTGCATGCAGCGCGACATCGTATCCGTCACAGAATGAAACCCGGCAACGGCCAATGAAACAAGATAAATTACAATCAATCTGTAGTCGTGAATTGTCATACATTGAGTTCAGATTATGAGAAAGAAATGACACATCTAATATGCTCGCTCAACAAATGCCGCTCGCGCAAACTCAATGCAAACAAGCCATCTTGGTGACTCTTGCCATCGGCTGCCAGTCCTATCCTATATGCCCTCTTCATTGATACATGATTTACAACATGATATACTACGATATTCTCTTCTCATCTCTCAGATATCATCGTCTACTCGACAGCCATCTGCCCCGCCAACCCTCTTCTACCGCCCTTTTCGCCCTTTGTATTTATTCACAGCGCTAACAAGCGGTGCCTCTGCCTCTGATCGTCCTCGACGGCTGGCCCTCAATGAAAGCCCTACCGTCCTTCTGGGGCTACTCAGCGCATCTCTCTCGTCCCGGGTGCCTTTCTTAACCCACCCGGGACCAGTGGGCAGCTTTCTTTTTGCCTTTGTAGGACTGGGTCTTTCAACCTCCGGCTCCCTACTCTCATTTGTTGGCACGCCGGCGCTTGAGGATGGGCTGGAGCTTAGAACAATGACCTGGCTTCCATCCGGTATAGCAAACGGCGCTTGGTCATCCATCTTCTTCGCCGGCTGAGATAGAGAAGTTGATAGCGCCGGCAGCTCTTCATTTGCAACCCGCGTGCGAACCGATGGTTGCGTTGCGTTGGGAAATACTTTGCTGTCCACTGTATCTTGTTCTTCTTGCTTCTGCTCGGGAGAGTGATCCGACTCGTTTCCCTCATCAAGCTTGCGCATAGCTTCTTCGTATTCCATATCCTGAGTAGGGACAGCGACCTGGCTCGCAGAGAATGAAGAGATGTTCAGTTTCCTGTCCGAGTTTTGGGTGGGCTGAGCAGACATGAATATCTCCTCAAGCGACGGAAACGGGCTGCTTCTGCTAGAACTGGACGCCTGCGATTTCGAGTCGTTTGGTTGTGCTGTGCTTTCGGGTAGATGTAGCAATGTTTCGGGAATCAACGTGCCGTGAGGCAGACCGTCTTCCAAGGAAAATGCCGTCCGCGGTTGTCGCCCACTAGGAATATCAAACTGCGATGCGGCGATGACTGTGTCGGAATGGATTGCGCTACCACTTTGTCCAGCTGTCTGTTCTTCTCCCTGCTGTCCTTCCTCTCCTCCTCCTGCTTGCTCTCCTTCTTCCTCCCCTCCTTGATCTTCAGACGGCTCTGTCATCTTCGGTATGGGCGTATGAGAGTTCGAGGTGCCTTCTGCCACGGCATTCGCTAGGCTATGTGCTAGTTCTTCCTCTTGGTCAGCAGCTGCTTCGTCTTCTCGCTCTACCAAACAATTCGACTTTGCAGAGTGTCTATTTGAGGGATTGGCTGCAGCAGTCAACGCGTGGCCTAATTGAGCGCCTGGTGGGTTTGCGATATTATTGCTGTTCAAATGTCCAACAAATTCGAAGCTGTTGCTAGCAGTGCTAATTTGCACTTCGGACATGGAGGCATCCAGTCTTGGCAATGGTTGACCAGACTGTATTGTGCCAAAAGAGTCGTGCATCAAATCATTTTCAACAGCTGCCCGCACTTGATCCGTACTGGGCTGGCCCTCTAAAGCATCCACCTCTGGTTGGAGTTCGCTTACCTGGTCATGCCCTGATGGCATCTCGCCCTCTGTAGCCGCCGCCTCCGCGTTGCCGTTCACAGGAGCTTGTTGCAGAATGCGAGGCTCAAGCATCTCCGTCCACTGCAATGACCTGAAGCCGTCGTCCTCTTCTTCCTCGCCATCTTCACCGCTCGCTTCATCCAGATCTGGAGCTTCGAATTTGTCATATATTCGCTTTCCGGTGAACTCGTCGTAGATCTTTTCGTTATTCTCGCGGTCTCGTCTAGCCAACTTGACATGAATGCTACCATCTTCACCCCCAGGAATGATGATACCCGTAATCGGTAACAGTTCTGGCTGCCATTTCGTAGCTTTCGACATGAGGAGCTGATTCCAGGTAATGACCATCCCAGGCTGGGCTGATTCAGGTGTTAGCAACGGCAGCGCCTTGATATCTTGGGGCAAAGATGGCAGATCATCCAGGTCCGTAAACTGGCTGCTCTTCACTGGCGGCTCGTCGTAGTTGAGAGTCACGTCTTGCTCATCCTGATCCAAAGTATCATTCTGTCGGTTTGCAGATTTTCTCTTCTTCTTTTTGCTTGTTTCTCCGGCATCTCCATCGTAGTAGTCTTGTTCCGGTTCATGAGCATTGTAGTAGAAGGCGGAGTCGTCGTACGAAGTATCGGCTTGGTAGTTCTCCGACGCGCGCTTTCGTTTTCGCATAGTCTGATATTTCTGCTGAGGATCCCAGCGTTGGACAAAGGGGAATGGTGGTTCACTGAGTACCATGTCCTCGTGGCAGCATTCCACAGCCTTGTAGATGATTTTCTCTCTCCAAGCCTCAGGGTCTTCATCCCCCACCGGGTTTTCACTGGCCTTGCCGTCGTCACCATTATGCAGAGCGCGTGGATTGACCAAGGGTCTCACATCTTTCATGAGGCTGTCACGGATTTTCTGCTCGTCGGCTTTGGTTGTTGGGGCTTTCAGGCCTAGAGCGCCAAATAGAAGCCGGCGGCCTGCGCCCACGTCAACGCGAGCTGAGCGTTTTTTCGGCGTATCTTTCGGCTTCGATGTTTCCGCTTCAGTCGCCTTATTGATCTTTATCTCTGTCGCATGTGGCTGGTCTTCCAGCACCTGAATAAGCCGAGGAGCATCTTCCATCTCTGCCTCACCGATTTTTGCGCCGTCTTTGGGAGATTCGTTGAGGATCGCAGCTAAGAGAGCTTCTTTTCGTGCCAAAAAGTCATCTTGTGCGGCACCATCTTTGTCGCCATTTGTTAACCGAGACTGCTCAAGGCCGCTTTCTTTAAAGACCTTGTTACGTTTCCTTCTGGCATTTCGCTTTTGAGTTCGCGTCAGGCCAGCTGATGGCGGTGTATCAGTTACTTGAGCTTGAGTGGCAGGTGCAGCCGTGACGTCCTGGATTCTGTGCGTTGGAGGTGCTGGCTTTACTGGCCTTTTCGACGATATTTCTTCTACTTCAGACTCGGATTCTGACTCTGACTCCGACCCCGACTCGGATTCTGATTCTGATTCAGAGTCTGACTCCTCTGTCGAGTCCGAATCGCTTGTGTCATTACTGCTCTCGCTGGAAGAGCTTGCAGAAGCACGAGCATCGCGGCTGCGGCCCTTGCTGTTCCCCGCACGTAAGGTTGCTTTGCCGGTCATGTCAACAATAGGCGAGCTTTCCTCTGACGAGGCATCATTTGCTTTTTTAGGAGCCGTGTTTGCTGTCGGTAAAGTGCTGGCACGACCTCGGTCTTCTTTCTCGCCGGAGGAGCTGCTGTTCCCAGAGGCATCGCTAGAGTCGTCTTCAGAGCCTGATTCACTCTCTTCTTCAGATGATGTATCCTCTTCTGAGTTTGATTCCGACTCTTCAAAGTCTGATTCGGAAGTATCGTCGCTACTTAAGTCTTGGTTCTGGTTCGACGTCGGGAGAGATATTGTGACCCCACCATTCAACTGAGATTCTCTGAGAAACTCCGAGTCTTCAATCTCTTCAGAGTCTTCGACTTCTTGAATAAGCGGCTTCAATGGTCCTTTTTTCACGCCACTCTCAATGCGCAATCTGTTGGCGTCGAGTCCATTGATGACACTGGTGGTCTCTTTGGCTTGTTGAAGAGATTCATGAGCAAGAATGAAAGACGCATCATCCATCATCCGATCAAAGTCTTGAGAAGGATTCTGAAGTATTGTCAGCGACAGATATGTCTTTCTCATATCCTTATTTGTCCGAGCAAGGGCGAATCTGATATCTTCGTCTGATAACTCTGAAAACGCCAATCTAAACACGGCAACAAGCATATCGATGGGCACGCCCGCATAGCCATGAGCAGCTATTGCGTTGTTTGAGAAATCGTCTCCTCCATCTTGTCCATCTTCACTCACGGTATCAGTATCTAATTTTACTTTTCCAAGCGGATCAAGACACCGTCCGATATTCCTAAGATCACGAGGCAGACGGCCGCCGGACACGGGGGCGTCATCTTGCCTCAGGAAGCGCAGTTCTTCTTCGAGATCTTCGTCATCGTCTTCCTCTTCATCATCGTCGTCCACGTCACTATCTTCCAAGTGCTCGTTCAAATTAGGATACTCTTGGTACGCTTCGTCCTCGTCGTCGTCCTCATCGCTGTCGTCATCGAATATGTTTCGCACGTTGTTGGGTATTCCGTACCGAGAAGAAGGCAGAGTATCTAGCAGAAGTTGCTCTTGCTCTTCATGCTCATCCTCATCCTCGTTGCTGAAGCGAACACGTTTTCGCGGCGGCAAGTCGATGTGAGGGCGGTCGCGAGGAGTTCTTAACCAAGATCTGCCAAAGGCGAGGCCGTCTATCAAGTGTCTCCCATCGTCAGAGATCTGGTGTCGTCCGCTGAGTCGCCGTCGCTTCAAATCGCCGGTGAGGAGAGATCGAATACTAAGCGAAAAGATATTAGAATCCATACTACAAAGCCAAAAAAACAGCTTGGGCGACACTCACATGACCTGATCTTCGTCCTTCAAAATGCGGCCAACTTGCTGGAAGTGAAGACACTCGAAGCTACCGCCTTTGCCATCCTCCAGCTCCACGGCGTAGTCTTCGAGGCCCCATTCGCCGCTCTCGAGGGGAACGACCTCGTTGACCTGTTCCAAGACTTTGGCGATGGTGACGTCTTCGGCGCAGGAGCACGGCCAGAGGAGCTTGATCTCGGGCAGTCCGTGGCGACGGATCACCAGCCGCAGGCGGATGTCCTGAGCTTGCATCTTCAGCGACTCGACAGGTGCAGCTGCATGGCCAGTTGGTTGCCTCTGAGCCGAGAGGGAGTCGAGGATCGCGGATTGAGGAGCGTGAATCGAGAAGCGTGAATGTTTGCAGCGCAGGCAGAAACACGAGACACGAGATGCTGGGTTGGCGAGATCGCAGCTGGTCAGGTAGATCTGGTGGAAAAATGAGCCTGTGCAGCGCTGCCTTGGCGCGTGCCGTCAGAAGCGCTTCAGCTGTTTGGCTGCCTTGCTGCTGAAATTTTAGTGGAGCCGCCGCTGTGGAGTGGCGGTCGTGTAGCCTCATTTGCGGCGGTCAATTTCCTTGTACCTGCAATATTGAAGAGAAGGATTTTGGCAAAGGAAGATAAGATTAGTTTGGTCAAATTATTCATTTATTTTTTCTTATTCCATCTACTGGTTCAGATGAACCACTCTTTTTCTTGTCGCTCAATAGTGCTAACCAGCAGTTATATATTCGACTGGACCCCCTTCAGCTCAGTCGAATTGGATATATGGTATATGTACGTGCCAAATAACATCAGATGACAGCTGACAATCACGATTTCCATCCTGCAGCCTGAAAAACAAATTAACTCCAAGTATGCCCATGCCCGATACTCAAACAAATTCATCGTCGTCGTTCTCGTTGCCAACGCTTTCTCCAACTTGGTTCCAAGTCTCTTAGTGAGGAAATGATCCCATGTCCAGCATATGGCCCATCTTTTCGATCTGCATAGCTTGTTAGCACATTTTTCTCGATAATTGATCATCAGAGGAAAGAGGAAAAGACTCATACCTTTGTCTTCAAATAGCCTTCCACTTCCTGGCTTCTGAAGCCACCCTTTCCTTTCCATGACAAGGGCACCATGGCCACTCGCTCCTTAACGACAACCTCTCGGTTTGGCCCCTCAACAGCGCGAACCTTGTCAGGGTTGTTGGTCAACAAGCGCACGTTTGTCTGGCCGAGATCCATGAGCATGGCAGTGGCTAAGCCGTAGCTTCGCGCATCGGCTGGGTGTCGCAGTAGCAGATTCGCCTCAACTGTATCTGATCCGAGATCTTGCAGGTTATAAGCCTTTAGCTTTTCACCAAGCCCAATACCACGGCCCTCTTGTCGCAGATATATGATGATGCCGCCAGCCTTGTTTCCGGGTAAAGCCATTAGTCGAGCGGCCTCGTCAAGCTGCTCGCCGCAGTCGCATCGCGCCGACCACGCAGTCTCTCCAGTATAGCACTCTGAGTGTATCCGCACCAACGGCGGGTTCTGGGGCTGGTTCTGCTCCTGCTGGGACTCGGATGAAGGAGTGCCCATGCCACTCGTTGTCCGGCCTGGGAACAGCCGGCCTGTGTAGGCGCCTCGAATCATGCGGTCCATTTCGGTCTCGCCCTCGCGGGGCTCATCCAGCGACTTGCTCCGGATATCATTGCCAAAAACAATGGCCAAATGCTCCTTGTTGTCGACGTTGTTGGTGTAAAGGTGGAGGAACATCTCGGTTCCGTTGACGGTGGGGATGCGGGCCCGGACAACGCAATTGACCTCGGGCAGCGTCTCTAGCAACCGGGGCTTCTTGCTGCCGCATCCGCCGGATGGAATCGAGCTGTCGACGGGTATTCCTCGCAGTCCGGCGGTTGTTGGAGTCTGGTTTCCCGGTGTGGCCGGGGGAGTAAAGGCCGGCGATAGCAGCGATGGCGGGGGCGGCAGCGAGGCCGATGAGGCGCTGGCATGACTGGGTGGCAGCGAAAGCTCGTCGATGGGCTGGCCATCACGGCTCTGGGGAGTATCGGCGGCCGCTGTTCGGGGGGAGTAGAAGGAGGGCAGCTGGGCGCTGTCGCCGGCACCTGATGTCGCATTCGACGGCATTTTGGAGATGATGGGATGCGTGGGTCGCACGAGCTGAGTCGGGAGAGCTGAGGGCATGATTAGTGGACAAGCCGAGGAGCGCAGCAGAAGAAATGCACCGAAAAAGAAAAAGAGAACAACGATAAAAATCCAAGGAATTGCTGGATGCAGCCACGTACCGTCTTATCTGAGCCTGCGGCGATGCCTCGATTCGCAGAAACAAGCGCGCGCGAAGGTTTGATGGTGATTATCAATTTGCGCGGTGATGCTTTCGCAAAATGACTAAGTCAGTCTAACGGTGGGGTCGGCGGCCCGGAGAGCGCAGCTTCGGTGCTTCGCTTGATGCGCCGAGAATCTGCGCGGATGGATGCGATTACGTCTGGATTGAATCCTTCTGTAATACAGAGGACACGTACAGAGTGTAGATCATGCCATACAATTAATTCCATTCAATGCTACTACAGCCTTTAGTAGCTGGGCGGCCGCTGCAACCTCGGAGAGACAGGATCCCCAAAAGAACCCGCGTAGAAGCCGACCGAAGGACTGGCCCGAGGCGAGACATGGAGATGGAATCCCGAGCCAGCGGTGGGCCCTGGCGGCGTCTCGCACAGATTGAAGCCAATAATGCGCGTGGGCAGCGCAATAGCTGCGGAGTTTGTCCCCCGCGACTTGTTCAGCGGGAATATCTAAAAACACGTGCAAGGTAAATCAATGCATCATGGGAAGCATCTGTTGAATATCAATTGCTGTAACAATTATCTGCGTGAGAGTCATGGACACAATAGCGCAGTTCCCCAGGCAATTGTCTAGGCTAGCAGCTGCGCGGGTTGGACCCTTTTTCTACAATGCCGTCATCAGCGCTTCTCCATGCAGATGCTCAGATGCAAATAAGCACCACGCATGAATAAGCATCAGCAGCAGCAGCACTGCGGATTCAACCCGACCAAGCCGAGCCTCCGATTTTGTTTTGTGTGAGCTGAGACGTCATTTTCGGAACTCGGGCTTACTATTCACCAGACATTAGATTTTTCTTCTTTTTACATAAGCAGCAGACTGGACTCGAGAAGCTAAACTGCTTCTAGATGGTCCTCTTACAGTCACATCAATTGGTGCAAGACAAAGCCATGGTTGCCAGATTCATAATGGACTTTTCATTCTACTCTATTCTAACCGGTACTTTTATATCTAATGTTCATGTCTAGATCGATACCCCCCCAAAAATCAACATTCTAACCTAAGCAGACTGGGCCTTGCCAGTGCCGTAGACAATGTTGGTGACAGACTCGCCAGTGGGAGTGTGCTGGGCTCCAAGAGTGTGCGGGCAGCTGGGCTGGTTGCTCTTCTGAAGATCGAGAGAGCAGACCTCGTTGTATCCGTACTTGCACAGGGGATCGGCCATGTTGACCAGCTCGTGGTTCTTGGCCACCCAGCTGTTGGGCTCGCTGAGGCAGCTCGCGACGTAGTCCATGCTGTTGGAGGCAGACAGAGCCAGCTTGCCGCCGTGCATGAGGCCGGCGCACTCGCTGGCGTCGACGAACTCGTAGTCCATGTTGATGCCGCCGCCGGTGTGGGGGCTGGAGGAGGCGCTCTCGCCGAAGCCCAGGTAGTTCCAAGCATCGTATGAGATGTCGTGGGCGCCGCCGGACTGGTCAATCTTGAGCAGGTGCAGGCTGCGGTCGCCGTTGGTGACCTTGACGCAGATGTTGTCGCAGTTGACGCCCATGGGCCAGTAGGCAACGCGGTTGGTGTTGATCTTGCAGCCCAGGACACCGATGGAGGACGAGTACTGCTCGTGGGGGGTGATGCTGGCGCTGCCGCTGTTACCGCGGATGGCAACGGCCGAGACAGAGGCGGCCGAGGCAGCAAGGAGGGCAGTGAAGGTAGCAAACATTTTGAATGTTGTTGACAAGTTAAATGTCTTGTATAAAGAGGGAGTGTGTGTTGTAAAGTGGTTGTCTAACCGAAGAGTTGTATAAGTGGGATATATGTGTGCAAAGGAATGAACACACAGGCTTCAATATGAAGGAATGAATCGAAGCAAAGGATTGTATAAGAGACTGTTTGTCTTGTAGAATGGAGTGAGTGATGATTTCTTCTGTTCGAGGGAGGGATCAACGCCCTTATTTATACACTTCTTGGGCATATGGACGCGACCCATCTTCCCCCGCAAGTCGAAGAGATTTCAAACCCATCGACTCCGATTTCCCTCAACGGTCCGACGGTACGCAGGGAGCGCCGCACGGGTTGCGGGTCGACGTTGGTTGCTTCCATCTTCACCACAGTGTCGACGAGTTTGCTGAGATTCCATAGTCCACTCTCTCGGGACATTCACGGTGACTCGGTGTGGCAACCTAGAGCTAGCGTTCTCTGGCAACAGACTTCCATTGTGGGAAAAGCTGGTCCATAATTTAAATGGCTCACCTAAACTAAACAGAGCTTGGCTCCAGGAACCGAACCGGCCGGCTCACGTTGTGTGTTCCGGTGGTGACTACTGACAGCGGCATGGCCAGGGGGAAAAGCAGGTACGCGGCGCCCCCTCGAACCCAAGGCTTCCCATTCCACGTGCTTCTACCGGGCAGTCGGTGTTCAGCTCCCAGTTGTGAAAGGGTGGTCGCGTGCGAAGAGTGGTTTTGATGGGTCTTTGCAAAGTCAAACGCCTGCTGTTGATGAGTTCCGAAGTCGGTAACTGAGCCCATTCGGGGATATGGTCTTCAATAGGAAATGGCTTTTCCTCGACTGCCCGAACAACAGCCGGATCAATTGTCGACACCAACAGTCATACGCATGCAAATTGAAGTATTTCCGTAGCAAATATTGTCATGCGTAACGTTTCATATGAAACGTCTTTTTCTTTTTACCTTTGTCGATCACTGGGATTTACAAGGGGTGAAACACACTCAGACTACACCATAAGCGCTCAACAAGTTGCTACGTAGACCATCTGAGTCGCCCTGTCCCACTACAACAACTAGGATAGAAAACTCCGGATCAAAACCTGAATCATTCCTCGGACGACTGTACAAATTCGGAAATTCTTCAGATTTTTCCAAAGGCGTTGGTCGCTGAAAATTCTGAACCGCGAGGGGGTCGCTCGCCGTTGAATCGGAAAAAGTGGGCGAGTCAAACGCCACCACCTCTTGTCAGAACCACTATTTCCTTAGCTAACGCTCAGAAACAAAAGGACTCTAAAGCGTAATGTCTTACTGTTAAGGCATGCGTATAACGCCGCGTCACGTATTTTCAGGAGATTCCAGAAAAGGTGGGTAATCCAGTTTGGGGTTTCGGAGACCCAAGACTCATTGTTAACAAAGCCTCTTCTTGCCTCCCAGGGGCAAAAGAACATTTCGAAGCCAAAGAAAAATTCTACCGCCTTTTTTTTGCTTTCCTATGTTTGAAACAATAGCCACTATCAATCTTAGTCATAACATTAAATTATATGCAAAATTGCCTCCTGTTTCTAAAGAAATCTTCTCGAACAATTCTTCACACGCCCAGTGTCTGTAACGAGTAAGTGGGTCTAGTCGGTTGAATAGACGTGTACCCATAACTCTGGTTCCTTTTTTTTCTAGAAAGATTTTTTAAAAACTATTTTTCACTGAGAGATTTTATTCAGCCGAGAGTGTGGCTAATCACAGCTGAAGTGAATGACTTTTAGGTCTCCCAAGTGGACTACACTGTGCTGCGGAGATGTCTAGAGCAACACGGTAGCATCGATGCCTAGTGAAATCCCCGATGTTAAACTGGGGTAGTTGGCTCGTTCATCACGATCGTGGAGCCCGGGTATAGAGAGGAAGAGCCGAAATGAGCGATAAAAGTATTAGGCACCATGGAATCGTCTACTTAGTCATCAGCAGATGAAATTTCTTCTGGAGTTGCGAATTCTCGACGATCCATCCTCCCGCTACTAGGCATACAGCACAAGTGGGTTACCACGGTAGTTTTGAAGATGAAAGCGTTGAAATTGCCTAGAATCAGAGTCCACTAACAGTAGCATGTAATTAGATTGTCAAAATTATGAAGCTGAATAGATTTATGAGTTTAGACTTATTAAAAGCTGGAGAAGTCGCTGACCCCGGCCTGTCCGATGGATTGGTCTCCATCCCAGGGATACCCTGCTTTGGCCTAAATTGGTGCCAGATCTAGTATCTGATCTTAGATCTCATGGCCAACGCGACGAAAATACAGGGAGGGCCCTGCTTTTCACGGCTAGACTCGTCTACCCCAGAAACACCAGACGATCTTGTTGTCTGTGCTCTTCAAAACCTGTCTAAATCTACTGCTGTATTTGTTATGTGGGCGGTTTCTATATCGATCGGTATAGCGACAACCTTCGACTACTTCAACGGCAGGTACACTCGGAGCCTTTAACATGCTTCGGTACGGTTTCCTAGTATGTTGACATAATTTATGCACACAATGTTATGCATCCAAAATGAGGAGACTCAAGTACCGGAACCGTCAGTAGAGCGAGTTGCCAGCAGATCCAACTATAATTAGCGGCCTATCGTTCGATCTTTAAACATTAGTTACCTCGATCCGCGAACATTAGCTGCACTAATACATATACAATATCCACAAAGAACTCCAGTCTGAAAAAGATTGTAGTTTGTTTCAGAAACACATTTAGAGGTCCTAGAGGCGTACGGCTATCAAAATCTCAGATCGAACATGGCACATATTGCGTACCTAGCTCTGTCTCATCTCTCTAAAGACACCTCGCCATTACCGATCAATGCCTTAAAGAAGACCATCCATCAGGAGTTCATCATATTGACCAGTTGTTCAGCCTAAGTAGATCCCCACTCTCCAACGAATGCTTCAGATAGTTCCCCCCCTAGACTACCTCAGGGCTCTAACCAGGAGGGCACTGTCCCAAGTCCCACGATAAATTTGGCAGGTCGATCACGTTAATGGGGAAACTAGATCGGTTACAAGTTTCTGAGAACGGTACAACGGCTACTAATGAGATATGGAGAATGCTTTCTGCAACATCGTAGACTCCAGTGATGTGGGCGTAGTGGGGTCAATTCTGTCAAACGCACAACCGTGCTCTGCTGTGGAGGAGTCGTAAGATAGAGCCACATGAATATGGATTCGCTGTAACAGCGGCTGTAAGGTACCCAGTAAATAGCATAGGAATCAAGGTTAATCAGAGGAGGTTAAAGACGAAGCACAAGATAGCGCAATGCTGCAGATAAGACCTTCCATTCGATACCCGTCCAGCAGAAGCTTTCCACAGGCATCAAGCTTTACTACTACTGGTAGAGAATCAGTATACCATAGCATTTATATCTCTTGACGCAAAATGTAGTCTAACAGAAACAGTAGTCTACTGAGCATGATCTATTGCTAGATGAAATCGTATCGTCAGAAAAGATTTGCTTGAGTCTGCCTATCAGCAGAAGATATAGATCAAGATTTCGGGCATTTATTGAGTGACCCAAAACAAGCTTCTCCATAAATACAGTCATGGCCAATTTCCCCATCCCGGTAGACTCATTTTTTCTCTTTTCTAGCTATATCAATTACTGTTGGTCCTTGTGGTAGTCAACTTTTGTCTTTTTTGACCATCTACTTTCATTAGCCACTTCAGGCCAGTCATCTCCTGGCCCATCAAAAAAGGAGTCAATGATTCTCGATCCTGTGGCGACGTCCGGACTTTTTTTTTTTTTTTAAAATAATCTTGAACGCTGTGTTAAATTGGTAATATAATCTGGAAATGGAATATGAGACAAAAGATATGTCGTAGTTGACGGATCATCACCTTCGACCACGCCATCTCATGAGGACTTTCTGAATCCCACCATCATTGTGCCTTCATAGTAAGAAAAAAATAAAAAAATGGGAATTCTAACAGCAGCAACGCGGTTACTAATCACAATGCACGAATTAAAAACAAGTCGCAGTACTAGTAGTGGCAGCACCAGTCTGTCGGGAATTGTGGTTTGGAGAGCAAGTCTCTACCTCCGTAATCGCAGCAAAGCTGAGACACCGGAAGTTCCGGTTCAGCCTCAAAGTTGCAGCAGTAACCAATTTCGGAATTTTCAATTGCAATTTTGCTGACACACATTATTGCAGAATCTTTCTTTGATCAGAATTCGTCATAGCAGGCTGATGAATATGCAGTAGCAAAATTCAGATTGGTGAGATGGTCATTTATTCGGCATATTCAACCAATTGCGGAAATAGGTAAGTGTGGCAGGCACACATTGACGGCATAGCTTACAATCGATTGCGTTTGACGCTGTATGAGCAATTGAACAGAGTATTCAATGGTTTTAGCTAGCTGGAAGAACCTTTGGCAAGTTTATAACACGAATTTGCCGTCATCTACCACAACCAGCTCATCACCAACAGAAAACTGAACTGAAGCCACTTCTCCGAATTCAGATGCATCCGCAACCAATTTCCCGCCATAATCGGGGTCACTCATGAATCCAGCTAAATCTTTGGCAGTCGGAAAGACGAGAGTGCTCACTCCATCTATATCGCCAATCGCAAGCTGCGACGAAAGCTCTGGACCAAGCTTCTCTTTGAGCTCCGCTGCGTGAGAGCCACGTATCTGATGCTAAAGTGTTTCATGCGCGTTAGTGGTATTCGTTGTCAATAATAATTACTTGAACGCTCGTCGTGACGGGCCATACCAGGCGGTAAGAGATGCAGTTATACTTCGCCGCTAGGGGGCCAGCCAATTTTCCATGAAGGGCATATCGGCGAGCGAATTCTTCTTGGCTCACTTCATTCTTTTTCTTCCCTGTAATAGTTACTCGCCATACGTCGCTAAAAGAAGGGGGGGCAGTGCTGTTATTTCCACTCATTTTTGTGATTACACGTGGACAATATGTGAAGAAGTAATAATGATGAGTCCTTGAACCTTTTCAACTGAGAACTCAGGGGCAATTCTGCATAATATACCACGTTCGCGGCCACCGGTTGTTGCATGATCCAAATTCTGTGTCAGAAACCGCGCCACTCAGAGTAAGTTTTGCAAACACACGTCAGAAAAATAAACCTAGATTGCACGTTTGTAAGGAGACTATGGGAGAGCATGACGTGCTTCCTGAATATAGCTTCGTCTATCTCATTTATATCGCAGATCACCAAAGCTTGCTTGATGCTAGCTCATCTCCAACTGTGAGCATGATTATATGATTTCACTTTGCGGAGAACATCAACAAATTCCAACCCATATATCCGACACTTCCACCTTTTAACCTTTTCACTCACTCCAGCCCAATTATGCTTACCTAAAATGTTCAAGCCACTACGATCTGAGGTACCAGGTGAAACAGAATCGCCAATTGTTATTCGCTCAATATATTAAGTTGTGGGAACGCTTTGCAGCCTATGAAAGCGATTTGCCCGGTAGAAACATTACATGGATAATTACGTGTACATGTATGAAGCTCAAAGATAATCTTTCAACAGGTCGTCAGACTTCCTCAGCATGATGCAAGATCTAGCGCAGGACACCTGGTCGCGGTGACCAACAATTTCCTCCCCATTGTCGCAAAATGGAAAAACATATTTACTCATGATTGAATAACATGAACTCATCAAGCCATGGCCCTAGCCTCAGCATCCAGCGTCTTCTGTATCTCCGCCCACTTCCCCTTAACACGGTATCCACACATCCAGTAGTTACCCTTCGAGTCCTTACCCATGAAGAGAAAGCCCTCTCCAAACTGAAACGGCATCTGGCTATGGTTGATATACGACGGCAGACACGGCTCGCTGCGTGGATTAACAGCAGCGGCAGAAAAGTCTGTGTTAAAGAGGTCCGACCGGGTCCAGTTGGAGTAGCTCAGCTGATGAGTCCGGCTCGAGCCAAAGAATATCGGCAGCGCAACGGACTGCTCGCGGAACATGGCCCAGTAGGCCTCGAGCTGGCCGCGCGACCGCTGGACGTTGATGGCCTCGCGGATCTTGGCCGCCGTGTAGCTGAGCGGGTGGTTGAGGATTTCGCCGGCCTGGAGCAGCACGTTCATGAAGCCGAAGCAGTTTGAGACGTACGGCTGGTCGGTGGGCAGCAGGTCGACCTTGAGCGCCTTTCTCATTGATCCCGCCACCTGGACCGTGACGGGCGTGTCCGAGTCTGGTGGGAGGTGGCTCAGGGCCATGCGGGTGCACCAGGCTGTGAGGACGTCGTTTTCGGTCAGGAAGGGCTTCTTGCTCAGCTCGGCCTGGCTTGCGAGCTCGTCCATGGCGGTTTCGTACATCTTGTCCACGTACGCGCCGGGCAGGCAGACCATGCGGTTTTCTTTTGCGCGGAACGCCAGATCGCCCAGATTGTTGAAGACCCAGCCCGCCATGGCGCCGTTGGACATGCGCTCTTTCTCGAGCACGTGTGTCTCGATGGGATACTTGCCGAGGTCGGCGCAGGGGTCGCTGTCGAAGCCGGCCTGTGGAAGAACCTCGTCGTCTCTCCCCTGAAGCATCAGCATCCAGTTCTGCATCACGGCCTTGTTGCCCAGCGTGTCGCAAGCAACGTGCAGCCAGTGCAGCGTGACAAGCGTTGAGTCTGTGAACGAGACGATGTGGAGGCCGAATAGGGGCCGGTCTGAGTATAGGTAGTCGTCGACGACAGCTGGACAGTCGGGCCCTTTGGCCAGCGGTAGAAACTCATCGGGGTCTGCCACGATTGTTGCGCCGGCGTTGGTTGTTGGCTTGGGGAGCCTGCTTGCTAACGGGTGGTCTTCCCTCTTCATATCATGTTCGATGTGGCTGTAGCCGATGGCTGGACGTTCGTGAGAGAAGACGGCCGGGACGTGATATTCGATTACGCCTTTGGCCTGGTCATGGTCAGATGCTATTCTCCATTGTCCATACATAGCTCACTTCGAGATATTTGAGATATTTGGCAAGAGAAAGAAAAACCTACATTATTTCGGAGCCGAGCACCCATCTTCCCCCAGCCTGGCCTTTGCACCAGCCGGTCGAGGGCATCTCGAAGCTTCTCGGGATCAAGAACGTCATCGAAGACCATCAAGTTGTAGAGGACAATTCTTGTCATTAGCGGACTATTGTCCAGGAAGCCCAACGGGATGACCTTATCGGTCTCCACGTGAGCCGGTGCGGCTCGTCCAAAGATACCCATACTGGCCTGCTGTATTGTATCGTAAAGGTCACCGTGAGAGGCTTTTCGGTTGTGAACCAAACAAGATGACGTCGCGTGTCGATGCTATAGAAGAGCAAAGTGCCAACTGAACCATCTCGTCAAAGGGCTCCCAGTCTGCCGCACTAGCTTGCAGGCCAATATATATGTCGGCGATACTGGCTGGAAACGCCGCTGCTGGCTCTTCTATCCTGGTACCTGGATAACTAAAGCCTAGCTCTATCCTTTTCTACAGTGCCCAGGTCCATGGGCTAGTTTTACAGCATGTATGAATTGTCAAGAGTTGCCAAAGCTGAAGTGAGCCAGTTTTGACTCCTACGCGTATAGCAAAGCGTAGGTACATGTTAATTAGCTGCGTCTTATGTAGATATCTATTTGGACGAGACATACTTGTACGATTGAGCCATTTCAGTAAGGAATGGCTTTCAAATTCTTCTAGACGCCTCGCTGCAGGTTCCACTGGCACAGATATCAAAGGCAACATGTTTTGCCGTTTTGGGCATTTGATAGGCAATGCCCCTGTCGGCCTTTATGAACCGTGTAACGGGCGTTTTAAGAATATTAGACAAGGTTGTGGCTCGTATGTACTTGTTCATAGGGCGTCGATACGGAGTAGTCTGTCCGTAGAGTCCTGCAATGTGCAAGTAAAACAGACAACGCCTGAGGCAGTGACACTCCATTGATGTCTGCTGTAATACCCCATTCGGTATCCCTGCCCGGCATCTCATCCGAGGCCGGGGTCAGTTGAAGATGATTGGCGGGGCTTTTGCTCTTTTGATCTTGGCGTTGTCGAACCAACAGCTGACACTTCTAGCTACGGGTTAGACCGCCCCTCCCAACGAACAGCCGTGAGACAACATATTTCTACAACGACCTCGCTTGGGGGTTAGTTTGTCTTCTAGCTCGATCCTACACGGCAGAGCCTGCCAACAACGCCTCCTGGAATTGGTACCCATTCACATGTCAACTCGGCAGATGAGAGAGAAAATCTCCTTTGGGGTGGTTCAGAGCTGGGACTGTTCTCCGGATGTCGATCCGCTTGGTTAGACTAGCACTATGGAGGAGTGGACCGACGCCAGAACTTGGCGGAGAAGAAAAAGGGGGGCCAAGTCTTTCCAAGCTTGCTTTTCCTGCATAGTAAGGCTGTCTCCTTTACGGCACGCAAATTATTGTCCTTCTGATCCGACGGCAACAACGCCCCGTTGGATACAACGTGCTGTTGGACGCAGCACAAGCCCGTGTAATTTTGCGACAATTTTTTTTCCTGGATACGATTAGAGCAGGGTATGTTTACGAAGCTATGCGTAGTTTGTGTCAGCTATCAGTTTTGCGGGTTCTTTCTCTCGTGGAAAGAGGGGCGTGGAGCGTCCCAGCAGTGCACAGATGGGGAGAATTGCGTGACATGTTCTATTACCTTTACTGTAATAGTAGTAGTAGTAGCAGCTGCTGCTGCAATCGCAAAAGTGCGGGTGTCTGCCGTATTTTGTAAATACAGGTGAAACCCCACAAGTTCCTCCTTTCTAGTGTCCTATGCCTGCTTCTCTGTAGCCCTGGGCACGAAATCTAATGTCTTTTTGATGAATTAATTACAAACATTTAACGTAATAGGCATATCATAAATGCTGATCAAACAATGGCTTTCACGTCTGTCTCCCACTGGTCATGCCGATCTTCTCTGGGGTCGACACTGCTCGTCTCGACCCTGACCTCGGTTTCTCGAATGATATGGTGCTTGCTGGAGGTATCGTCGTCCTCGGAGATTCTGTTCCAGGTGTTGCGAGATCCGGCCTTCATGTGCGACTTGCCTTGAGCGTCCAGGTCGCCGAGCTGCGTCCCCCGTCCACCAGTAGATAGGGGTGCAGACTGGTTGCCCGACCTTTCAGATGAACCTCGGTAGTATGCCTTGAAGAGCTGTTTCAGAGGCGGTAAGTTGCAGGCAATAATTCCAAAGCTGCCCTCGAGATGCGACCAGATGACGAGCTGAGCTTCCTTGACTGGACGTTGTTTAGCAGGTCGATCACAACAAGGAAGAAGTGCACTTACCTAAATTGTCCTTTGGGTGGTATCTCTCGTCCGTCTGGGGATACATGGCAATACGCATGATGGCTGCAAAGCTGGCGAGTACGCCGAGACCGAGAATTGCACAGACTGAAATCTTCTTCCGCTGGTTCATTTGCAAGTTACGCACGATGAAAAACGGCGTGATGGCGACGACCCAGTCCGTGGCGACCTGGATGGATGTTCCGATGTAGCTCATGATGAACCACCCGTTCGGCGCCGGAGCCCAGCATTTTCCCCTAGGTACTGGAGTTAGTAATGTGTAAAGTCTTTGGAAGCATTGGATGGGTAAGCAGGCTGTACGAACAAAAACGGATTCCATCTTGTTGCAAATGGTCTGCAGTCGGAGAAGAGAAAGATGAGCGCACCGAATGCAGTGAGGGCCATGGTTCCCACTGTCGAGACTCGTCAGCATGATGGACTCGAAGAGGCAGACCAAATCTGCCACGTTGGTGAGAAATACTTACTCGCGCCATAAAGAGCAAATCTGTAGCGGTTTTTTGTGCATATCCTCAAAATGGTAAAGGCAATGGAAAATTTGGTGAGTGTTGAAGATCCAAAGTAGATCAGCTCGTACAACAGCTGCAGCTCCTTGGCTCTGATCTTCATAAACGGGGTGACGGCATCATCTGGAGCTCCAACGCCGTAGTATGTGCCCGCGATGGCGAGAGCACAGGCGGGAAGATACGGACCCTGCAATGGAAGAATATTCTGTCAGCAAGCATTCGCCGTCTGCAGTATCTTTGGGAAGCCATACAAATCCTCCGACAGCCAGGTAATCATCGATGCCTATCGGCCTTCCTTGTTCTCGTCGAATAAACCGTACCCATACTCGAAGACTGAAGACTGCCGTGCACAAGATTGCCGTCGTGTAGACAATTCCCTGGATGGCGATACCAGCGCCTGCGGGCTTTATTGGATGCTGAGAGTCAGCAATCTTTTGAATCTGCTGTCCCGTGAGTCCATTGAATTCCGGAGTGTACGGAAAGTACGCCGACATGGTGACTTGAAGCTCGGGACGACGGCTTCCTCTTCGATCGGTGGGAAAGCAACAAAGATTGGCAGCCGACAGTTCACGGTTCACAATTAGAGGTATCCAAGTATTACTTATAACAGCCTTCCCGAAATTCTCCATTATTAGTGGCCCGGCCATTGCTACGGTACTGTTGCTCACCAGGGGTACCGCGGAATGGAAGTATTACCCGCTACAGTACTGCGAAACGAGAAGCTTCCTATCTGGAAAAGATCCGCGTCCGCTCATCAAATCCTCCGGTCCCTGGTCCGGACACGCGTAACGGCGAACGCCTACGTGACAGACCTATGGTGCTGTTCCTGCATTGTCAGAGCTGATAGACCACCGGGTGTATAGAGGGCGGAGTTGAGAGTGCCTGGCATTACAATCCCCATGAATGTCATCCAGCCAGGACAAGAATAGTAACAGCATGGACTCTAACTGCCATTGAGCAAAAGGGATGAGTTTTACAAGGAGCCAGGTTGTAGCCAGATATAAGACTTGTAGCTCGTTGCTCCCTCCAGGGCCTGTCCCGAACCCCAGCTCTCATCAGATAGGTACCGTACCCAATGGTCCTAGGCCGTCCTAGGCCGTGCCTAGTCAAACAAAGCTCAAAAACTAGAGTACATAGAGCTAGTGCTCCCTTTTACATAGTGCCAACGTCTAGGCCCTAAAAGCGGCAATCTCCTAGCTTGTCAACGCACTCAAATGGAGGACAGAAAAACTGAGGATGAAAAGATCCTGAGCACAAACAGCAAGATTATACACAGATAATCCGAGAAGCCAAACTGTGTGAAGGGTGTACATATTATAGGTGCTATACGCACATATCTATTTGGTATACCCTTTTTTTCTGACCAACAGTTGGCACTTAAACTAGCCGGATGCGAGCCTTGAGCTGCCCTCTTCCCGTGCTCATGACGTTATTCATGCTGCCCGCTATATTGTCATATGTAGTAACAATCGGTGAAGTCCTGTTATTTTGTAGGACTCTGCAGCCTCTGCCAGCTAGACTTCAAGATATAACTAGTACGTCAACGCTTTGCACATCTGGGAATAGCCAACCGGAAATACCGCTTTTTATACGAGGTCTTTATTATACTGTGGGGTTTTTGTATATCTCTTAGAGAATACCGCGTTTCATACTTAGAATTTTTATGCTTCCAGGACTCGAGAAAGGATAATAGTTCAAGGGCACTTCTTTGGCGACTGCTTGGCATGTTTTCTAGCACAGTGGAACCTGTTGACAACTTGCAGCCCCATCCGGCACCGTAATCCGACCTCACTACTTTCGACTGCCACTCTGTATAGAGTAAGTATGATTTGCGAATTTTAGGACCCTATTGCAGTGATCTATTTTACTAGAACTCACAAAGAAGCTTTTAAACTGTGTGTTTCTAGCATAAAAGTACCAATATCCTATAACGATATCAACCTTTGTTGACAGCTAGGTAAGAATGGCTAGTCTGTCTGCTGTTTTACCCAATCTCTCATATACCAGCTAATCGTTATGTGAATTTCTACGTATATTCCAATTCTTATAACATGAGATGGGATACAGGGAGCATAAATGGTATACACACCTGAAAGCGGTAGAGCTAGATCGTGGGCTGCAATAGCAAGCCAGCAAAGAGGAATTTGGGAATCAAAATCCAGTGGTGTAGTTATCAGTACCTTGTATAGTGCAATAGTCTGTTACGGTGTCGTTGTGACTTTTTGCTTCTTTGTTATTGTAAGGCAAATTGTCTTACTGGGATTTGGATTTACTACCTTAGAAAAGAATTAGAAAAGATTCAGGAAGAGAGGGAAAAATAAGTTACGGCCCAGTCAGGCTGATCGCTAATGAGCAGATAGTCGTATTACAATCATTTCTACAATTGCATTCATGAGCTAAGCATCTTGCCATAATTGGCGCAATAGTACGGCGGAACACTTTGTGGTCAGCATGAAGATTCAGAGAATACCCAGCTGAACAAAAGCACAAATTGGTATCAAAATGCTTTTGGGAATTTCTTGGAACTTAATTAGCTAGCTCCTGGATATTGATGTTCAGCGTTTAAAGGTAACATATACAATTATTTAAGATTATAAAATAAGTTTGTGAACTCTTGTAATTATTTTTCTCCCCATAATTTCTGCAGTCTTCGTTACTATTACTGTTATCGTCGATCTCATGATAATGATAATAAGCCTCTGCCGCATTTGAGACTGCCAATCATGTGCATATATTCACCCCATTCATCTTCTATCGCATGCTCAATCTGACCAATCCGAGCTTCGCAACGCCTTTCATAAAACTACCTATATCCCTTATGCATCCTGTCTTGTGACCTGAATGCATTGTAGAAGTCTAGCAGTCTAGCAGATAATGCGTGAATGCCCAACAAGGCTGCCTGATAGTATTCAGGAAATCGGGTTACTTAATACAGCCCCAGAGTTTTTTTCCCTCCCACTTTCACCCTTGTGTTTTCTTTTCCCCCGCATTGTGTACTGCCAGCCACATCACCTCCGGTCAACAGAGCTTAGAGTATCACAAATATTAGAGCCTGCCAATCACTCGTATTGTTCACGAATATGGATCCTTTAAGCGCCTTAGCGATAGCAACCGCAGCGTTCCAATTTCTGGAGTTTGGCGGAAAGTTATGTATCAAAGCTTGGGAAAAATATAAGCATATACAGCAAGAAAGACCTGATGACCAAATGCTTGCGGAAGAAGAAAAAGAACTTCAAGCAATTTTGGAGGATCTATCGTCTCAAATTTCATGGTTCCGAAACTTCTCCACGACGATAGTAGCGTCTCAGCCCCTAACACCGGGCCAGGCACAGTTATTGAAGCTATCTTCTCAATGCACTCAGCTTTCCAGTGATTTTGAGCGGATCAAAAGTCGATTAAAGTTACCTAATAGCCAGGAAACGAACTCAGAGCTTCATTTTCGCAACCATGTCGGTTCTAGTCCAGTATTGCGTCGAAATATGCCGGAGGAAAAGTGTGGAGACTGCAAAAAAGCGAAAGTCGCAGAGGAAGCAGAATTCCGAAGAAATAGGGAAGATGTTGAAAAGATTGAGAGAAGATTGGAGCCTCTTAGGCGCGATATAATGGATTCCATACTTCTATCTCTGTGGTACGTTTCTCTGGTATAGTTTCACTCTGTCTATATGCCTCTACACGCCCACTTAAGTGCATAGCATACCTATTTCAGTGCCCTTTCTTGTCTAAGGCAGCGACACATCTTTACCAAGTACATTCTTGATTCAACAAACTGACTCACGAGTACATCTTAGGGATGACTCAAAGCGCACTGAACAATGGGAGTTGCATTTTAGTAGCCAATTAGACAAGCTCATTGGATTGCTTGGGAGCATTGAAAACTCGACGATGGATGATTCCCTGAAATTGGCAAGGGGATCAAGCCAAACTCGAAATGATGATTTTGAAAGTCTCAAAGAATATACCCAGGCACATGGAACAGCTGTCTCCACAAAGGTGGATGGGGTAGCAGCCAGGCTAAGAACTGCTCTGCAGCCAGTGATTCAGTCCGGAAAAGGGCCAACTTCGCTTATGCAGCTGTCAGACGATTTGATTGAATATCTCAAGACCGACGGCGGAGCAAAGAAAACAATTCGCTTGGAACTTATAAACGTTCTCTGGAAGAATGACTGGAAGCTGGATAGTTCTATGGCCTCAGCCAAAATCGACACCACCATGACCGCGCATGCAATAGCCGCCGGGATTCAATTCGACAATATTCAAACACGTGAAAAGGCTGTAGCAAACAGCTTTGAAGCAACATCTTCTTGGATACTCCAGGACGAGCCTCCACAGACAGATGATGCGCCCATGTGGCATAGCTTCCCAAACTGGCTGAAAGATGAATCTGAAAAGTCCTACTGGATTACGGGCAAACCAGGTTCCGGCAAATCAACTATGATGAAACTAATATTGCGACAAAAGTCCGTGAGGGATTCGCTATCCCAATCGCTGGGATCAATGCGCCTTGTTCTCGTCAAATACTATGCCTGGCTTGCAGGCACAACTTTACAAAAGTCCATCGACGGCCTCAAAAGAACTATGTTATTCCAGGTGCTGGAACAATATCCTGAACTCGCACCAGTCTTGGCCCCAAGGCGCTGGGCATTCTGTCAAGCGTTGCGAAGCATTTCGGGTCTTCCGGCGTGGGACTCATGGGAGGTGGAGGAGTCATTCGAGGCATTACTGTCTTCGTGCGGAAAGAGCATCAAGCTTGCTCTATTCATTGACGGGCTTGACGAGTTTGATGGGCCACCTGTCGAGATCGTTGAGTTTATTCAAGATATGATGGCACGCTGCCCTAAGGGACTTAAATTATGCGCTGCCAGCCGACCGTGGCCAGAATTCCACGATGGATTCAACGAAGGGCCAATGCTTCAAATGCATTTATTAACCAAAATCGACATGGAAGCTTTTATTCACGAAAAGTTGAAAATCAACAAAGGCTTTGCTGAGAGAAAGCAATTGGAGCCCGAAGCATCCTCTCAGCTGCTCATAGACATAGTGGAAAGAGCGAATGGAGTTTCTTATGGGTCTCCATAGTTGTCCAGCTTTTATCCAGCCTTTTTTCTGCTGGAAAATCAGTATTTCAAGCTCGACAAACTCTGGATGCCCTCCCTACAGATATTTCGTCCTTGTATGATGCCATCTGGGCTGCTATCCGCCCGGAAAGCCTTCTCGATGCGTCCCATATGATACAAGTGCTGAGAGCTTATGACGGTCCAATGGAATGGTTTACGTTTTGGATCATTGAAGAATCGAAATACGGTCAATTCAATGCGGATTCCTTCCGAAGAGATGACGAACTAGGAGAATTCGCTTTGAAATCTTTAGTGAGGAAGCTTGCTGCTTGCACTAAGTGCATCTTGGAAGTTAGCGGGGATGCAAACGGTGGTGCCGTTGACTTCATTCATCGCACGGCTCGGGATTGGGCAGTGGAGCCCCAAACCTGGCAGTTGATCTGTTCATCGTCTGGTGCGCAGTTTGATCCACATCTGTGTATCTTAAAAGCGAGCATCATGAGGTTATCCCCCGTGGCATCATTGCTCGGGGACACACTTTTGTGGAATGAAATAGCAAGAATCCTTTGGCATGCTGGAGAGGTCAATGATATCGGAGAGGGTACGCTGGACCTCATAAATCACCTGAACCTACTCGATCCTTGTTTCAAGCGCCTCTTCAAATTTGATCAATCACAATTTGATGAAGCATATCCTCATGCAAATTATGTTGGACGGTGGTGGTGGGGCACTCCGCATTCATTCCTGGGGTTCGCTGCACAGTTCTCTATTCTGCCTTACATCAAATCTGTGGCGCTTACAGATCGAAGTTGTCTATTTGAGAAAGTTCCCTCGCATCGTTTGGGTCTTCTCGAACATGCAATCTTTGGATACACTTACTTTCTCAAGGATACCAACATGTTTCGCCCTCGAATCCCTCCTCACCGGAGGTTATCTACCGTGAAATACCTATTAGATCAAGGACTTGTTCAATCGAGATTTCAGATAAGAATTAGGAATAGCGAACTCGTAACTTATCAACAATCGAGTCTGCAGGCAAGAATTCACAATGGTCTAGCTTTTTTACAAGATGCAGTGCAAAGTCAGCTTCAGAGTTTGACTCAAACTCATCCGGAATACGAATACTATTCCACAGTGGCAATGTATTTAGATGATGAGTCAAGGAGGAGAACCGTGAGATCACGCATTCGCTCGTGGTTTCCTAAGTGATTAGCATTCTAATATTATTATACTGCTGGCCATCGATCTGAATTGTTTTTATTCAATTTTTATCTCTCTTTAAAACGAAATTACAAAGTTTGAAGTAAAACATGCATGCACCGGCTTATACACTGCCCAGGGACTACACAATACATGAATACGAAGTCGCACACTACTCTCAAGCGCCTTGAGTTGGCGATAGAATGCAGTGCCTGATACTTCGGACACATAAACTTTTACAGCTAACACAAGTCCCACTAGTTTATCTTTGAAACTTGCGCCGCGGTTAGTATATACATCTCGTACATACTAATAGCAATGCTGCATAGCGTTCTATTTTGTTATATCACTGTAGATGAATGTTTAGATTCCGGTGGGATTATGAGAGAAGCCCCTCGATCTCTTTTGCAGATAATCACGAAAGCGTTGATCTTCGTTCATAGCATCCAGTGGTGGCAATATCGGGGCATGTTCGTTTCGCGATGGCTTTGCTCAGCCCGTAGACTGAAGTGTCTGATGGCAGCCAGGCGACCTGTATCAGATGTAAAGGTTAGTACATAACTCGGATTTAACAACACGCACCCGGATAATGGTGCTCTAACCTTTCGCAACATTTAGCATTGTATAATTCACGTAGCCTACGAGTAAGACTCGCGGCGATCCAGTACTTTGATGTCGACAACATGCCTCTGGGGCAACCGCTAGCAATTTCTCGGCACTGGCCAACCTTTGCTGAGTTGTCCGTGAGCTACAAGGCGTTAGGCAATGTGTTTCTGAGATACCCTCGACCTTAATCATTCATCTAGTCCACTTCAATGGTATGAGCCACTACGCAAGCAGTTTCTACAGCTACGCATCTAACAGAGCTCGCCTGTTTCTCTCAGTCATATCCCACGCTACAAATCTATCGAACAGTGATTTAAATATAACACAAAGAAGACTAAACCTGCAGTAGAGCCTAGTCGAATATGGCGGTGTCGAATTCGTCTTAGTGGTAGGCTACGCCGATAGCCGGTCCTTAGATGATCACGATACCAGCTTTTCATGCATTTGAGACTGGCCTAGGTTGCAGGGGCGTTGTCGATTCGCCACAGCCCCGGGGTGATTCAAATGGACGCGCATATATCCCTGAACGAGAGTCTCGATTCTTTTGAGCCACCGAGTCGGCTAGCCAAGTTGCCAGCCCGGCATTGAAGTTGGCAATCATCGAGGTCGTATGGATTGCACGAGAGTTGTCATATGCAATAACACGAAGCCCTTATCGACTAGAGAATTTTGACACGACCAAGGCACGTTGAAAAGTGGCAATGTATCGCAGGCGGCGTATCCCACATCTTTGCTATTCATGCCACTTCAAGAATCGCCTGTCGCAAAGAAAACTAGTATGGACTTGAGAGCAGCTTGTGTAAGCTAGCGAAAGCTCGCGTCGGTAATATATTGATTACTGGAAGGAATCAAACTAGCATGGTTGATGATCCGGCTTGAGTTTGGTTCTTTTGCTAGTTAAGGTCGCATGTGCTGCTGATCAATTGAATAAGCATACCCGTAATAGAAGGAGGCCTGGGAGATTCTGAAATATCAGGTGCGTGTAAGCAGAACGATGTTTAGAAAATATTAGACATCCTGACGTGGGAATTGCCTCTCATAACCCTTGATACATGATTCGTGGGTTACGGCTTTATGACGGTGGCTTACTCGAGATCATCACCTCTTCTCAAAGGCTGTGATTGCTAGCAATAGACTTATCGATACGGCAGTAGAAACGTGCGGTGCTATAATAGTGATGCCACACTAGAGTTAGTAAGCTCCTTAGTAACAAGACACGAGGTGAAGCTTATGCCATTTCAACAGACCTTAATCCCTTCGCGGAAGAAACGGATGGGGGTAGACTGAGCCCCGCGGCCTTCACAGCAAGCCCAATGCCTCCAAAAAGGATAAATCTGAGAAAAAAAGGCAGCTTGTGTGGCGCTAGCTTCGCAGAAATGGCATTCAAAGCTTGGAGCGGGCACCAATTACTTTCAGCTCCAGAGCCTACTGGGCCAACCAAGTGATGATTTGCTGACGTACTCCATACAATCGTCCTGGACCAGTCACCTGGAGAATCTGAGAGGGCCGCCATACGCCCAGCCAGGGTTGTATCTCGCTGCCTACTGCTTGTCTATACGGCAACGCCGCGAGCTGAATGGCCTGCTGTCGAGCACTACTGCGCTTGATGAGACAGGATCGGCCTCCCGGCGCCGAATGAGATGCGTATCCGATTGGCATTCCAGCGTATCTGGCGCCATGCTAAGCTGCCGGAGAAGAAGCATCGCATAACCCGCATGCAGGATCGCAGCCACGTGAGGACTCTCGACACTCTTATAAGTTAGCATGAGGCCCTTTGTATATGTGCGCCGGGATTATGCCTGAGCCGGCAGTTGGCTTTTGTATGCTGTACTTGCACAGCAGCAAGCGTGTCTCGCCCAAAATGAGTTTGGCGAGATCGCTCAAGACCGCCATGCCAGCCACCCCCAACAAGCGACGATGCACACAGCAGCCCGTGATTGGCGGATGGCCCGGCAGCAGACAATGGAGGCATTCGTCAACGGCCAGATCTTCGGCAATTTTCCCCCAAGGGCTGAAGAGTTCCTCCGCCAGTTGGGCTGAGCTGTTTTCACCGCTCCAGCCAGTGTTTGAGTAGCTTGTCGGAGTTTGGAACTCCCGGTAGTGCTTCCTCCATACAGCGTAGTCGCAGGATCAGGTCCCCCAGAAGCTGGCAAGGCAGAAGTAAATGATAGTTTAGCGCCACACGTCGTCGGTGAATTTTGAGATTGAAGAAGCTTAGGCAAGATTGTGGGAGCGGTAATAGGGCGAGCCCGGCCAAAGGTTTGCGTGTTCGCGTGGATTCTGACCGACACATCAAAAGCAACTCTGAAACTGACAGCCATCGGCGCAATGATTCTTTGCTGTCTGCGCGACTACCTGGAATCTCAATTCTTGCTGCCCTCGTCCTAACCCAGCGCCAGAATGACCGAGCATGGATGCTGAAAGCGCTCCTCCAAGGCCGCGACATAGCTTTGCTGAACTCGTATTCATTAGCTCGATTAAGAAAGCCAGCCATAGGAGGCAATTAATTCACGATCAAACAGCAGCAGTACTTGCGATCGCTCGCTCAGACTCTTTGCAATCTTGGCGATATCATTGCTGCTCTCCGACATCGTAATCGCCTTGACGTGGGCAAACCTACTCTCTCTCACCATCTCCATCTCACACGCGGAGCTGTGTGGCGATAAACATCAACTTCGCGTCAGCCAGCGTCTCAACCACAGCCCCCCCGCAGATGCATCCAGTAATCGACCTGAACAAGTCATGGCCGGAGGACTATCGGAGGGGCAGCTTCGTGCCATTGTCATTATTGAGCGTGTATGTTCGTCAATATCGATGGCAGGATGCATCTTCACCATTTCCACGTTTTGCTTCTCGAAATACTTTAGCAAATCCATCAACAGGCTCGTTTTTTACGCCTCTTTTGGCAATCTCATAACGAACATTGGCACCATGATTTCTCGCTCTTACATCGACTCACCAAACTCAGCAGGTTGCCAAGCGCAGGCGTTCTTAATTCAGACGTATGTCCTCCCAAGGCCTTCCAATCCATATCGCGGGCCGCAAGCACAGCCAAGGCTAACATAAAGCGATCACACAATAGCTTCATGCCAGCCGATGTATATTGGACGTTGGCCATGGCCGTCAACGTCTATCTGACCTTTTATCACAAATATGACGCCAGAGCTTTGCGAAGGATCGAGCCCATCTATTTGCTATGCTGCTACGGCCTCCCATTCATACCTGCATTCGTCTTCTTTTTCATAAAAGACCGAGGGGGAACTCGAGTCTATGGACCCGCAACTTCGTGGTGCTGGATATCGAGCGAATGGGACGTCCTTCGTGTCGCGGCCTTTTATGCGATTGTGTGGTAAGTGGCTCATGAATTAGAGTGCGACAGGTGGAAACGGAAATCATCGGTAGTTGCTAATCACTGACTCCCAAGGGTGTGTATCGTAACCACGATGGCCATCTATATCGGAGCTGGCCGTACTATATACAAAGTACGAAAGCAGGTTTACGTCTTTCAGTCGTCGGACCTGGATCCTATATCAATCGACGAGGTTACCACGTCTCACCAATCAACCGATGCAACTCTGACAATGGACTCCATGTCAGGGATGGAACCAGCCAAGTTTGGCCAGAATATTAGTAGCCCACCCAGCTATGGAGGTGGCTCAAGCTCAGAAACAGCAACAGCAACAGCAACAAGGCCTCAATCAGTTCACCTGGCTACCGATCTTTCCAATAGGTCGAACCAGTCTAATGGGTCGCAATCAACATACTACTATGCATCATCACCTCCTCATAGAGGCTCAAACCCACCCCGAACCGGCGGCCACAACAACGTAGCATCGCGAGCCTTCCGCTCTATTCGCCGGCGAAATCACGAGCGAGACAACGCCGCTTGGTCTTATACCAAATGTGCTCTCCTATTCTTCACGGCAATGCTTGTCACATGGATACCGTCCAGCGCAAATCGCCTGTACTCTCTCACGCACCACAGAGAAGTCTCCGTACCGCTAGAGTTTATGAGCGTTTTAGTGCTTCCTCTGCAGGGATTTTGGAATTGTCTTGTTTATATTACAATATCGTGGACGGCGTGCAAGAACCTGTTTCACGATATGTGGCTTGCTGTGCGATCAGCCGCTATTAGCCGCATGGATCGTATCCGTGGGAGAAAGTCCAGTTCCGATAATCAAGCAGAAAGTCCAGAGCACTCAGTCTGAAACAGCAATGAACATGCCGGATTAGGAGCGAGTTGCAGGTCCTAGTTTCAAAGGAGAAAGAGAGACGGCTGTTGCTATATTTACAGGTAGAGGTATATATATGAAAGCGAAAGGTGTGGGAGGTTTTTACGGTAATGAGTTATGCACGGGATGGAGTTCACGGCGTACAGGTTATAATAGAGCAAAGGCGAGGATATACCCATGACGCACAGAGTATTAAAATTCCAATACATACGTTGATGAACATTCTCTCTAGCAGTTTATCTCATTTCGTACCTCTATGATATTTGGGGAAACGGAAGCTCTCAGTCACGGCGCAAGTGCATATCGTGTAGAGGGAGCCGGGGGCTGAATCCGCAACTAACCCGCGTTACTGTATGCTACCAAGTATTTGCTAGAGTAAACCACGAGAACGCGCGCTACGGAGTTCGGAGCACTAGCATGTATCCATGTAGATGAACATTCTTAGCCGTATATGAATTGGTTTGAGAGCTAGACAGCATTAGCGCAGCGAACTATTGGACAGGAGGTTGTGGAGGTCTGGATGCAGCCCTTACAGCTCTGCTGCCGGCAACACACAGCCCGTGTGATGGGTAGGGTGTGATTGTCCCTTTTACAGAACCTCACGAATATAACATCAATTTGTAAATGCCAATGATGTCCAATTCTGTAGCCTATTGACTAGAAACACAGCCCGCATAATTTCATGTTATTGCTCTCTATCAGAACTCAGTGCTTACGAGCTGCAGACCCTTCTGGGCCTTCCATTACGCCATTTCTATTATACATTCTGTAATCCAGCGTGTCATGCCCATCTCCACTTCTCCGCTACCCCAGATCTCCATTTATTTGCTCTCAAGCCCCAAACTCACCCACCTTCATATGCACAATTCCTCCCCCGTGGGAAGATACAATGTCAACTGGATGTGTCGTCTGCCGCTCACGAAAGGGAAGCTGACCAATCCAACGGCCATACGCAGCCAATTTCCCAAGCATGAGTGCTTACATGCCAACAGGTTCGATGCGACCGCAACTCGCCAACATGTCACAACTGCACTCGCCTGGGAGTAAATTGTCCGGGATATGGTGACACAACGGCAATTCTATCGCACAAGGATGGGTCGCGGCAGCGGCTTCAGGATTCAGTGGATTTCATCTACCGGGCATCAGGGGTAGAGAAGCGGAGGGTTGGATCTTGTGACGAGTGTCGGCGGACAAAGAGTCGCTGCTCTCGCACGCGGCCTGTTTGCAAACGCTGCACAAGGAAGGGGTTTACGTGTAAATACAACGCCAAATACGACGCGTCTGCTTCTGCTTCTGCTGCCGATGCCAATGCCGCTGCCGCTGCTGGTAGTCCGTCGCCGCAGCCATCAACGACGGCAGAAACCAGCATATTAGCAGCCCCTTCCGATGGCGGCGGCCTCGTATCAACGCCTGGGAGCCAGTCTGGAACGATGGCTGTGCCTCTATCATCGATTCCGCAACATATGCACTGGTATGTATGTCCTAGAGAGTAAACGAGCAGCAGTGTGCTCGGATATGATCGGCACGAGACAAATATTCACCTTCTTCCTCTTATAGGGTGTATTCAGATGCTCTGCCACAAGACAAGTTCCACTTGCAGGCGCTGGCCGACCTGTTCTTTGATCGGATATCCACTCTTCGCTGCTTAGGTTTTATCCATAAACCAACCTTTTTTCAGGCACTGGACAGAGGCACGCTCAGCGAAGACTTTGGAGAAGCAGTAGTCTATATAGTTGCTGCGCTTGGAGCGAGGTAAAGGCTATTATTACCATTGCTTTTAGGGCTGGCTTCCTTTTGCTAACATTGGCAATAGAATGTATCTGCTAGATGATCCCAGTCATTTTAACAATCCATTTCTCGGCGTTCCTGGGGCTGCGTGGGCTGAACGAGCCCGAGACCTTACCATGCGCGAGATAGCAAATCCGTCTCTTTCAACGATGATGGTTTGTGGCCTAACTGTCAATCGGACTCATAATTTCAATAGCTAACTTCAGTCATAGGCAATGGTTCTCATCTGCGAGTACTCCATTTTCATGGATCAACACGCTCTCGCATTTGTCATCTTTGGATGCTGTGTCCGCATCATGAGATTACTCGGCCTGGACTCTCCGAAAAAGGCAGCTGTTCCATCAGGCCTTGCTCACATGACGCATCTGGAAACAGAAAGAAGACTTTTATGGTCCTGTTATCTCTTAGATAGCTTTCTTGGTGGCGGAGTAGATGGAAACCTGATCTGGAAAGACGATTTTCCAAGTGTACCACTGCCTTGCTCTGATGCGAGCTTCGTCGCCCAGGAGCAATATGCAGACTTTGAGGCTCCAAAGCTGAGTGCTTTCGAGCTTTACCCGGACCGTAGCTATCTCAATCTTCGGTCTCATACTATATATCTTGTACAGCTGAGAACGCGGGTACTGAGGTCTGTCGTTGTCCAAGCACAAGCTCATTAGAAGCGCCACTAACCGATGTTCCAGACTCATCCGAAATAATAACCAGCAAGTCAACATATGGGATCCCGGATCCCCATTTCTCGACATCATTCAGCGATTAGAAGTTTGGTATGCCGGCTTACCTGAGCGACTCGTGATATCCGACTTCAACGTATACATTCACAAAGAACTCAACACCATCAGCGCTGTTTTCATGCTGCATTTTCTTTACCATTCCATTGTCTGCGATCTAACACGAGTCTCGCTTCCGGGATATGTCTTTCCGCTGTCAGCCGCGTTCCATTCTTGCCCCCCGGAATTCCGGCGACAATGCCAAGAGCGATGTCGATTCCATGCAGACGAGATATCACGACTTGTTCACGCTGGGTTTGGCTATGGTATCCGGGCTTTCGATGATCTGCACAGCTTAATGGCCACATTCGAGTCAACCAAGATTCAAATCATTCACACAGCGACGGCTACGTCGAATTCTATCGATATAAGAGAGCGAACGAGCCATAATATCCGTTTAAACATGCGAGCGTTGGACATTCTTCATCTTCAGAAGGATAAAGCGAATCCTTATGTCAGTCCACTCAAGACAGTCGATGAAATCAATAACAAGATGATGCTGACCATAGCTACAGCACAAAGCCTTGATACCATTACTAGAGAAATTCGACTTCAACAACGTCGTGGCCGAATGGCAAGCTTATCCAAGCCCAATGTTCGTTTATCAGCGTGATCCCCCCACTCTCAACGTCTACTAACATTTACGTTTCAGATCAATAAACTCGGATCAAGCTGAAGTCACAGGGCCAGAGGATGCCGCGTATCTGAGCAGCCTAGCTCCATTCCGCCTCGCAAAAGAGGAGATTCGCGCCCAGATACGCCAACGAAGAGGCTCTTCTCCAGCAGGAAACGACCTGCCCAACTCTCCAGCTATGGTTCGCCCACCGCCCATCATCTCCTTACCTCAAAAAGACGCCCTCGACGGCATTAGCGGCGCCGATGGAAACGCCGGTCTGCTGGGAAGCGCAAGTTTCTCTCTAGACCACATACAGCTAGCATCTACAACACATCCTACACCTCCTGGCGCCGGTGGCCTGGACGTAGCGGCAGAGATTCAGGGGGGAGTGGCGAAGGAGATGGTGAATTTGTCAGACTTGTCGGAAGACTACATCCGGATGGCGGGCGAGATGGCCAACTACATTTCCTGGGACATGTCGGAGCCACAGCCGTGGTTGGATTTCGACATGAGCTCGAACAATATATGACAGCATAATCCATTGGATTCTGAGGATGAAAGGAAACAGGAATTGTTAGCCTCAACTAAGCATACGTGTGAGCATATACACTTGAAATGCGAAACGGTTAGCATTTAAAGGCTATCATTTTCTCCAAAAGAGAGAGTATAATATTCCTACTTTTTTTTAATTACAGCAAACTGCCTAAAACCTTTTTCTATTTATGACGCTGGGACGATTCCTGTCAGTTCCTTTGGCGTTATCTCTGGCCGTCCAATATACTTGATCCACGCATACGGATCTTCCATCTCGTCCTGCAGCGTCGTCTGCTGGGCGCCCTGAATGGCCTTTGGGTATTCCCCAGCCAGTCCAACAACGCCTACGTCTTTTCTATATTCCTCCCATAATGCAAGCATCTCCTTGAGTCTCTCTGGTTCCTTTTCACTCAGATCATTTGTCTCGCCCGGGTCTGCCACGAGGTTAAACAGCTCCCACTTCTGCGGACCTTTGGGCGCAGGCACATATGTGATCTTCCAGTCGCCGCGCCGCAGAGCTCCCGATCCAGCAATCTCGAAGCCTGCCACGTAGTCCTTCTTGTGGATCGGCGACTTGCGGCTCCAGCCACTGACGGACTCTAGATAACTCCTCCAGCTCTGGCCACGCAGCGACGCAATCTTGCGGCCATTGTACTCTGAGCCGGGGTGTTTCAGCCCGGCAAAGTCCAGCACCGTGGGCACGATATCCATGACCGTGCAGAACGCATCGGTGATGACGCCGCCACTATCGCTGCCGCGGTGGTTGTTGACTCCCACATGAGGCTTCACCACCAGGGGCACCCTGCAGCCTCCCTCGGTCGAAAACATCTTGTACAGTCTCGATGGCGCGGTTGCGGCCTGAGCCCACAGAGGGCCATACCAGACAAACGAGTTGCCCCGGCCAATGTTGTCCAGGCTGTTGTCGTAGTATTTGTTTACATGTGCCATGACGCTGTTGCCAACCAAGGGGGTAGCTTCGTAACTGGCTCCCTCAGCGCCGTTGTCACTCATAAACAAGATGAAAGTGTTGTCATACTCGCCCGTCTTGCGCAGATAGTCCAGAACGCGGCCAATGTTCCAATCCATCCGATCGACCATTCCCGCATACACCTCCATAGCCCTTGCGGAGGCGGTGCGAGTTTCGTCGTCCAAAGACTCCCAGTTCTTCGCCTCATGCCCTGTCGTGACAACAGGGTGAGCCACTGCATCTTGACCAACAAGGCCGAGAGACTTGAGTCGCTCAAGGCGCTTCTGGCGCAGCACTTCCGGCCCGTCTGCGTACTGACCCTTGTACTTGTCACACGTCTCTTTGGGCGCTTGTAGGGGCCAGTGCGGTGCGCTGAAGGGAAGATAGGCAAAGAAAGGCTGCTGGCGCTCTTCCTCAGTGCGGTTTTCCAAGTATGAAACCATCCGGCCTGCGTAGCCGTCAGACGAATACCAGTCTTCGCCAAGTTCCTTCTCGCTCATGTAGCGATCGTCTTCTGCGTGTAAAGCTCGCGTTGCCGTCTCGAAGAAGCGCCCCGGCTCTGTGGTGGGATCCTGGTAGTCAGGCTCATAGGCTATTCTCGCTGATTAGAAAACAGTCGTCTTATCAGGCTCGCAACTGGTAAGCTCATACCGTAGTGATTCGCGCACCCTGGCAGCAACGCTAAGCTCTTCTTGAAGCCGCGCTTGATAGGCAGATGCTGCTTTTGCAAGCCCAAGTGCCATTTGCCACTCATAACAGTGAAGTAGCCTCCATCAGACAGCAGCTCTGGAAGAGCAACCACCTTTTCATTGAGGTAGCCCTCGTGGCCTGGCTGTCCCTTGTGAGCAGGTGAGCTGCGAACGAGTTCGTATAATTGTCCGAGCCCAGCAATGTGATGGTCAGTTCCCGTCATGAGCATCGAGCGAGTTGGACTGCAAGCCGCAGCAACATGATACTGTGTGAAGCGCAGCGATCCTTGCTGCGAGGCCAGCGAGTCGATATGAGGGGTAGCTATCTCAGAGCCATAGCAGCCAAGGTCGCTGAAGCCAAGGTCGTCGGCGACTATGACGAGGAAATTGGGTCGAGGGTCCTTCTGGCTGCCCATTTTCGATGTTCAGCACCGGACAATACAAGACAGTATGTTGGAGCGTTGAAAGAGCTAAGACTCAAGAAACGCGGAACACGCTGACCACAAGAGAAGGTTGAATATATGGAGCAACAACTTTCTTTTTAATCACATCTACACTAATACAAGTACGGATCCAGATGGAGTGTACGGAGTACAGCTATTGCGACATAGTTCACACAGCTTTCCCCAGCCGTTCTTATCAAAGCCGCGCGTGGCCACATGGAAGTCGGGTATTTGGCGGAACCGATGTCCCCCAGCTTTCTGGCTCTCGCAAAGCGTGGCATACAGAGGCCAATTGAACAATACTAGTAGTACTATAGTAAGTATAACGGGATGCTGCACGCAATAGCAGCATCTCGCCATGAGATCGTGGGGTCATCAACCGTCCTAGTCTGGCCACTCTCTCCGCTGTGACTTCCGGGGCTGACTCGCGGCCCTCGCCTGCTGCCGGCTTTCGCACCGGCTTTCGGGGCCCTAGCTTGCGGTCTTCGCTGGGTCCAGGCATTTTGGCAGCGGACAGCGTCCATGGCGAGTTGATCCATTTGGATGGTGCAATGCTCTACGATCCAGGCGTTCAAGGATTGACGAGGCGACAAGCCGACACAGTTGTGGCTGCAGAACGTTGATGTTGAAACATTCTATATATGTTGTGATAATCCTGTCGTTTTTGGGCTCGGAGATGGTGGCAACATCAGGAGCATCGGATACGCGACCAAACGCGGTCATCCTTTTGCTGGCAGTGTATAGAAGGACGTCTTGATCTCGTCTCGCCCTTATTCGTTACAGCTCACCTCCGTCTTGATATCCCATATATTGCAAAAGACTGTGTGTCGACTTCAAGTTGCTATCAAAGATGGCAGTTGAATCATCTTCGTCGGTAGACCTGTCTGCAGGTTACCGGCTGAGGCAATTCAATGGCACGATTGTGTTCATCATGCTGTAAGTGCTCCACAAAGCTTCAGCATCATCAAATCCATGCACTCCCTAACTGTTATATCAACTTGTAGGTACATGTGCTCCTGTGCTTTCAACTTTGGCTATGATGTTGGCAACTTTGGCGGTGTCCAGGGCATGCAGAGCTTCGGCAAGCGATTCGGCGAATGTAATGCAACAACAGGCGTCTGCAAGCTGCCTCCATGGCTGTCCTCCCTGATGACGTCTCTTCCCTTCCTCGGCAAGGCTCTGGGTGCCATTGCTTGTGGACCGATTGCCGAACGATTTGGACGCAAGATGTGCGTCTTGGTTTTAGCTTGTTTATCATTCATGTGAGTCAACCTTACACAATATGTGGAGATATCGTCTCTTGAAGAAGACCTACTGATGCCGAGTTGCAGTGGTGTTCTATTGCAGACAACAGCGAGGACAAGCGCACAATTCACTGTGGGCAGATTCATCAGCTTCGGCATGACGGGCATGACTATCGTGGTAGTTCCGATTTACCTGGCTGAGACATCACCCAAGGTTCTACGTGGTATGATGACATCTACATTGCAGCTCATGATTGTATTCGGCCAGCTGGTGGCTTCGCTGGTCACATTCGGAACGCAGCACATCTCCGGTGACAAGGGCTGGCAGATCCCCGTCGGTCTGCAGTTCATTGCCCCAGCTCTCATCGTAGCATTGCTACCGCTGGTCCCTGAATCACCCCGATGGTAAGTGCTGTTACTTGCTTTGTCTAAAGGTATTTGTGCAATCTAACAATTTCCAACTCTAGGCTCCTGACTCAAAATCGACTCGAGGAAGCAAAGACTTCTCTCCGAAAATTATACAAAAACCACAGCGAAGCCGAAATTGACCAGGAAATTGACATTTTACGCCATGCTCAGTCCACGGAACAAAAGGGCTCATGGGCAGAGGTTTTCAACAAGGACAACAGAAAGCGTACCATGGTTGCTGTGGTTGCCATGTTTGGCCAGCAGATTACCGGCCAGGCATTTTCCAGCCAGTACTCTGTTGTGTTCTATCAGTCGGAAGGGTACAAGAGCCAGGCCTTCTTATTCAATATTTTGAGCAATGTCACTGGTCTTGTCTGCCTCATCGCAACCTGGTTCATCATCGATCAAGTGGGCAGACGACCGATGCTGATGACTGGTGGAACGGGAATGGCCATCTTCCTCTTTGTTGTTGGTGGCGTTGGAGTTGTCAAAAACCCCAGCAACTCTGAGAGAGGAGGATTAGTAAGTCTTTGTAACCTCTTTTTCTTGTAAAGGTGCATACTGACGGCTGCTAGGTCGCATCATTCATATTATTCACCTGCTCTTACAACCTTTCTTGGGCCCCTGTTTCATACGTCGTGGTATCTGAAGCAGCTTCTACTCGCGTAAAGGAAAAAACGAATCTCCTGGCTTCTGTCATTTCCATCATCACCACATTCGTAACCTCGTTCACCATTCCATACTTGCTCAACGCGCCGTACGCAGCACTGGGGGCCAAGGTCGGTTTCATCTACGGTGCCATCAATGTGCTGATGGTCGTGGCGGCCTACTTCTTCATTCCCGAGATGAAAGGACGAAGTTTGGAAGAAGTTGATGAGCTGTTCGCGACAGGCGTACCACTTCGAAGCTTTGGAAAAGCCACAACAACCCCTACAGCCACTTACATTGAGGACGTTGACAATGCGAAGAAAGATCCAGCTTCAGGGGAGGCGTAGGATGCGACGTCTTTGGCAATGGCGGATAAGGGCGGAAGGAGATAGCCTTAATTTTCAGTCCAGTTAATATTAGCAGCGTAATGAGTCCGGTATCTTACTTTTCTTATTTGATACTTTCAAATGTAGAGCCAGAGGGTGCAAGATTAAGTGAAATAGGGCCATCAATAGTAGCAAAGTCGTGACCCCATTCAAGCTTCTGAACCGCATTTATAGGAGTCGCAGCCTCCAATACGTCTCGTACCAGCAGCTGAAGAGAAGAAGCCGCAATGCGCTGGGGCTGAACGAATATAACGCACCAGGAAGACCGGATATAAAACCTACCCTGATTTGTCCATGTATATAGTCTATCACAGCCAGAGGCGCCCATGATCAAACGTACAGCGTAGCCTTTCAAATACCGCACATCTCAATCACATAACCAATGAACATGAAGCCAAGTGAATAGCTAAGCGTTCTCAATCGCAGGAAAAAACGAAAAATAAAATCTATACCAATCATGCATAAGATGAATGAAAAGCAGAAAAACATAGCTTATGAGAAGTAGCACATATGTTACCTCCGCCAATCACGGAAACATCTGTGTGCGTGTGTACAATACATATATTCAAAGCAGTAGTTACCGTACTCTACGGCTTTCGTATTCTTGAAAATCACTTTGAATATTTGCCCAAATAGATTATATAAAATATATCAATATATTATGGCCAATGTAAGTTACTCTGAAGTTTCGAACGCTCCTCAAGAGTTGAGTTTGTCTTCGTTAAGACCGTGATACAAGATATAGTCGTAAATAATGCATAGTATAGTAACCAATGCCACTTTAGAATGAAAAAATCTGAGCTATTTGCAGCCATCGTGTTGCAAAGCCCTTAACAAATAGTTTCGACGCCAGGCTATGGGGCAAAGACACAATGCTTGACTTGTCTTTGAAGCTACTTGAAGATTTGCTCAATGGCCCAATAGCAGATACGACTGGCTAGAAGTCGTAGATATGGAGTTCAGCTGCAGATATGCCGCAGTTGGATACGTCAACTTGAGTTGCCTCCACATCAATACGAACTAGCTCGCGAGCCTGGCCACCCGTAAGAGACTGCATAGCGTTCAGAGAGAGAACAAAACCAGAGTCAGCGCCGTCAATTGCGAACAGAGATACATGCTTATCGCCGTACTCGAGCTTCCAGCAGGAGAAGCACTGAGCCTGACTGAAGGCATGGATCGCTTGAATGCCAATAAAGCCCACTGCATCTTTCTGAATCTTCCAATCCAAGTTAGGCTTGAATCCGGTGCCCTTTCTCCAACAGGAAACTTCACTCAGCGAGCGAGAGGGGTCGTCGTAAAGCGTATTAAACGTTACTATTGTGTATCAGTGTGCGATCGACAAATATCAGAGGATTCATACAATACTACTAACCAGAAACAGTTTCTGCAGAAGCCAAGCTGATAATAGCAGCAACTTGGCAAATGCCCAGCGGTAACATCTTTTTAAGCTTTCGACACAGTTATATAAACAAAGTTGATGGTTTTGACTTTCTGAGTATCAGTGTTTGTTGAAATTTATGAGTTGCAGACCATAAAGCAGAACTGCCAACGGCTCGAGATTTATATAAAACAATAATGGCCTCATCAAGAGCGATTATACAGTCCTGTGGTATCTGGCATACGTCAGTGGTGTTATTCTCTTAGTCCGTGCACCGCCTTCACATTCTTCATTCATGTCCTACTCTCCGTCGGAGGTTATCTTCTTGCTGCGCCATTTGCTGTGATGATTCTACATCGCGAGATACAGAGGCCTCCAGGCAGCCGTTTTCAGAAGAACAACATATCACGATCATGTAGATAACAAGCTGATTGATTGTTTTGAAACCTGAAAGAAGTTGTGATGCAATAAAAACACATGTCGCGATATCTCTCCTTCCTTCCTAGTACACTTTTCGCTTCATGGAACGTTAACATTCACTACGCATCTAATCCATGGAAATTCCGTAATTACGAAGAATAATGGTCAAATTCCGAAGGAACTTTCGAAGATGTATGTCAAGGATATTTCACATGTACGAGGCGTGACCGCTTCATCTAGATGGCTTCAGTGACTAAATAGCGAAGTGTTTGCTTTGTTCAGCCCCAGTCGCAGATGGCTTCAGTGACTAAATGGCGAAGTGTTTGCTTTGTTCAGCCCCAGTCGCAGCTAGCCTAGCAAACTATTGAAGTCTTGTTTCTATTTTTATTCTTAATTAAAAAGTTACTACCCTCAGGCCATGGGTTTATCAGATCAGCCGAGGAGCTGCGCCGAAAAGGCCGATGTGGCCGCTGTACTTGCTTTTTTCGGAGAGACATGCCTTTTTTTCCTTCGTGGTCGGTTTCCTCCCTACAAAACTTTTGCTGTTTAGTTTTGGGCTATTTTTCTATTTCAAACATGAGTCAATCAGCGATATTAGCTTACGAGGCATCCTTTGCGAGGCTGTTTAATTCTCAAACTCTGTAAGCAGTAAGCACCTCCAAAATCTGGATGATGTAATGGAATCACGCGCTTCAAAATATCTAGAAACAGATATCATTTTATTTGGTAAAACTAATAGTAATCATGTGACAATGCTATATCGATGCCTGGGACGTCAACTCTTCTCAGATCTTGTGGGTAGGTAAAGGTCGTCGTCATGGCATACGTATAGCCATGAATCCGCCAAGCAGGGGTCTCCGCTTTCCATAGCCTATTTTGCCCACCCCTGCTTAAGGCTGTTGGCTCACAAGCTTGGCACTGGCTACAGAAAAGTGCTCTAGAAAGAAGACAGAATCCTTGCGAATATTTACGTCTACCCGGCAGGTTGACTAGATGACAAGGCCTGGTCAAGGCCCCGGCCTCTCCTGCTGGAGAGGCGGGAACGTAACCCATATCTTTGTACAAACCATATCTAAAGTCACCCTATAGTAAAATATATAAGGGGACATAAATACTCGGTCAGTTCACTGAAAAAATTTATAGCGCGAAAAAATTAACAGGGTTAAATGCATAAGTATCTTTGTCATCTCATACATTTTACAATAGGGTGACCCCAGATACGGTTTGTACAAAGATACGGGTTACGTTCCCGCCTCTCTAGTAATAGAGAGGCGGGGGCTAATGCAGTCGCCTCCTCAACCCGCCGAATAAAAGGCTGTTTGCTTTGGCCTCTAATTTTTGAGCTGATTTTAATAGCAATCTGTGTTGCAATTCTGTCAATTGCAGAGACTCATTGCCGTTGTAAATGAATTTTTGGACACGCAGCCCGCATGACTCTCTATCCCCTGTCTTGATAACTCACAGAGTACTCAACGGGGCACAAATAGAGTGTAAGGGTTTGAAGCAGGAAAAAGAAAAAGAGGAGGCGCAGCATCATGTTATGATAATGCAAAACCCTTGATGACCATTCAATGCCACAGTCGACTTCTGTCTTCATCGTCTGATTGATAATTCACCGAGCCGTTTCTTTCACGAGGCCTGCACTGCCACGGTGCCGTTTTCCCCAATGACAAGTGCACAGGCACTGTTCAAAAGCCACGCGTATTCTAAATGCTCGATATAGGATACATATCTATAGCATTATGTACTCTTTGCGAGAAAATGTCGATTCGATGTAAACTCATCAGACAGTCAAAGCTCAACATTTTCATAATCCCAACGGGATCGAGTATATCTCTCGTCGCATTGAGCTACAGAGACCTCAGGACTCTTCATGGACCATTTCAGATCAACGATGGATTACTAAAATCCCATACTGTCAACACCGTGACAAAGAGTGGTAACATAATTCTTTGTGACTATCCTAGAGTGGCTTGAAGCACTAGACTAGATGCTTCGACAGTCGGAGATATGGCGGTTGAAGCGCATACCTCTCTTGACCTCATCTGAGGTTAAAGAATTCGACGCTCTTGGATGCAGTATTGTTAGAGTGGCAACTCATCCTGTCGGATTGAATGCACCGTTCAACATTCACGTCAGAGAATTGATTCTCTGTGTGATTGACTTGACTCCAGTGCTGAGGCAAATATGGTACATAAGCCAAACATGACTGGAGCTAGAAACATTCAGGCGCAACACGCGGAGCTACTACAAAAGCGCATTCTATTCTTTCCTATAACTAAGGAGGGAGAAGATACTGCTAGTACTTATTAACAGACGATCCATGAACTCGGCATAGAACACTCCAGCGAAGGTCATGTCAAATGTCTTGCCGATGGCCTTGAGAGTCAGCAGCATGAGCACACTGCATGGGCCTCAGGGGATTTTTGACACCCGAAACCTCTCGAAACCTTAACTTGTCGTTCGAGAAATTTAGAGATCTGCAAAGGCCGCTTCTGCGAATACTCATGTGAATCAAGCTTGCCTTTTTCCTGAGTCTTTATAGTTATACTTATAGGTGCTTTAATTGTGTCAAAGATGACTCTATGCTCCCTACATCCAACACTAGCAGATTTTCCATGAAAAGTCCCAAAAGGTGAGTCTCTTCATTTACCCAAGATGCGCTCAATATATCACGCAAAGTTTGCCTTCTTATAAGATACGCAAACAGCCGACTGTGTAGCTCTGTCTCACACGTCATCGCACTCCATAAGATAAAGGCGCGGTATCTTGAGATCTATGCCAACGGCCATACCTTCAAGAATCGAAAATACATTTAGCAAAACTCATCTCGTAGCCTTTAAAATCTTTTAACTGAGCCTAAACTGCTTGTAAAGTTCTCCAAACGCCGGTGGTATAATCGGGCCCAGTACTTGATGTAGAGAAGAGTATTACCTCGCTGATTTCCGGCACAACAGTTTTGGACGAGATTACAGTATGGCTTCTTTTTAAGACACAAAGCGCACGTGCCAGAAGACAGAAGCTGCTTACAATGTGTAGGCTTGTAATAAGCGGAGTAGTTCTTCCGGCAGTTTATGTTAAATATTAAGCTAAACGACCCCAGCAAATTTTGTTCACCGGTAACAGTAAGGGTTACAGTGTATTGTACAAATATGAAGCATTGGAACCCATTTTGGCGCTATGGAACTGAATTATGTTTGATAAGGTGAATGCTGCAGCGGGCTTGGTTACCTCATCTCATCAATTGCCGCCGGAGAAATTATTTCAGCGAATAGTAATCATATATGAGTATCGAGCCACTGAAACTCTTCGTGAAAAATACCCTGGCAGCCATGAAAACCCTGCCGCTGCTCACCTTTGATTCAAAAGACGCAAATGGAGCTGCTCTTGGCATGCCGCTCTGCTGGGCAATAGTAGTATCATGCTAGTCATACTATTCGCCAAATCGCACGAATAGCAACCCTGTTTGCCGACCCATGCTAAGGATATACGAGTTGCCCTATCTATAATCAGCAATTACAGGCCCATGTTCAAATGCTGTTTTCGATATAATCCACCTTTAAATACGAGATTTCCATGCACAGCAACAAATCCGGGTCGTGTTGCGGTGTGTATAACGATGGCATCAATATAAATAAGCGTTACGCCGCTGTGTTTCAATGCCTGCTCTCAAGCAGTACCATCATACTCTGATACAATGAAGCTATCTACCGCGGTGGCCATTGGCCTAACTTCACTCGCCCAGGGAGGGTCGGTGGTGCATGAGAAGAGAGACCAAGTCCCTCCCGAATGGACAAAAGTCGGCCGTGCAGTTTCTGATACAGCGATTGAACTCCGTATTGGCCTTAAGCAGAGCAATCTTGAGCATGCCGAAGATCTCGCTAACCAGATTTCTCACCCCAAGTCTGAGAAATATGGCAAATATCTTACCGCACAACAAGTCGTTGACCTATTCGCCGCACCGCAAGAGGTCATATCTGAGACTATGCAGTGGCTACGACAAGGCGGAATCAATAGCAATCGCATTAAGCCAACTGCCGGTCGAAACTGGCTCAAGTTCAACACGACAGTAGCCGTTGCCGAGAAGCTACTCGACACAACTTACTATACCTATAGAAACGAGGAAGAAGGTGTGGAAGTGGTTGCCTGCGAATCGTACAGCGTTCCGGAGGATATCCAGCCTAACATTGACTTGATTATGCCGACAATTCAATTTGAGACCAGAGGTCTTCCAGCAAACAGCCGTGGGCTTAGCCGCCGAGATACATTCAATCCCAAGTTTCGGGTTCTCGAGTCTGTGCCGCACCCCAGTTCTCTCGCCAACTGCAGTGGGACAACAACACCTGCTTGTTTACGAGCAATGTAAGACTATTGACTTAATTCCTGTTGAAGTCGAATACTCTCCTAACAAATTACAGATATGGCTTACCGGACTCGGGCGAGGCTGTTGAAGGCAACAGCTACGGCATCGTGGAATTTGCTCCGCAAAGCTTCAATCAAGATGATCTAAACGTCTTTTATGCCACATACGCCTCCAATGTTCCGAATAACACCGGACCCATCATTGACGGCATCGATGGTGGCTACTTTTCGAATGACTCTTCAGTAGATACTCGCGGAGAGTCAAATCTTGACCTTTGTTACGCAATTGGTCTTGTTCACCCCCAGCCAGTTACGCTCTACCAAGTTGGCGACAACGATCCTGTCCAACCAGCGACTAACAACAATTTCCTCGATGCTATCGATGGCGCCTATTGCACATATGAAGGCGGCGATGACCATGACTGGGATGCAATCTACCCTCATGACGGCGAGCTCTCGGGAGAATATCTTGGCCAGCCTGATTGCGGAAAGTACAATGCCACCAAAGTCATTTCCGTCTCTTATGGTAGCAATGAGAACGACCGCCCAATCTCCTACAGAACTCGCGAATGCAATGAGTATATGAAGCTTGCGCTGATGGGAGTGACTGTCTTATTTTCGTCTGGAGATACCGGCGTGTCAGGCCTCACCGGCAGATGCCTTCTTCCAAACGGTGCATGGACACCTCCAGGTGCCGATTACGGTCGATTCAATCCAAGTATGTACATGTGTACAGATGTTGCTTTGGTATTTCTAAATCACTAACCATGCTGCAGTGTGGCCCGGAACTTGTCCTTGGATTACTTCAGTTGGAGGCAGCGCGTTGCCTGAGAATGGCAGTGTCACCGACAAGCAGGTCGCGGCGACTGATTTCGGATCTGGCGGTGGTTTCAGCAACATCTTTGCACTACCTTCCTACCAAACAAATGCTGTCGCGGAATACTATGCCAGCCACGATCCCGGATACAACTCTTCTATTTACAACAACACGCAACAAGTGCGGGGATTTCCCGACTTGGCCGTCTCATCTCAGAACTTCATCACCGGCCTCGCAGGCGGCTTCAATGCCTTCAGTGGTACTTCAGCTGCAAGCCCGCTGTTCGGTGCCATGATTACGCTCATCAACGGCGAGAGAATTAAGAGTGGAAAGGGATCAGTTGGTTTCCTCAACCCTGTGCTGTACAGCCATCCGGAAGTTTTTGATGATATCACTGAGGGAGTGAATCCTGGATGCGGTACCGATGGATTTCCGGCCGTTGAAGGCTGGGATCCGATTACAGGTCTTGGCACTCCCAACTTTGCCAAGCTGAGGGATCTTTTGCTCAGTCTGCCATGAAATTGATTTTAGATTTTGTCTTTAAAAGGATATGCGACTAATTAGACGGGAGGAGGCGATAAATGTGTCGCATGCGCAAATCTATTTGATAGAGACATTACCAGAATATTACTTCTCGCAAGTCCAAATATGCATAATTTGTTCGTCCTCTAGTTCATAAACCCCACTGTAACCGCCAAGAAGCGGTTTATGAATACGATACGAGCAAGGGACCTCTCTAGTTTCCTTTCTTTACATGTAGCTGGCTGTACCCACCGTGTTAACGGGGTCGTATTGCAATCGGAATCCTCGTAGGGCTGAGCCGAATTGCATCATTACACAGTACCATGATGGATCTCAAAGAAGTCATTCAAGACTCTACTAAAACTCGAGGGTTATATGTGCTACGAGTCAATGATTTCACACTGGCATACGGTAAAGTACTAGCTGCCTGATATAATACTCGATCAGAATATCAGTGCACAGTATTCTTGTAACTCATGTGGGCTTGCGCTTGTTCTCCCTGCGAGGCGTGGCTAGTATTACCCCTATAGGATGTCCAATCAAAGGCAGAAGCCAATTTCCTCTAGGAATCGAGAATGGTAGTATCATATATGCGTGAACTGAAATAAGTAGAGGTTTATTTGGGATATAATCGAGTATAAAATCTCTAACATCAACATGTACCCGGCGCCGGAGTATAGAACAGGGTGGGCAACTTGAGTAAACCTTGCCACCGGGACTAACGCTGCAGTTTCAAATCCGGATCAACGGCAACTCTATTCTAAAACAAAGGGATATATTCTATATATACATTGTGTAATTTCTGCAACGCGCAAAGATTGCGGCCGTCAGCCTTGATGGCGATAGGGTTCGTACGCAGTGTTGGTGTTTGTAAAAGTAGGCGCGGGTGCGGAAGTATGGCCGTGATGAGAGGCTGCGCCGCCATTTCCAAAATCGACCTTTTCGTAGCTGCCCTGGACGGGAGAGCGTCGAGCTTCGGTGCGGCCCGAGCAGCAGCATGAGCTGAAGAGCCAGAAGAATGTGCTGACCAGAGACAGTGCGAGAGCGAGCCACGATGCGGCAAAAGCGTTGGCGCCCAAGCTGGACTTTACGCCATATTCCTTCAGCGACGAGTTGAATACGCCAACGAGCGTGGCAAAGAGAACTGTTGACGTGATGTTTGCAGCGATGAGGAAGCCGGTCGCGACCTGTGAGGTTGGGGTGTTAGTGGTAAGAAGGTTGTAGGAGTATGATGGATCTGGACGTACCGCAGACACGATGGTTGTAAAGATGCTGCCAATACGACTGAAAATGGCCGAAATGCCCACCAGCAGTTGCACAACAAGGGTAGCAAACGCAAGCACATACGCAACAAACATCCAGTGAGAAACCTTCTGATACGTCTTCAAATTGGACTGGAGGTGCGAGGGGAACAAATCGTGAACGCCGCTGACATTCAAGTGCCAGACAACAAGCGGGTTGAACCAGAAGCTTCCCACGGGCTTGCTGCAAAAGTCCACGTCAAAGGTGCTGCCCTTCTTTTCTCCCTCGCAGTAGCCGAACAAGCCAACGTCGTAAAAGTCTCGTAGTTCAGACGCCTTCTCGGCCTCTTCGATAGCTGCGGCAAGCTCTTCCGTGGCATTGTTCATAGCATTCGATGTAAGATTCAGTAGCCGGTCTCCAAAATTACTTGCTTCAGCCGCAGTGACATTTGAAAGATCAGCCTGTGATGTTGGTTAGCAAACTTTGGTTCATGCGGCATCTCCCTGAAGCACCGAAACTCACTCTCATAAAGTAAATCTTGTTTAGTGTAGAAGAGTCCTCATCAGTTGAACCAATGCCCGCAAATATGAGGGCTACCAATGAGCCTATTGTGAATAGGTATGGCAACCCAATACACGCAACGCGGCCCGCTCTGCCCATTGTCGAAGATGGCGATACACTGAATGAATGAAAGACAAAGAAAACCGTTAACTTTGAGAGTGAACTTTTCTCCTCCGATTGTATGTCAGTCTAACAGAAACCGCCAAATGACGAGACGCGAATAGAGTAAGGGTATAGGTATGATAATGATGCAAATATTTCTGCAGCGAAGGGCGCCATAATACTAGAATAAATGAACCCGCCACCATCCGTTTGACGCCAATGCAGAGCTGAATCCTATTTGGCAACCTTGGGTATAAAATTAGAATCAGCCTAGAAAGCGGGCCGGTCATCATGAGCTAAGCCACGCCGGCATCAAACCATCTGACAAGTGGAGCGTGAAGAATCCTATGACACGACGAGAAAATTAGGATAAGCATAGTCGCTAGCAGACCGCCCAGGTATGGAGTAACGCGTTAGCATCTTCTATTGGACTAACTGGCGATAGTTGCTGTGCTGGCTTTGGAGACGCCTATATCCGGCGTTCAAAGGCCATGAAAGCGGCAAAGATAGGCTGGAGTTACAAGTGCCTTACAATGCCGACCAGGATCAGCTTGGTTGTGGTGGGCAAATATCGACTTATGGGCAAATATTAATAATCATATACAACATCAATGCGCAAGCAAGCAAAACGACTGTGCTCCGTAGAGGGATACAGCTTGGGTTGCAATTCTCGACATTGCTTCAGCCGTGTCACATTATAGTAATCTCTTCCAAATATATACATCCTGAACAGATGGTTGAAGACGCACTGAATAGTCATATGGCAGATAGTGTAGCATCCATGCATCTTTTCAGGGCCGTGCGCTTCTTGCCCTCGCCCCTCGCTTCTCTCGGCTGTACGTGAGCCGCATTCTATATCCGAAAGAGGTTCAAGGTCGTGAGATAGGATCCATTGTTGTGAGCTAGCAAACGCACTACTGCATTTCCCACTAGATAGCGTCCTCTTTTCTTGCTAGCCTTTTGTGGTATTTGTACGCCTAGCGAGATCTAGGTATTCATCCCAAAGGATGCTCAACCTGTCCCTCCATTATGCGTCGAGACCCTAATCACACACGCATCTGAATACTAGTTGCTTTGTAGCTACAACCACTGCCAGATAATAAGTAGTAAATCCATGTTATTTCCTCGCAACTAGTAGCACAGGAGTTGCTCTTGAACGGAGCTAACCGAAAAGATTCCATGCAGCCTTGTCTGCCGAGTAGGGAAAAAGGTTGTAACCCCCACAAGAGTAATCACTAGCTGAAATTACAGTCGATCCCAGATTCAAAAACAGATTTAAGCGTGTTTTGAAGTCCTACGCAATGGCCCAAGTCGCCGGAATTCACCGCACATTGTGAGGTTGGGCTGCGCTGGCGAGACGCCGTCAGCTCAGGGGTGGATCGTGATACTCACAGCATTATCTCGACTTTTATAACTCCTTTGAGGAAAGTCTATCACGCTTTGAAGAAGCTTCAGTCCAGAACAGTCGAGCTTTATTAGTTTTAATAGTGATGAAGGCCATGCCGCCTGGAGTTCCTGCTTGTTGGATTGCTAGGACACATATCTCAGATCAAATAGGTAGTGGTAACTCCAGTCAGTGGTGAAGAGCAAGAAGGGTCATGACATGTGAAGATTCACGCCGTGCTGCTTTCATATTCTATTCACGACTACCGCTATCACGACTAGTGATCCTATTCCTGACAACCTCTGCGGCTCTAACCTAGCGCTTGGTCTTGTGTTGTGCCCTAGCTCGAACGTTGGGCTGAGCTGGCGGGTCGCTGTCAGCTCAGGGGTGGCTGGTGGGCTGTAACGATCATCACGCCTCGACTTAGTCGGTACAGCCCCATGGAGCTCTTTGGGGAAAACATGTCGCGCTAAAAAAAGAATCGTAGCTCCGTTAGAGCCGCTTATATTAGCTTGTAGTGAAGACGTTGTCGAGATAAATATCTGAGAGTCAACAGCAGCCACAACTATAGAAAGGCTATCGCTGTGCTCCATTGATATCCTTCATTCTCATTATTGCATCGTTTTACTTGTTTGGTAGAGCGTTTGGTCTTTTCATTTTTTTTTTCTCTTCAGCTTTTACAAGTGATGTCTCCCAGGATATCACGACTTTCCGCTGTCGCGGCCCTCGCGGCAGTGGCAAGCGCTGCAACAGCCTCAGTCAGCACTTCCAAGCCTGCTGAGCCCTGTGCCCAGATTGCAAAACTAGCTGCAGGAGGCAGTGAGTTTCTGTGTCCTTTTGACAGCGTGATATACCAGCTCTAACACAGCATAGCACCAATCTTCTCCAGCCAGCTTGGACTTGCTTGCCTCGAGTCGATTCCATTCAAATCCGATCTCGCAGTGAGCTTTATCGATGAGTATAGCAAATACTTGCAATGGCAGTCTACTATCGAGATTCTCAGAAGTATGTTTCATGTTACTTGTTATGTTGTTATATATTCCTAACAGAGCCCAGATCCACCCCCCGGCTCTCTGTCTGCAACGGTCGATCTCGTTGGTGGCCTATCGACAATTCGCAGTCGAGCAGCGGCGAACCTTTACAAATCCCAGTACGACTTTGATCGAGACCTATCCCAACTCATCAGCTCTGCCAACGATGGCCATCTTGCTATTTCCCCTTGTTCATTCGCCATTGGGTTTGGGATTACCACTTCATTGGTATCGCTTTCTACTGATGGTGTAGCCATGCCTAGGCTATACACTTTGAGTGCGTATATGTCTTCTTTCTTTTTCCCATTTTAGCTATACTGGAGATTTCTCTAACAACATTCGGCAAATAGATGATGGTAGGCTTCTAGCAAGGGGCAACAATCACGTGTCCCCCGTCGCGTTGATTAATGGAGTTGGCGCAGAGGCCTATGTCGAACAACTCTCCAGCTTCCAGGGCTTGCAAGATCCCGATGCCCGATACAACTTGATGTTATCAAACGTACCTATTGGCCTTGCAGGCAGTGAAACCAACTCGGGTTTTGCCAACTACGGGGCATTCCCAGGCGTCCATGAATTCAACCTGACATACGCCAACGGGACCCTGGAATCAATACCGCTCATCGCAGCAAGCACTATTGGAAACTTTACTTCCACCACTGGCGACGAGCTGTGGGATGCAGTCTGCGCTCCCCTGCCTGCTACTACCGATTCATCAAGCAAAAAGCTCAAGCGAGGCGGAAACACGACAAAGGTCTCCAAGAGACAGGCAGACGCGAAAGAGCTTCCGGCACCGAGCGGTTATCCCAAGCCAGTTGTCAAAGACCCCTTCAACGTGATGGTGGGATACTTTTCAGAAGAAACAAGCCTCAAAGACGTTGCTATCATGACCGTGTCAAGTTTTGAAACGTCGGGCGAGGGCATTCCAGACGACGAGACCCGAAACTTTGCCATCCAGGCACAGTCATTTGTGAACAAGGCTGTCGCTGCTGGCAAGTCCAAGATTATCGTCGACGTCACCAACAACCCCGGCGGCACTGTCGACTCAGGCTTTGCGCTTCTTAGCATCTTCTTCCCCAACATGACCATCTTCTCGGCGACTCGAATCCGTTCTGTCCCCGAAACGCAATTTATTTTTGACACTGCCAGCCGCTCAAAGGATCCGGAGACCATTGAAAACTTTCGGGGAGCTGGTTTCCTCATCTCAAACTTGGTTCAACCAGACCAGAAGACAGGCTTCGATAGTGACAGCGATTTCTTGGGTCCTTTTGATGTGCTTGACGTCCCCTCAACGGCAATCTCGGCCGAGAATAACTTCCTCTTTGGCAACGCGACAGACGCCCCCATCAACATCTTCGGCAAAGGAGGAGTGCTCAACGGTACGGAACCGCCCTATAATCCCGAGGATATCATTATTGTAAGTATATATTCATATTCTTCATTTCTTTCTTTAATTTCTTTTATAATCTGCTAACACCTTCCGCCAGCTTACCGACGGCCAATGTTCTTCCACTTGCACCATCTTTATCAACCACATGATTCCCTATGGCGTGCGAGTTGTTGCAAACGGCGGTCGCCCACAAGCCGGCCCAATGCAGGGAATCGGAGGCGTCAAGGGAGCTCAGGTTCAGGAACTGTCAACTCTTTCCAGCATTTACGAATTCACGACTCAGGTTGTCCAGAACGCCACGGATGCCAAGAAGCCGCTCTTCACGTCAAAGGAATTGGACGCCTTCAAGGACCATATCCCCTTGACCTTGGACCAGTTCCCAATCAGACTCACTTCGGGAAGTGTCAACTACAGAAACGCATTTGCCCCCTTCGACGACCAGACGCCTACGCACTTCATCTATCAGCCCGCGGACTGCCGGATCTTCTACACTCCTGCGTCGCTCATCAGCCCAGAAGCCAAATGGGGAAATGTCGCCGACGCAATATGGGGGGGCAAGGGAGGATGTGCCTTTTTCGTTCCGGCCCGGCCACCGCTCCTTTTCGCCGAGCCCTCTTCTACCTCGTCTTCTAAGCCGGCTTCTACCACAGCTGCCGGCAAGAAGAAGACTCAGTCATCCGCTCACAAGGCAGTTGGCCTATTACTGGCCATGGCAGAAGGCCTGAAGCCACAGTAGACGATTTGTCTTTATAGTTGTTTTGTATATATAGTAACATTTAGCGTATGCACCCGTATAGATGGGGTCCACATTAGATTTATGCATCGGATAGCATTTCAAATTAAGTTTCATTTACAACTTCATTTTCATACAATCCACATCTATTTGGAACACTTTGGGCCTTAATATGTTCTTTTTCGCTACGTGTGTTAGGCAAAAAGATGTACTAAGAGCAGCTCATCTTCATCAGGGCTAAACAACCAGCCGCCCTGTTCATTTCTTGTACAGTAGCCACTGCCTATTTGCGGCTCTGATGCATTATGCAATCCTAATCAACTTGCTTCAAAGCTAATTACCCATGTATCAAATGTCGTGTATCTCTTGGGAGCGAGATGGTTAACGCTTTTTTGGGTAGTCGTGTTAACCACTACTGTTCGGCTCTAGGTTCAAAAAGCTCATCCAACTTTCGACTCAGACTTATAATGTATGATCAAGACAAATCAAATAAAACAGAAAAGGTTTCCTGAGAGAGTAGCACGTGGCTAGACAGCTATAATTCAGCTAGAATAGTTCTGCACGTGGTAGGAACATTACCATATTTGCAAGGGCACCTTTTTATGTGAGTACCTCTATCCAATAGATGCTGCAAGTAGACCTCATGCTATATATAGGGAGACATTATTCAGCACCCTCTTTACTTCTATGTCGAGGTGACAAAGCAGCTTCGCCTTTGTAATACTCATCCAAGACCAAGTGTGTTCTTGTTATACAAACCGCCTACACCCTAACAGCAATTTCTGCTTCACAGACAACACTCAGACAATCTCCGTTTGGAGAATTGAGATACCAGCTGACCCTAACACGCACGGAGCTTCAAATAAAGGTGTTGAGTTGGTAATCCCAAGATGGCTCTGCGCACGCGGAAGCTGGTCTCCCAAGAGTCAACAGCTAGTATAAGAGGGCGTGTGGGGCCAGGAAACGGTTTGTGTCATCGAGCACAGCACTGAACATAGAGACGAGTTTCCAAAAGCCTGCTAATACCTATGATTAGAGGAAATCTACAGATAATATACTTCCCACGAAGAGTTCTCCAATAGCTTCTACGCAATAAACCCCAAGCTCAGCTAGAACTGCGGGGCCAAATTTTCCATGAATCCGCTTCAACCACCCCGTGTTCTCACCGAGTTGCGAGCTTCTACAGCATTTTCAAAAGTCGAGGAGTCTGTGGCTGATGGAAAGTACGTGTAACTCGGGGCAATATCCCCGAGGTGCAGCATTAAGTCAAGCATTATTGAAGTTAGTTAATTTCAATGATGCACATGTAGCCGTCCACAACCGTCCACAACCGGCCTATGAGAAGGCTTGCCCTTGCGCAACTAGATTGCTTATGCGGCGGTTTGGCATGTGCCCGCGTAGCGTTGGATGCCCACCCCGGTCATAGAATGGAAGCTGACTGGCCACAGGGAGTGCCCCAAGCTTTCGGAGATGTCGCCTTGTGACCGAGATGCTTCCCAGCCGTGTGTTTGTTCTCATGCGTTCAACAACCAACCAGTCTCTTTACCCCTACAGAGAGTCTCTGAAAATTCTCCTCACCTCATTCAATAGCCGGCACAACAATGATTTACAAATAGAAATCATTAGTAACATAAGAGTACCTGCTCTGCTCTGCTCTTATTGGCGGGTAAAACCATCTCAACCCCACCCGCATCTCGGCAAGCTTCCCAGCGAACTTGTTAGCTCGGGGTGGTTCTGAGCGAGGCGCTTTTGCTCCATCTTGAGTCTTGGCCGTGGCGTGCGGGGACTCTGCTCCCCATGCGGGGAGTTTGCTCGGGATTGGATCGCTTAGCTGGGTTTTCCTGATTTGTTGGTGCGGAAACACAGGCGCCGCGCCCAATCTGTGCTCCTCCACAAAGTCTTGCCCCAGAACCCCAGAATCTGTCCGAGTGCCAGTATGGGGTTATCATGGGGGTTGGAGAAGGCCAGTAACTATCAGGTCAAAAAGAATGTGAAAAGTACTTCTTTGTGGATGGAGACACAGAGAAAGGGCCCTGCTCGTGGTATATCCACCTTTATCCCGCCAACGGATGTACAGCTACGTCAAGTTAGTGTGCCACTCCAATATAGCAATAGCATGACCAGGCTGCTTAAGGATGGTGCAACTCACTTCCCGATGAGAGCGAGGAATGCAAGAATTGGAACAGATGTTCCAATCATGTGCTCGGCCGTGCCTGTGTATATATGAAGGGGACCAGACCCCCTCCAGCTCGTAGAGGACTTTCTTCTTGTTGTTGCTGGGAAGCTGCACCACAGTCGCCAGAATGCAGTTCTTCAAGAATTATCGAGTCTATGTGCTCACATCGGTGGCCTACCTGGGCTCACTGCTCTTCGGTACGTATTCTCTCGTCTGTTCACAGACTGTTTTATTTTATCCTTTCTCTCAGCCAACCTCAAGGTTTCACAAGATGAGCACTGCTGATTTATGACCTGCTCCTAGGCTATGATACGGGTGTCATGGGCAGCGTGCTCGCCCTCAAGAGCTTCAAAGAAGACTTTGGCCTGCCCACCGACTCCAGCGGCTTCTCTTCATCCGAAAACGCCCACATCGCATCCAATGTCGTCTCTCTCCTCACAGCCGGCTGCTTCTTCGGCGCCATCACCGCCGCATTCATCAACGAACGCTTCGGCCGCCGCTATGCCCTGATGCTCTTCACGACAATCTTCCTCGCCGGCGCAGCCATCCAGACAAGCGCTTCACACTCGATTGGCCAAATCTACGGCGGCCGTGTCGTTGCCGGCTTCGGCGTCGGAGGCATGAGCTCCATCACCCCCGTGTTTGTCAGCGAAAACTGCCCGCCAGCCACTCGAGGCCGTGTCGCCGGTCTGTTCCAGGAGTTCCTCGTCATCGGAAGCACATTCGCCTACTGGCTCGACTATGGCGTGGCCCTTCATATAAAACAAAGTACTAAACAATGGCGTATCCCTGTCGGTCTCCAGCTGGTGCCGGGCGGTCTCATGCTCTGCGGCCTCTTCTTCCTCAAGGAGTCGCCTCGTTGGCTGATGAAGAAGTCTCGCCATGAGGAGGCTCTGCGATCTCTGGCCTACATTCGCAACGAGACTCCAGACAGCCCTGAAGTGCTCAAGGAGATGGCAGAGATTCGAGCCTCAATCGAGGAAGAGATGGCCCTTACAGAGGGTGTTACCTGGAAGGAGTGCTTGAAGAAGGGCAACTGGAACCGCTTCGCACTGGCTTTTGGAATCATGTTCTGGCAGCAGTTTTCCGGAACCAACAGTATCGGATACTATGCCCCCGAGATCTTTGAGACAGTCGGCGTCAGCAGCACAAACTCGTCGCTGTTCGCAACTGGCGTGTACGGCACCGTCAAGGTGGTTGCCACAGGCCTGTTCCTGATCCTCGGCATTGATCGACTGGGTCGCAAGAAGAGTCTCATCGCCGGTGCCATCTGGATGTCCATCATGATGTTCATCATCGGCGCGGTCCTCGCAACCCATCCGCCGGACAAGAACAGCAACACTGTTTCCTCGGCGTCCATTGCCATGGTTGTCATGATCTATCTATACGTGATTGGATATTCGGCGTCATGGGGGCCCACGCCCTGGGTCTATGTTTCCGAGGTAAGAAGCGGTTCTTGCAAACTGTTCGAAATACCACCTGCTGACTGATACACAGATCTTCCCTACCCGTCTACGTGAATACGGCGTCGGTCTCGCCGCCGCAACGCAGTGGCTGTTCAACTTTGTCATCACCGAAATCACTCCCGCAGCCGTCAACCACATTGGCTGGCGCACGTTCATCATGTTTGGATGCTTCTGCATCGGAATGTGCGCCTTTGTCATCTTGTTCATCAAGGAGACCAAGGGCCGCACGCTGGAGGACATGGACGTGCTGTTTGGCCTCGTCAGCGAGGACCAGCGCCAGGCGGACGTGGAGCATGTGCTTCACAAGGGCGTCGAGCTGGAGCACGTTGAGCAGGAGGTTCATGTTGCCGCCGACAAGGCCGTGTAGCGGCGGAATGATGGCGATGGTTGTTGTTTTGCCCTATGAGGACGGCCGGCTGTAATTGTCAGTGATACCAAGTTTGTTGAGATGCATGTATTTTCCTCAAAACAAAACCAGTGCACTTCCTTCCGCATGGTGAACAACGTAATAGTATCAATTACTCGCGTAGTATCTGCATTGTAACGTCCTTGGCCGTTTTGAAATGAGATGAGTTGAGATGAAACTGCTGGCTTGTACTTGAATCCGGAACAACGCTTTTCCCTTGCCAGCGCGCATGGACGCTTCCTCCGTCACATCACAGCCCAGATAGGCAATATCACAGAGAGAATGCGACTCTGGCACCAAAGGCTGGGCATGTCAAAAGGCCAACGTCTCCTCTACCGCCAAATGCCATTTATCGTGCTTGAGATCGACACGACGGTTGGTGGCATGAACTGACACGGAACACGCGACGGCAACGAGAGAAAGAAAGAGAGAATATACCAGCAAGGCGGCCAAAAGGGGGAATATCTCCCAGCGAGTAAGTGATTGCCTTGAAGCTGGTGTTTTGTGCTCTGCAAGAGATCAATTGGACTGCATTCAATTGATGGCACCAAGACGCTGCGGACGTATTTAGCAGCCAGCCAACCGCAGATTGGAGCAACGCCACCGGCATGATCTTCGCTAACACCAAAACAGCAGCCAAAATTAAGCGCCGCTTATCGCCCTGATCTGATCCCAAGGATCATTAGCGGTGGTGCCTGTGCCTGTGCCAGCCGTTAACGTTAAAAGCAGCATGGCGCCGTCAAACGCCGCCGCGGGCGCGCTCTTCAGTCCAGCATCGCTCAACCTGCCCACCCGCGAACGAGGCCGAGATCGCGACCGAGACCGCGACCGTCACGACCGCCCCGACCAGCAGCTGTCCGTGGTGCGCTCCAGCAGCAAGGAGCGCAAGGCGTCCTTTTCGTCGCTCAAGGCCTCGCTGCCCGGCTCGCGACGCCGCGCCAACAACAGCAACGCCAGCGGGACCGCCACGCCCTCGTCCAACGGCAACGGCGTCACCAACGCCTCTGCGCCGCCTCTGCCCGACTACGCCCTCGCCGCGGCGGCCAAGATTGTGGCCAAGGACAAGGACAGAGACAGAGACAGAGACGCCGCTGAAGGCGCCTCGGCCGCAGAGCTGGCAAACACCATGATCCCCCGCGGCTCGGCCATGACGGCCATGACGCCTGCAACGCCCATCGAGGGCCGCCCGGGCATGACCAGCACCATGTGGGCGCTGGCGCAGGGCGAGACGCAGGTGTTGCATCACCAGATTACAGAATTGGCTCAGAAGCGCATGTCGACGCTGGACTACCTGCGGAAAGCGTGAGACCACCCCCTTTCCCCTGTACTCTTGACACGGGTGACAAACAGCTAACATCATCATAGCCACGAAGGCCGCGTCTACTGGTTCAACACATACCTCTTCGACAAGCCCGACCTCTCCCGAATGCCCAGCTTCGACCCCCGTAAGCTCTCCCGCAAGGCCACAAACTACCTCCTCCTCGGCCTCTCCATCCCCACCATTCACGATCTCTACTCGTCCACGCCGCTCGAGTTCCTGCGCTGCCTCAACGCCCTGCTCGCCGAGTTCGACTCCTTCCAGCAGCTCCACGGCGACTCCTCCAACGCCGCCCTCAGCCGCGCCCGCCTGCCCAACATGTTCCGCCGCCCTGGCATGAAGACCCGGCGCTCGACATCCGCCGACGTCACCTTTGACGACTCGTCCGCCTCTGGCCACCAATCGCCCGCCGCCGGCTCGACAAACGGCGGCCCGGCCCCGGCGGTCATGAACTTTGCGGCCTCGGAGTCCGACCTGCTCCCCGGCGAGGAGTACACGTACCTGCTGACGCCGTCGCTGCCGTTTGACCCAGACTTTTTCGAGACGTTTGCGACGCTGTGCGATGTGCTCATCGACTGCTACACAAAGTTTCTGGCGCTGGTGCCGTCGCCGAGGGAGTGCACGGCGCCAGTGGCCGAGCTGTTTACAAAGGCGGACTCCAAGATTCGCAAAATCATTGTGCAGGGCGTGGTCAAAGATTTTGAAGACCACAGCAGGATGCATGTCAAGTCTGAAATGGCGGGCATAGGCAAGGTTGTGCTGGGAGGGTTAATGTGAAGTGGTCTTATATTGCAAGCGACGGCGTGCCTTCTATTTTATGATGATAATTTGCGATTGCATTTTTCTGCAGTCTTGCTTCCTTTCTGTTGTATGATATTGGAATTACGATGGCTATACCGGGCCCGAGAAGCGGGTTTCTTATTTGTGGCGATTTGGAAGGCGGTTCAATTATCTGGAGTTACGGCGGACAGAAGAACCTTGGAATAATTGGTGGAAACACGAATGTATCTACTCGGAATATTACAATCAAGCGGAGATAATTATATACAGACGGAGTACCTAATAATTGGTAGATGGCTCAAAACAAAAGCTGCGAATTGCCGCCATCAATTGGCATTTATATACTGAGAAATATAAATACATATGCCGCTATTCCATCTCTTCTTGGGAACAGGCATCTATACATCCACATATATGTATCTGGGAATATTATACAAGGTCTATCTATATAGAACAGACGTACATGATACAGTTCCAAACTCATCATCGTACACTCATCGCTCATTTCTTCGCCTTGGCCTCTTCCTCCAAGACCAACAGCTCAACCTCCTTTCCCACCAACCACTCCCTCGCAGCCTCCATCACTCTATCCAGCGTCTCCCCTCCCTCCAACACACTCGGCAAGTTATGCACATCCAGCCCAGCCCTGTGATCCGTACATCTGTCCTGGTTGTAATTATACGTGCGTATCTTGTCGCCTCGCGTGATCTGCGCCTGTGACAACACGCTGCTCCGGAGCTTGGCAGCCTCTTCCTCGCGCTGTTCCGCGCGCTGCGTGGCAATGCGAGAACGGAGCACCTTCCATGCATCTTCGCGGTTGCGCTGCTGCGAGCGGTGGTCTTGCATGGAGACGACGGTGCCGGTAGGGATATGCGTCATGCGAATGGCCGACTCGGTCTTGTTGACATGCTGGCCGCCAGCACCCCTAGCCCGCATCGTCTCAATTTTCACCTCTGAAGGGTTGACGTAAAAGTCGCTCTCCGGGTCATCGACGTCCACGTTGTCGCCGCCAGTGCCACCCTCGGGAAATGAAGGCAGCACCCACACGGCCACCGCGCTCGTGTGCACCCGGCCTTTGCTCTCCGTGCTCGGAATGCGCTGCACGCGGTGCATTCCCGCCTCGCCGCGGAAAATGTCGTATGCGCCCGGATCCTGGATCTCGAGAATGGCTTCCTGGACGGGCTGCTCGCCGGACGACGAGGACTGGTCGCCCGCAGCCTCGGCCATTTCGTACTTGAGCACGTTGGCGCGGTAGCCTCGCCGCGCACACATTGCCTTGTACATCTTGAACAGTGTATCGGTGAAGTATCTGCCTTCGAGACCGCCCGGTCCAGGTCGAAATTCAACCATGCAGGGCAGATCGGCAAAGGCATGTCTAGGCGTAAGACTCTCCGTAAGCCTCCTCCCCAAGAGATCCAACTTCGCTCGTTCCCCCTCTAATTCATCCCGCGCAATCGACGCCAAGTCCGGGTCCTGCTCTGGATCCTCCGCCATGGATGCAAGCTCCGTGATTGACGACTGGGCCTTTTCCCAGGCCCGCAGCGCAGAGGCTACGCGGCCCAGTTCGCCCGCGCGCTTGGCTTTGCCGGCGTCGAAGGAGCTGTTGAGGCTCTTTTGCAGGTCATCGTGTTCTGCGGAGAGCGACTGGGCGCGACGGAGGAGGCTCGGTGCCAGTGATGTGGAGGCGTCTTTGAGCGTTCAACGGTCAGCTAGAGAGGGAGAGTTTGCGATTTGCGATTGCGGCGCACCGTTGGAGGAGAATCGGACAATCTGCAGCTGGTGGGACCGTCGCAGAGCTCTGAAGCAGCTGCGGCAGATCCAAGGCGCTGCCGACATTGTCCTGGTGCTACAGCTGTAGACGGTTTTTGATGGGGGGAAGTTGAGGCTTGATACAGCTGGAGATTTTTCAGATAGATGGCGGGGCAGCTCCAGCATGCTCTACACCAGTTCTTGGCACACTGTAAGCCTGTAATCCTCTGCATCTAAATTCTCAGTTATCTCATTCACAGATATTATTTCCTATGATACCACATATTAACATGGGACAGGCTAATATGCATGTATCTCTATTTATTAACGATTAAGTTACTCTCGCCCCGGTATTGTAGCGAGGTCTTTTCGTAACATCATCTCCGAAACTCGAAACTCTATATAAAACAAACAACAAAATGCTATGCTTTTCTTCTTCTCATCTTTTTTTTGTTAAAATCTTTGTTCACCTTTATCAGCTGATTTATGCAGACGCCACGTCCTCTTTGCTTCTGAGTTCCCGCTCTTTCGTCCACCTCGCAGCCATTAGAAACGCAGCTCCAATCAGCAAGCAGACACCTCCCCAAATCTGTGAGCCAATATAACGCCCATTCGCAACCGCAATCAGCTTTCCTGCCAACGGCGGACCCGTCAGTGCCGCAACGCTGATGATCGAAAAGATCATGCCGATCCGTATGCCGGCCTTGCTCAGATCCTTGGTCAGGCTGGCCGTAGTCGCAGGAAACAGTGCTTGGACGCCGGCGCCGAAATATCCAAAGAAGGCGACCCAGGCATAGTCTCCGCTGATGGAATCGACGCCCGCCCAGGCAAAGATACAGATGGCCGTGCCGATAATCGTGGGGATGAAGACGTTGACGGCGCCAAAGTATCGATCGGCCAGGTATGCGGGGATGAGTCGTCCCGGAACGCCAACCACGTTGATGATCATGAGCATGTTGAAGGATATTGACTGAGATCCATGGAGCCGGTCGATGGAGTACGAGCGTGCCTGGGAACAACAATCGGTTAGAACATCTCATACTTCGAGATCATATACCAGGCGAACGGGGAGAAAACTCACATAGTCGTACGCAAAATAGGTCGCCCAGAGCGTGAAAAACATGCTGATTGCAAACAGCACATATGTCGCCTCTTTAAACGCCGCCCACTCGACCAGAGCGGCAGACTTGCGCGGGAGCAGCCTGGGCCTCACCAACAACAGGATAATCCCGCTGGCCACCAGCACCACCAGCCCCATTGCTCGAACCGTCCATCCAAACCCAATCTTGGGCATCAGCTGCTGCGCAATCAACGGAAATATGACGCCTCCCGTGGCACCACCGCAAGCCGCGCTCGCCAGCGCCAGCATCCGCTTCTTGGAGAAATACGTCGACACATGGGCAATCGTTGGCGCAAATGTGAGGCCACAACCGATGCCCTGGCACAGGCCTTGCGCGAGGAACAGCTCCCAGTACTTGGTCGACACGCTCGTTGTGAAGATGCCCACCAGTTGCATCAGCAGGCCCGCGGCCAGGACGGATCTGAGATATCCGGCGTCAAAGGCGCGGCCGGAAAAGGTGCCCACGAGGAAGATGAGACAGGCCTGCATGCTTCCGATCCAAGACACGGCTGAGGGTCCCAGGTTGAGCGTTTCCACGTAGTAGGGCTGGAAGATGCCATAGCTGATGGTATAGCCCCAGACGTTGAAGACGACGAGATGGCCGGCGACAACTTGGAGCCATGCCCAGAGGCCGCCGTCGGGAGGAGGCCCTACTACCGATCCAGCGGCTGCGGCTGATGCCTCAGGGCGCAATTCCTGTGCTTTTTCGTCGGCCATGTTGATCTTTTGCTCCAGGGCTGCATCGTCATCTGTTGTTGAAGACGCTTCGATGAATCCTGCGTCTGTCGTTGCCGGCGGTGTAAGTGTCATGATGTCAGTCGACAAAGTTCTCCAAGAGAACAAACGTGTTCCTTGTTGCAAATTGATAGTAAGAGCCAAGTGATGGGAACCTGATCGTCGCAGGAGTTTTGTTCCTTGAGAATTATGCCGATGTCGCTGCTACGACCCTGGAGAAGGATGATAAATCAGGAGGAATGCGACGCTTACAGGTAAGCCGAGATAAGTGAAGCGCTCATGACACCTTCGTGAGCGGAATGGAGCCAGCACATGCACAGGAGTGTTCGAGAAGCAACAATTTCACATGAATGTGTCCGACAAGATGTGTTAAACTAGAGTTTCTGGGGTCGAGCTATTGATATTGGAAATGCAGATGCGGGCACAGCCGTCCGATCTCCGAAGTGATGAATGCATCGACGCTCAAGCTTGTGGGGGATCCGCGGGTCCAGTTTTCTCCAGCCGGAGAAGGTCAATTCTGAAATAAACCAGTAGAAATGCCAATTACTAAAAGACATCCAAGAAACGAGCCTGGCCTTCCAATGGCGGAAGACGGACAGCATCCATTGGCCAACTGCAATGACCAAGACGTTCCCGAAATGGCAATTTGATTGTGGTCGACGGTAAGGCGTCTCCTTATACCCAAGCCAGCCTAGCACCGCATTTAATTGCCGCTCAATTGCCGCTTACAAGCCAGCAAAAGCGAGAATAACGAGCATCTTTCCCATTGACGGAGGGCCAAGTCCGTCATTCTTAGAGAAGAACCAACCGCTTTGTACGGAGTAAGGCGCATCTCATTAGGTAAACCCCATCTTATCGAGCGGCATAAGCGGGCAAAACGGGCAAAGCGGGTTCGACGGGATTGAACAAACTAACCGCGGCAAACTGACTCAAGTTTTTGGAGATTGAGGCTTGTGTCTGTGTCCGAATCGCGGAGAAGCAGATGCTAGGAAGGAAGCTGTGTCAGCTGGCATGTGGGTTGAATATATGTAATCAAGCGGCTGCAGCCTCAACTCTAAAAAGAAGATTAAAAGAGATCTAGCCCGCGTATCAGATCTGTATACAAAGTATCGCTGATTTCAATGCTACCACCTATCACGCTGGAGTAAAGACTAACTCATACATGCTTCTATAAAGACTAGCTCTCAACAATGAGAGGACGAGCTCACCTCGGTTGCAGATGGCTTACTAATGGATCTTCACCTCGCACTCTATTTGCCAACAAGTCTCAATATGCGAAGACCGGCCACGACGATTGAAAGAAAGGAACAAAGAAGAAGAAACCGACTCATAGCTACTGTTTATCGGACGCGTATCGGCCCTTTGGACAAGGAAAACATGTCATTCAATCTATTCTAGGGCGAGAAACCGTATGAGTCGTTTTCGGTGTTTGCTACCAGAAAAGGAAGTGGCTTGAAAAACTGTACTAGTTTCGTCAACTTAAGGGCTCTTTTGTTTTTGATACACTTCTATTCGGAGCTTGAATCGAGAGTTGCGAGTGAATCAAGAGAGCTATCTCGTCTGTCCGTTCTTCAACATAAATAAGCTGCCTCTTCACACTTGAAATATCTTCTTGAGCTTGCTCTTCTCAACCTCAAAGACAAGTCATATAAACACCAGCCACGAATCGCCCAAAATGACTTACACGCTCTACATCGGCAACAAGCGATACTCATCATGGTCAATGCGGCCATGGGTCCTCTTCAAAGCGTTCAACATCCCCTTTGACGAAAAGCTCGTCTTCTTCGGCTCCGACCTCGCCAGCCAGCGCATCGAGTTTTCTAAATTCTTGCCCTCCGCCAAGGTGCCCTGCCTCTTCGACTCCGCCGCCTCCTCAGCCGCCATCTTCGACTCACTCGCCATCGTCGAGTACATCGCCGAGACCTACCCAGCCGTGTGGCCCAGCGACAAGCTCGCCCGTGCCTTTGCCCGCTGCGCCGCCGCCGAGATGCACGCTGGCTTCGGCGACATCCGCACAGACTGCCCCATGAACGTGGCGCTGCGCATCGAGCTCGGGCCCCGGAGCGAGGCCCTGCAGCGGGACATTGACCGCCTCACGGAGCTCCTCAGCGAGGGCATCAGCAGGTTTGGCGGCCCGTGGCTCGCGGGCAAGGAATTCACTGCGGCGGATGCCTTTTACGCGCCCATTGCGTCTCGGTGCAAGACGTATGGCATTGAGCTGGGCGGCGAGGCAGGGAGCTATCTCGATCGGCTGTTTGACCACCCAGCCGTGAAGCAGTGGGTTGACGAGGGCATCACGGAGCCGGGCATCGTGGCGCGATATGAGGAGGACACCAAAAGGGGGCGCAAGGTGCTGAAGAACTTGGGTGAGCAGATGCTTCTTGATTTTCTGGGATTGTGATGACGAATGCTTGCGTGTAGGTGCTTAGATGAGTGGAAGCTGAGGATATACCATGAGATGATGATTCAGGTGGCTTGGGGGGATTTTGGTCCAAATGCTTACTTGGATGGATGGTTACACCCTATCAGTAAGATATATGATTCAATTCAACAAATTGGCGCTTTGTGAAGAAATCTGCATCTTTTTGTTTCTCGCTCGTTCACATTTATCTGTATATCATTCATTTGCAGGCGAAAATGACATGTGATCTTCTACAGAAACATACACAGAGTAGGCACAGATTATACCAGAATAGTCTTTTCAGTCAACAATAACACGCATGTCAATTACCAATGCACAATACTACTAATTACATTTCATCTCCACCTACCTACTCAATGTATCATGACCATCTAGCTCTGCCAACAATTATCACCACATGCTTGATATGGCCAATTCTAGGGTAGTGCACACATGGTCACGATGCTCACATTGAAATTGATGTTGCACAGAATTGATCACAACACCGCCTTGATAGAGGAGAAGTAACAATTCTACTGATAAGATGCCATTTGATAAGGAGTGATTTTCGCTTAATGCCAACATTCGATATCTTCCGATATGGATATAGAGAGCGCCAACAGACAGGAAGCAGGAATCTGTGGCTCAAGACCCTGAACTACCAAACGCGGCACCCTCCCGCTCCCCACTACGGCACAGCGCCTGATAGGCCCTTCCTAAGCTGCCTGCAGCTGATCATTGCCCATATAGAGCGGCCAAGCTGCTTCAACTTCCATCATCGCTTCATCTCGAGCTATCGGCAGCTATCACAGCTACCACCATAGCCCAACTCGCAAAGATGGCGGGTCAAGGCGTTACCGCGTATCTCATCATTCTCATTGCAATCTCGACTCTCGGGTCGCTCCAGTTTGGCTTCCACTTGGTGCGTTTCGACTTTCCTCTCCTTCTCTACGCATCGCATTCACCGCTTGCTTCTCATGTCTCAAACATCAGATAGCCTCAAGCAATCTCTCTACATCTATTCACCAGGTCATATTGAAGCGGATGCTAATATGATATCGACTTAGGCCGAACTCAACGCTCCCCAAGATGTCATCACCTGCCACCGAAAGTCCATCTCGGCAGCCCGGCTGCTCCTCAGGAGCTTCGTCACATCCGTCCACGAAGCCGCCGTCGACGACTGCATCCCCATGGACGAAGCCGCCTTCGCCACCGTCTCCTCCGTCTTCACCATCGGCGGCCTCATCGGCGCCCTGGCCGCCGGTCCCTTCTCCTCTCGCCGCGGCCGCCTCCTCGCCATGCGCGTCACTGCGCTGCTCTTCATCGCCGGATCCACCGTCGAGACAATCGCCAGCAGCGTCTTCGTCATGGCATTGGGCCGGTTCCTGTCTGGTATCGGCGCCGGCGCTTCGACGGTCATTGTGCCGCTGTACATTAGCGAAGTGTGCCCGCCGGATCGACGGGGCTTCTTTGGCTTCATGACGCAAATCTCCATCAACGTTGGCATTCTCATTACGCAGACGCTGGGCTTCTTCCTGAGCTACGGCAGCGCCTGGAGGTGGAACCTGGGCATTGGAGCGTTCATCGCCGCCGCACAAGGAATTGGCCTGTTGATTGTCCCTGAGAGTCCCGCATGGCTCGCCGCGCACGACGACGTCGCCGGCGCAAAGAAGACGCTCCAGAGAATCCGCGGCGTGGCCGTCGATATCAGAGAGGAGAGCGAAGTCTGGGGCCGCGACGGGTCTGCCTCCGGAGAGGAAGAAGGCCTTCTTGCTCAGAGCGCAGACGAGGTCCCTCCGCCCAATGCCACCTCGGCCAAGAACGAGCCCGTCCACATCGGCTTCCTGCAAGTTGCCAAGGATCCCAGCACTCGGCCCGTCATCATTGCCCTGGTGGGCATCATGTTTGTGCAGCAGTTCTGCGGCATCAACTCCGTCATCATGTACTCCGTCTCCCTCCTTGCCGACCTTTTGCCCATTTCGTCTGCTCTCTTGAGTATCCTAGTATCGCTAGTCAACCTGGTGACAACCATCGCATGTTCCCCACTGCCAGATCGACTGGGACGAAAGACTTGCCTCATCGCATCCGTCGTTGGCCAAGGCACCAGCGCTCTTGTCCTGGCTCTCTCCATTGTCTTTGGCTTCAAGATCCTGTCAGCGTTCGCCGTGATTGTCTTTGTCGGCTTTTTCGCCGTGGGTCTGGGCCCTGTGCCTTTTATCCTGGCATCAGAGCTCGTTGGCCAGGAGGCTGTGGGCGCGACTCAGAGCTGGTGCCTCGGGGCCAACTATGTTGCGACCTTTATTGTGGCTCAGTTCTTCCCCATTGTCAACAAAGCACTGAATACCTGGCTGGGTGGTCAGGGCTGGGTGTACTTTATCTTTGCTGGCTTGGCTGCTGTTTCCTTTGTATTTGTGACTTGGTCCTTTCGGTCTCTGCGATTCCACGGAGCTACCGGTAACTAAATGACGATTGTGTGCGTAGGTGACATTGGAACATCTGGCGTTTTGTGTAATTTGGGTAAAGATATATTCTAGTTAGCATGCGTTGATTGAGTGTCTCTTGATTGCAAAACTTATTTCTTACACAGCGTGAATATCATATCATTATGGGAAACAGCCACTTGCTACGATGGTCCAAAGCGTTCATTCTTAAGTTTTTTTTTTGTTCATTTGAATTGCCCACTGATCATCACCGAGTTTTTGGAGAGTCCGGTCATCATAACAAAATCATCTCATCCAGCACAATGTGTCTGGCAATCCACAAATAATAGGACACAGATTTGGACCGTAAACCCGAAAACACCGTTGATTTCATGCTAGTGTATCGAAGGCACACACCATGGGACGGACTCCCATCCCAACAAAAGCCGTTTCTAGAGGTTCCATCGACAAAAACATGTAGATTTTTTTTAATGCCGAGAAAAAAGTCTGCAGCACTCGCAGGTGCGCAATCATGCCCAGTAGTACCACAGCGCCACGCCCGCGCCTCCCCTCCAGCACCAGCAAGCAACCATTTGAAAGATTGTGCGTTTATTTCTCCTTCTTCGCCTTGGCACCCTTGACCTTTGCGGTTCCGCGCAGGGTCTTCTGTCGGTTCTTGCGCTGCTTGCCTGTAGTCAAATGTCAAGTTAGCCAACCACAAACGCACGGTGGAAAATAAGGGCCAGGAGACGTAAAACGTACGCTGTTGTCTGCTGGCACGCTCGGGCTTGGTGGCGAGTCCGACACGGATCAGGCGGTACTTGGGCTCGAACTTCTTCAGGGCCTCGGGGGAGTCGTAGATGAGGGCGAAGCCGGTGGTCTTGCCGCCACCGAAGTGGGTGCGCAGGCCAAAGACCTGGACCTGCTCCTTCTGGGCCTTGTACAGGCTGCCGAGCTTCTCGCTGAGCTCAGCCTTGGAGATGTTGGCACGGCCGGGGTGGAGGATGTCACTATTCATTGAAAATCACAGGTCAGTCAGATCTTCTTGGTTTGAAGTTGTTGAATTCGTTGGCCGCCGTCCAAGATTCTTCTTCGATCTGTTCGTTCCAAATCGTCCGCTATCCAATCCAATATCCAATCGAAAGTCGCTGCTCAATTCTGCAACAGAGATTGTGCGAGGCAGCAAATCAAATATCCGCAGACAAGAAATGGCAGCCGTCTTGGTTTTCCGCACACAGCAAATAGGCTCGAAGATCGATGGATGTCTCATGGATAGGGCTTCAATGGCGGGCGAGGTCGAATCTGGCGGCGGCACGACGAGAGGAGCTGAGGATTTCACTCACACCACCATCTGCTTGCGGCCAAGCAGGGGGTTGCGGATGAACTTGCGAGTTCGCAGGGTAACGGGAGCGTCGTTATCCGCCATGGTTGCGATGCTTTGTCTCGTTGAGAAAAGTGACGAAGGAGAGACTCGGCGGTTTGGCGTCGTGGTTCGGTCGTGGGAGAAAGGGCTCGCCGCAAAACTAAAACCGGGGCTTTGAAAATTCCGTAGCACACGCTCGTGTCGCTTAGTCTGGGTCCCAACCCTAAGATGCGCTGCGGTGCGGGCATTATGTGTGCGTTATGTAAGCAGTGAAAATAAGTTGTGTGCTCACGTGCAGGGTAAAGCTCGGCAGAAGCTGGCTGCTATTTTTGTAGCTGACCGGGTCCCCGCTCGCTGGCCAATCAATCCCTTGCAAAAAGTTATGGATACTCGACTGCGTGCTCCACCATTTTCGATCGTAGTATCGCCATGGACTGAGCATATGCAGAGCAGGTCTTGGGCAAAAATGTGATGAACAAGCGAAAGTACTGTCTTCTTCTCAATTTATCAGATGTTTTCATAAGGAGCGTATCATTCTGTTCTATGTATATATCCAACCATGGACGCCTCATCACAGAGCCAAGTCGACCGCTTCTGCTACCAATATCTTCAGCTTGAGCAGACCTTGACTTATCCCGAGCCTCAGCACCTCCAACGCTCGGATGTTCAAGATGCCATCTATGAGAGACTCTTTGCTGATGACGTCCTTTCTGCTGGTCCTCCCCCACTCCGATATCAAGTAAGAGTGCTCAAAGAGCTTGTCTCCCGCATCGAGGCAAGCATAGAGGACTGGGATGAGCATGTAAGTCCCGACCCCCGGCCGTGATATGTCGGTCAGATGCCGTATAAGACAGTCTCTGACGTGAAGAGCAGGGAGTCTCCGATGGTCTCATGTCATCCCTCTCTGTCTTGCTATCCACGCCAGCCCCGGATGAGGCCGATGCCGTGCAGCAAAAGTGTCATGTCGTCTACCATCTCGCATCCTTACCGGATCACGAGGCTCATATTACCTTGTTTGAGAATCGGTCTCTCATCTCTGCCGCTGGAACCACTGGACTGAGGACCTGGGAAGCGGCACTTCACCTTGGACAGCTTCTATGTCAGGACCCCAGTATTGTTTCCGGGAAACGAATATTAGAACTCGGGACGGGCACTGGATATCTTTCTATTTTATGCGCAAAGTACTTGGATTCAACACACATCATAGCATCGGATGGGTCAGACGATGTCATCAACAACCTCCCCGAGAACTTCTTTCTGAATCAACTTGAAGGCTCAAGTGCCATAACGCCCATGGATCTCAAGTGGGGATATGCACTCAAGGGAACCGAAGAAGAGCGGTGGAACGGCGGCCGTCCCTTGGACGTTGTTCTCGGAGCTGATATTACGTACGACTCGAGCATCATCCCCGACCTTGTCAGTACGCTATTGGAGCTATTTGAACTGTATCCTCATGCTGAGGTCATTATTGCGGCAACTCAGCGAAACCTGCAGACGTTCCAAGTGTTTTTAGAAAAGTGTGAGGAAGAGAAGCTAAAGGTGGAAGATGTCTCATTCGAGATACCATCGCGTGACCAACAGCAAGGCCCATTCTATAATGACCAGGTTGCGATTAGAATTTGCAAAGTGTCCAAGGTCTAACCCAATTATATCGAATCATAACAAATCGTTAATGTTGATCTCGCCGCCATAAACTACACGGATGTCTCAAGCGAAGGGCGCTACAAGGGTGATGTACAGTGTAAGGTGACTATAACAGAGAGTAGTTGATAGTTTACATCATCGTCGAAGAAGCTGGAGATGCAAATCTACGCGCAAATCTTTGAACTTTTTCGGCGAACCACTGATGGGCCATGAACCGATAAAACGTCAATGGTTTTAACCTTCAGGGTAGCCCCAACAGATCACTTCGCCTAGGACACGCCGGCGATGGCGCCAGTCAACGCCGTGGCAACAGGGACAAGAATCAGTCGGTGGCGCCTTGGGGGTCAAGCCACACAGCAATTGGCTTTCTTGAGCCCTTGGAACCGATGCCGCTCATCAGGGTATCATCGGGAGACACAACTGGAAGCCTTTCGAAGGCATCACAAACTCAACACATACAAAGTAAATAAAGGCGGCTGATTGTTTAATGTCAAATGCAATCCTCACCGAGTGTTGACGTCATGTAAACCACAAAACGGTTTTACCCATGTATAGAAGTGTGAAGCACAGGGATGGGAACAGCAGTTGTCTCTGGCATCGGAGTACACCCTGTTGGCCGGAGGAATTTTGTCGACAAACTGCTCTAGCCAAGACAGGATGAAGTCATGGACAAGACCCAAAAGTCCGGGGAAGTAAGACCAAAGACTCAATTGGCATGAGGTGACAGGGCTTTCGATTTCATCCTGGCTTACAGTGCTTGTACGGTATACTATGTAAGTCGCAGGTAAGCAGCTACGCCATCTTACGGTTCCAGAGGCGGAAGACGGGTAATGGCCCGACAGTGGTGTGTTCACCAGAACCATTGGATCTCGTTGCCTGTACGCGAATATGCACTCCGTACTCTGTTCATGCCCATTCGGACATCGAAGCGGGAGTCGCACCTGCGGGGAAAACGAGACTAACGTTGCTGGCTGGCAAATGGGAGCAAACTGCGGCCTACACCGGTTGCTCGAGATTGTGGTCTGGAGCAGGCGATGGAAGCTGTACGCACTGCGCCGCCATTTCGTTAGGTTTCCCTGCAGCAGTGCATTTCCGGTGGAGAGAAAAGCACAGTTTCGAAGCGGGGAGGGCATCGGTTGGAGAAGTCAATGGGCAGAGTTTCCAGCCTCCAGACTGATAGCCCGGTTCGGAAGTCGACGATAGTTTAGTAGAGTTACAGAAAGCTCCGTGAAGGTGCAGCATCCTGCAGTATCCTGCATGACTCCAAAAAGCTCCACTACATGAGCCAATTCGACCTGTCTTGCGTTTCTTGCTGTTCACGGCGATGAAATGTGACAAAGTCTCCGCAGCGGCAGGGATAAAGGAGCAGAAAAAAAACGGTCAACGTTGGGGTTTCTGTTCAATGAAAATTTTTCCAAAGCTTTTAGCGAGCCCACGTTGGTGGGTGAGAGATCATCGCTGATCGGCAGAGTGCCACAGAGTCTCAGATAAACGTGACCTAATAGGAAACTGCTTTTGAGCGGGAGCTTCTTTGGGGGCCGCCGAGAAGCCTAGAGTCGGACGTGATAAGCTTTTCAGTCAGTGGTTGTACATGGAGGAGAGTTCCTCTTGGTACCCTGAAGCTTTGGTGGCCTGGCCTGACGGGCTGAGCTGACGAAGAAGGAGGGGAATTATTGGAGTCAATGCAACGCTGTCGAGTCGTGAGGAGGAAACGTCCTCGGAGAGCAATCATCACATATGTGCAGCACTATCCGGTAGTCCCGTGAGAAGCGATGCACAGAATACGCGTAGCACATACCGCACGTACGGAAGCACAAGGCGGCATGGGCATATTTAGCCTTGGGCACAGTTTTGAAGCTCTCGAGGTGGGCTGAGGTAGGATTTCTCGCCAGACTTACACATGCTGCATGCGACGCTGCAAGCCCAGACAGCATCTCCGGCGTCGATATTCCTTCAAGCAGACGCGGGAGTCTAAAACTGACATGTACAGACGCTCGATGCCCAATGTTCTAGACAGATGGAAGTCAACTGACACGGCCCCGGCTGCAACCCGCCCGCCGTGGACTTTTTGTGCCAATCTTGCCGCAATTTGGGCCTGTATCCAGTGATCGGCTCTGTCTTGTGGAAATGATACTCAGGGGGGTCTATTGATACAGCCGAGTGAGTGAGTGCTGTATTCTGGAACTGCTGCCGATCACTCGGTCTGGATGCGGATCACGAGGCAAAAATAGAAGGTGTCTCAGGGCCGGTTGTACACGCTGATTGCTGATCGATCTCTGAGCTCGAGATGAGTGCTACGATAATGCGACTCTGAAGCGGGAGCAAAGGGGAGACGGGCTCAATCTCAGCCTCCAAGCATTAGTGCTCATCTGCCTGGGTACGGACGCAGATATCTTGGAGAGGTGTCAAATATTAAGGAGCACTAGCAGCCGGCTGTCGTTATCTCTTCGTCCCGGCCTCATTGGCCGTGTTATCTTATATCTCGACGGGAGGGGGGCCAGGAAACGGGACAGGGCGCTTCGTTATCTATGGCGCAAATTGCACGAAGCCCAAGTGCTGATAATCAACATGAACAGAAACTCAGTTTGCCCTGTCTTTGTCCTACGCAGGCAAAAGTCAATTAGCCCGCTCCATGCACCTCCATGCTGTACACCGCGAGTCCGGCGGGCACAGTTTGCTTGATGCTCGCCACACCAGCGCCATCTCGAGCGACTATAGTTGCATGGCATATGCATTGCAGTGTTCTACTAGCGATTGGGATTCAGAGGCGAGGCCTCATGACCCGCTGGTGTTGATATTGATCCAGCCAGGCTTCCGCATCTTCTTCGCCTCTGTATGGGTGACGACAATTGAGCGTTTCTGAGATGATATTGACTTGCAAATTGCCTTCCCCCCTTGCCTTCAAGTGGCAGCAATCAAGTCAAGTCAATTCATCCACTGTGCGCAGAAAACCAGCGCAACAAAAAAGCACGCAGCATGTAAGAAACGCCTAATATTAATCAAAAAACCGGAGACCCTGGCTCTTCCCCCTCCCTGTCTTCGAAACGGGCTCTCCTCCAAAGGCCCACCGCGGCCAGCCCTGAGCAAAAGCACCCAAGCACTCAAGCAGCCATCGCAACGTGCAGCAGCGCCATCGTCCAACTCGCCCGCCGCAAAGGCGCAAGGCCAGGGCCCCAAACGAGAAGCTTGTTGCTGGCTAAGAACCACCCGAGTGGGCTCGTATCCAGTCTGCAGAAAGCCAAGTTTTGCCAACAAAGGGCCCCCCCTCTGCTGCAGCGTGTCCGGTGCTGAGCCCGCCATCCTCGCCACCCGCATCTGCGCCATTGGACGGCCTGGCGTGTGTTTGGGCTGGTTTTGCCTCCCCGACATCCAGAACCTTAATGTTTGGCTTATAGACTAGCATACTGTACCTACTGTACAGAGAACAAGGAGAAGATAGACAGAGATTCTCCGACAAGAGACAACAAGAGGCGACAGGAAGCTCCGTCTTGCATTGCATCGGCCTCTTCCTTGTCCTCATTCTCGCCTCCCCTTGGCGCCCAAATGTTACAGTAGATTGTTCAGGCCGCGGGCGAATCAAACTAGAGGCCGGACCAGCCCAAGAAGGATCTAGGCCAGAATTCGAAAAAAGCAACCCCCTTCTTTCAGCTTGGCCTTGACGAAGCTCTGGCATTGGCTTTCATTGGCTGTCCGGGGCCCCATGCTCATGTTACCGGGCGATTGCGAGCTCCTCCCGCCTGCGTCTTCCAAGCTTTGCTACCGCTTGTTGCTATCCTGCGGTTTGCAGTAGCTCGGCGTCAAGATAGGCACAGAAAGTTACTTTTGCTTTGCGATTACTGACACCGTGAGAGTAAAAAAGGCCCCCTCCCATTGACGTGTTACTGAGGCAGCGGCCGGGCAGTAACAGTATAATACGGGCACATTCAACCATTTCCCTCCAGCCCATGTTACCACGACTCCCACTTCATTTTATCGATACTCCGTGCCTTATTTGCTTCTCCACACCCTCATTAACCACGTCTTGCGCACATCACTTGTTAGTGTTGCGGCAGGGAAAGAAAAGGCTGTTCCCACTATTCTAATACTACACTACCGCCGGCCGATCCACCTTCTCCTGGGAACTCCAAGGCCTCTGCATCGGATGCTGCTTCAGTCGCCCACTTATACACTCCTCATCACGCCAACCACTCGCAGTTTGACCTGACCTTGACCTCTCGACGTCAGACTTCCATCACGCTCGTGTTGTCGTTATAAACCGCCACCACCCTTGCCTGGTTTCTGCGATCTCGACTCAAAGCATCTATCAATTCATCAGCCTACACATTCTTGTGAGAGTACTGCAAATACAACTCAGCAGTACTGCCTACCATTGCTACTCCCATCACACACCCACGGCGGAACGTTACGCTTGGGCGAGAAGAGCAATCTCCCGGTTGCCCTAGAATAAAAAGAAGCTGCTTTGTGCACCTTTAATATCCGTCCTCGACCCTTGCCAGCCCCATACGACAGGGTATCTACTTACACACATAACACAACTACCGCTGCCGCCGCCGAGCCCTTGAACCTCGATTCAACAGGCACACAAAACCATCTATTACCTGGTCATTGCCCACGGTAGTGCTGCTATTTCCATCATCGCCGGCGTCGAACCCTTGTGATCCCGATCATATCAACGAAGCACCGCTTAATACTATCGATTCTATTTTCGACTCGCTTCCTCTCGCAATCTTAATTGCTTGATCACCTGCTGCTGCATAGAGGAAACAGTTTATGTGTCCGATGCTTTCGTCATTGCTAGGAACAAGAGCAATACCTCGATCATATCGCTGCAGCCGCTGAAGGAAGTACAAGAGCGACGACACGACGACGACATATTCCACAGAGAAATACTACAACTCGACATCTTCACACAACCATAGCCACGATGGACTCCGAAACCTGCTATCACAACTACGCCTACACTCTGCAAAAGTACCTGCTTCTGCAAGAGCAACACGAGCAACTCTGCACCAGCCTCGAACAGATCCGCCCGCGCACTGCATCGACCGGCACTCTTTCCACCATCTCCTCTCCCAGCACCTCACCCGTCCGCTCCTCCATCTTCGCCTCCGCCGAACGACGACACTCCCGCTCTGGCCAACGCCGCTCCTCAAGGGCGCACGGACGGTTCAATGGCTGGGAAGACCAGCTCGACACCATCGTCGATGAAGACACCATCTACCAGATCTCCGCCGAGGAGCAGCGTCTCTTTGACGTCAACGAGAGCATCAAGCGGGCCTTGACTGAGCTGCTCAACTGCGACGCCGTGCGAAGTGACATGACGACCCGCATGTGGGCTCAGACCCGACTGATGGAGACTGAAAAGGAACTCCGATCAGGGCGACGGAGGCGAAGCTCCCCGAGCCGGGACTGAGCTGAACAAGAGAGCAAACAATTGATCGATCAAACAAAAATGCCAATTACGCAGCCATTTGTGGGGGAGTGTGATGAAAACAAACTCATTGGACCCGCCACCGACGATCAGCTATTTTGAGCACCAAGCCAAGCTTTTATGGTTCTGCGACTCAGTCACTCTTTTTTTTTCGATTGCGACATAATGTTAATCCTATCATGGCTAGCCAACTAGCCTCTATACCACTCGGGACCATCTTTTTTTTTTTTTTAACGGGACACACCTTTTTTTTTTCTTTTTTTGTATGGAGAAGGGGGAATCAAACAAAAGATACCAACGGCTCAATGGTGGAGAGTCGACACCCATTCGATGACACGGAGTTTGCTATTTGACTCTATTTTCTACTACTGATAAGGGGATACAAAAAAGAACGCAAAATTGGAGACGTTCCTTTTTTTTTTTCTTTTGCTATTTCATCATTTTTCATTAGCATTTTCTCACACCCACCTACCTGATTGGGTGTGCTGTGGCCCTAATGGTCTGTCCGTTGCCTGACGCAATAGGCTATTCTTTTTTCGTTGACGGCATCGCATTGCGTGCGGCTTTGCGTTACAATCACATCATTTATCATATATGTACATATAGCATGTCTTGTGTACATTCCACATCTTGTGCAATCCTGCGGAATTTTTTTAGTGTTTATTTTTCTATATTCTATTTTTTTTATCATTTGTCTGCTTTGTGTTTTTTTTTTTGCATTGGTGGGTTTTACAGGATGTTTTTTTTGGACAAGGAGGGTTCATTGATAAAAGGGATTGGGAGCGAGCCTGCTATTGCATATTTTATTGTAGCACCTGATATTTCTTCATTATTATCTATTGTTTACTTTACTGGCTGCGATATCATATAGGTGGCTTTGGATAGCGAGCAGGCAGACAAAATTAGCAGGCACCAAAAGGCTGGCAAAGAGACAGTCACAATTGACAAATATTGAGTCAACTTCGGTTTTTGAGAGTGAATGTGATGAATCAAATCTGTATGCATGGCTGAGCGAAACATGATGAAATTGATTGCCACTTGAGACGAAGATGGCTGCATGGATATCGCGACTGCTACTGGCTGGCTGAAACAAGAGGCCTGCTGTTTTGGGAATAAGCGAGGCGTCTGGTATCAGGTTGATTATGCGTTTGGTCGTGCTAGGATAAGGATACTAATGATATTAGTAGTGGTTGGTCGCTTGAATTAAAGTAGTGAGTTATCTAAGCTATTCCATTAGGAGTAGAATTGTTGGTCAATGCATTTCTTGCTGGCCTTGTATGGGCCTCTTTTGCGTGATGCTGCTGATATCGCGATGTGACGATGCCGGCACCACTGATTTAATGTATATCAACTGAGATCTACCAGTATGACGTTTTCGCTCTGTAATTAGACGACCTGGAATTCAGTAATTCTTAATCTTATTTAAACTTTCTTATTGTCTTCGATAACTGCTTCTCCTTTGCGTCATGGCGCAAATCATTATGTCATTATGTAATCAATCACTGGCCGATCCTATGCTTCTCCACTAAAATTGTCATTCATCTGATTGCGTCGCAGCCTCGCGTTAGAGATACGCGGCTACAGCCACAGTCTTTTTTCCCTTTGAGATACCCTGAGATTCGCCGCCATGTCCGTCCTGCTGGAGACCACCGTTGGCGACATCGTCATTGATCTGCTGGTCGACCACTCGCCAAAGCTGTGCGAAAAGTAAGTGCCGAGAAGCTTCACCCTTTGGAAGAATCACCAAGCAGCTGCTGACTCTGAATAGCTTCCTCAAGCTCTGCAAGGTCAAATACTACAACTTCTCGCCCATCCACTCCGTCCAAAAGAACTTCTCCTTCCAGACCGGCGACCCTCTCGGCCCTCTGGCCAAGCAATCCGATGGCGGCTGCTCAATATGGGGCCACCTGTCGGGCGATCCGTCGCGGCGCACCTTTACGGCTCCCTTCCATCCCAAGCTGAAGCATCTCGAGCGCGGCACCGTCAGCATGGCAACCGTGCCGCTGGCCTCGGATCCGGACACGCGGGTGGCGGCATCGCAGTTCATCATCACGCTGGGCGAAGAGACGGACTTTCTCGATAGCAAGGCCGCTGTGTTTGGCAAGGTTGTCGAGGGCTTTGACTCGCTGGAGAAGATCAACGAGGCCATGGTGGACGACAAGGGATATCCATTTGTCGATATTCGGATTAAACACACCGTCATCCTGGACGATCCTTATCCTGACCCTCCCGGCCTTAGGGAGCCCAGCTCGAGCCCTCCGCCGTCGGATGAGCAGCTGCGGACGGTGCGAATCGCCAATGAACAAGAACTGCACGAGAACGACGACGTGGATGAGGAAGAGCTGGAGAAGAGACGGCGGGAGAGAGAGGCCAGGGCGCAGGCCTTGACGCTGGAGCTCATGGGCGATCTTCCCTTTGCGGAGGTGAAGCCGCCGGAAAACGTCTTATTCGTCTGCAAGCTGAATCCAGTCACCCAAGACGAAGACCTGGAGCTCATCTTTGGCCGCTTCGGCAAGATCCTGAGCTGCGAAGTGATTCGAGACCAGAAGACGGGCGACAGCTTACAATACGCCTTTATCGAATACGAAGACAAGGCATCCTGCGAAGCGGCATATTCTAAAATGCAAGACGTGCTCATTGATGACCGGCGAATCCATGTCGACTTTTCACAAAGCGTTAGCAAACTCAGCGATGTTTGGAGATCAGACACAAACGGCAAACGCAGAGCAAGGGCTCGAGGAGGCTGGGGTGGAGTACAAGAGCTTGAAAAGCGACGGCAGTATCGTGAAGAAGATGAAAAGAGCTCTGGGAAGGACTATAACATGGTATATAGCAAGGAGGAGATGAAAGGACGGCATGACCAGAGGCCGAAGCCCCGAAAAGACGATGACGGGCAGGACAGACAGGACAGACAGGACGGACAGGACGGACAGGGCCGAGGGGGCCACGACAGATATGACCGAAGAAACGACGATAGGCAACGACCACGGGATAATGGATTTCAGCCACGAAATAGGAGCAGGAGTCCGCGTCGAGGAGGCAGAGACAATGATCGCGATAGACAGTTTAAACCGAGGGACGGATATCGACACGATAGGAGAGACAGAGGTGGGGGAGACAGAGGGGGCAGGGACAGGGACAGAGATAGAGACAGAGACTACAGACGCAGAGACAGGTGATTTTTACTGTTGGAGTATCAACGATATAATTGAGTAGCGTTAACATCAATATGTGATCTAATGGAAGAGCTCCTGTCACATATGAATAAAGATTGCTAATATTGACATAATCATCTTTGCTTTATCCCCGTCTTCGCTGCACGTCTACCCTCGCCAACCGTTGACTAGCTTGAACCAACTGCACAACATTAATCGCCTGTTTCAGCGCCCTAAAGGGGAAGCATCCCATCGCCACAATACTCGGCCAATACTTATCAATCTTGTTGGAGCGTGCCAGTTCAAGTGCCGCAGAACTGAACGGATCAGGAAACATCTTGGCCAAGAGCAAAGTGTCGACTTCCACTTCTGGTTGCAGAGGGCCATGCCCATCGATATCTGCGTTGAGATAGAGAGGAATGACGGGAGACGAGAAGGATAGGAGGTAGCAGGCGATGAAGAAGAGCTCATTGAACGCGCAAAAAACAATACAATCTAATTTGAAAGGTCAGATGGTATGGATCTGATAAACAACAATCATGTCGTTTGCTTGCTACATACCTTGTTAGAGTAATACACCTTCATCAACCAGCCCTGACTCTTATCAATGTTCTTGTGGCTCGAGCTAGCACCACCAATAACCAAAGATGCATACATGTGCATATAATGACTTGCAAAGTCCAGAGCAATTAACCCCTGGAAAACAAGAGCCCAGCGAGGGATAGCCGTCGCCAAGAAGACTAAAAGACACGATGTAGTGCAGCGATCGGTGACCATGTCCAAAACTGCACCGAATTGCGTTCCCTAGTTCAAGATTGAGCAGCATATCCATCGAGGGCGTCGAGAAGGCATGATACAGCATAGAGGAGAGAACAAGTGCGTGGGTGGAGGGGCATGTAGTATAGAGAGGAAATGGCCAAGATGACTCGGATATATCCCGAGGAAAATAGACTCATTAGCAGTGTATAGGTAGCTTGAGGGGTCTTGTAAGCGTTACCTATAATGTTGGGCTAGAACAAAAAGATGTTTTCTGAGCGTCTTTCGGCATCTTGGCTGGAAACGTCTGAGAAGCGATCCTGGCCTCGCTGCGTCAACGCCCTTCGGGGAGGCATTCTAGGCGATTTAATTAGAGCATACAAAAATGATGATATAAGTAGACTGAAGCGGCAGAAAGGAAGCATTGGGGATTTACTGCTGACTAAGTAGAGATCCTATAGATGCATGATATACCGAGGACTCAACCAACACGTTTTGATCGTTAGGTGCATTAGCTTACCCGTTTCGACATCATGCGAGGCCAAGATTAGGAGCCAACAGTTGTACTGTTTATTTCCGTGTGAATGACCGACATATTGATGTTGATATATCAGTTCAAGATCACATTGCGATTTCTGTTTCCTTTATGCCTCCGTGGCTAATATTGGTGTTTGACAGATGACTGCTTCGTGCCCCCCCATCATCAGTAAGTACCTACCCTGAATAGAGCATTATAATATTCATTTCAGAAAGAGCACCCGGTATAGCCTTCTACTATTTACTCATACATCTCAGTGTGTCTGTTCTCTTCACTGGCTACTGTTTGTCTCTATTATAGAAGCATTATCCAAGGCAGAAGGAGACTTTGGCCTCAAGAAGGGTGCGAATGAACCACCAAAAAGCGTTGGAGACTATGAAATGAAGAATAAGACAGTACAATATACTTGATAGACTCAATGGTTAGGGACTGGATGGATAGTTCACAAGTCTTGCCTGTAGATTCGACCCAGCTCATGTGTAGTCCCTTTGCAATCCGTTCTCTCCAGCTATGACGCGATGCTGCCAACTACC